AGACGCTTCTTTGTGTCCGCGAATTTTTCACCCTTGAATCACTCGTCAAAATAAAGCCATGGTAAAACGGCAAGGATGCTCACAGATTTTACGACGAATCGGAAAGGTACACCATGCGTTCGTGCAACTTCCCTATTGAAATGGAAGACACTGATGGTCTTGCTAGTTTCGTCCGCTTCAAGTTCGTCTCGAGGTATTTCCTGTTTCACGTTTAAATCGCTGATAGAAAGAGACAACCAGTAGTAGCTTGCACACCTCTGCATAAGCTCAACAGGTTCAGGGATGTTCCCAATCATTTCCGAGCCCGTAAACTCCTTCTGGAACTTCCCATCTTTCGATACCTCAAAGACACGAATCTTGGCAGTCCCTCCAGGGCTCAGCGTCACTTGCTTCGCCAGGTGATCAGCAAGATCATGGACCGAGCTCGTCTTCGGCAGCAGGAACGGGTATGAAGCCTCTTCTTTATTATGGATCCCCGTCCACATAATCTTGAGGCTTCGTTTTGTCTCCAGCTCCACGATGCTTACATCCAGCTTCTCGTACAGAATGACGGTCGTCGTTGGATTGATATAACTCGGAACCATGATTTCCTGGATGCTCTGGTTTAGAGATCGCTTGAGGACTGATTTGGGTGATCCGTTCGTTGCATGAGTCGTTGTGAATCGGAGCTTGATTGGATCATGTCTCAAGAACTCTCCAGCCTTTGTCGACATCTGGGCAGGTTATCAGCTACTCAAGCCACTGTCACGTAGGGGAAGAGCACCAACCATGTCATAATTGTGCTTCTTGCTGAGGATTAGACTGAACTCTGGGTGATCGTGGTCTGGGTCCTCGAACTTCGGTCGGAAGATGATCATGACGCGGTTCTGGAGGAAGTCGTAAAAGTGTATCGGGTTGGCGTACATACCCTGGGCATCGAGGTCGTGGATCCTGAACAAAAATTGAGCATAGATCGTCGAGAGTAGGGATTGAATACTCACTCTTTCTCGGAGTGGTCGACCTGGAAACAAATGACATCACCATCCTGAATCTCACTCTGAGCAAAAGTGAGCTTCTGCTTCATCTGCTCGATCATGCCAGGCTTAATTTCCTACAACCAGTCAAGAGTAAGAACTTCGCCCGAACGGCAATTCTGCTAGCGCACCTCAAACAACTTCAGAGGAGTGCCAGGTGCCCACCGCATCCGCTCATTAATCAGCGGGTGCAGATCCAGGACTTTGCTGTTCCTCGACATATACACCTTACCAATACCGAATAGAGTCTGCTTCGCCATGTCAAAGTGCTTGAGAAAGATCATGATGGATCCCGCTGGTGGCTCAGGCTGCAACAACGCGTCAACGAACTTCCTGCAGCACAGAATAGTGACATACCTTGCTTGGATCGGGTATTATATCAAGATACAAACGAAGATCATTCTGCCTTGCTGCCATATTATTGCGAATCACCTCGACAGCTACAGCAAGTATTAGGGATCAATAGCTGCGAAAGGACGAGAGCTTACTGAGCGTCGGTTCATTCTCAGGAATGTGAGTATCAGGGCGAACAGTCTTGTTTTGACGGTTGACCAAAACCCAAAGGCGTATTTTGTTCTCCGGAAGATTGAAGTGGCTCGCAACACGCGATTTGAAAGTACTGTATGTCTCTTGTTTCAAAACACGGAAGCTCGGTAGATCCGACGGCGGCCAGTTCTTTTCATCAAAGGTAGCAAGATCAAAGCCTTCGTGATGAGCAAATGTATCATCAGTGATGACCTAAGCTGACGTGAGCAGGAGAACGGGTAAATGACACGAGACGGCATCACGAACCTTGGCCGTGAGGAAAAGATGCTGCTCCTCGCGTTCCCGCTTCTTAGCTTCGATCTGCAGTCTCTCGTCCTCAAGTCGACGCTCTGGGATTATGGTCAGCAACACGTGTTTCTAAGTTAAGAGGTGACTCACTGAGATGTGCCGGGGTGTCTTCGTCCTTCCAAGCCGAAAGGATTTCATCGGTGGCCGATTCACGGATGTAGACCAACATATACGCGTTGGTGAACCTTTTCATAGCTCGTACTTGATTGCGTTGTAGTGGAGGAGTGATGCCATTCAAAGGTTCGCCACCGTAGTTTTCCTCTAATACCTCGCGATCAGTGACTGGGGTGACCTTATCATCATCAAATTTGAGCCATCTTGTCTCCCGATCGGGTTTGATGAGTGCAAAGTAATGTCCACCATATCGATCCCCTGAATGTACCAACACACCATGTAACTTGTAGTTCCATGACTGCGAACGATCAGCGTCCTCATCCAGGAACTCTGCGAGGTCGATTTCAAATGGGAATTCATGACGATCATTGATCTACAGAAGATTGATCAATGAGAATCACATTAAGACTTGTGCCACGAACCTTCGCCATCGCGTCACGTTGGATATCATACTCGAAACGCTTTAGTTGCAGATGGAGCACAGGAGGGAACGATTGGAAGAGAATTCCCTTCTTCGCGTCTTGGAGACCAAACCCTTCAGCTTGATACTTGTTCTCGCCCTCCATCATTTCAACGGCGACGTAGTCCTTGAATGACTCGTACAGGTTCTTCATTCCCTTGACGTTGAGAGATATGTCTGGATCAAATAACGCGTTAGATAGTGCTAGATGGGACAAAATCTATATTACCGTTGAAGTCCTCAAAAACAGATGATTCAAATTCGACATTCACGCATTTGATGTAACTCTTCATCTTTCCAACGAAGAGCTTGGAGATTGCACCTTCGGCCTTCGTACCCTAGACGGGATGAGACACTGCAGGGCATGTGATCCGAACTCTGATACCTTCATCTTGGTCTCCAACTTGTCTTGGAGCACGCGGTTAAACTCTTGAACGTCATGTTGTTGATCAGAATCAAATGATTTCCACCCAAACGATTTTGTCAATTCCGTAGTTCCTGGGGGATTACGTTTTAGGAAGGATCACGGGGTGAATTGACGTGATACATACCAACAGGCTGATCTGATGTCTGAAGATGATAAAACACCCGTTGCAAAGCGAGGGGTACGCTTTCGGTAGGGTGCTCGTCTTCGGTTGGTATTTGGTACACAGCCTAAACGCCACGTTAGCTGAATAATAAATGACAACGCCATGCTCACCTTTCGGAAATAACGCGTACAGAAAAGAGATTGGAGAAGGGAATTCATGTAACACGTCGCGCCTTGGTTCTTCAAGCCAACGTAGCCAGTCTCCTTCTTGGAGTCATAGCTGAACGGAATCGATAAGGATGCCTGACATCAGCAGGATGAGTACGCACTTGACAAAATTGTGCCACAAGACGCCGGTAGGATCCTCGAGTACGCGAACATATACAGTAACATCGGCCGACTCATCCTCGATAGTTGGACGCGAATGGCCTTCTTGAATATTGAAGAGTTTGCGCAGCTCACTGAAGCGAGTGAAACCCCAGTCACATTCCTCGGCGATAAAGCGATGGTGAGCATCTACGAAGTAATGGTATTGTGGAGCAAGTGAAATAGAATGAAGAACTTACGGCTAACTGTAAAGATGGTGGGGTCATGGGGATTGGAAATGACGAGCGCGAACTGGGCACACGCGTGCCAACCCTCTGGGGACTTCTTTGGATCAGCGTAATCAAGGTAGACAGAGACGGTGTCATTAGGTGGTGCATTAGAATTTCCAAAGGGAAATAATAGTATGCGCCTGTTAAGAAAAGTGAGGGTGAGAGGAAGAGCGCCCTGTGATAGACTAACCATTTGTGACCACCGCATTCAAAGTCAACACTTGTGAGCCTCTTTTCCAATTTCTTCCAATTGTTTATCCGCCAAGTATAGACCTGAAAATCTTTGACATCATGCCCTAGGTCTGGCATGTGCTTTGATGCAAAAGCTTCGTCTACATATGATGATATGAAGGGGTAAGTTGATGATGCAGAGGAAATAGAGCTTACGATCGCGAACGGAGACGACTTCATCAATGATCTCCATGGAGGGACCGCCATTGACTTTTTCGTCCAGATGATCCATGGTATCACTCTTGTGTGGCTGAAATGTGAGTTTGACGTATCCAGGTTGTGATATGACATACCATGAAAGTCTGCAAATGAGCAGTTCAGAGGATGGATAGAGGACTGTAGCGTGTTGAAATATAAGCTGATGGTACCGCGAAGAGACTATTATCTGTGACAATAATGCTCCAAGTGACGCTTGTGAGTGAAGTGACGAAGGTCGGTGGGAATCGGTCATAGACCGCATCGCTCTCGTAAGCAACCCCCCCACAGCACATATAAAAAAGTTGACCCCTCCAATTAGGAACTCTGAAGCTTGTTCTTTTTTTTTTATGATGATCAACTGAACCCTCGATGCTGGACGACGCTCTCGATTATTATACACGATCCTTAAATTGTCTCGACAGGGTTGACCTCAGTGTCACCACCAGCCTTTCCGCTGTTTCACTGTCGGTAATGAGTCAAAATCGTGTAAAAGCAGGTCGGACGGACTTTTGGACTCTTCCCAGTTTCGTTTTGAGACTGGGAGTAATTCTCCAAAAGTCTCTGACGATGCCATGATCACTTTGTTTCGATAATGTTCAATTGATATCGTCGCTCCTGGTCAATGGCGGACATCACTAGCACTAGTTGTATTATATATTTACTCTTGCAATGAAATCTTATCCGGCCGCCATATCATCTCATGAGCCCTTGACCCACCATGGCTATGCTTATCGAGCCATGCGTTTATGGTGCTGCTACGATGAGCATCAAGTCAGAATGAACTGTCTATAGTAACTCGGATCACTAAATGCAAAGTTTGGTTCCCACAAATTGTCGTTACCAGCGCTCAAGCATCCTCAAGAACGTAAGCTACTACTAAGCAAGGAAGTTTCATACTACCGGACGTCCAATTGCCTCATGTCAACAGGTCGGCACCTGTCATTTCTCTCTTTCTTATTCTTCTATTCGTTCCATTTTCAAGAACTGGATCCTCTACTTAAGCTCCGTTCTGGCTTTTTTACTGAATGGCCACTCGAAGACGAGAAGACCGTCTTCACGACGATCGTTATAAACTTTGGGTTCCAGAGAACCCGGCTGACCGTGACTACGAACAACGCCGTCATCGCGAATCTAAGTCTCGTGCTCATCCCCAGTACTCTTCTGCTGCACCTTTAGCCGGTAGAACACGTTCTTCTTCTGCCCAGTACCCATCCACAGGTCATCATTCAGCCACACAACCAACTAACACCAAGGGTTATCCTCCATCAGCATCTTCACGCCACGCCCAACCAGAACCCATTGACTCCAGATCTCATCGTCGACCTGCCCCAACCCCCAAACCATCATATGAACAAGTCTCCGGTGCCGAAGACGTTGGAAGATCTTCCAGGCAAACTTATTCTTCCCGTCCTATCCAACCACAGACTACCGCGAACTCAACCACACCTTCCACTAATTGGCCTTCATCTGCTCAAGATATCTACTCTAAACGATCGAAAGATCGTGACCAGGAACGTGATAGACATCGAGAAATGGAAAAAGAACGCGACAGAGAAAGGGCTAGCGCTGAACTCGATAGGCATCGTGAAAGACACAGATCTGAACAGCATCGAGAGAAGGAAAAGGCCGATAGGCAGAGGGAACAAACCAGGCACAGACGCGAGAAAAGGATCGAGTCAGATTCTGAAGGCCTCATGTATTCAGACAAAGCTTCCATCTCTGGCAGGGAAGCATATCAGCCCTCCATTCGCGAGTCTATCACTAGTCACAGGCGACATCGTACAGAAGACGGAGTCTCATCGGTATGTCGAACTGATTTTATATGGGGACATCATGTTGATACTGTGCTAAAGGCCCGCCGACCTCATCCTGACCCTTCTCACAACCAAACTTCTGCTGTGCACATGCAGTCTACAGGTCCCCAGCAAGAGGCTGTGACTCAGAGTAATACAGCAGGCGTAGGAAGCAATCCACCGCCCGCGCCTCGCGTGATGCCTGTCTACCTTCCTCATAAACCTTCCAAATCACATCACGAGCGACATACGTCCGCGGCTGCGCAAGGAGCTCAATCAGGCAGTGACACTGAACGAGCTTCTCTGAAAGTAAGTCACTTAAACAATATTGCTCAACTCCCTTTGACCCTTTTTTCAGCACCGCATGGAGAGAAACCACTCGGGTGGCCCCGTACAGAGAGGTGATGGATATCAAACCAGTGCCGTAAGGGAGAGACAGGGTCCAGATGCTCCCCTGGGTCCGCGTGAGGACGCCAAGTCCAAATCAGAGGTGTGTTGGATAGCCTTGACGACTGAATGATGGAGCTGATTGTGATAATCACCCAGGCCAAGTATACCTCGACGCAGGGCACATATTATGACTCGCGGCAGCCCCTAAAGTCTACGTCAATTGACACTGTGGACATACCCCTTGTTACGCCAGGCTTCAACTCGTCACCTTTACCACACGAATCACGAGGACATGTGGGTACCATACCTGTTCTTGTCGCGGGAGAGGGCCCTGCCGACCGCCAGGCTCACGATGTACTTTACAAGTCACAACCCCCGTTACATAAAGATGAACTGCATGGTGCAGGATATCCTCATGCATCCCTCGCTTCCGCGGCGAAGCCATCTCATGGCAGATCACAATCCTCTGAAGTCCCCCGTAGCCGGCCGGAGCAGCCCCCGCTGGACCGGTCTCGTACAGATCCTACAGCAATTGATCTCTCGCATGGCCGTCATCACCGGCCAGAAGATTCCACACCGCCCCGATACCTTCAGATCAGCACACCAGTGGAACAGCAACCGCGCTCATACAAGACATCATTCTCCAATCCTTCAGTTGTCTCTGGCCCAAGACCTCAACGTACATCTTCGTTCGCAGATCATCAGAATGAGTCAACCAGACCGACGCCCTCATCGGGTCCGGTAGCTTCCAGCCAACCGCCTGTGACCTCATCACCTGCTCATAAGACGAACTCGAGTCCACCTAAGATTGGGTCGGGCTACGGATCTCTCCCTTCTGCACACCCAACCCCTATGAGCTCACAGACTCACCTCGCATCTGGGACCCACAGCAATAACGTGACAGGAACTCAACGATCACCATCCACACCTCCTGCTCATTCAACATCGATAAACACCTCACAGACGATGATGATGGCATCACAACCTTCTCGTGCATCACGAACTTCACTCGATCGTCCAGAACCCCACGTCGCTCCTCGCATGACGACCGCTCAGATTTCCAATGGGAGTACGGTCAAATCGTCCTGGGTCGTGCAAACGGCCCAACCGCTCAAGGACGGTTACGTGGCTAGGGAGGAGAAGTCAGGTCGTAACAGCGCACATCATCAGGTCGATCCGCCCGCGGTAGCTCATCCACAGCTGCGTGAAGTCCTTTCTCAAGGCAACCACTATACAACACCCCCAGCAAACCGTTCAGGTCCAACTCCAAATTCCTCGCTGCGGTCGTCGCCTTATGGCACGCCAAAGGAAGTGTATGCTTCTGGGACACCTCGGCGCTCTCCAGATAATTCACCTCGCATGCCGAAGGTCAAAGAGGTACGCAGATTGAAGCTATCTTTGCAGGTTTCACTGACGCAGAACAGGCAGCCACGCCGGAGCAGTCGAAATATCTCCTCTTCCCTGCACCTCCGCAGATTGCTGTAATAGGAGCTACGCCATTGTCTGAGAACCAGGAGTTGCCTCATAAACCTTTGCACAACTCTGGTTTTCTAGCGCCGTCTTACTCAGCGCCTTCGCGAGTCTCAAGAACTACATCTGGAAGTCGGGACCATCCTACACAGGTGCAGGTGCAGCCGCAGACAGCTCACAATCATGCTGCCGGTTCCACTGCGTCGTATCAGCAGGCTTCGGGACCACAACCTGTGGTGCAGCAAGCTCCGTCTCCGTCATCATATGGCAGTCTTCCAACGCCATCCTTCCCGCCACCTTCGAGGGTCTCGAGGACGACGTCAGGCAGCCGCGACCATCCGCAGACGCCAACGGTTCATCTTAACTCCATTGCGTTGCACCAGCAGACTCCTGCTCGTCCATTGCAGTCTTTGACTCCCCAGACTCCCGCGTCACCATATGGCAGTCTTCCTGCACCATCATACCCAGCGCCTTCGCAGATGTCGAGGACGACCTCCGGTACTCGTGAACATTCTCCACAAGTGCAGCCACAGACCATTCATACCCATTCTGTTGCTCCAACTGTGTCACAGCAGCAGACTCCTGGGCGTCCATCCCAATCTGTGATGTTGCCTTCGCAGGTCTCGAAGACGACGTCTGGCAGCCGTGAACATCCCCCGCAGCAGACAGCTCATAGTGTTGGTTCTATGGCGTTGCACCAACAGACTCTTGAGTCTACGTCCCAATCTGTAGTGCTACCTTCGCAGGTCTCGAGGACAACGTTCGACAGCCGTGAGCATCCTCCGCACGGGCAGGACTCTATAGCGGCACACCAGCAGAATCCAGGGTTTCCATCACAACCTGTGGCGCCACAGGCTCCAGCGTCACCATACGGCAATCTTCCTGCACCATCGTATCCACCGCCTTCACAGATCTCGAGGACGACGTCCGGTAGTCGTGACCATCCACTAGACGCGCAGCCGCAGACGATTCATCCTGTTGGTTCTACGGTGTCGCACCAGCAGACTTCTGGGTTTCCATCCCAGTCTGCAATGTCGCAGGCTCCATCTCCCTCGTCATACGGTCAACTTGCTACTGCTGGACAGTTTTCGCCTCCACCTCTACCGGTTCCGCCACCAAGAGTACCAGGAATTGACATCCCAGAGGACTTTTTCCCTGTGAAGCTGACACCTAGTAGTCCCGCTGGAATCAACCACACGCCAACGAGGTCTGCTGTTCCATTGCAGCAGCCCGCTCCAGCTCCAGCTGCCACTCATACCTCGGCTATGGCAGCCTCTACTCCCTCTCCTCAGCCTTCATTGCCCAACGGACATGCCGATCCCTACAAGAGCAGGCCTTGGACGGGTGAGGGAATGGGTGCTGCACCTGCGACTGCAAGTTCCGCATATCAAAAGGCTGCTGCTCTTGCACCTGCTATCTCTCGCGAAGCTTCTCTAGCTACACACCGGCATTGCCATCTGCGGGTACAGGTCCTGCTAGTGGAGTTAATCAGGGCACGTCAGATTCACAGCACCCTCCGCCGAGCCAGGGAGCGCCTGCGAGCGTACATCCACAGACCAATCCGGCTCCTCGGTTGACACGGCCCAAAGTCACCATTGAGGAAGTTCCTGAGTCTCCACAGTTCGGAAATAAGTGGACTGCGAATCCTTCGCAGATGCAGACGCAGACACATGTTCCGGCTCAGTCTGAGGCTCATGTAGCTTCGTCGAGTGTTCCTGCTGCCAAAGTGCAGTCTTCGGATGTGAATGCTCATGAGAAGGCACCGAAGCCGAAGGATTTGTTTGCTCCTAGTGTGCAGCCTACTCCGAGCGTGCAGCCAAACCCCAGTGTGCAGCCTACTCCGAGCGTGCAGCCAAACCTCACTGTGAAGCCTACCCTCAATGTGCAGCCTACTCCGAGCGTGCAGGCAAACCCCACTGTGAAGCCTACCCTCAGTGTGCAGCCTACTCCGAGCATGCAGCCTACATCCGCTGTGAAGCCCAGCCCCAGTGTGCAACCTACTCCCACTACCGTAGCGTCAACTTCATCCCATGTGCCTCCTGCCGCACCATCGACTCAACAGCATGCATACATTTCTGCATCTTCTCGTGCTCCGTTCTCCGCTCCGCCAACACAGACTACTTTTACTCCATTGCATCAAGATCCTGTTCATCGAACGACATCGTCTGGTGGACAGCCTCGAGGGTACCAACGGTCGACTGATGTGCAGCCAAGTGCGAAAGCGCCGCCTACATATACAAGCGCATCAGCTATTGCAGCACAAGGTGCTCGACATGTTTCTCAGTTACCGATTGTTGCTCAGAGTGCTTCTATAGATACTGCATCCAAAGGGAGATCATACGCAGCGACCCCTACTACGACCGTGACCGCCCCTCACCCTCAGAATTTGCCAACTGCGGAGACCCACACGAAATATCATTCATCTCGACCTCTTACCAATGCATCAGGTGCCGCAGCGCAAACTACTCGACCAGTCGCTCCGCCGTCGAATGTTACTCAGAACGTTCCTGTTGATGCTGCATCCAAAGGTAGCAGGCAATATGCAGCGGTTGCTGCGTCTGCTGTCGCATCTCACCCTCACAATGCAGAGGCCCATGCGAAACCTTATTCCTCTCGTCCTGTTGTAACCCCTGTGACTATTCCTCAAGGTGTCAACGTCCGTGCGGCTGCCAGCACTCCATCTGCAAAAACCCAAGTGCAGGACCTTCCTAATACCAGTGATTCCACTCGTTATCGTGGTTTGATTTCTTCTGCTTCTCGTTATGCTTCAGCCATGAACCCATTATACCCTGCATCTCATCGTCACGCTACCCCAGCAAGTGCCAACCAGCAACCCAAACCCTCGCATTCAACGCATCCTATACCCCATCATCGAACTGTATCATTACCCACTCCACAGCCTGTTTCCACATCTAATGCCAACCCACGTCCTCCCTCTCCTCGTAAAATTTCTCAGCCTTTGGTCAACTCCAGTGCTACGTCAACACAGCCTTTCCCCAGTTCATCGCAAGGAAACGTTTCGTCTCGCCCCTCCAAGACAGCCGAACCTTCGTGGGCTGCCCGTGTTGCAGTCTCAGGACATCCATCTACGCCTGCTCCGTCCCGAGCTCACCTGCCATCTATGAATCGTACATTCTCCCATGAGTCCGAGGTGCTGATGACGCCTTCTTCTATTGCACCCTCAATGCCCAAGACACCGCAAATAACGCAGACGAATTTCACCTCTCCACACCAAGTAACTGCGCCCCCGATGAGGCAGAGGCAGGTGTCCACAGAATCTAAGGAGTCGAAGAAGAAGCCGGGTGGTTTCCTTGGAGGGCTGTTCAGGACCATGTCAGGGTCTGGCTCTTCTAAACCTCTCGAGAATCCCGTTGCTCGATCTCCAAAGCTGTCTATGGAGCAGCACAAGTCTCCGGCGATTGTAGCACCACTCATGCAGCACTCTAAGTCGTCTTCGCCTAAGGAATCAAAGGATAAGGCAGTGGCTTCTGCACCTCCTGCTCAGACCACGACTCTTTTGCCCTCATCAGCGTCGGTTCAACCAAAGGCACTAAAGGACAGAGCCAGGAAGCACCCTGAGATTTCATCTGTGCATCCTCTTCGTGACCGCAAGCAACCTTCGTCCAATGTGTTCTCTCCATTCAGTTTCCTGACTAGCAAGAGAAATCGCACCATGTCTGGAGCATCTCTCGATGTATGTGATGGAAACACTGCGGTACGTATGATTTTCATGTTGTCGGATGTCGAGTCTGATCATGGTTCACACAGACAAACACTGTGATTGGGTCCCCGGCTCACTCTACGGTCAGTCAAGTTCAGCCTCTTCCGCCTATGGTGCCGCCGCCTTCGCGCGATCCTATGGTGGCAACTAGCCAGTGGAGGGATAGAGAAGAGGCGGAGCAGAAGAGGAGGAAGAAGAATCGTCCTCGCCCAGGAGTGACCTTTGACGTCGAGGAAGACACGCCTGACCCTTATCCTGGGCCTACAGGCAAGCAGAAAGGCGCGCGGCTGGTTCGGCGCAAAACTGGCCGTTCTGCGACTCCCGGACCCCGCTGATGTATGATATATATGGCTATCGATCTATGTCTGAAGTATCTTAGTATTGTTTTCGTATTATGCTATATAGCTTATGGTCCTATAACAGCTATTTAGGAGTAGGTAAACGCGAATTATAGTGAGAATTATAGTGAGACTGAGAACATATGAGACGGAAAGGAAAGCAACCTTTACTGATCGCTGTCACGGTAGCACGCCACTTTGATTGTACTAACGCTCATCTATAAATTTGAGTTGGTCGAACTTCATTTTGACCTGCTTTTCAATGAGCAGTTCAGTTTTGGTTTAGCTCAGGTTTACGAATGGCGGGAAGTGCATGGATGAATTTGAATGTGACTCACGTATCATACGTGCGCTGACTCGGAATTATTCGAACCTCGCTAATATTGTTGGTTGTGTACACTAGTGCTCCCAATAAACGATTGACATTAATTCTGTGCACCTCCGCAAACCTCTATGTTTCCTATGTCGGAAAATGATCCGATTTGAGGATCTCTCCAGATTCTAACACCTCGGAATTTATATTAATTGCTACGTCGGATTACATACTATTTACAACGTCTTTTCCTACCCTTTTCAGGTCTGATCAGTTTCTCACTTCCGCAGTGATTGTACTATGATACGCAGCATTCAGATCATAGAGAGAAAACATTAAGTGGGCAGGTTTCTCACCTGCACCATTCAGGAGGAACACACTTCGAATCTGTTAACAACTTGGTCATAAGTTTATGGTTAACGTCCGAAGACCTCACCGCGAGCTCATGCCCAAGGTGCGATCATAGAGAAAAACTGTTGTCAGCAGGTTTCGAACCTGCACAATCCGCGAGGAACAGATTTCGAATCTGTTAACGACTTGTCCGTGACTCTTACAGTTGTCGTTCGATGACCTTTCCGTGAGGTCATGCCCGAGGTGCAATCAAGGAGAAAACCATTGTCGGCAGGTTTCGAACCTGCACCAACAGATCTCAAACCTGTTAACCACTTGGCTAAGAATAGTTAGGATAAATCGATGGATTCGGGCTGGACATGCCAAATGGGTAAGGTCTGCCTGATGATGTGGCTGGTTGTACAGGCGAGAACGACGCTAACTGTAGTGTCATGAACCGCGATTCAGTCTCATATGTGCCAGCCCGCGCAGCCGTAGAGTGCGCAAACACGGGAAGAATCTGATGCTAGCGGTGGTCTTCAATGAGAATACATGTAACAGTATTGTTCTGTCGTCGCTCGATGATAGGTCGTACGGCCGGTATCGATGACAGCTTGTATGCATAATCTCGCGTGTATATTGGCCAGCCCGCATGTAGAGCTGCGCGTGCGTATGGTTGCCAAATCAACTTACAGTGGTCAGGAGAAGTCATGTAATCGAGTGTAGTGAGAGCGTAGTTGCCAGCCAATGATGCCGGCAGGAACGAAAAGCTGCTTCTCCCTCGAGCTGAAATTACGATATTGCCGCAGCCATCGAGCCAATCATTTGTTGCATTCATGTGGTCGCCTATCAGGACAAGATCAATACGAGAAGATATTGATGGGACGAGAAATAGAATCAGCCGTAACAGGGCGAAGCACGTTACAAGCGACCACCGCGCTACTCCTGAAGCACTAGCTTGCATGCGGGACACCACGTATATACAGCAAGGCCGACAGGTGGATTGAGTATCCTGAAGGAGATACAACTTAGTGCCTACTCACCTTGGTGCACGCAAGTGATCACTCCCTTGTCGTCGACGCTCCTGCTAACCGAGACACCGAAAAAGATTCAATGGCGGCCATCACTGGCACTTACAAAGTAGTACGCGTCCCAAGCGCCAACTCAAAAGGAAATGCCTCATAGACTCGAACTGACACTGCTCAAGGGTCATGAGAAATTGGTGAACGAGATGGTTTTCATCCGTAGTACCCGTCTCCTCGATACTCGCTCTCATGACAAGAGTGGGATCTGGACTTGGGAAAACAAGTGGGCAGCGAAGTAGTTGAAATGTAGCTCAAATCCATGTAGCCGAGGTTTTGAAGAAACGCACGCACCTGAGCTACATCCATGCACGTCAAGTTGCCGCCGGGTATGTACCATATGCTTAGTAATATCAGTTTCTCTTCTAGGGGCTGTCTCTCCCTCCAACTCACCCTCAATCTCTGTCTCACCATACACATCCTTCTAACTTATTGTTTACTATATTGTCCAGCTTTTCCTCACCATGGATGCCTCAAATATCACCATGGACTCTTCAGCGGATTTCATGCAACTCTTGAACAAGTTCAACAAGTTAGAGCTCAACATACAGGCAGATCTTTTTGTCCAGAAATCAGAAAATGAGAAGCTCGCCAAAATGGTGAAGGAGCATGAGAAAAGTTAAACCAAGTGAGTTTTAAATTTTCTCATACCAATTTGTTTGACTAATGTGTGCAAGCTCGATAATGAGAAGGGGACAGAGTGAAGAAAATACCAGGATGACCTGAAAGAACACCAAAAGAAGATGATAGGCTTGAAGAGGAGAATAAGGAACAGAATGCGAGGATTGATGGACTTGAAAAGGGGGTCAACAGGCTCAAAGCACAGAAGATTAAGCTTCAGGAACAGGTTATGGAGGTAAGCAACCATTATGTGATATTAGTTCAAATTTTGATAACTTCGCTGCAGAACCAACACATGATCTTGACAATCTAGAGACAGACGATCATCAACAAAGCATGAGACAAACTGGCAACAGTTTGTAACCTACAAGCACTGCAACTCCTCCCATCCAGCTATCAGATGGGACAGAATTCCCCAGATGAACAACTAGACTTAGTGGTCAAGGTTGTGTCTGCAAAGCTATCTCATTATAATAGGAGGTTGCTTCCAGATGTGGCATTAAGACGCGTGCTGAGCACGTCACCATACAGTTTCAGAAACCTTGGCAATGGAGTTGCACACCTCGTCCCAACTGAAGACGCAATTTGGGACAAGAACTTGAACAATGTGCAACAGGTTTCAGTCATCAGTAAATTCACACATTGCTTGACTTCCTTTTTTGAGACTTGCTGCCAGTCAATAAATCTTATTTACCACTTGTTTACATTTATTTGATTGAGCGCGTTAGTCGAAAGAAAGTGCGTGACAAACAAGTGCGACAATGCGCAGATAAGCATCAAAAGGACACACATTTATTTCAAGGCACAAAACTACAGTAAGGGGTGCAAGTGTACTCATAAGTATGACGTATTGACGAGATTGTGTTAAGTAAATGGCAGCTTCAAAGTCTTTTGATAGTGTGCGAGGGAGGAAGCGCCAATGGATCGATGTTGCGATCAGGGCGAATGAGGCGATTTGGGCTGAGGTGGAAGCAGAGGAGGCAGAGGTGAATGTGGAGGTGCCAAAGGGCCTTTGGGAAAGGGTGAAGGGGTGGATCGGCAACAGGAATTGAGATGGAATGAGTTGCTCGTGATTCCAGCCTAAAGTGAGTCCTAGGATGTCTGTTAATCAATGAAGACTTACCTGGTCCTGATAGTCTCGTTTTCGCGACTTTGACCCGCAAATATTCACCGTCAGCATTGTATCAATGTATAGTATGTAGAATAAACACGCACCTTCGCATGCCCCATTGTGAAATCTCGACCTCGACACCCAAGTCTGACGCTGGAGTACTATGACCAGGCGTATTGGTTTCCTTGAGAAGCTTGTTGGCAGCGCGTTGTTCTTTCTTGCCATGGGCACGATCGACGAGTTCCTGCAAATCTTCACCGTCCTCCACAGCCTAACATCCTGATCAGCATGCATGCATCGCGACATCCTACTAGACATACCATCACCCACTGCTCATTGCTAAGACCATCGTTATAATTGACGACATTATGACAACGCTGACCACGGCCCTGGATAGCACCATCAATCTCCTTTGGCTCGAACGGTTCATCCATCTGATAGTATTTAGGCAGCTCTTCAAGCTGCATGAGTGGTAACGGCGGCTTCCCCCTGTTGCCGATCGCACGCCATGCATCCAATGCATCCCATTCTTGCTGAAGATCCATTGTGTGGAAAATCTCATTGAGTTCATCATCATTCATGTCACCGGCCTCTTCATTCTCCTCCTCTTGATCTGCTTTGAGGATGGACCGCTGCATACCACTCATTTAGCTATTCGTTATGTGAGAGAGCTGCTGCAACACCTACCAGGAATTCTCCCTGCTCTTCCTGCATTGATTTGTTGTCAAAACGACCAGCTTGGATGACCTTGTCGTCCATATCGAGCTTGTACCGCGCACAAGCATACATAGCTTCTTCAACACTCTTCTCTGTGATGAAACGGAGGATTCGGACAGCCTTTGTCTGGCCGATACGGTGAGCACGATCTTGAGCCTAAAGATCAGCATGGGGATTCCTGAGACATCATCATCAGTACGTCTTTCCAAACGATAACCAGAAGCTTATTCACCAGTCACTATCAAAGCTGCAAACCTACGCGTCAGCATAGAGAACAACTCGACCGCAAGAGACAACGCACATGATGCCATCACCCCATTTTGTGCGATACAGTGCATCATCTGGCTTGGTATCGGGATGAATTTGGAGCCTGCCTTCCCAGAGAGCAGCAGAGGACTTTGAGGGATCATAACGAGCAGGGTCAGACAGTGTACCGCATAATTGTGGTGCCCAGCCAGCTCCGATGGAAGATGCAATAAGTGTTGGTACCATAGTCATCAATGAGGGGCTAGAAAAAAATTAAGGATACCATCTCACAAACCAAACATTAACACATACAGAGGAACACATTTATCTTCGTGCAGTCTAGCCTGAAGGCTCTTCACAACAAATGAAGACGAGCGAAGTCGCCTGCCCCGCAGGTTAGCGAATGTGGCGAGATTGTCATGCACAAGTTCAATCACAGAGTTCCATTCAACATCTGGGCGAACTTTGAGAAGACCGCCTTTGGGTTTGGGGAGTAAGCGCATCATGATGAAGAGGTGTTCAAAGGGTCCGTTGGGCAGTAGGCGGATGAGCGCGCCCAAGGGGATGGATACGAAGCTGAGGGCGAGTGGGATGCCCCATTCACGACCAGCGATACGTGTCACCTGGAATGCGGTGCCACCGATGAACATGATGACCACTTGAACAGCGATCTCTGCAAACCAGCCGTGAGGGTAGTCCAGGTATAACATGACTCGACTCACCAATGAGAGTAATGGCCATGAAGTACCAATTGTGAAGCATGCCTTCAAAAACGTTGAGCTTCCGGTCCAGCCTTCGTGAGTTCACCGAGTTGAATATCTGAGCAAAGACAAACACATTGAAGATGAGAGTCTGGACAATGGTGGCATTCCCTGATGTGTCTGCATAGCCCAAAATTGTGGTGCCAAGGAAGTGGAATAATAGGATGACGGTGATCTGGTAGACAGACTGGATCAAGATCTGCTTGTCAATTCCGATCAATGTTAAGTTCTGAGCGATGACGTTGTAGGGCACCTAGAACTAAATGAGTATGTTGAAATATCACTGAAAATATACCTACATCATCAATTGCAGTGCCTTGCATCCCTGGTGGTGGCCAAGATGGAAAATTTCTATAGCACAGGGTGATAGTCCGCAGAGTCTGATTCACATAGAAAATGATAGTCCTCATCATGTTCTCTTCCGAGACACCATCAATATCTGCCACCTCGACATCGTCGGACTCGGTACTCGGGCGAGAGCTCCCATGCTGTTCTACGACGACGTGGCTGCTGCACAACTTTGTCAGAATCTCGCTAGCACCCTTGACGTAGAAACGCACCCAAGTTCTTTCACAAAGTTCAAAAGTGCCATCTCTGTCTTGCTTCCCACAAACACACGCTTCCCAGTCTCCTTCTCCTCGTCCTCATACGCAGTAGAGTTAACAGCGATGGCCGCATTAAACAGTGAAAGAAGTGGCCGGCTCAGAACAGTGTTGAGCATTGATTGATCGATGCTGAAATCGTCACACGGGGTATTTGAACCAGAGCTCCTGTGTGGGCTTCAGCTTCTATTCGCGTTGGTGCAGGCTTGGTTGTCTTTGAGTTTGCACACAAATTTGGCGTGGATGCCGACGGAGCCTGTGACCACGGACATGACGTTGCGGGTGAGAGTACTGGTCTTGTCGGTGCAGATGACGGAAGAGTTGGCCATCGTCTTGCAGGAGCCCAAGACGCGCACCAGGAGGTTTTCTTTCGTCATCCTCTTGGTGGTGAATGCCAGAGCAAGAGTTACAGCCAGTGGGAGACCTTCTGGAACGGCAACTGGATATCGTCATCATGCAATGTCCTAGGACCTGACTATTAGCAACAGACCGAAAATTGAACTGAGGACCCACCTATGTCATCCAGTCAGGACGCTATCTCAAATGCGTGGTGATCAACGTATTTGTTGATGTAGAATGAGTCGAAAGTATCAAGAGACTGATAAAACTTGAGGGAGGGAGGAATGTACTCAGAACTGTAGATAGGTATCAAGTGGGCTGCACGGAAGACCGTCTCGATGTAGAGACTCGTGTTTCTGCAGGCACATATAGGCACATTTTGCACCTTTTCACAACTCATGACAATTGGCCTTCAATGCACGACTCGCACCATCAGCTATATTCAACTTCTATCATGTCCCTAGTCATTTTACACATAACGCGCAGCTTTCCTGTGAAACGCGCCATAGGCGCGGTACTTTCCCACACAACGCGCAGCATTCCCACACGCGCACCTTGCGCGCTTTCTCGCGCTTAAGCGCCCTGCATCGCCTATCATCCAGGAACGTCCGTCTATGTCCACCCACCTCATTGGTACGTCATATCCCTTGCCTCGTGGTTTGTAACAAGCATTGCAGCGTTATTACATGTCATTACGTATTCATAGCGCTTATTGCTCCTATCCCTTCCGCTTCCGATGTGATTTCCATAGTATAAAGTTGCTGACTTACTACACCATCATTATTACTCCCCTTTGCTGTACTTCCCTTGCTATTGGGTTTTACCTTAGAGTAGTAGTCACCACTTGGGCGCACTTTGTGTTTCCAATGGTTATCGTTATCCGCCTATACTAGACCTTTATCCGCGCTCGTTATAACACTCGCTCTGCGTTTGCACTCGCTTTGCACATCCGCTTCCTTGTCCGTTTCCTTATCCGGTATTCTCCGCACAATGCGCGCCTTAGCGCTCACGTTCCCACGCTCGCGCTTACCTTAGTGCGCTCTCTCGCGCTTCGCGCTCACTTTGCTTTTCTTCTTGCGCTTTCGCGCATCCATCGCACTTCAAGGGTCTTTCTTTCATCTGGTTCTGTGTTCAGTAGCAGTCCCCTTTAGGGTCGAACGTTCTTGCATTCTGCGAGTATAGCAGCTAGGCAGAGCCAAGACTCACTTATACTGGTTGAGCACTTTTAGATATTTCATATCAGCCCAGCCAGGTTGAGATCGCCTCACTGGGATGTGGCAGAAGCTTACAGGACTGTTCCCCTCCACCCCTCACAGTACCCGGGCCTCGTTGTCCGCACGAGCAAGGACAGCTTCGCCATCGACACAAGTTTTTGTTTCGGCTGCTCCTCAGCAGCCGGATCATACAGTGGCCTTGCTGATGCAGGGGCCGACATCCTCCGCAGCGAAGGCATTGGCCCATTATCAAAATGGGTCGATGACCATTTATTCTTCCGCATCCTCCGGGATTTCCTGGAGAGGTACAACGAGCAGCGCAAGATTTGGGCCAAAGCCATCCGCGACCACGGGGGTCTTCACATTGACGGTGGCTGGAAATGGTACCAAGGCTCAGCCCTGCATAACGACCAGCCAGAAGAATATGATGAGGATTGCTCCTTTCCCATCATCGACCTCTCCCAAAGCTCCCCACGCTCCACTGAAGACGCCCGGTACTTGTACTGCATGGATGACATCAACACTGTCTCGACCCAAACAGGCACCCCCTGGGAGGTGTCCAAGGACATCCAATTTTGCTTTGACCCCCCGTTCATGGGCTTCACGTGGAAGCTCGGCCTTCGCACAATCGAGATCCCGGATGGCAAGAAAAAGAAATACCTGGACACCATTTTGGAATGGGAAGCCCAGCCCTGTCACGTCCTCCTCGAAGTCCAGAAGCTCCACAGCAAGCTGCTACACGCTACCCTCGTTGTCCCCACCGGAAGAGCTTACATCACCGAGCTGGAAGCCATGCTATCCATTTTCAATGACCATCCATTCATGCCTCATACCCCACCTAGAAACTGCGCTGCTGACCTCAGATGGTGGTCTGCGACTCTTCGCCAACCCACCATCAGTAGACCCGTCCTGGGCCCATGCATCGTCCTCGACCCTAACGCCTTCTCTGATGCTAGCTCAGGCATGGGCGTCGCAATTTGGATCGACGGATGGTGGTGCACCTGGCGCCTCATTCCAGGATGGAAAGCTGATGGCTGCAACATCGGATGGGCTGAGGCCATCGGGTTTGAGTTTCTCGTCCTCAGCATCATCAGAGCAACCAAGTCCAGCCCAGTCCCTTGCTTCAAGGTTTACGGAGATAACAGAGGAGTTGTGGAAGGCTGGTGGAAAGGACGAAGTCGCAATCAACCCACAAACTCCGTCTTCAAGCGCATTCACAGTGCCACTCAAGCCGCTTCCTGTATCATCCTCACGCGCTATGTCCCTAGCGCTCTCAACCCTGCAGACGACCCATCGCGAGTCAAGTACCCCCCGCACTCCCTTCTTCTGCCCCCCATTCCTATCGCTCCTGCTATCAGGGACTTCATCATCGACTTCGACGCTCCTCTACACACAAATGAACGTAGCATGTCCCAGCATCCCGTCGCGGTTCTCACACCCTCCAAGAACCGTTGCTCACACCAGGACACTCAACGAGCTGTTGAAAACCGCGCCCTCGAGCGACAAGGAGAAGAGCTCTTCCAAACGTCGCAAGTATAGTACGTCCCTGCTCGCTCTATGAGATTCCAGAAGCCATTTACTGAACAGGTAACACAGCTTATCCTCCTGACCTCAATCTGCTTCCATCAGTACTTCACCCGCACTGCCCAGCCAAACAGCGTCTACGTCTTTGGAAACCATCAGTATTGAGACCTATCCCAAATGCCCTCGCAACGGATGACATAACGCGCATTCAAGACGTCATGTGCCACGCTTGGGCTGAGAGCATACATGAGACCTATGGTTCTGGACTCCTGGTATATCATGTATATTGTGACTCTCGCTCGATCGCAGAAAAGGATCGCGCACCCGCATCTTCAATCCTTATCTCAACGTTCATTGCTGTAATAGCAGGCTCTTATTCCGGAAAAAACAATCGCTAACTACATATTTGGGGTCTGTGCATGGCACATCCTCCACGGACTAGAATGGGCCCTCAACAACGTTCAAATCAAGACCCTTCTGAAAGCCTCTGAAAATGTCGCTCCTCCATCAGCAAAACGGAAGAAACGCCTCCCATACACCGTCAAGTTCATTTGTGCACTCCGCGACCATCTAGACCTCAACTTACCACTTGACACATTGGTGTTCAGTTGCCTAACAACATCGTTCTATTGCACGGCTCGGGTCAGAGAGTTCACAGTCCCCACCCTTTCCTCCTTTGATCCAAACATCCATGTCAAACTCTCCGACATGCGCATCGAGCAAGACCGTAACAACCTAGAAATGAGAGTCTTTTGGATTCCCCGCACCAAAACGACTAGAGAAGGAGAAGTCGTATCCTTTGCTCGTCAGAATGGTCTGTCAGACCCAGACCATGCATTGCTCGAACACCTCCGAATCAACGAACCGCTGTAGAGACTCGCGTTTCTGCAGGCTCATATGGGCTCATATTACGAATTCTAATGACTGGCCTTCACGGCACAACTCGCACCATCACCCTCTAGTCATTCCCTATAGAGCGCACCACTTTCCCGCAGAACGCGCCATAGGCGCGACATTTTCCCGCACAACGCGCAGTATTCCCGCGTGCGCGCTTTCTCGCGCTTAAGCGCACTATGTCGCACATCATCCAGGAGCATCCATCCATTGTCCAACCAGTCCCTTGGTATGTCCCTTTTCGTTATCTGACCATATTTGGCATATTACACTTCCCATTTCGTCATGGACCCTTACTTTACATCACTTTACATCACTTACATACTTAGAGCGCTCCCTATTCGGCTCTGAGCCCTGGGAGAGCGCTTAGGTAGAACTTACATACTTTCATGTTCGTTTTACACCGAACTTTTCCACCTTACCTTCCTACCACTCAGTATCTATCATCAGTTAGTTCCATGCAATGCATGTGTCCTTCATCATCTTGAGGCTCTAGCATCAGTCTATAGCTAGTGGCACTGTCAGTATCTGTCTAGATCCGCGCTTTTCCTCTTATCAGTCTCAGTATCCATCTTCTACACTTGTGCACCGCTTGCACTACCTTCCCGCGCTCCGCGCACCTTCGCACTTCGCTTTCCCCGCGCGCGCCTTCAGCGCATTTCACCGCCATTCACCAGGGTTGTTCAGCATCATTCCGTGGATCCTTGCTTTCCTTGCTTCCCCTTTAGGGTCGAACATTCTTGCATCCTGCGAGTATAGCAGCTAGGCAGAGCTGAGACTCACTTATACTGGCTGAGCACTTTTCTTATATGTGCCTGCCAGGTTGTGATACCCACACCGCCTCCCGGAGGAGCCCTGTTTGCTTACCGGCACAAGAAAGGACACCGTCCTCTAACCAAACAGAAATTTATTGGACGCCTAGCTCAAGCAGCTAGAGCAGCAGGCATGGACCCCCTACAAGGCCACAGAATTCGCATAGGTTCGACTCTCGAATATTTGCTCCGCAATGTCCCCTTCGAAGTCGTCAAAACCAAAGGTCGATGGGCAAGTGACGCTTTCCAAGCATACCTGCAAAAACACGCGCAAATTTTAGCACCTTACATGCAAGCCGTGCCTAGCCTCCACGAGGAGTTCATTCATTTTTCAATGCCCAGGACAAGCTAGATCCCTTCCATACTTCGTGAGTCCCTTCCTCCTACTAGAGCGGGTGTCTTTGGCTTTGCTGCGATGTGTCGTCCCGGACTCCTAGTATCTCGGGGGATTCGCAGCTCACCTCCTTGGGCAGATCTCCGATCAGGGCCAGTCAGCGCTGTGCGCTGTCGCCCATTAGCTTAGCACTTGCTTATCGTAGTACCTCATTGATAATAAAAATTTGTTCCTCAAATCATTCTCACCTAGAGCAATAGAGCAACACCCAAAGACACATTTTTGCTGGCTATGCTGATGGAGGTATGGTAGCTCTGACATTGCCATGTATACCCATGTCTGAGTTGTGTAATTTGGTGATGACTAGGACTAGTCATGAGTCTAAGTGACATTGCAATTTAGGGGTAGAAGATTGAAGCTTTGCTTTATTCTACTATTCTTGACTAGGACTCCATTCACACCCTGACAGTCAGACTATGATGGGAACAATATTCCATCAGACATTTTCCCCAGTATGTGTGATTCATTTTATGCTTCATCATGTCAACTCATCTTATATCCACAGGTGAGGACATTGCAGTCCGATGCGGGGAAGCCATCATGACTTCCCAACATCTCTACAAAATCCATGGCCACCCAATTAATTGCAACTGCATTGGCAGCCATGTGTAACAATAACATCCTGGTTGAGGATTACACCCTGTTTGTGGATCCCTGGGATGGCAATGATTATGCCATCCTGAAATCGGTTGTGATGGGAATTGATGTAGGCAGTTTTGATGTCAAAACCCTGAAGTGGCCCGGGCAGGCTGCGTTTAAAGATGGGACAAACCACATACAGTGGTTTGTCATACCAGCACTGGGAGCTTACATGAAAGCAAAGAAGGTCACAGCATTGCTCACATTGAAGGATGGCTGGAATGTCAATGACATGCTGACACAGTTGGACAATGACCATGCATATTTGACTAGCTTTTTAGGTGCTGACAACAAAGCGCATCCAATGTTCACATTCTTGAACTGAGTAAGTACCTGTCTCCAATCATGCTCTACTCTAATACATTGGTTTATTTTCAAAGCTCAGTGTAATCCCCACTGCCATAACTGTTGTGATGGTTATCTATGCATAGTCTACTATATGATAATAAGAAGCAACAGGGCCCTGAGGCAAAAAAAGCAACAGGGCCAGCTAAAGTGGCAAAGCCCACTACCTCCCCTGCTCACTTTACTGTCAGTCAAGTTCAGCCTCTTTCACCTACAGTGGCTCAAAAAACCGTCCGTATGTTTTGGCATTTTTCACTATCTATAATATTGTGTAAGAACAAACAAATGCCTCAAAAAACATGCTTATACCACATTGTAGTATGGCTTCAGGGCTTTCATTTGAGCCCTACACCGTGGGAATCGGTGGAGATATGGTGGAGATACAAGGCTCACAAAATGGTGACTCATGCGGACAGTTTTTTGACTCAAGTATTTTACAGTAATAACCAGGTATTCTAGTATTTTGTATGACCTCCCTTGGCTTTAATTACTGCCTCTATCCTTCTAGGCATACTCTCAATTAATTTCTGGCAATCCTCAGCTGTGATCTTCCCCCATTCCACTGCTACTCTCTCCCAAAGCTCCCATACTCCTTTAGGGGGGTTTTCATAGGCTTGAAGCTTTTTCTTGAGTGTTCCCCAGAGATGTTCAATGACATTGACATCAGGAGACTGTGCTGGCCAGTCAAGAACATTGATGTTATGTTCTTCAAACCATTCCCTAGCTCTTCTGGATGTGTGCTTGGGATCATTATCCTGTTGGAAAATGATATCTTCTTCATCAATCCCTGATTCTGCCAAGCTAGGCAGCAAGTGGTCATTTAAAATGTCCACATACTGCTCAGCATTCATCTTCCCCTCAACCTCAGCAAGCATTCCCACACCATTCCATCCCATACAGCCCCATACCATTAAAGAACCTCCTCCAAACTTGACAGTCCCATTAACCTCTCTGTCTGTTAGGCCATCTCCCTTCTTTTTCCATACATACACCTTCCCATCTGACCCAATCCTATTGATTTTGGTCTCATCTGACCATATAACATGCTTCCAGTCCTCTACAGTCCAGTGTTGATGAGCTAAGGCAAAGGCTAGTCTTCTCTGCCTATGTTTGATGGAGAGAAGAGGCTTTTTCTTCTTTGTTACTGCCTTGAGATGAGCTGCCTTGAGAACATTCCTCACAGTTTGTGAAGAGACAGGGGTAGTGATGGTGGAATTGATATAATGGGTGGCTTGGACAGCATTATCAGCCTTTCCTGTAGTGATATGTTGGATAATAGCCCTTTTGTCAGTAGAGGTAAGCTTGGATGGACGTCCTCCACAAGAGTTTTCCTTGTCTGGGTGGCTTTCTTTGATGAACTTGGCCACAGTGGACTTGCATATTCCAGTTCTAGAGGAAATTTGGCGAGCAGAGAGGCCAGCATAAGACAGAGAGAGGATATTATCTCTTTGAGCAGAGGAGATGGCTTTCATGGTGATTATGACTATGATACATGAGATATTCTGGTTTATATAGTTAGATATAGTCATAAAATAACATAATGACACCACTTTATAATTTATATAATAGTGGCATGATTTTTATGGTGTCATAAATAATGATTTATATAGTTTTAATATACACTCAAAAAACTGTCCACATGAGTCATCATTTTATAAGCCTTATATCTCCACCATATCTCCGCCGATTCCCACGGTGTAGGGCTCAAATAAAAGCCCTGAAGCCATACTACAATGTGGTATAAGTATGTCCTTGAGGAATTTGTTCATTCTCACACAATATCATAGATAGTGAAAAATGTCAAAACATGCGGACAGTTTTTTTGAGCCACTGTATGGTGCCACTGCCTTTGAGTGATCCTATGGTGGCAACTAGCTGGTGGAGAAGAGGTGCAAGAAAAATTGACCTTGGCCAGGAGTGACCTCTGACATTGAGAAAGACCCACCTGACCCTTACCTTGGTGCCACAGGCAAGCAGAAAGGCGCGCAGCTATTTTGGTACAAAACTGGCCATTCTGCGACTCCCATCACTGATATACTATCGATCTATCTTTGAAAACATAGATCAATCAATAGCCATATAATATTGTCTTCATATTATGCTATATAGTTTATGGTCCTACATCTGCAAATGTAACTTGGTTCGAAAGTGCTCACACAATGCTCATAGAATGCTCAGGTGCAAATGCTTTTTAGTTAGCTCAGGTCAGTGTCTGTAACATACGTTTTTGGTTAAGTTAGACCCTGACACAACTTAAGAGATGTCCAACATGAGATCTTGTATTATTGGCTCAATTATCATAAAGATTTGTGCAATCTGTTACTACTACTAGATTATCTGTGCTATCTACATTGAATCACTCGTCTGAGTCTGATCCCAACAAGATCTGACCCTGTGCTTGTGAAGGTCCAATTTCTAATATATACCACAAATGCTGCTCCAAGTCAGTCTTCTCTGCACCAGTAAGTCCATCAAATGCTTGAATGATTTCTTTGAACTTGTCGTGGTGGGCTTTGCCACCAAAGGGGTCCATGTCCAACTGTGCCATTTCCTGTTCACACAATGTGTAGTGTGTAGCTGCACCAGCCACGCCTAGGACATTCTTGATAGTCTTGAGGAAGGATGTGTCGAGAAATGATGCATTGCTCCAATACCACATGAACCAGATCACATTGGCCATAATGAATCTGCTCTTGAATCTTGTGTGGACAATTATATTATTGTTCTGTTAAAGACATAGTGAGTAGATATGAACTTTGAGTAAAACTTAAGAATCACTTGACATACCTTGTCGATATAAAAATTGTGCATGAACATGAGAGGGTCAGCACTCTGAATGATGAGGTTGACCCTGGCAATGCGATACTGGTCTGCTGGTGAGGAGTGTCCTTGCGGGGGCAAAAGTTGGAATGCATCACAAGCGCCATCCCACACGAAATCGACCATTTTTCCATGTTTAGCAGAAAAGGCATTCCTGACCTGTTTATGGTGCGCGTTGTCTTCTTACTTGAGGGTCTTATATGTTGATCAGAATACAATGACTATCACAATTGTATTCTTTAAGACTAAAGTGCCAGCTCCTCAAGTTCACAGTCAACGGATTTTCTACTTCTCGGTTGATAATGTGGTGTTCATGGGTGGCCAAAGGGTAATAAATTACTTCTTTGCTAGATCACTTCTTGATAGTAAAGGAGTATATATATTTTGTCAGGTTAACTTAAACCTAGTAGGTAATATGGACCTCTCTGAACTGAATGTGGCACGAATACGTAAGACGATGGATAAAACGATAGATTATTGTATAGGCGATCCCTGTAAGATAGTATACAATCAATCTAGACTAAAAGAATATGATTGTTTTCAAAGGCAACTCGTAGGCCTTCACTTTCTTCATGATCTCAGTGTTGAGACAGAAAGTGGGAAAACTCCTGACTTCAAATTCCTACGTTCCCACACGGTTTGGGAAAAGAATGGAAGGGGAAAAAACTTATATATTATGTGAGAATGGAGTCCTTATATACATTTTAGAAACCATCCTTACTAAGCAATGAGTCATCACTGGATTGGTAAGATTATGCTTACAAACCAAGCCTTTTGGTGTGCTGAATCAGCTGCTTACTAAAGTACATGAGTAAAATATTACAAAGCATGACGAATCGTGACAAAACATGATGAGTCATGGAAAGTCCTTACAAATCAGAATATTACCAGTCACATGACATGCTTACAAACATATCTGAATGGCTCACTGATGTAATCAAGTGGCTGAATAAACATAAACAAATAATGGAAAGAGACAGAAACTAATGGAAACTACAAATACAACTAAATAAATAGAAACAAAGCTTACATAAGTAAGAAGTATATCCTTTGTACACTCCTCTACTCATCTCCTTTATAATGCTATTTGTATATGTCATGGTATGAACTCCATACCATGCATGACAGTGTTCGTGATGAAAGACTGGAATACAGCTGTGAAGATTAGCCAAAAAAGTGTATAGTCTAAATGATACATGAACTCATCATCTGACATGTAAAACTGTGGGACCGACTCAGTAATAGCCTTATCAACGATCTCCTTCTTTTTATTTCTAGAGTACACCATCGCATTCTTCGAGAATACAACTCGTGTGATCAACACTTTGGCATTCTTAATCGTTTGCACAATAGCTTCTTCCATCAGTATAATAATGTTTTGAGGCTGTCCATTATTTGGCGTCTTGTGTGGTTTGGTGACAGCAGTGTGCATCTGCATTTTGGTGGCAATGGTGGGGGTCCGCAATGCTTGGTATGGCATTGCAGGCATATTGGCACGTCAATCTCTGTGCGCCCAAATTGTCCTTGCAGGCCCTGCCATCTGCACATATATATATTAAACAAAATGTAGTGAATGAAAGAAGAAGAAAACACTTACATGTACCACTTCTGAGGTGGTGTGGGTATCACAACCTGGCAGGCACATATATGAAAAGTGCTCAGCCAGTATAAGTGAGTCTCAGCTCTGCCTAGCTGCTATACTCGCAGAATGCAAGAACGTTCGACCCTAAAGGGGAAGCAAGGAAAGCAAGGATCCACAGAATGATGCTGAATAACCCTGAAGATTGGCGGTGAAAGCGCGAGAAACGCGCTGAAGGCGTGCGCAGGAAAGCGAAGTGCGAAGGTGCGCGAAGCGTGGGAAGGTAGTGCAAGCAGTGCACAAGTGTAGAAGGCGGATACTGAGACTGATAAGAGGAAAAGCACGGATCTAGACAGATACTGATAGTGCCACTAGCTATAGACTGATGCTAGGGCTTCAAGACGATGATGGATACATGCATTGCATGGACTAACTGGTAATAGATACTGAGTGGTAGAAGATGGTGGTAGCAAGCTAAGGTCCAAAAGTTGGGTGTAAAATGAACATGAGAGTATGTATGTTCTACCTAAGCACTCTCCCAGGGCTCAGAGCCAAATAGGGAGTGCTCTAAGTATGTAAGTGAGGTAAAGTGATGTAAAGTAAGGGTCCATAATGAAATAGGAAGTGTAATATGCCAAATATGGTCAGATAATGAAAAGGGACATACCAAGGGACTGGTTGGATGATGGATGGATGCTCCTGGATGCTGTGTGATGTAGTGCGCTTAAGCGCGAGAAAGTGCGCAAGGCGCGCACGCGGGAATGCTGTGCATTGTGCGGGAAAGTAGTGCGCCTATGGCGCATTTCGCGGGAAAGTGGTGCGCTCTACAGTGGAAGTCATAGTGGATGATGGTGCGAGTTGTGCCATGAAGGCCAGTTGCCAGAATTCATAAAATGAGCCCATATGAGCCCACAGAAATGCGAGTCTCTACAGCGGAAATTTCCCCTTGTTGGATCATTGTCAAATTTGAAGCTGGGGGTGACAGCCCCCCCCCCCCCCCCCGCCTTGATCTGTGATACTGGTACCTCTGTCTGATTCCTCCTCGATCCACTGAGGCACAGGTACCATTTGTCCAGGGTGATCAGGTGAGAAATCAGCAAACAATGGACCTGAGTTGAATGAGATATCCCGGAAGTGGTCATAGAAGTCGTGACCTTCTTCATCTGTGTATAGCAATGTGTTATGATCGTCTCGACCAGACGAATCTTGTGCGTGACTGAACGATGATGGGCCTGCTTCTCCATCTCCATACAAATCACCCCCTCCATCTCCGTAAGACAAACCCTGTGTGTGACTGAACAACGATGGGCCTGCTTCATATGACATTGAACCCTCTCCATCTCCATATGGTATTAAACCCTGTCCATCTCCATAATATAATGAGCCTTGGGTGTTATCATATGGCAACTGCTCATGTGCAAGTGCTTGGCCTTGCATGTGCCCTTGTGCAGGCGCTTGGCCTTGCATGTGACCAAATGATGAGCCTTCAGCATTCTCAAAAAGCTGTTGCTGTGCATCTGTACAACTGATTAGTGAATCAATGGACACAATCCTCAAACCACTCACCTTGCTGCCCTCCTACAGACGGTCCATATGGTGTCTTGTTACTTAAGGGTCTTATATATGATGCGTATATAGTGACAACACAACTATACAGGATAAGACTTCTTGCCAGTCCTTAAGTACACAGTCTACGACTTTTCTAGTTTTCGTGGTAGATAATGTGCTGAGTTCTTGGGAGGAATGGCTTTCAATATTCTCCTTCTTGTTCCTCGGTTAGTTTAAACCTTGTGGTCTCGAAATACTGAGTGTGAAGTTTGTACATGTTTTGGCAGGTGTGTGCCCGTGGATTCATGAAGTGTGTCTCATGATTCATGTCTCCCTTCCTGAAAAGAGAGAGGAAAGTAGTGCTGATGAACTTTAGCTAGGTAGCTGTACTTTGTTATATAGTCAACCCCTGTAAGGTAGTATATAACTTGAATAGATGTTTCTTATTCTTAACTTCAAGGCCGCTGAATGGCCTGCACTTAGATCTTACTGGTTCTCACACGGTTTGAGAAAAGAGTTAAAGTGGGAAGCTTAAATTGCATGGGTGAAAATGGGCTCCTTATATACCTTTTGGGAGGCCATCTTACTAAGCATGATTCATCACATAGATTGGTAAGAATGTGCTTACAAACTTGTGTTGAGTCAGCTTGTTTACTAATGTACATACAAAATGAAGTGTAGTATTACAAAGAATGAAAAATGAAAAGCATGAGTCATCACATGGATTGGTAAGAATGTGCTTACAAACCAAGTCCTTAGGTGTGCTGAATCAGCCTTATGACAAAGTGGATTACAAATACAATTGCAAGTTTGACAAAGCATGATGAATCAAAACCAAACATGATGAGTCAAGTTGAATCCTTACAAATCAGAGTATTTCCCAGTCACATGACATGATTACTAACATGTTTGGTGGCTTGAGGAAAAGTCTGGTGGCTAAATGTGCCTAGAAAAATAGAAAGAGATAGAATCTCATGGAACAAAATAGAAATACATAGAAAAAATAGGAGTGAAGTTTGACAGTGAAGATACTAACTAAGAAATGAATGAAAAATGATAAGGTAACTTGGTGATAGGAATCAGTCAGGTGTCTTCTACCTTCCCTGTCACTGCTGTTGTGTATATGTCATGGTATGGATCACATACCATGCATGACAACGGATCAAAATCGAATGGCACCATTTGGGGTTGTTCTGCATTAAGATTCAGTTGATCAGCAGCTGGCAAACCAGATGGATTCAGGCCTAATCCCCTAGCTAGCTTGGGGATGGCAGCTTTGCCCTTACACTTTGAGCCACGCGCACTTGGCATGGAGATGGTGGTCAAGAAGATAAGTAAACAAAATTGCACATCCAAAAAGGATGTGTGCCGCTTGATTCAATTTCATAATGAGACACATACATAGACTCACTACACGACTTACAGACTGGGAAAAATGAAACACATTGCAATCGATATAAGGAGATTTAAGGGGAAAGTGAAAGAGGGGTCACAGCAGTTCGAGAAGCAATTGGATGATGATGGTTAAAGGTAGGTAGGGTTTCTAGAAGAAAATCGAATAGATGGGGAAAGGGAAGTGTATTGAATGGACAGGGGAAAAGGCATGGCATTTCAAGAACTGATGTATGAATGGTGAAATCCGAGCAACGGGCGATTATCTACTATGATATAGACTGGTGTGAGCAAAATAAACTGAAAGTGAAAATTACATACCATGATTTGAAGAAACAGCTAAGACTGGGAAGTTCCGGTGGCTTCTTGATTGTTGTTGTTGTTGTTGTTGTCATCATCAGATTCGTCATCATCCATGATATCATCTATATTGGAAGACGGATGAGAATCACCAATGAATCAAGGTGAGTGGGAAGACTTTCCCATAGAACCCAGTATATCCTCCTTGATGTTTGAGCCCAAGTCCCTTGAGAGTAACTCAGCTTGGGCGGCAACGGTGCAAAGAATTTTGCAATCTTCATCATAGACAGCTTGTAGGTAGTTCGTGTCATTATTGACTTGCTCTTGTGAGCGACTGGAAAAAGTGTTTCTGATTCATTTAAACTCTTCGTCACTCAAGAGGAGGCGGTCTTTGTTCTCGTGATGAACTCTATCCAGAAATGTTGTGAACCGCTCTGACTCCTCAAGCTCCCACACCATCATCACAAGACATTGACGTGCAGCTTCGCAACCAGCAAGCTTTGACTTGAATAATGCATGCAAAGTTTCCAAGCTCAAATGTGAGAGGCCCTTGCAAATTGTTTCCTCTCACTTTTGACCTACATATGAATGAACCTCCTGAGGAAAATTTAAAATAAGAAACTTACCTCATGAATTTCTTCAGCCATAAACTCTGGTTTACATCCTCAGCCTGAAACACAAGCTGCAAATTGGAGTTCCAGTGGAGCCTGACAAAGAGGGTATGGAATGTAATTCTTCGACATTCGGTCACACAGGTACTGTCCATGACGGGAAGGGGATGCGACTTGAAGAGGCTTTCGATGCTGGGAAGGAGATTGGGGCTAAGTGTCATATACCATATATCTGGGTACAGATCTGAAGATCCAGATCTCAGATCTGATCCAGATCCAATGGACATATCCATCATCCGGTCCACAGATCCGATCTGATTCTTATTTCATTTCCTGTTCATATAACTCTAACTATCGTTCATCTCCTTTTGGTATTCCTGTACACCAGTAATCCGGTTATCCTTACTTCCACTATGCTTACTGATCCATTCAACTATGTTTCATTTCCGATTCATGATTTGTGATCCATCCGACTTACCAATACGCTTTGATTATACTTTGCTTATACTTTGTACATAGCCTTGCACCTTTGCTTATTGATCATTCCATTAGTTACCCATAGTATATAAACCCTTGTACATGTGCTGTAGTACTTCAGTTCAAATATCATCTTAGATTGCACTCATTCCGTCTGGACTCTAAGTCCCTCCGTTTGTCCTCCGTTATCCATCTGGACTTGGGTCTTCTACTCTTGTCTAATCCGAGACTTAGGATTGATTCCGATAGTCTACATATCCACCTCTGTCTTTAGACAGTCTTTATCCGTTAGTTTCTAGTTCCAATCCAATCCAGATTAGCCGTTACTCTATACATCCAATATCCGGAAGCCTTAACAGATCTGTTACGATACTTATCCGTCTCACTAGACATGATACTTCAGTACTCTGAAATAAGGGGCAATACTCAGGAAAGGGGCACAGCACACAAGCTGAGGCCAAAGCCCTTCAGATCCAATACCCCTTGAGTATGGTCTTAACACTAAGCTTCCCATGGCACGAAGGAGATTTGATATGCCTGTATGATATGTTCTGCTTTGTATTCAAAGACTTATATACCTTATATAATACACTTTCCCTTGTGTCAGGAGTTTTAGGCACCTCATCCACTGGGGAGAGGGGAATAAGGGAAGAACCTGTATCAAAAGAGCCTATTTCAGAGGTCATTAAACGGGGAGAGTGAGGGTGGTTTGTCTTGAAAAGATCAAAGAAAGTTGTTTCAACACGAGTCGCAGAGCTCAAGTTAGTGGGAGCAGGACTGCTCAATCGAGGAGGAGAGGAGATGGGGGATGAAGGCGCAAATTCCATTGTCTCAGCGACACAACAGTCAATACAGCAGGTGATACAAGTAATTCACTGGAGATGCGTAGTCTGCGGACTTTGAAAGACTTTGCAATTCCCTCGGACTACAATTGCAACAAGCCTGAGGGCAAAATCAGCAATGTGAGTATATTCTGTCAGGTTCAATTTTACTAGTATGATATTGAGGTACACTTACATTTGGCAGGTTATGCCCCAACTGCAACTTGGGAGACTTTCTATCCACTGAGGCACTGATTTGACATCTCAATTCTGAGTCTACTTGTTGGCCATCTGAAGCACAACCGCAAGAAGTACCCGTCCCTCCTGTGTTCCATCAGTGCAGAAGTGACCAAATGCCTGCAACTGGTACTCACCATCCGCATGCTGGATATGTTTTCGTCATTGGTAGAAATATGCTTGATAGGCTGGATGATGATCCATATGCGTATCAGCGGGACAAAAATCATTATTACCCTTTTCATGATGAAAGTGAATGGGAGTTGGGGAAGTTCTTGGTTGAAAACCTTACCCAAACTCAAATGATCAAGTTTCTGAAGCTGAAATGGGTAAGTGATGGTACAAGCTAGGTCTACGACACTCATCATTCCCCGACAGTTTAACACTCATGCGAGGCTGTCTTTCAATATGAAGGACCAACTATTAGACTGGATGGACTCACTCCCATGTTTTACGGAGTGGAAAGTCTCCAGAATGGAATTTTCAGGTTACAAGATGGTCCATCCCATTGACCTTATTTGGCGTGATGTGCTAGAGGTTGTCAAACAACTCTTTAGTGATCCCATCTTCACGGATCATATGACCTATACTCTGCACATCATCAGTGTTGGAAATAAGCGTGAATACAGAGATTACATGAGTGCTGATATGGCCTGAAAAATCCAGGTTTGCTTACTCTGTTAATATATCCCTAACTGTCACAGATTGACATCACAGTTTTCTAGGGCCATCTCCCTGTAGGTGCAACTCAAGTGCCAATCATATTGGATCCAATAAAACCCATGTAACGCAAATCACCAGAGGACTCAAAATGCACCCAGTCTTCATAACTATCAGCAACATTGATTTGGAGGTTTGCTCCAAGGCAACCTTACGAGCTTGGTGATGTATTGCCTACATGCCAATTGCAAAGTTCTGCATGCACCCAGACTATCAAAATATTCTCCAGGTGTGGCTATGGCATAAATGCATGGACCTCATGCTTGCCAACCTCAAGGCTGCAGCATTGGATGGGTGTTTCATGCCCGACCCCTCCCGATACATCTGTTATGTTTTTACACCACTCGTAGCCCATATATGTGACCTGCCAGAGGCTTCAATGATCACTGCAGTCGTGAAAATGCATCCCCTGTGACTATGGCGGTGCAAGATGATTTTGGCGATGGGACACTCCACCCCCCTCATACTGGGAAGCATACATTGCAGCAGCTTATTGACATATCCTGCAAGGTTGATCCTTGGGATCTTGATAAGTTCCAGAAAGCAGCCAAGGCTGTCAACCTGTCTGGTGTTCACATGCCCTACTGGCACGATTGGATCTACGCATGTCCATCCATCTTCCTCACTGGTGAAATTCTGCATACCTGCTTTAAGCTTTTTTGCCGACCATCCACTCAAATGGATCAAAGAGACTGTAGGAGCTTACAAGCTCAATAACCACTTCATCATCCAGTACAAACAGGTCAGTACATGCCACTTTGCGAAAGGTATCACACAGGTCAAGCAAATGATGGGCTGTGAGTACAGAGACATACAACGCACTATCATCACTTCAATTGCAGGTGCTGCTTCACCCCAATTTGTTCACACAATCTGTGCCATCATTGAATTCATTGACCTCATACAGAATCCAGTTCATTCACCTGAAACACTCCAGTCAATGGAGCACACTCTTTCCGACTTCCACTCTTTCAAGGGCGCTATTATCAAGGCTGAAGCAAGGAGGGGGAAGGGGGGCATCAAAGATAATTTTTTCATCCCAAAACTCAAACTACTACAAAGCTTCAAGGGTATGGTCCAGCGACTGGGCACTTTGATGCAGTCCTCAGCTGATACAACGGAGCACTTGCTTATCACCCACTGCAAGGATCTTTTCCAACAAACAGCCCAGCAGAGCAAAGAATTCACGGAGCTGTTAAGACCGTACTCAAGTAGTATCGGATCTGAAGGGCTTCGGCCTCAGCTCGTGCGCTGTGCCCCTTTCCCAAGTCTTGCCCCTTATTTCAGAGAGCTAAAGTATCGCGTCTAGTGAGACGGATAAGTATTGTAACGGATAAGTCTTGTATCGCAACGGATAAGTATTGCAACGGATCCGTTAAGACTTCCGGATATCGAACGTATAGAGTAACGGCTAATCCGGATCGGATCCGGACTAGAAACTAACGGGTGAGGACTGTCCGAAGACAGAGGCGGATATGTAGACTGTAGGAATCTATCCTAAGTCCTGGAGTAGACAAGAGTAGCGTACTCAAGTCCGGACGGATAACGGAGGGACTTAGAGTCCAGACGGAATGAGTGCAATCTAAGATGATATTCGAACTGATCTACTACAGCGCATATACAAAGGTTTATATACTACGGATAGCTAACGGAATGATCAATAAGCAAAGGTGCGAGGCTATGTACGAAAGTATAAGCAAAGTCTAAGTGGAGCGTATTGGTAAGTCGGATGGATCACGAATCATGAACTGGGAATGAAGTACAAGTGAAAGCGGATTCGTAAGTGTAGCGGATCAGTAAGCAAAGCAGAAGTAAAGGATAACCGGTATACCGGTGTACAGGAATACCGAAAGGAGATGAACGATAGTTAGAGTTATATGAACAGGAAATGAAATAAGAATCTAAGTGGATCTGTGGACCGGACGACGGATATGTTCATCGGATCTGGATCGGATCTGAGATCCGGATCATCGGATCTGTAACCGGATATATGGTATATGACAGGAGCAGTGCATGTGGATTCTCAACTGCCAAGAAGCAATGGAGATATTTTACCTGTACGCACTGCTGACTTCCCATGGAGCGCCATTGGTCAATGCCATGCACGCCAAAGAGGATGAAGTTGCAACTACTAACCCTGCACTCTCGTGGGTTTCCCAGGTTCTCCCTGATGAAGTTGCATTGGTTTGTGGTCCCCGACCAGTCTGTAACCATTTCCTCAAAGGCATCCTCTCTGGAGATGCACAGACCGCTTTCCAAGTGAATGTCACTCCAGACTATAGATCACTGTCACCAGCTGAAATATGCATAAAATACACACTCCCCAACTTTGATCATGCCCTCACTGACTTCATTGCTCAATCATCACCGTCTAGTGGCGAACATACCTGCTGGGACCCCAAATATGGACGTTACCAGGTATGGAATAAGTTTTGGCTCCAACTTCATTCAGCCTTCCAGCAACGTGTGATCATGCCTAGCAGGGTGGTGCAAGCATACCCGCCCAGCAATAATTTTCCCCTTGGCGATTGTGACACTGTTCTCATAGATGCCATGGGCATTAATGGCAAAATGAGTATGTATATTCTATTCCCTATATTCTAGCCCTACTGATATCATATACAGCGAGTTACGTCGCACAAGTTTGACTGATTTTTCAACCAGTTGTTCGACAAGGTTCCAACCTGGAACTGCCATCATATCTCTCTGGCCCACTTCTCTACATTGAACTTTTCTGCTTCATCTCCAGTCCTGATGATTGCCCTGAACTCACGATGTGGACTATCGAGCGCACGTATATGCAGGATCAAAATGGTAATCACCATAGGGAGGGGGCTGTTGTACGAGTGACGGATGTAACACTTGCGGTTGAATTGATACCATGTTTTGGCGAGACAGTGGCTAGTGATGTCTCATCAGCCACTTGTTTGGAACGCTATGAGCATTTCTTTTTGAACAACTTCATGGACAAAGAAAGCTACCATACATTTAGTACTGAATTTGCATAGACAGCAGCTTGATTACCATGATCATTTGTATTAACTATCTATCACATTTAATCAACGAAAGATAACTTGGCTTATGTTTTATCAGCCAAATGTGGTGAGCAATATTGGTGTTCAGCATCTCCACCAATCACGTGAGTGCGCTACTGAGGTCGTAAGTGTTCATAAGTGTTTGTAACATGCGTAAGTTAAGTGTTCATTTCAGTGGTTTTGCAGATGCTGATAGCACCATGATGGACTGCAAGAGCTCAGCTGGGCAGTGTGTCCCAACCTAGACTCATCTTCATAGACACAGCCGTTTTTGGCACCCCAAGTCAATTTTACCCAAGCACATGCCTCACAGGTAGTATAAACATTAATGCCATCATTGACACTAACGTTCCTGCCAGCTTCCTCCCCGTCCATCAGTACTACTAGTAGTCTCAGCTCGTCAACACACAGCGAGTGCAAAGCGCTTAGTCATCTTCCCACCATACCCGGGAGGCGAGCTTCAAATCATGATGTAATCAAGTTCCTTAGTTCACTGTTCAATGAATCAATTCACAATGCCTACCTTGTGACTCAACTTCAGCGGCTTACACATACAAGGCCCCTCTGATGAGGGGTATATTGTGTGACCTACTGACAAGCCAGGATTTTACCGCCGTCATTCACCTCGAGCTTCAAGATTTATCCCGAGTACCACTAGTAACCAAGCTCCCCTGACTACGATGGGACAGATATTCCATCAGATGGTTTCCCCAGTATGTGTGATTTGTTTCATGCTTCATCATGTCAACTCATTTCATACTCACAGGTGCAGACATTGCATGCCGATACTATGCCAGTGGAGATACCATTACGACTTCCCAACATCTCCACAAATCCAGGGCCGCCCAATTAATTGCAATTGTGTTGGTGGACGTGTATAACAATAGCATCCTGGTTGAGGATTACATTCCCATTGGGTATTCCATGGATGGGAATTATTATGCCCTTCTGAGGTCGATTGCAATGGGGATTGACAGGGGGAGTTTTGACCTCGAACCCCTGAAGTGGCCCAGCAAGCCCGTGGGTGCGTTTACAGATAGGATGAACACCAAGCAACATCAAGTCTTACTGCCACTGGCAGCTTACATGAAGTTAATGAAGGACATGGCATTGCTTGCATTGAAGGATGGTGAGAATGCCAATGACCTGCTGGCACAGTTGGACAATGACCACGCATATTTGATTAGCTTTTTAGGTGCCGACAACGAAGCTCATCCAATGTTCGCTTACTTTAACTAAGTACTTGTTCCTCACCATACTCTACTCTAATATGTTTCCTAATACATTGTTTTATTGCCAGGTTTCAAACTGGAGGGTGGAGTGGTGGCATATGCCAATGAAGACATGTTGTTCCTATTTAAGGTCAAATCTTCGAAGCTTCATGTGTAATCCCCACCGCCATATTTGTGGAGATTGTTGTGGTGGTTATCTATGTACAGTCTACTATGACAATGTAGTATGTTCATTGGTTCACTGATGGCCTAAGCTCCCTTTCAACCCACCCCTTCTCCATATATCATCACATGTAGACCAAGCTTTTGCATCAAAGCACATGCCAGACCTATTGCATGATGTCAAAGATTGATATCACGCTCAGTTTATCCATCAGCATTGTCGACAGCTGCCACTACCAAGAAGCAGCACCGCCAGCTCAACTGAAGAGCTTCAATTGGACTGTCGGAGGCAAGTGCATTTCCCTCACTGATTCTGGTCAAGAATCTGAATCCACCCAATGAAACAAAGGCAAGAAGCGGCAGATTGTTCCTGCAGAGGACGTTATTGAGACCAAAATCAATTTCCATTGCGGCCTGCACATGCGATGATGTTCAATGGCTTGCTCTCCAACACACTATACTTGACCTTTGCACTGATGCATTTGCACATGGTCAACTGTACACAGCTCTGTCGAGAGTCCGGAATTGTTGCGACATTCGCACGTTGTGGTCACCCGTGAATGAGGAAAGAGACACAGCGAATGTAGTTTACTCTTCGTTACTGCTGAAAAGAAATAAAAGACTGGACCGTCCACAGGCAAGCACATTGCTTGTTATATGTACTTTAGAGTAGACAATGGTTTTGAATTGGTTACCGGGTCGAACATCACACCCTATAGGCAACGAGGATTTTACAGATAGATTTTGGACTGTTTGTGTCTGACAACTTCCACTAATCGGGAACATCTTACTAGTAGAAACGACATATTAGAGTAGAGTACATTATTTGAGTAGAGTACAACGAGAAACAAGTACTTAGCTAAAGAAAGTATTCAGACAGTGGATTCGCTTTGTTGTCGAGGCCTAAAAAGCTGATCAAATATGCACGGTCATCATCCAAATGCACCAGCAGGTCATCAACATTCTTGTCATTCTTCGACATGAGCAATGTTGCATCCTTCATTTCCTTCATGTAAGCTGCCAGTGCCGGTATGGCAAACCACTGTGTGTAGTTCGTCCCATGATGACTCCCATCCTCAAGTGTACCCGTGGCCTTCCATTTCAGGGTTTCGACATCAAATCTGCCCATGTCAATTTCCTGTGCAACCAACCTCATGAAGGTGTAATCATTATCATCCCAACCTTCGAAATCCGTAACCAGAATGTGATTGTTGCACATGGCCACCAACGCCATTGTGATTAATTGAGTGGCCTTAGATTTTGTGGAGATGTTGGGAAGTCATAAATACTGTGCCAATGGCTGCTGCGCATTGGACTGCAATGTCTGTGTGCCTGTGTGTATGAAATGAGTCGACATGATAAAGCACAAAACCAATCACACATACTGGGGAGTGTCCCAAGGGAGCTCAGAATGTTTGCCATTGTTTCGGCAAGTGGAGGGCGTGAATAGACGGCTCCGGTCAAGATAATAGCTTTTATACTTCATAGAATAAAAATAAAGAGGGGCTTCAATCTTCGATCTTCTACCCCTAAATTGCAGTGTGACTACATGGTGGTGGTACTGTGGTTTCCGTGACATTGTAGTGTGACGGATATTTACGCGTTTGTGACACCTCGTGTCTTGACGCGTTCCCTGCATTACATCTACTGGACTGCTCCACTCATCGTTTTCGCACAATGTACAACAATTCTGAAAGGAGGAAATTCGACCCAGCGAAATTTGACTCATCCAAGTCAGCAAACTCTTTTGAGTGGCCTTTCCGTCTTAACTTGTATGTATGTTTATTGCCTACTTTCAGGAAGTGACCTCAATCCATTTTAAGTTACGACAAGTCCCCATGGTATGAGGTCTCCTTAGAGGATTTTGAAAGATACGCCTTGGATCGCCTTCGCGTTCTTGCAGAAATCGAGTCGTCTTTTGCGCGTAACAGATCTTGGGAGGAGTTGAAGAGTGTGACCACGAGGCAGTGCAAGGACCACCTTCCTCTCAACAGCAGCAGTGCCTCAACTGTAGATACGCAGACGGAAAGGAGGAATGACCACCTGGGTCACTTCGTACTCAGACTTGCTTTTTGTCGATCGTGCGTCACATTCTCATCATCGACCTCCCATCTGGTAACCGATTTGTAGGGAGGACTTGAGGAGGAGGTTCGTGAAAGCAGAGACCGCTCTCTTCCGAGTGAGATATGAGAGTGATGATACAAAAGAGCGAGAGCTCTTTCTACAATCCCGGGACTTTAAGTGGACTGAAGTAAGTGCATGATAACACTCATTCCTCGCACTAACGGTACTGCTAGGTCAACTCTGAGGAGAAGTTACAGTATGCTAGTGAACTGAAGGGGTTGGGAATACAGCAGCCAGAGGAAGGAGTTCCGACGACGGAGAGGCTTTACAAGGTGCGTCAGTCAGTCCACCCTTCCTGCTCTTTACTCATCATCTACAGGTGAGATGGACTCAAGTGCCGGATCTTGTCAATAAGCGACGTGTCCTGCTAAAAGACGGTTGGGCGTACGTTCCTAGTAAGGAACAACTCAGCATTGTTCTGCGAGCATTTGAGGCCAACCTTGAAAATGCGCTCGATGTCAGTCAGCATTTTACCAAACGCCAGACCTTTTCTGATTTTCTGACAGTCAACCGCTCGATCAATAATGCGCATGGATGGTGACACACGCCTAACCGAAATACTCAATCATATGTCTCGAGGATTTGTCGCAGGGGTGGCTTCAGAATACTCCGGTCCAACCACGTGCGACGAGATCAGAGCAGATATGGTGGATGACCTCGCCAAACGACACTTTCCCTTGTGCATGCGGAACCTTCACGAATGCCTCATGCGGGACCGTCACTTGAAACATTTTGGTCGGCTGCAATACGGCCTGTTTCTTAAAGTCCGACATTTATTGCTAACTAAGTGGAAGCTTCGTTGACCATGACTTATCAGGTTCTTGGTTTGTCGATAGATGAAGCTATTGCATTTTGGAGGAAGTCTTTCAGTAATCTTACGGACGACAAGTTCAACAAAGAGTACAAGTACAATATCAGACATTCATTTGGACTGGAAGGGAAGCGTGCCAACTATCCAGCCAAGAGGTATGAACGTGTAACATCCACAGCTCCAGTGTTCTGATGGTTAATTATATACAGCTGTCAGCAGATTCTCTTAACAGACAAACCCGGACCTTCTGATTGTCATGGATGTCCATATCGACACTTTGCGCCAGACAACTTACAAACGAGTCTATTAGCAACTTATTCGTCACAAGGACTGACATCGACGGATCTAGCGGAGGTCATGCGTACTGTGAAAGAAGGACACTATCATGTCGCCTGCACCCGAGTTTTTGAGATCACTCATGCAGCAGCAGGAGTCAAGAAAGGTGATGGGATCGGAGAAGGGGAGAGTGTCACGCATCCTAACCAGTATGCTGCAAAGAGCATAGAAATTGAGAAGGCGCAGCGAGGGGAGGCAATGGCCGTAGAGTAGATTAACTTGGATAGATTGTCATATCATTGTTGTATTTATATCTATGTGCGGTGTTTGAAGTCCTTGAGCTGTAGTGGAAGGACCCCGAAGCTAGCTTCATCGTCCATGACTCTTGCTGGTCGTCTGCCCATTCACCACTTTACATAAAGCCAGCATGGTCCGAACCAAACCCAGTCCAGTGAATAGCAACAAGCACGACAGTTCTCTCCAACAATACAATGATACTGATGGCCATTTCTCCCTAGTCAGGTGTGGATCCTCGTGTTCTGCCTCATTTCTTGACTTGCTAAGAAGTTTGCTTTCAGAAACTTCCGTCTAGCTGATCTTGTTACCATTATGAACGGTGTCTGCGGCTCTTTCTCAATATTTTCATCTGCTCAGTACCTATTGACGAATGATGATGATTACTTGTTGTGGGCACTTGCTCTCCCACTGGCCGGATTGATGTTTGATTTCATGGACGGTAAAGTTGCGAGGTGGAGAAAATCATCCAGTATGCTGGGCCAAGAACTCGACAGTCTTGCAGATCTGGTATGTGATTTCTCAATAAGCGCCCCTCATTCGCCTAATTTGATTGTACGGTAGGTATCATTTGGTGTTGCACCAGCTGTAGTTGCTTTTGCTGTGGGCCTTCAGACATACCTTGACACCGTATGTTTGACTGGTTTCATATGTTGTGGTCTCGCTCGTCTCGCCCGCTTTAACGCGACTGTTGCGCTGATACCTAAGGATGCAGCAGGCAAGTCCAGGTACTTTGAGGGCCTTCCAATCCCTTCATCCCTGGGACTCGTTGCGATTCTGTCATACTGGGTTCGACGAGGTTGGGTTGAGGGCAAACAGGGTATACCAGGAGGACTCATTACGTTGTGGGGAACACCAGGTGGCCGTGGGGATATCCACCCTGTCAGTATTATTTTCGGTTTATGGGCAGCCGCGATGGTCAGCAAAACCCTTCGAGTCCCAAAGTTGTAACGCAGGGTGGTAATCTTTTACTACTCTTGTTTGAGCAAATTACGATAGGACTCGGACACTATACGCCTATATGCATACGACTACTTACTTGACTCTGATAGTACACGACTTGCAAACAAATTTTATCATGCCATATATATGACGAACTGAGTTTCCGGAAGCCACCGACGCGACGCGATTTAATTGACGCGTGCTTTACGTGTCTTATATCTTGACCACGATGGTATCTGCAAACGATGTTCAGCGTCTCTTTCTCCAAGGTGTATTTTCGCGCAGTATTCTTTCCTTCAAGCACGCTCAGGTTCTCTGGGAAAAATGTATCGATGCTGTCAAAGGTATGTACACAGCTCTCACCTCCTTTCGCTCGATGTAGACATTTGGCCGCATCTGCAGTTGCAAACCCGACATTGGATATTCGTTTTTCTGACAAAAGAGAGGATTGGGATCTCTTCGTGATCAGTATCAATAATTCTCTCAATTGCCTGGACCTCGAGTTTCGGCATCTGACAGATGAACAGACTGGAAGGGAGATGTACGCTATGGTCAGTCATTCTGCACACTAGTGGTCCTAACTGTCCTCACAAGATGACAGGTGAACAGCAAGGATGATGAAATTGCACAGATGGCTACAGATTACACACCAGTTGAAATCGCCTACTTCAAGGCAGTAGTGAGTTATACGAAATTCCTTGTGTCATGTTACCTATCATGTGCCTTTACAGGTGGAGCAAATCATGCTCGCCCCGCATGAGGCGTACTCTGTATCCTCATTACTCGCCCTACGCGAAGTTAACTCTCTCAAGACAAACATGACGAAAGCGCAAGCCGAAATCGTGCTCGGCAGTTTTGTCGCCAAAGGGTGGTTGTTAAAGAGCAGGCGAGATACCTTCAGATCTCTGACATCCAAGAAGACTCACCGCTTCATAGACGAGGTCGCTATTCCCTCTCAACGCGCACGTTGCTGGAACTACTTCCGTACCTCAAAAACTCATATCCCGAAGAGTGTCTTGAATGCGTCATATGCTATGAGGTGAGCCCTCAAACTACCTTATTTCTCCTTAGCTTCTGACTCAAGTACATCAGATCGTTACCCGTGGCGTCGCCTGCAGCACGCCGAACTGCAAGGCACGTTTGCACTACCACTGTTGTAGGAAGTATCGCAGTCGGAATACCAAGTGTCCAGCTTGTTTGCAAGATTGGCCACAGGACGCCAAGAATATGACCCCTGTTGGCGAGGAAGCCATCAAGAATGGTCAAGACGAGGGACGCCGTGTACAGAGGGAAAGTACTGAGGATGGAAGTGATGAGGAAGACGAAGAAGAGATGGAAGTGGAGCCTTCGCAACCATCACGGACTCGGACTCTGTCACAGCGAAAAGGTAAGGGCAGGAGCAAGGGCAAAGGCAAACAGAAAAAGGCACCTATAGATATGGATGTAGACGACGACGAAGATGAAGAAGAGGAAGCCCCACAGCAGACACAAGGAAACGGGCGCCGCCGCACGACACGCACTCGGTGATTTCAAGAGTATTATTTATTGTACTCTACACTAGCCTAGCCTACTATTGCTCTATTGATGATTGGCTTGGGTGTGATGCACAGCTGGCCGTCACCCGCCCGTCTTCTTGTGCTGGTACGGTCTTGATGAAACCGAACCTACCCTTTCCCCACACTTGGTGTCGCTTCTTGTCTTTTCGGCCTTCGCCGAACTCCTCGTTCCATTTCCGAAGGTCTGCTAAGCTACCGAGAGACTCGGATGAGGAAGGCGTGATTTCCTTGAGTGCTTTGGTGAAATGGCGAGTATGGATGACGCGAACATGAGGCAGTGGTTCGACCACCGGTTCTGGGAGTGACGGTTCCTGGGCGCCTGCTTGAGTCTCCGTCCGAGTCTCTGTTCCAGACGTCTGCGAGGCAGAAGCAGTGTCCAGCGAAGCCACCTCTGGAGGTGTGATGAGCTCGCTAGCTGGTGAGGTTTTGAGGACATCAGGTTTCCATGGAACCTGAACATTCTCCTTGACAGCATCCAGGGCAGCAGAGACACAAAGATCTAAGAGAAGGGCGTCAGATCGAGACACAAAATCCGTCACAGCTGATCTCACGTTTGAGGTCTGATCCAGAGAAACTCTCCGTCTTCGTTGCCAGCGCCCTAAGGTCTATTTCAGGCGCCAGCGTCTCGTCCCGAAGCAAAATCTTGAGTATCTCTGCAATCGTGTCAGATGAAACAGATCTGATAGATCGGATCAAAGATCAAAACTTGCCTTCGCGCTCCTTCTGCCCTGGCAGATCGACCAACAACCGCCTTGGTACCCTCCTCAACACTGCATCATCTAAATCAAACGGTCTGTTCGTTGCACCAATCACAATCACCCTATCCTCTCTCGACGATTTCAGCCCGTCCATCTCCTGCATAAACTCAGTGATGACTCCACGATGCGCAAATGCTCCGCCGCTCTCGCGCCCAGACACCCGTGCTCCAAAGAGTGCGTCCATCTCATCTAGGAAGACAACACAGGGCGAGAGACGGCGTGCGAGCGAGAAAACGGCTTTGACGAGCTTTTCGCCTTCACCGACGTACTAAAGTAAGGGTTTAGTGAGTCACGAGGGATGGAACGAGGAGAAACGTACCATGTCCATGACGTCCGAGGGCGATATGATTAGCATCCGACAACCAGCTTCTTTTGCAAGTGCACGGACAACCAGCGTTTTGCCTGTTCCTGGGGGCCCGAAGAGAAGACATCCAGTCATACCGTGTTCTTTCAAAATACCTTGTTGGAACGCCGCTGGGTGGAGTAGAGGCAGGGAGACGATTGTGCGGACAGCGTCGACGGTATGTTCTGGAAGGTGAACTTGGCTGAAAGTTGTTGATAACGAAGCTGGATCATCATGATGAATAAATGGCATAGGTGTGAATACTGAAGCCGCTTACCAGGGTCCACAATGCAAGATAACAGCCTTTGTTCATGTTGTTCTAGGTCCGGGTCCTGCCTGACACGCTCCACAACCTCATCCACTTTCTGTCCTTCTGTTTCCTCGCCCTCCGCATCCTCGTGCTCTTCTTCCGCATCCTTCTGCTTCACTATCTTTACCAGAGAGTCGCGCATGAACGACTTGCGCAGATTATGCGCTGAGCGCTGAGCCGCCCAGGCATGGTGCACAGTGGTCCACGGCACAGGCGTTGGCTCGAGTGCCAGCTTCTTCTGTTGAGGAAGTCCAGAAGACACGACGCTCCCCACTGCCCGATCTGCGATCTGCCGCACGCTCGTCCACGGCTCGAACTGATTGCTCCAATCATCCCACATGTCCTCCTGGCGTTCACCCTCACCTTTCACCTCCACTGTCTCCGCGCGTTCAAGGACACCTCCGACCGCGCCAACACCCATCCGCATCGCGAGTTCATTGATTTCCCGTCGACGGCTCATGCGGCATAGGCGCTCCTCCGCCTGCAGACGCACCCCAGGCACGAGCACTGACGCACGGAAGAAAGGCGTCGTTACCTCGCTCTCCGGTGCACTACTCCCGTTCGCCATGCCGCGCTGTGCAATCATAGACTCAAGCATCGGTGGCATGGACGATCCTCCAATGACAACAACACCTCGAGGCCCATGTTCCCCCTCGGGCTCTTCAGGCCGGGTGAAGAGCGCAGGGAGGTCCTGGAGCAGAGCGGCGTCCCCGTCTTTCTCCCAACGGCGTAGCCGGTCCTTGAGGCGTTTCTCGCGGGCACGCTCGGCAGCGTCGTCTTCACTCCAGTCAGCAACACCTGAGCGAGGAGGCGTAGAAGCTGTAGCGTGCAGCGACCTCCGGCGTCCTGCTATGTTCACGAGGCCGTGTTGGCTTGGACCAGCAGAGGACGTGGACATGGACGCAGACGCATGTGTGGGCGCGATGGATGGGCTAATGCCAAAGATCATGGTCATTGGGTTGTATACTGGGGATGACGGATGGGCGAGAGGACCGATGCGGCGCTGGCGGACGGCAGAAAGTAGGTGGGGGTACCAAGTCGCAGAGGCGGACGCGAGGACAGGAAAGTCGCGAACGTAGACGATACGTGGGCGACGGGTGGTGTTTGTACCAGCCGTGCTAGTATCGTTTGGAGAAGGCAGATTAACGAGGTCATCGAAGAACGTTTTAATACGGTTTGGGGCAGGATTGCTGCGAGAGGCGGTAAGTACTGAGGTACGTCCACGTGTTGAAGTGGGCGCGAGAAGATGAAGGGTCATTTGAGAAGGAATAGCAATTGGAGACATCATGTCCATGTCGTCGTCTTCATCGAATGAAACGCGAAGGGGGGAGGATTGGGAATTCGAAGCAAGTGGGGGCTGGAAATGGAGGGGATTGCGGGGGAGTTGGAGGGCATTTGCAGCTGATGGAGTGCAGCGTTAGAAACACAGGTATTCATTATAGGATACATGCGCACCTTTGCCAAAATGACCACATTCACCGGCAGCAAGCTGGACTGCATCGATGACGAGGACTTCAGCGCCTGTCCTGTGAGCAAGCTCTTTTACAGTAGCATCGATTATATATTCACCACCCTCTATTGGACAATAAAGGGCGAGGGTGGGCTCTAAAGGAGGACCTGAAGAAGATGAATAGGCCGCTCTATGCTGGGTCTGCGGATGAAGGGTAATATGTAGATTAGTCAGTGCTTCATCAAAGAGCTCTGGAGCAGGTAGATTATGATTGTTCAAGAAATCAGTCTCTGCTGGACCATCGTCTGGAAGCCAAAGGATGTTCAAGTCCTGAGGAAGTTGTATGCTATCCTCAGGTGGAGTAGACGGCGAGCTCGAAGCAATGGGAGATATCCGCGTCTTTTTTGTTGGCTTTTCAGGTTCCTCTGGAGGTGCAGGACCAGCAGCAGATGGTTCTGGTGTATCTGAACTTGTGCTGGCTGGTAGAGTAGATGAAGCAAGACGCTTGTACACACGCTGTGCTGGCGGTGTTCCGTCTTTTCGTGAAATACGTTCCAGCCGGATAGTAGGACGGATACTCTTGTGCGTCGACGTTGCTTTGAACAGTGAGCGCGACCTTTGAATGAAAGCACTAGGTGTTCGCATGCTGGTGCGATGTCAAGCTGTTCACAGTGTTCAGACAATAAGCAACTTCCCTTCTTGGGAGCTTCGCGGCGCTGTCACATAGATCTTATTATATTCTATTAGTCCTTGGAGCACTACTTCTTCTCATCATCGTGCACTGGCAGCCGTCGTCTATTGAGTTTAACGACGTTACAACGTGTACTGCCAAGTAACTCTCTCATTGAGTTCGTTTCTCACGTAACAGGAACCTCACTGCGGCCGTGCACCTTTCCACATCAACCACTCTCAGACTGGCGTATCTGTGATTTTATCACAAAATATGGGTCGCGACAGACTAGCTGCTCTCAGAGTATTCGCTTTTCTAGTATTCATGTTTTAAAAAAATCTAACGGACACATTTTCAGGCGCAACGGCAGAATGCTACACCAGATCCAGGACAGGGGGACTATGAGATGCAAGCACGCCCTTCACCTTCTGCAAATGGCACTGGCAATGGTACAGGGACGGACCCTTTGTCCGCTTTTTATGCAGAAGTGCGTCTATTTATTCTCGCATTTCTCTCCCGTACGAACCCGCATTTCAATTTAGGCCACCGCCATCCAAGATTCCATCCAAGAGTTTGATGACAATGTCACTCGCATCGCTGAATTCCACTCACGCTCCCTAAACACCCTTGATGATGCAGCAACACAAGCAAACGCAGCTCAGCTCGAACGCCTCACAGACGAGACCAGGCAACTCAGCAACAGTCTCGCTAACCGCATCCGTGCCCTTGAGAAACCCACTGGTGCAGGCCCGGATGCTCAAATTCGCAAGAACAGAGTATGTCACCTCCATTTTGTACAACACAGCCGTTGACGTGGTTGTTAGATTGATGTGGTCCGGACAAAATTTATGACCACCTTGCAGCGGTACCAGGATGTTGAGCGCCAGTATCGCCAGCAGTATCGCCAGCGTGTGGAGCGACAGTTCAAAATAGGTATATTCATTTCCCACTCTTTCACTCACATTTTAATTAAAATATTCAGTGAAACCCGAAGCTACACCTGAAGAAGTTGCTGCTGTGGTGAATGATGATCAAGGCGGAGGAAGCCAAATCTTCGCGCAAGCAGTGAGCCTTTATTCGTTTAGAAGAAGAGTGTGTTATTCATCTCTGCTGCGCAGCTCACTTCGTCAAACCGATATGGGGACTCACGGGCTGCATATCGAGAAGTCCAGGAACGACACCAAGACATTCGCCGGATTGAACAGACTCTCGGAGAGTTGGCTCAGTTATTCAATGACGTAGGTGCAACACTTCCTTGTATGATGCATTTGCTAAGGACACTCTTCTTATTTCAGATGGCTACCCTTCTAGGCGAGCAAGAAGAGAAGATTGACGCTATCGAGACAGCAGCAGCGGGTGTTGCACATGACACTGAAGGAGGGTGAGAAGCTGTCATGATTGCCTATACGCACGGCCACTAACTTCCTTGCAGACAAAAGCACACCGAGGTTGCAGTAAAACACGCCCGCTCTGCGCGACGAAAACGCTGGATCTGCTTCTGGCTCACCATCATTATCATCCTCGCAGCTGTTGGCATCGGTGTGGGTGTGTACTTCAGCCAGCATAAGTCGAGTTGAAGGAGCGAGATCATGGTGGTTAATAAAGCCAGACATGACTGAATCGTATACCCCTTACTTTCTTTTGCAATGGACCACGCTACCTCCACGACTTGATATTAGTTAACTAAGTTGTTTAATACGGACTGGTACTTTGGTTTTACCGTGGCAGCCGGTAGTGACACTCGTAATGTTACGTCACATGTGTTTGACGTTAGTTCAGAACTGTGCAAATTTAGCAGAACCTGCGTTTCACGAACGTCCTCCATCATTGACTCCTTCAACTCTCCCCACCACAGCGTACGCCCGCAATGACGAAAAACGGTTCAGCAAATCCATCCCGCAAGATGCGCCGGCGTGGTTCAATCGACGTCGTCGATGCAAAGGTCGCAGTTGACCTCGCCACAGCTCAGACATATTCTGAAAATGTCTTCCTTTTCATACCTAATCTCATCGGTGCAATAGTTCTGTTACATTGATTTTGCTATGTGCTGATTCAGATGCTTGGGCCACATAGGGTATACGCGCATCATCCTTGCTGGGCTTTCGCTCCACTTCATGAGCTATCACCCCAAATACTGCACTCTGGCATATGTGATATCATGTTTATTGGACGCTGTTGATGGCCAGGCCGCACGAGCCCTAGGACAGACATCGAAATTCGGTGCAGTGTTGGACATGGTCACAGATCGGTACGTCATTTCTTCCCGTCATTCCTTCAACTCCTCCTGCTTTAACTCATATTGTGCACTTCCAGGTGTACAACATCGTGCTTGCTCTGCTATCTATCGTCTGCATACCCAAATTTCGCAGTGGTATTCCAGCTCCTTATCTCACTTGATTTCGCCAGCCATTACATGCACATGTACAGGTGCGTTCTGAGCTCCCGTTCTGGCCTGTCCAGTCTCATCGAATATCGTTCAGCTCACTCGTAACTGGTTCGCGGAGCCACAAGCTCGTGACGAGCGAAGTCAGTCGTATCCTATGGTACTACTATAATGACTCCGTGTGTTTTTCTCCGTTCGCACGTTACCGCTGCCCAAATTGACCGCGTGCGTAAAACAGCGTACTCTGTTCTTCATGTGCGCAGGCAACGAGCTCTTCTTCGTCTCTCTCTACCTCATGAAATGGGTGGACACGCCTATCGGGCTCGGCGCTTACTCCTCATGGCTCGCGGGTCTCACCTGGCCCGAGCTTGTCGCGATCCCCAGCGCATTCGTCTGTGCAGGGAAGAACATTATTAATCTCGTACAGCTCTGGAAGGCGTCGAAAATCCTCGTAGGGGTGGACCTTGCAGAGCGTGCGCATGCGCGCGAGCTACAGGCTAAGAAAGAGTGAAATGGGTTCGTGGACGGACAAATATCATACATACTACATATGCTGCTTCGTGCATAATGCCAATAGGACGGTGTAATCGCATTCTTTGTTTTTGATCTATGTAAATATTTACGGCGTAAACGCAAACTACGCCAAGAATGATTAATGACATGGAGGCATTTAGCACGCCAAGCGTTTGGTTGGGAGGCTTTAGATGGTCGGAGTGAATCTAATTTTCGGGTGAATGCTCCGGATGGTAAATGTTCGGCTGGGCTGGATGCTCTGGAGAGTATCTTATTTAATGACATACAACAGAGCCATCAGATGCATCAAGCCCAAACCAGACAATATGTTATCTTGATATGCCCTGCCATCCGGATCCGACATCGGTGGCGCCCTGGCCGACCTGAGCGTCCTTAATGGGCTTCTTGTTTGCAGATCATGAGATGTATCATGCCTTTTATTTGCTGGCTGCAAGAGACCTCGGGTGATAAGCAATCATGAAAACTGGCATGACGCAATCAGACATGCCAGACTAACATGTGAGTCATGACAAGGTTGACAGAGCTGCCAGCTGGGAGGTCTCTAGCAGCGCCATCCACGGATATCGGAGGTGATAATCTTGCGATCGAATGCCCTAGAAATCGCAATCTTGAACCACTTGGGGTGGCACTGGTACTGGTGTACTTTTATTTAATTCACCGATTTGAGACAGTTTAGCCTGTGTTCCGAGTAGGGAGGCGAGACTGAAATGATAAGGAGATGGGTAGGTAGTCAAAGCGTCGAACCCCGCGTACATTTCCTCGATGTGAGACTAATATCGAATATAATCTGCAAGCCTAACGATATCACCATAAGATAATGTGCAAGCGTGGAGTCAAACCTTGAAGTTGTCATGTAGCCCACGTCCTGATGGTCTTTGAGAGGAGAAAGACCTTGCTGAGATGTGAGAAAATCATTCCTGTGGATTGGAAATACCTTCTAACTGGAAGAACAGAGTATGATAGCCCCGCTGTGAGTCATGTATGCAATCCACATCACATCAGCGCAGATATCCGTTTTCTAACTCTGAGTGTACAGCAAAGGATTGGCCAATTGCGTTATCTCAGCATTCGGCGGTCTCGAGCAGTGTGTTTAAATTTGAATCGTAGTTGATGTCGATGATGGGGACAATTTTGATTAGGATCAAGCCAAAAACAGCCTAGACTCAGCTTACATAGTGGACAAAGCTGACAAAGCGAGGGTGCTGCTCAACATACATTGTCATCATGCCGTTCGAGCCTCGCATGCAGCCTTGACTACGTCAAGATTTCCCACTCTCAAAGGACGTACGTCAGACTGGTCACGAGTCTACCTCGCATGATCATCAGATCAATTCCAGTGAGTCACTATAGTGATCCTACTAGTGGTAATAATGATCATGTCACCAAAATGAATGTTCTGACCAACGTTCTCGCCGCGTCATTACCCCCCTCTTACAAAGTGCTCGATAATCAAATCTGCCGCAGACAATGCGTAACATCTCGGCCAACTCGTCTTTCAAGTCGGGTACTTCCTAGACAGCTATAAAGACCACTTCAGCTTCGTGCGGTCCATCCTAGATCCAGAATCTAACCTTTATCAGAATGTCTATTCGAGTCACTACCTCTCTGGGCGGTACTGCATCCGACGTCACCGTCGGTAAAGTAGCTGTATGTATCTTGGTCTTCATTCTAATTTTTTTTTTACTGACCTTTCCCCTCTCAGCATGGATTGATGATGATGACGTGCGTTTTCTTTTGACATCGTTGGATCAAGTTCACATCGATCGCATAGATGGACGCCCGAGCCAGTCCCAGATGAACAGTGTTTTGAGGCTATCAAGGCTGGCGTGGACGCCCTTCCTCCCGGAACAAAGATGTTCCTCAATGGAGGTAGGTAAAAGTCTTCGATATAAGACATGTGCTAACTTCAGCCATAGGTGAATTCTACGGGCATAACTTAGCGACCACGAACCTCGAGATGATCGCCCGGTTCTTCGAAAAGTACCCCGACTACGTCGACAAGACTTTCTTGTCCATCAAGGTACGGTCTATCCCGCTTCCGTATTATCGTGATTAACTCCTTGTTTTTCAGGGAGGAGTAAAGATTGACACAGTGCCAGCGCCCGATGCCTCGTAAGTTTTGATTGCACATCATTATAATGAGACGCTATCTTGCCCGTCAGGCCCGCCAACTTGAGACGAAGTGTCGAGCTCATTAATGAGAAGCTTCGCGGCACCAAGCGCCTTGATTTGTTCGAGTGTGCGCGTGTAGACCCCAATGTCCCTCTAGAAGAATCGATCAGGGCCCTTGTTGAACTCAAGAACGAGGGTAAACTAGACCATATTGGAATGTCCGAATGCAGCGCTGACTCTCTGCGGCGTGGTAATGCTGTACGTCGATAGTATGACCGTCTTTGCAGGACACTTGCTCAGTATGTTCCAGGTACACCCCATTACTGCTGTCGAGATCGAGGTTAGCCCATGGGAATACGGAGAGGAGGCCAAGAAAGGTACGTCGTCATATGTAATGTTCCGTTGGAGTAACCCATCTTTCCGTCAGTCATTGCCACTGCCGAAGAGTTAGGTATTGCTGTTATCGCGTACTCGTACGTGTCATACCAGCAAATGCCTGTTTTGACCTGACACACAAGCCTTAAATCATCTTTAGCCCGCTCGGCCGTGGGTTTTTGACCGGTCAAATCAAGAGGCCTGAGGACATTCCGGGTAATACCATCACTTTGCGACGTTTATATGTCGTGCTTACCACATTTACTAGAGGGAGATTACCGCCGCTCACTACCTCGTTTCCAGGAGGATGTAAGTTCCGCGACATGTGCTTTATCATAACCTCATCATTGCTGTACAGAACTTCAAACTCAACTTTGCCATAGTTGATGCGTTGACTGCGATCGCGAGGAGCAAGAACGTAACCTCTGCTCAACTCAGCATCGCTTGGGTCGCATCGTTGGGCAAGCATGTCATCCCTTTGCCAGGTTCCTCGTGAGTTCCTATCTAGACATGTGATTGTTATGAGTCTTGACATTATTACTTTTACAGGCATGCTAAGCGCACTCGAGAAAATTGTGCTGGAGGAGATATCGAGTTGTCTACTGAAGACATCGCAGAAATTAACAGTCTTATCAGCGCTGCCGAAATCAGGGGTGATAGGTATGGCCATCATGAGGAAGCATACCTCTGGGGTTAAATGGCTTCTTGATTCTACTTGGCTAGTCGGAGCACTCAAACTGTACTTTTATTTGCCTTTGGGCCGTTTTACTTCAAAAAAATCATTCCATTTCTTGAACGTAACGTACCTCAGGTCCTTATGCCTTCTTCCTTGGGAGAGGAAACCACGTGTACAAAATTAGGGACTATAACCAGCGCTGAGCGATCATACGATGAGCCTGGACTCCTTGGCTGAGCACTATTACATAGTTGGAACATTCGAAGAGGCTCCACAGGCGACTGGCCTGCTCTGCCTTAGACTTGCATAACTATATCCTTAACCTATCATCAACATCATGCTTCGCCCTGAAGCATTGTTTCTACATGGAGTCGCTGCGGGCATGATGACATATGGCTTTATAACATGTGAGTCATGACAAGGTTGACAGAGCTTCCAGGAGGTCTCTAGCAGCGCCATCCACGGATATCGAATGTGATTCCTGTTGTATAAATGATATTGTGATTGAATGCCCTAGAAATCGCAGCCTTGAACCACTTGGGATAGCACTGGTACTGGTGCACTTTTATTTAATTCAGCGATTTGAGGCAGTTCAGATAGAACCTGTGTTCCGAGTATGCGGCAAGGAGGGCGAGAATGAACTGATGAGGAGATGGGTAGGTCAAAGCATTGAAGCCCACGTAGATTTTCCTTGACGGGGGACCAAGATCGAATATGATCTGCAAGCCTAGGAACGATATCACCATAAGATAATGTGCGAGTGTGGAGTCGAACCTTGAGCTGGTCATGTAGCCTATGTTCCGATGGTCTTCGAGGAGAAAGGTTGAAAACAACCCTGCTGAGCTGTAAGAAAATCATCCCTGTGGATTGGAAATACGTAAGAACAGAATGATATAGTCCCGCTGTGAGTCATGTATGCAATCTATATCAGCATCAGCGCAGATAGTAAGCAAGAAAGGAAATCGTAAGATCGTAAGATGATTAAGACCGGACCGGATATCGATATGAAACCGGGCCCAGACAGCTAAACCAGGGTCCGTCGCCGGAATCCTAATAGTGATCATGTCATCAAAATCAACGTTCTGACTAACGTTCTCGCCACGTGATTACCCCCTCTCTCACAAAGTATGCAACCGCTCGATAATCAAATCTGCCGCTGACAATGCGTAACATCTCGGCCAGCTCATCTTTCAAGTCGCGGATTTCCTAGGCACCTATAAATATCACTCCAGCTTCCTGCGGTCTATCCTAGATCCAGGATCTAACCTTTATCAGAAAATGTCTATTCGAGTCACTACCTCTCTCGGCGGTACTGCATCTAACGTCGCCGTCGGTAAAGTAGCTGTATGTATCTTGGTCTTCATCCTATTTATTTTTTACTGACCTTCCCCTCTCAGCATGGATTGATGATGATGACGTGCGTTTTCTTTTGACATTGTTGGATCAAGTTCATATCGATCGCATAGATGGACGCCCGAGCCAGTCCCAGATGAACAGTGTTTTGAGGCTATAAAGGCTGGCGTGGACGCCCTTCCTCCCGGAACAAAGATGTTCCTCAATGGAGGTAGGTAAAAGTCCTCGATATAAGACATGTGCTAACTTCAGCCATAGGTGAATTCTATGGACACAACTTAGCGACCACAAACCTCGAGATGATCGCCCGGTTCTTCGAAAAGTACCCCGACTACGTCGACAAGACTTTCTTGTCCATCAAGGTACGGTCTATCCCGCTTCTGTATTATCGTGATTAACTCCTTGTTTTTCAGGGAGGACTAAAGCCTGGCACAGTGCCACTACCCGATGGCTCGTAAGTTTTGGTTGCACATCATTATAATGAGATGCTATCTTGCCCATCAGGCCCGCCAACTTGAGACGAAGCGTTGAGCTCATTAATGAGAAGCTTCGCGGCACCAAACGCCTTGATTTATTCCAGAGTGCGCGTGTAGACCCCAGTGTCCCTCTAGAAGAATCGATTAAGGCCCTTGTGGAACTCAAGAACGAGGGTAAACTAGACCATATTGGAATGTCCGAATGCAGCGCTGACTCTCTGCGGCGTGGTAATGCTGTACGTCGATAGTATGACCGTCTTTGCAAGACACTTGCTCAGTATGTTCTAGGTACACCCCATTACTGCTGTCGAGATTGAGGTCAGCCCATGGGAATATGGAGAGGAGGCCAAGAAAGGTACGTCATCATACATAATGTTCCGTTGGAGTAACCCATCTTTCTGTCAGTCATTGCCACTGCCGAAGAGCTAGGTATTGCTGTTGTCACATACTCGTACGTGTCATACTAGCAAACGCCTGTTTTGACCTGACATACAAGCCTTGAATCATATTTAGCCCGCTCGGCCGTGGGTTTTTGACCGGTCAAATCAAGAGGCCTGAGGACATTCCGGGTAATACCAAGGCTTTGCAACATTTATGTGTCGTGCTTACCACATTTGCTAGAGGGAGATTTCCGGCGGTCAATGCCTCGTTTCCAGGAGGATGTAAGTTCCGCGACATGTGCTTTATCATAACCTCATCATTGCTGTACAGAATTTCAAACACAACTTTGCCATTGTTGATGCGTTGACTGCGATCGCGAGGAGCAAGAACGTAACCTCTGCTCAACTCAGCATCGCTTGGGTCGCATCATTGGGCAAGCATGTCATCCCTTTGCCAGGTTCCTCGTGAGTTCCTATCTAGACATGTGATTGTTATGAGTCTTGACATTATTATTTTTACAGGCATGCTAAGCGCACTCGAGAAAATTGTGCTGGAGGAGATATCGAGTTGTCTACTGAAGACATCGCAGAAATAAACAGTGTTATCAGCGCTGCCGAAATCAAGGGTGGTAGGTATGCCCATCAAACATACCTCTGGGGTTAAATGGATTCTTGATTCTACTTGGCTACTAGTAGTCGGACCAGTTAAAATGTACTTTTATTTGCCTTTGGACCATTTTACTTCAAACAAATCTTTCTGTTTCTTGAACGTAACGTACCTCAGGTTCATGTTGCCTTTACTCCTGGGGAGACAAAACCGCGTGTACAAAATTTGTGACCTGTTGATGTGTATGAAGACTTGTCGTGAGCACTACTAGTATAACCGGCGATCATACGATGAGCCTGGACTCTTTGGCTGAGCATTATTACATAGTTAGAATATTCGAACTCCACGGGCGACTAGCCTGCTCTCCCTTGGACTTGCACAAACAGATCCTTAACCTCTCAGATCAACATCATGCCTCGCCCTGAAGCGTTGTTTTTACATGGAGTCGCTGTGGGCGTGATGACATATGGCTTTATGAGCCTTAGAACGCTACCCATGGATGGCTGGATCCGAGCACAGAAGGGAGGGCACTTCCAGTTTCTGACTATACAAGGGTGAGAACTGCTCACCCTGTACCTTCTCCGAGAAAATCTGACTCAAATTCGTGGCAAGGCTAGCTGTTGCATGGTTTACCATGGTCCTAAGCCTTGGCTGTGATTCGCTGCCTTCATTTGCCGGTAAGAGCGACAGTCAAGTAGCTCTCCACTTGTATTTATGACGCATTCTCCAGCCCTTCGCGCAGCCAAGCGTGCTTCCCTTATGATAGCTCTTCCTGTAACTCTTTTTGCCTCTCCGACGGTGTCGTTCATTGATGAATCCATCCTAGCTCACGTTTGTGATATCCGCAGTGTACTGGTCACTCCTGTTGTTTTTCCCATCATTGATTCTACAGCGCCAGCTTCCGGGACTATCTGAGCCCTCTTCTTCGTCGACCCTCCCTGAGCTGGCACGGATTCCTCTCAACATAGATTTCTCTCTCCATCTCGCTCCCGTCGTCACCCTCCTTGCAGACTTTTTTTTCTTCGAGAAGAAATATACCAAAAAGCAAGTTCAAATCGGCGCACCACTCGTTGTCCTCGCCTGTGGAACATGGTATACCTGCTGGGTAGAATATTGCGCTAGTTATAATCATACATGTGAGTATATGCATCTTCCTTTGGTTGCATGTTACTGAGACACCTCGATGTCTAGTCCCATACCCTTTCCTGACGGAGAACCCGTTTAACATCCGTGTTGGTATCTATACATTCGTGTCTTTCCTTGCTTGGAGCTGTTTCCGCCTCATGAACGCGCTCCATTCTTAAAGGGTTATACCATCCTTATACCTTCGTGTAGAGCTGGGAGTCAATAACAGAGCGTCAAGGTTCTGTATGGTAGGTGGAGCTTAGTTCGGTAGATGTTGATGTCATTCGAGATGTGATAATAGTGCACATATTGTTATAAGCAGTATAACCGTTGGTGGACCCAACGGGAAGTTGATCCGTCTTTCGTCCTTGTTTTAGAGGCAATATATTTCGGAAGTATAACATAGCCTCGGGCACTGCACACACAGGTATTACAGTGTAAGGTGTTCGCTCTCACCACGATACGGAGATGGGAATCTTGTTCTTTACCGTTGGTGTATATTTGATGATTGAATATTGAAAGAGGAGTATGTGGGACCTTCAGATGGCACCAGCCAGTGCGCAGCTATCTGGTCAAAGGTGAGTTGTGGCTTAGGATTGCTGAAACGTTGATGCCTCACCATGATGCTCTTGTTCTGTTTCCCTATCACCCCCCGCAGCGTCAGTTGAACCATGAGTATACTCCGTTAGCACCTGAACGACACTCTTTTTCTTTGCGCAGACTCGGAAGAGATTTGCTGAGCGTAGTGTTCTTTGATTTTCCCGACCACTGTCATACCCCGTGGTAGGGCCTTCTTTCGTTTCCATGATATTCTCTGCACGAACAATGATCATATGCTGCAAGTCCCTAGGAGCTAATCTTGCGCCCAGTGATTAGGTATAGGGAATCATTTTTGATGCCCGATTGAAAATGTTCAGCAAAATCGCACCAACATTCTGCATTCCTCCAAGAATAAACGGTGTTCCTGGAGATTGTAACAAGAAGCGCCATCAGGATGGGCGAGGTTTACACCTTCCTTGTTGTTTGGAATTCAATATTGACTACAGCATCTCCACGGAGAGTGTTGCCACTTTATTAATGATTTCGTCAGAATTTTGGAACGTCGACCAACTTGATGTCAAGACGGTACGTCCGGCAACTCCAGTAACAATCTTGACTGATGCTTGGATGATGTAAGGTCCTAGTGTCTGGGCAATCTGGGAACAGCGTAATGTGTATGCGATCTGCATGCACTTGATACCCTACGTACTCGATGAAGAGGGTCACCAGGGTCGAGAGTGATGCTGAACAACACGTTAAAGCTGCCATGTGAAGTAATCGTGCTGACATCTCCGATCCTCCTCGTTCCAACATTCCTCTGGGAAAATATTGTCGTCCAACACTAGTACTGCTGGAAGAAAATATCACCCGGACCAACACTGGACACAATAGAGGAAGTAGATGAAGCCTCCAGGCACGGTACGCGCTGCTACATCATGGTTCCCACGGGGCGATTGTGCATGCCATTGTCGCTGCCTCAGAACAACATCGTGCTGACGAAGATGACGAGGTATTAATCTTAAAAAAAAGATCATATATGACCTGTCGAGCGCACTGAGTATGATGGGAACTGGCACAAGGCTTGCAAGAAGGTTTGTGAAGATCTATCATTACCTAAGCATCAATTTTCTGAATTATCTTATCTGGTCGAGTCATAGTCTAGAACTGCCAAAATGTATGTAAATCAGACAGTTTAATCGTTGTCCTCTCCAAAATGTGTGGCATACTTGCAGTCCATGGCATAGAAAACCCAGCAGCCGAGCGCACTCGATTTTTGGCTCTCTCAAAACGTCTTCGTCACCGTGGACCTGACTGGTCCGGGTGTTTTGTCGGAAAGGAAGGTATACTTCTTCACGAACGCCTTGCTATTGTTGGTGTTGGTGCGTGACCTATCATCTATTCTATTATTGATCTTGACTCGTTGTGGGTTAAGACACCGGTGCCCAACCCCTCGTCGGCGAGGACGGTCAGGTCATACTCGCTGTCAACGGTGAAATTTATAACCATCTAGCACTTCGTGCGACCCTCGGCTCAACTGCCAAGTTCAGGACACACTCAGATTGCGAGGTCATTATTCCTCTGGTACGTTATTCCATGCATCCGCCCGTAGCAATTACTGACGGTCTGCAGTACAAAAAACATGACAAGGATCTTTGCAGCATGCTCGACGGCATGTTTTCTTTTGTACTTCTGGATGAGTCTGTGACTCCTACTAGAATAATTGCCTCCCGCGACCCCATTGGGATCACAACATTATACCAAGGATGGAGCTCGAAGCACCCTGGTGCAACGTATTTTTCCTCAGAGTTAAAAGCTCTCGTCGATGAGTGCGACACGATTATCTCATTCCCCCCTGGTCACGTCTACGACAGCCGTGACCAGTCCACGACACGTTATTTCCAGCCATCCTGGTGGGATGGAGATGCAGAAACGAACCCTGCGCTCCCGACCACACCTGTAGATTATACCCTTCTCCGGGAAACCCTGGAAGCTGCAGTGCGAAAGCGGCTTATGTCTGAGGTGCCTTATGGTGTTCTCCTTAGTGGTGGACTGGACAGTAGCTTGATAGCTTCTATAGCTGCAAGGGAGACAGAAAAAGTTGCTCGAGCTCAGTACGAAGCTCGACAGCGCAAGCTCGCTGAGTCCACCAGTGGCCCTACAACACCGAGGATGGACGATCTGACACAGCAGGGTAGGCGTACTGAATTTCACTGCTTACTTTCACACTGAAAATCACCATAGCTATGTTGGCTTCTTGGCCACAATTGCATTCATTCTCAATCGGACTGGAGAACTCACCTGATCTGCTTGCTGCCAGGAAAGCAGCACACTTCCTGGGCACCGTGCACCATGAATATGTTTTCACAGTCCAGGAGGGCCTGGACGCCATCCCAGACGTCATTTATCACCTTGAGACCTATGACGTGACAACCGTTCGTGCAAGCACACCGATGTACCTCCTCAGCCGGAAAATCAAGGCGATGGGTGTTAAGATGGTTCTCAGCGGAGAGGGTAGCGATGAAATTCTTGGCGGTAAGACGCCCTGAATTCGCCGCTGCGAGCTTGATTAACGCGCTGTTTAGGCTATCTGTATTTCCATGCTGCTCCAGATAGTAACTCTTTCCATCAGGAATGCGTTCGGCGCGTCAAGAATCTTCACACTGCTGACTGCCTGCGCGCCAACAAGTTAGTTTTGAGGATCCCATTTTGCCTCGGATCACTGACGGATCCGCGCATAGGTCGACGATGGCCTGGGGCTTGGAAGCTCGGGTACCTTTCCTCGACAAGGCCTTTTTGGAAGTCGCCATGAACATCGACGCGAAGGAAAAGATGTTTAAGAAGGACTTAAACCAAGTGGTTGACGAAGATGGTCGTCCGAAGATGGAGAAGGTCAGCTGGCCCATTGAGTATTTCCGGACATTCATGCCTCATCCTTTTCGCACAGTACATTCTTCGGAAAGCATTTGACTGTGGGCCAGAGGGGACGGTCTGTCGATCCCGATGATTTCCACACTTGCCTTGCTTATCCTCAAACTTTAGGCTTATCTCCCAAAGTCTATCCTATGGCGCCAAAAGGAGCAATTCTCAGACGGTGTTGGATATTCTTGGATAGACGGGTTAGTCTACACGTTTTCCCACCGGTAGCAAGACAAGCGGGCTGATGGACTTCGATCACAGCATCAAGGATAACGCCGCCGCCTTTGTTTCTGATAAAGATTTCGCCAAGCGTGCAGAGCGCTGGACAGTCGATACCCCAGATACAAAAGAAGCCTATTACATTCGAGAAATATTCGACGGTGAGCGATATCTGGCAATAAACCGCTTCGAAGTACACGTCCTCATATTCGTCAGGTCTTTTCCCCTCTGAGGCCGCAGCGAAGACCGCAGTACGGTAAGTTTAGGCTAACTCCCTTTTGGGGGTGTTTTTTTGATTTCTACCGATCCAGCTGGATACCACGAGGCGACTGGGGATGTTCCTCGGACCCAAGCGGGCGTAGCGTCAGTATTCACAACGCGGCATACGAAACAGACTAAATCGATCAAAATGGTGTCATAAAATCGATAGCGAAGAAGCACGAAAGCGTGCACGATTAAAATTGTATATAGGGTGGTGACTGCATCGTAGTAGCTCTAGACCCTGAGAGCATAGGGGAGCGTATCTTAAGTACTTTAGATGAAATCAGGGATGACTGGATGATCAATTGTTCGATGTTTGTGTTCCAAATAGAGAGTGTGATAAAAATTGAAGGAGCATGAGGGAAGAACAACGAGAGTGATAAGGAATCATCAAATAATCAGGTACCGACCCTGACATAGCAGGAGCAAGAGACGAGAGACGCAAGAGCAAGGTGAACGATGAATGAATGTGTGTCGGCTGCGCGATGAGGGTAAGGAAGTAATAAAGTAAGAGAGTGCAATATGCGATGATGAACGCCGTGAATGATTGTAGTGAAGATGGATGAACGAGGAAAGCTAGCGAAAATCTAGGCCTGATCGACAAAGGTCAGGCTATGCGACCAATGATGGATCCTGGGCCACTATTTGGCGGTATAAGCCCACCCCCGAGTCTTCAGATCCAACAGGCGAGACTTGCGGTTTGGTAGTGGTGGAGGTTGCGCGGGCGGCTGCACTCGTTTGCGAGGTCTGGCGCGACCGCTTCATGCCAGGGGCATGTGGATTGCCACGTGTGCTTATGTCCCAAGCGGGTCGTGTGACGGTAGCCTTCATAGAATGACTATCTTCTGAAGCGTTCACACGTGTGCGCGTGCTGGGTGTTGTTTGCGTTCGCCGGCTCATGGGACGTGTAGAATGAGAGGCATGATCGCCCGAAGCTAGACGAGTCCCAAACTTAGCGTTTGCAGAGGACTCCCTGCTATAGGATGACGTGCCGCCTGGAGATACACGACGTGTTGAACCAACGACGCCGTGTTGCTTGGGCTTGAGGACAGGTTTCTGGAGGGTGATCTTGTCTGCACCCCAGTATGAGAAGCTCATTTTACTCTTCTTGTCTGAGTCGTCCGACTCTCCCTCGCCATCTTCATCGTCGTCAGGGAGAGGAACGATCTTAGGCTGCGCAGCAGACCGTGCTTCTGCTTTGGAGCGTACAACGCTGCAAACCGCTGAGCAGACATCAATGATAGGACCACAGAACACATACTCTTCCATAGAGACAACTCCTTCCTTGGGCTGGACGACATCTCCAATCGCCCAAGTCTCGATCTGTACCAGAGTGAGAATAAGTCAAACAGTGTCATCGGTGCTTTACCTTTAGAAACTTGTACAAGTTCCTAGGTTTCGTATGCGAATTTCTCCGCCCTGTCGAGGCATACTTTGACTTCCCTTGCATCTCTGGTAATGAAGTTGCCCTCGAGTTCGACCCTGAAACCAAAGGTAACGACGTCGTCCCCGTGCGCTGGCACCGTAGGACAACATCATTGAATACCACAAGCCATAGGTCTTTCTTGCCCCCCATGCCTGAGCCCGTGCCCAGCACATCACTCAGCCGGCGGAATGACGACTTGCCCTTTACGCCCTTGGCATTGATGACTGGTGGTGGGCTCGACCCTGAGCCTTTTGACGGACCTGAGCCATGGAGAGACCCAAAAATCTGCCGTTCCTCCAGTAGCAACCTTGACGGCTTCGGGATCGCAAGCTGCTTCACCTTATCAAGCCCCTCAATGCGTGCAAACACATCGCGCGTCTTGTCACGGTCCTCTTTCTGGATCTTTTCGTCCTCGATGCTGCGCACGATCGTCTCGACTTCTGCAACCATCTGCAGAGTACTCTCATACTCGAACGTGCTTGGATCTGTGTGGAAGAGTAGGTTTTGGAAGAGTAGAGGGTATTTGAGGAGACGCTGGAAGGGCTTCGAGAGGGTGATAGCAAGCCCGGTTTCGCCTTTATCGGCCGCCAGCTCTTCCAGCCGCTGCAGGGACTTGCAAACCTTGAGCCATTCAGCGGCATCTTGGTTCTTGGGCTTCTTAGCAGCGCTTGCAGTGCTCAAAGCGTTGTCCACCTGCTCAAGTGCACGCTCGAGGTGCAAGACATATGTTGCATAGCCTTGGAAGATATGTGACTAAAGTAGCATGAGCATATTGCGTCGAAGAAGATCTCTGATACTCACACTCGAGACAAATACATCCGCGAGGGACCGGACAAGAGGGTATTGCTCCTCGTACCGCTTCAACAGGCCTTCGCTGAGCTTAACATGCCCATCAAGCACACCACTTTCGATAACTTCAAGACATATGCGCAGATCCTCGGGTAGTAGGTGTGGAGGGACTGCAATCTGAAGGGGACTACTGGCCTGCGAAGTCGAGCGCTTGAACTTGCGCAGTACCCGAGTGCCTTGTGGAGGAGTGGTTTTGGCACTGTCTTTGCGCTCCCGTTCCCTATCCTTGTCTCCCAGTGATTGAGAGGAAGCGGTAGCGAGCTTACGCTGAGGTGCAGGAAGGGATGCGTGCGAACGTGAAGGGAATGGGACGATATCCTGTATTTTGGTTGATCTGCCACCACTGCCACCCCCATGATAAGGAGAGCGAGGATGGTTCGGATTAGCACGATTGGTTTGCAGCCCCTCGCCTAATGTGTCCATAGCATCCTCATCACTTTCATCATCAATTTGAGGCGTTGTGGTAGCGAGGCTGCGACCATCTGCAGGCTTTGGAGCTGCATCTGCAGGCTTGGAGGCTCCATCAGCACGGAAGCCAAGAGGACTCATGAAGCGTGCAGCGATGGGTAAGACGTCGATCGATTCCTGCGGTGACTCAACCCTGCCATAGTCGTCGTACTCGTTGAATGGAGTCGGTGTAGGGCTAACAGGAGGAGGCGTGGCATAAGGGTGGAGAAGGGGCTCGATGAAGGATTCTTTCATTTTTGTGAGGTCATTTACATATCTGCAACGAATACAACGATCGCATCAGGATTAGTAGCTCAGTGTGAGGAGGCGCAGCGCACCGCTCTTCAGAAGCCACGATTTCCCAGAGGACTTCTTGACGAGTGCGTTCACGGGGACCAAGGTTGCTGACGAGGTCGTCTTCTGCAGCCTCGCTCCATGAGGTGACTGCGAGAATGCGGCTGCTGGCATTGGACATTTGAGAATAGGGTGTGTTGGAGCGCATTGAGCCTGGGTAAGGGGAAACTGCTGTGCGTGTACTCGTGGCTTTAGCAGTATTGGATGATGGAGTAGGGGCTACGGTGATAGACGTGGATGGAGAAGAAACGGTGGTGGTGGTAGTAGACTTTGCAGCGAGGTCTGTGCGTGATGTCGATGCGGCTGTGGAGATGGAGCCACGCGTGTCTTTGCCATGTGTTGCCTGAAAACGCGACACGGTGGTTTTGAGCGGGGCGCCCGAGGGCGTCTGAACGATTTGAGAGGGGCTGAGCACCGATGTATCCGGAAGTTGGGTATTAAGAGGCGAGGGGGTCGGAGGGGGTGAAAGGAAGGCTACCTTTTTCTGTACATCGTTTGATGTGGTACTACCATTTGCCTTGCGACGATTTGCAGGGTCCGGGTCATGTGTAGGCGGAGAAATGGTAAGGCCGACGCCACTGTCGTCGTCAAGGGGCTCCTCGATTGGAGGTAAAGGGCGAGCACAGATGTCAGGAAGTGGTTTATGCGATGAAATTGAAGTAGGAGTTCCCGCACTGGTATTGACTGTACCTGCACTATTGGAGTGTTGGATTTGAATCAAGCCGGGAGAAGTGACATGTCTACTGCTGGTGTCGGTTGCTGGTCTACTGACAGGCTCAATAGAGAGCCTCTCGTGGGTAGGAGGCCAGGCTGGGAGCGGTGGAAGCTGTACTAGCTCACGCTTTTCTCGGCTGCGGGGTGAGTGGGAGTTGGTAGAGGAGTTATCGCTGCGGTCCTTGGTCAAAACGGAGACATTGTCACGATCTTTTTCTTTCTCTTTTTCCTTGTCCTTGTCTCTATCCCTGTCCTTTGATGTTAGGCCTCTGTTGAGCCTGTTCAGAAATGCTTTCATGGCCGTGGGGCCAGAATGAAAGAATGATAGTGACAAGAGCAGAACAAGTTGTGGAGTAGTGAAAGTGAAAGGTGATTACAAGCAGTGAGCGACCAGACAGTAGAACCGACGTTGTTAATGCTGTACTGAGATGTCGTTGGTAGGATCACGGCCGTAGTCCCTCATGTCAGACTCATGTACTAATATCCTTTCACGGCCAACCCTTTACATACATGCGAAACTCAAATTCACGCGGATACACTTAGCCTCGTGTTCATCGTCAAGTCTCTCGGAGCTCACTCCTGTCTTTTTCGGATCCAAGGCGCTTCTATAAATCTATGGTTTCCTTGCTATGACGTGGTAGAACTCGCTGTAACTATCACCAAGGTATATACATCTCCTTTCACTCGACCGTCAGTCCGGAATCATTCATATCGCTCGCCCTCGGAACACCGTAGCTTCTCATAGTCGGCAGTTTTGCTGATGGTCTGTGTCCTGCCTCACCGTAGATGACAGCGAGAATACTGAATTCATCATACTTTCAAATTCCTAGATACGGTCGTGGGCGGCCTATGGCGAAACTCACTATTGGAATCAACTCGGAAAAGGTCGTGACGCCGCCTCCGAATCAGCAACTCACTTGATCGTGCTTGCACCCAACTTGCACCTCCCAAATTCAGTGTGGAAGTTCGATTTCCCCTCTATCGTACGCCCGAGTGACAAAACTCTCAAGAAATGATGTGAGGTGTACATCCTGCGAGAGTTTTGGGGCATTCTTTCGAACGTTTCCTGTCAAGCGATGACGAAATACATCCTCAATAACGCACCGAGTAGATGCCATGCTCATATGATACCCGTACGTGTCTGATCAACGAATTTTCTTTATGCTCACATGTTCCACAGCTCCAGGTGGTTAAACTGGGGACATACGCTTTCTCATTTCATTCCATGCAGTTACAAATAATGGTTTTCCGGATATCCTCCACTGCCGCAACTTGACCCTGAACTGTTGGAGTCTGACAAAATGAAGACACCAGGAGAGACTTGACGTCAGCCGAGCTCCGTCTGCACTATATCTCCTATCCATGAGGTAAAGGAGTGAAAGTTTCAGGACGAAAAGTCGAAAAAGTGAATCCTGATGTTGAACTGCCGTCAGCTTAGGTCTGCCGAGCCTCGGCAAAGACCCACCTTCAATTTAAAATAAAGTGGGATCTTCTACCCCTAATGTATTGCAGTCATTAGACCCTCCATTCACGCCCTCCCGGAGGGAGTCCCACTAATTTCTTGAACCATTCTGAGCTCCCCTGTCAGACAGGTCAGACTACGATGGGACAGATATTCCATCGGACGTTTCCGGATCCAGTATGTGTGATTCGTTTTATGCTTCATCATGTCGACTCATTTCGTACTCACAGGCGCCGACATTGCAGTCCGATGCGGAGAGGCCATCATGGTATCTACGACTTCCCAACATCTCCACAAGATCCAAGGCCGCCCAATTAGTCGCGACTGCGTCGGCGACCGTGTTTAACAATCGCATCCCGGTTGAGGATCACACCCCAGTCGAGGATCCCTGTGATGACAATGATTACAGCGACCTGGGATCGGTTGCAAGGGAAACTGACAAGGGCCATTTTGACGTCGAAACCCTGAACTGGAAGGCCGTGGGTACGTTTGAGGATGGGACGAACTACATACAGTGGTTGGTCATACCGGCACTGGCAGCTTACATGAAAGCAACGAAGGACATAGCATTGGTCGCGTTGAAGGATGGCGAGAATGCCGATGACGTGCTGGCGCAGTTGGACAACGACCGTGCATATTTGATTAGCTTTTTAGGTGTCGACAACAAAGCGCATCCAATGTTCACTTACTTTAACTAAGTACTTGTTTTCCATCATACTCTACTCTAATACATTGTTTTATTGCCAGGTTTCACACTAGTGGTCCAATGGGAGTGGTGGTATATATGATACAGTAGCAACTTGATGGCAACAGTCAGAAGTATAATGTCCAGAACATGAAGTCAAATACAGGCATTGATGCCCGCTACATATCAGATCACTTGTCAACGATCCTGTTTACTGGTCGGAGCGTGATCATCACATAATATCTGCCATTCATTGTTTCATCGACAGCATCATCTATATCATCGCTCTCGGAAGTTCCCCTGACGAACGCTCATGCCCACTACTCGACTGACATGTGCTTCAGACTGCTTGAACGTCGGTAACGCGCGAAGGGAATTGGCGCATGCGGAGAGCTCCAAGACTAGTCCACAGTCCAACTCGGTGGTGAAGAGATCGAAACAATGTGTAGAACACGGAAAACACAGGGTAACGAGAACGCCAACCGGCCGCGGTGCTCTGGTCGAGACTTCATCGATGCTTCATCCCGGGATGGTTATTGAGAAATTGTGGAAAGGCGCAAAACCATTTTATATGGTTTACGTGGCAATTGATCTTGATGCGGCGTTTGCAATCACGCTCAGTGATACAGCTATCTTCATCTATTGCCAATTTGCGGTCCACGGATATCACCTCCAGGATCCACACGCAGGTAACTGGAAAGAGAACTTTGAGACGTCATCAGATATATATAATATGAGGACCTTATCCAGATCCAAGGGTATGCACAACACGGTCAGAAATGATTAATGATGTGCGCCACATTCTGCCTCGGTGACCATGACCGATGGCTCCCATAAAGCACAATTATATTTACATACCCTCATCTCAACATGCTAACAAGTCACTTTGCCGGAGTGGTTAACGGGATCGCCTGCTATACAGCTAAGCGGTTGGGCTTTGCCCGCGAGTGTTCGAATCGCTCAGGTGACGCTTTTTTCGACCAAATTGAGACAATCTTTTCTTAGGGTTTTCCCCTTTTTTCACATCGGCTAATGCGATCCCTATTGGTTATATTGTTCTGAAAACATGTGGAATACACGTGCCCCATGGCTGAGTTGGTTACAGCGTCCGACTGTTACGCATTGTTTCATCGGAAGGTCGTGAGTTCGAGCCTCACTGGGGCAGTTACCTTTTGCATTTTTGCTCAGCGCTATACTTAGAACACTCAGGCTAAACCTCCGAGTCTTGGATCATCGATCATCTTCCATTCATGCAGAGTTTTGTCTTGAAGTACGTCCGATTACTTTTATTCGATGAGAAAATATTTCTGGATTACTGCATCTCTTGTTGTTCTCGGAGATGCTATCCTCACTCAACTCATAATGCGGTTCGTTCCCTGTTAGCGCGTTTTACTAGCTCGCATAAAACCATGACCGACACATCAAGCAGATACCGAAATCGACTGGGAAACGTACATGGTCCACATTGACCTTTACCTGAAGGGAGAGCGCAACTATGTCAATATCACAGGTCCCACAGGTCCTTTAGTGTAAGTCAACTTGACGTGAACAGAAGTACACTGCGCTTACCTTGACGAAACTAGATATCCAGCTGGACATGTTCATATTCATCGCCTTCTTCATCTAATCACAAACGGTGGTCGTAATGTTGCGCAAGCCCAACAGATTTACGGCGGCCTATACGTATTATCCATCGCCCTCGTATGCGCGAATATATAAGAAAGCAAAGGTTCCAAATTGGACGCTTCTGCTACTACCACTCAGCAAAAGGCTGCATTCTATCTTCGTTCTCCGCCTATTCAACGACTGCTGGTCATTAATCTTCGTGCAAGCAGCGATTCTCGCATTCCAGAGCGCTTGGGATGACGTGGGCATCTTGTTATTCAGGTGAGCACTATATTTTCTTCACCCATGTTGAACGCCCATAAATCCGTACAAGCCTCGCTCTCTCCGTAAAAATGTCAGCAATACTGTATCTGCCAGGTCTACTAGTCATTCTCTTCAAACGACACGGCCTCTTTGCGACTATCCGACACATGCTCGTCTTGGCGTGCACTCAGACTCTACTTGCCCGCTCTTTCCTCATTGCAAATGCAAAGTCCTACCTGCGGAATGCATTCGATTTATCACGCGTTTTCTTGTACAAGTGGACTGTGAACTGGCGCTTTGTTGATGAACGTACATTTTTGAGTCCCGCATGGGCGAAAGGCTTACTTCTGGGTCACGTTACGGTGTTGGTTACCTTTGGATTATTCCGATGGTGTCGCGGCGACGGTGGCGTAGCTAGAGTTCTACAGAGAGGCCTCCGGCGACCAGGTCGGCCTGCTGGTTTGGCACCTGTAGATCCCGATTGTGAGTCATTCTGGCAGTTCGTCGATTTCTGTTTACTGACCTGTACACCAGACGTGGTTACTGTGCTTACGACGTCCAACCTCATCGGCATCATCTTTGCACGATCACTGCACTACCAATTCTACTCGTGGTATTCGCAGCAATTGCCTCTTCTTACTCAAAGAACGAGGTTTCCTTTTATCATGCAGTGAGTCTCTTCGTGCAGGAACGTGTATTTTTGCTAATATGTGCAAAGGATGGCACTCATAGGTGCAATCGAATATGCTTGGAACGTTTATCCATCCACGCCACTTTCATCTGGCCTTCTCCTTGCCGCAAATCTTGTGATGCTACTTGGGATTTGGTTCGGATACGCAGAAGGGAAGATGTTTTCAAAACGCTCAAACCTCAGTCAAGTCTCCCCAAAACAATTATCCCAAAAGTAATAGTGATTGGTACATTCATTCGTATTCGCCTCCCATACCTACGATATATGTACTTCTGCCACCTCTGGGCAGAATCAAAACCTTTTCAGCTTCATGGACCTGACAAGCATCAGCGCTTGGCACTGTAGATCCCATCGAGGCTTGCGTTGATATTGGTAGTGGTCGAACGTCGACCTTGGGTAAGGTCATTTCACCATGATGCAGAGCTATCAATGTCAGCGGAACAGTGAATGAACCACCGTCCTAGATGTCGTTTAAATCAACAGTGAGAATGAACTAGTACCAGTGGACTTACAGTTGCAACGAAATCTCCACGCTTTCGTCCACACAAAAGCCAATCCTTGACGCGCTCTTCGACATCGTATCGCATCGTGTAGCAGCGCTGTTTGCCCTCTTTCTCAGCCCAATGAAAAGAGGTCTTGAGGATGAGTGTTGCGTTGATTGGTTGACCTGCGTAGATCGGGGGTAGTTGATCTGATTGAATGTCACTGGGAAGTGAAGAAGGTTGAACAGTGATTTGTGCTGCAGTCACAATCTGTTACAGACATGCCATATTAATTCGGGTGTGCATTAGGGACAACTTGGGAAACACCGACATTCATCCTTGGCACATCAACTGGTATCTTGATCTCTCTCCAAGGGCAGGGTGATGCAGTCTCTGGGCGACATTGTGCCAATGCCTAACGGTTACGCGCGATGAGCAAAAGTAACAGAACCAGAAATCGACAAACGAACCTCCCGAATAGGTCCCTGGAAATCCCCGCCATCTTCAAACGAACGAGGTAAAGTGATTTCACCAGTAGCCCTGTATGCTTCTATCCATTCAGCGTTGCTCTCCAGTTGTGCGACCAATTTGTCGATAAGCATGCGTCGTAGAGAGCCGTATTGGGGCTTCTCGACCGGCATACTTGACAAAACAGCTTCCACTGTTTGTCGAACTAATGCCTCCACCTCTATATATTATATAGCTGCAGTCAAGGTAATACTGGGTAGAGAGAAACCTTACCATCACGTAGTATGCGGTATTTGATGACAAGGTTCAGTGGATCAAGAACTGTGTTTCTCTTAGCACTCGACAAGCAAACTGGCTAGCAACGCACCAGGTCCATTCGAAGACTCTATGGAGAACAAGAAGTTCACGGGATGTTCTGGCATAACGGTCTATGTGGAGTTTAGTATCCTCAGCAATTAGCGAAAATATAGAATCCTACCACGACAGGACGGCTGGGACGACAGCCTGAGATCTTCACCCCATCGAGACTTCGTGCACCCTGCAGCTCCGTCGATGATATTCGAACATGCTGGTGGGAAGTTGCCGAGATAGTAAACTTGGAAAACAGTCTAAAAGGACTTCAGAACAAAGTGCAAGGTGATGCAATGATCGAACCTTTTGCCGCGGAAAAAGTCTTCTACGTTAACTGCTATGGGTAGCGAGACCGTGACAACTCTTGAGGTTTGCAAGGTACGGATCACACCCATCGAGGATTGCGTGTTATATGTTACATTTAACCAGATTTTCTTCAACTCAGCAGTGAATAAGAGTCATCTTGTTTTTTTGGAAAGACTCACCATTGTATGATATCTCGAAGCATCAGAGTGTGGTAGCGAAATTACAACGTCCGCGTCGACGGGAGCATCCAGAAGGACGATAGCGTTGTCAGAGGCCTCGAGAGTCCCCGTACCTTGTCCTGGTTCAAGAACGTATCAAAATGTATTGAAAACACTGACCTTCTGCCTCTAAGCGTGCCGCTGAATAGTTGAATTGCACTCCAGAAGGCGGAGTTGGCTTAATAGTTGCTCTCGAGATGTCATTCTGGCCAGTGGAAATCACAAGTAAAAGGTGTGATGTAGTTCCAAGCTCAACTTGAATCCACAAGTTAGAATTAGTATGGTCAAGAAGACTGTACCACTTACTTTGCTGAGGTTGACGTATCTGTACATCCAAAGCGCGCAAACTGCGCGGCACGCGCACAAATGAAATCTGATTATTCTTGGGAGTAGTGGCTGCAGTACCCGTATGTTGCCATTGAAAGTGGACACGCGACATTACTACTTCACTGCTCTCAAGAGTATATAAACCCCACGAAGATGACTATGATATGCAGTTCAGTTCACGGGAGACCATTGAGATGGTCCGACGCACTGGGCAAGATAGGGTTACAGTCGACTGGCCAGGAGGAAGTTTATCCACCTTCGCGATGAACTTCAGACGTTCAGAATCTCGACCGCGCAGTGTTATGTTGATTTCATCAATAAAGACATCCTTGAAACAAAAATCAACTCTGGAAACGATGTCTAAATACACGAACACGCACACATGGTAGGTGGTTTGAAACGGTGGCATCGACCAAGGTTAAGTCTTCATCGTCACTACACGTAGCATCGCCAGATACTTGAACTGCCATGATAGGATGGTCTGTGTGAATCAGATCTACAATTTGCCAATTATTGATGATTTCAGATTGCCAGTGCGTTTGGCAAGTACACACCTGAGTCCAAACTCGCCGCAGCAGTGTGAAGTGCTCGAATAAGCTCCGTAACAGACTTCTCCTCATCCACTTCTGATGTTAGCTCTTTGTTCATGTCATTTGTGTATGTCCTGAGATATGCAAGTAAGATATGAATCCACTCTCGGTCTTGAGGATTTTCCAACTCCGCGTGTATGTCGAGTGCACGAGAGAGCACGAAGGACTCTAGCGATACCCACATATGAGGTGCATAATGAGCGGGCAATGATGTGAAAATCGCCAGAGCACTCGCTAGGCGTCCTCGATGGCTGTCCTGCAATAAGAAGGCGGATTATATGTCGAACACTATGCTTACATGTCAAGAGCGGCAAGGAAGCCATGCAGCTTTAGCGCAAATTTGCGACGGCCAGCCTTCACGTACATATCGATGGCACGATTTGAAGTTGCACAATACAAGTCATAAAAAGCCTCCTTGTCCCCAATAGCTAGCATGACCTCCTGATTGCTTATCCGCCGCGTCGATGAGCGTTTACTGTTTTGTTCTGGATGCAAGGTAGTTCCTTCCATACATGTGGTCGCAAAGGGCGGTTTTTTTAGGCAAATGACCTACTTTGACGCCAATGATGTCAAGCTGCAAAGAAAAATCAGGATATAGCGAGTCTCAACAATGATATCTGACCTGAGTCTTAGCTAATTCAAGAAGTTCACCTTTACTCGCACTGAATCGCGCGAGCTGAATGCCATCCAGTTCTATCGCAGGAGCCCACATATCACATTGATCAACAACACTGAGAGCAGAAGAGAATATCCATGACTCAATAAAGTATTCCGGTAACTTGGCCTATAGAGGGCATGAGTTTCTACGATACAGAATAGTATGATGCGACCCCTGACCTCTACCTCTCGCAATCGTCTACCAAACGTGGCCAAAAAGGTGGCGACCTTCTGGCAAATCTCGGACGGGCGACGCATCTTATTTAGCAGAGCGCACTGGCGAGCAAGCAAGTATATCCGGAAATCGAATACCGAGATAGAGTTGGCGAGGATGAGGTCACGATAATGTTTCTTCGTAATTGAGAGCAGAGGCACCGAGTCATCCTTGTCCACAGGCTGGATGAGACTACCAAACCATGACATGTTCTTCTCTCTCAGAACTTGGATGAAGGATACCTCCAGCTCGTTGTACTGGTGTAGGGCATCTTCGAAAAGCTTCACTCCTTCAAAGGAACTTGCAAGGCTTTCCTAAGAGTCAAAAAATCTCAGGTAAAATACGTTTAAAAATGCCATGTATGAGACATGCCTTCAATATGAAAAACGTGCAGAAATTCCAACCAGGCATTTGCCTCTGACTCTCAGAGCGTCTGACCTCTTCCTCACGTTGGGAAACGGATGAATCTAGAGCAGACAGCAAACCGTCCTTGATCTTGTTCACAAGATCAGCCCATATGACGGGACTATGATCTCCTGCTGTCCACGACAACTGTACGCATCTGTTAAATGTAAGCGTGAGGAGAGACGCCATACGCGGGTAGTCGCACCGGTCTCGCTTGTCGATATTGAAATCTGCCTTTATTTTATCAAGGACAGAGCTCTTCATGTTGAAGAACTTGCGGTCTGTGGTCTTGATATCAGAACGAACGACATGCACAATGATCCATTCTTGGTTCTTCCGCTGAGATATGGCAGAATGCCAGTCTTTGATCTGTTTCTTCACATTTGCTTTGTACGAGTCGTTATCCTGGATACCTCGTCAGGTTACCGCTACCACTTGTTCACCATGTTTACCTCGCATGTTACAACGTAAAGGTTGAGTAATGGCTTTTCTAACAGAGTGACTGGTACTTGTGACGTGTGTTCATCGCGAAGAGAATCCAAAGGAACAAGAGTTAGCTCAAGTTCCTGAATGGTTTTGAGATTCGGTCGGGAGGCTGACTTCCAGTGAATGCTCCGAAGAGGTAGTTGAGATTGCAAGGCTGCTAGCACTTGCCTCCAGCTCTCCGAGGCCAGAAACGACAATGGTGCAGAGTATGTCACTAAGACATTCTGATTAGACATTCGAAGATGCCAGATATAGGTGGTATCCTGGACGCAGCAAAGAAAGTAGCACTACAGCTGGTAATACACCGTTGACAGATTGGACGTCGGGACAAAGTTCTGTATTCTACTTAGTAAACGTGAGAAAAACATTTTAGCAAAACCTTTGCTCTGGACCACTACACTGTCGACGACCACGGCCAGACAGCATGCCTTCACCAGAAGAAGCAAGCACGTCGACCACACCGCCAGAAACTTTCAAAGAACTGGGCCTCATTGATCCTTTACTGGAAGCCCTAGATAAGATTAACTTCACAAAGCCTACTGAGATTCAGCAACAGGCACTTCCTCATGCATTAGAGGGCCGAGATATCATTGGCGTGGCAGAAACTGGTTCAGGAAAAACTGCAGCGTTCGCTCTTCCCATCTTACAAAAACTTTGGGACGAGCCAAAAGGATTGTTTGCATGCATTCTTGCACCGACCCGCGAACTTGCATATCAGATAGCGCAGCAGTTCGAGAGTCTGGGTTCCGCCATGGGGGTACGGTCCTTGGTTCTTGTCGGAGGAATGGATAGGATGCAACAGGCTGTTGGCCTTGCTAAGCGGCCTCATATCATAGTGGCAACCCCCGGTCGTTTGAACGATCATCTTCAGAACACAAAAGGATTCAGCCTAAGAAGCTTGAAATTCTTGGTGCGTTTTTCCCGGCCCTTGTAGCCCAAATCCTTACAGTCGCACAGGTTATGGATGAAGCAGACCGTCTTCTCGACATGGATTTCGGTCCTGAAATAGACCAGATTCTCAAAGTCATACCCAAGGAACGCACAACTTATCTGTTCTCCGCTACCATGACCACCAAAGTTGCGAAGCTACAGCGAGCCAGTCTAATAAACCCTATCCGGGTTGAAGTTTCTTCAAAGTATGGGCAAATTGTCGGCATCCTGAGCTGTACTGAGAGCATCAATGTAGATACCAGACCGTGTCCACCTTGCTGCAATATTATCTACTCGTCCCCTTGGTTCATAAAGATGTGCATCTCATATATCTCGCCAACCATCTTGCATCGAATTCCATCATAATCTTCACCCGGACAGTGCATGATGCCCAGCGGTGGGTGGTGCATTGCAATCATTCACTCATCCTCAGCTTATTTTTCCCATTACTCTATTCCAGATTGTCAATCATGTTACGATCTCTTGGCTTTCCTGCCGTTCCATTGCACGGTCAACTGAGCCAAAGCCAACGCTTAGGCGCTCTGGGCAAGTTCAAGAGCGGAGACCGCAAGTTGCTCGTGGCAACTGACGTAGCTAGCCGGTTTGTTCCTTATTTCTTTTCTATCTCTGCATGAATTGATGTCGCTCTACCTACAGTGGTCTTGATCTGCCTTCCGTTGACATTGTCATCAACTTTGATATTCCAACCCATTCCAAGGACTATATTCACCGCGTTGGACGTACTGCGCGAGCAGGTCGATCTGGAAAATCGATTACAATGGTGACGCAATACGATGTTGAACTCATCCAACGAATAGAAAAGGTAATAGACAAGAAAATGGAACTTTGGCCAACAGACAAGGAAGAAGTAATGTTACTGAAAGAACGTGTGGACGAGGCTGCCCGGTTGGCCATCAACGAGCTCAAAGAAGAAGCTAAAGCAGGTGGAAAGAAACGCAGACGTGAGGATGGCGTTGGAAGGGACGAAAGAGATCGTGATGATGATGTTGTGGAGGCAGGTGTCCCGAGAAAGAGACATTCGAAAAAGGGGCGATAGATTTTTCCTGTGTTCGATACTTGCAGGAAATCATCTCGTCGAAATAAAATGAATCGTGCGTGGCAGAGCCCGCTACCCCTGTTCATCGCGACCCGTTGTTGCATCTCACCCCACTGCTGTTGTTTATTACAAATTCTCTCTCCCCCATGGATGAAGCCTTGAAGCACTAAAGGCTCCAGATACGGTACCTGCGGGAACGAATAATCAGGAAACATCAACGATACCCTCTCCGCGCAACTCCGTCAGAGCTTCGGTCTGCAGCTCGTGTAACAGGGAGAGTACGACAACTAGAATTTACTCCCGAAGAAATTGAAGAGGTTAGTACATGCCATATTTTTTCTTGTACTTATTTATTCGTTCTCATGCTCAATTATCTCAAGAATGAGGAACTTGCCGAGAGAGGCCTCTTGCAACTGAGCCTCGCAAGTGCAACACTGTACAGTACAAGACATTCAAAGCGAAGCTTGCTTCTCGTGAGGCTGCGCGTCAACGTCTGTTGACGACGACGTCCCGGGGAGCTTGAAGAGGTCGAGCGCTACACATCATTCCTTGAGGCATTTCATGCCGAGAACAAACAGCTGCAAGTTGGGGTTAGAGGATGCCAAGTTGGAGAGAATGAGGACGTGGTTTTCTTCCCGCAACTCGACAGAAGTTGCGGACGATACCAACTATCTTCAAGCTGTCTATGATGACGAATGTGAGATCCTTCGATCGTTCACCATTCAAGCACAACAAGTCTCGAAGATCTTAGGGAAACGTTCTGATGGTATTTTTTTGGCGTAGTCACCCATAGATGTATCTTGGTTGTAGATGATGGGATAGCTCGGTTGATTTCTCGGACCTTGAAGACTAGTAATCAGTATCTAGCGCTCTCCAATCCAAACATGGTATGTGCATGCGACTGCAATCATGATTTCACGCACTGATTTCATACCACAGTAGATAGCTGCCCGTTGCGTTTGTCTACGTACACCGATGACGGTCAGTTCAGAGTATTCCCTCACGAGACTGCCGCCCTCGCTCCATTCGAGGCTGCAGTAGCTGCACTGAATCCATTCATGACTAGCAGTCAAAGTTGAAAGTGCTGCAGTACACGCTGCATTAACAGAACAAGCTATCTATGATCCAGCTAAACACTCGCATTCAAGTACTCGACTCCGTGTTTCTCCTTCCACAAGCAGAAAAAGATCAGAACGCTGCTTTCATTCGTGATCAATGCGTACTCGTCGTTGGGAGCGACTCTCTTACACGATCATCGCTATCGTACGTGACTTTGAAGATCGTCTCATTCGTCTACTCTGGCGTACAACTTGCAAGACCACCACAAAACGTACATGGTACGGTCGTGTCGTTCCTTCAGACCTATTGAAAAGGTTCCACAGAAACAACAAACTCGTCTAATTATGCTATACGCTCCGGTATACAACAGTATCTCCGCCGCATTCGCTTTCAGTTCGTCGTCTCCTTTTAAATCTCACCTGCTCACATTCCCTAGTCCTCATCGGCCATGGCCTTCGCATACTCCTTACAGAATTTTACCTGGACGGCAACTACACTCATTTTGCTCTCTGTGCTCTCATGCTTCTTCTCTTTTGTGTCTCTTTGGTATCTATTCCTTTTACCTTGTACGCACCAGCTCACACTTTTAGGTTTGAATCCTACAAAATATCAGATTCGCAGTCGGCTCGTCGCGTCGCTCCTTACCACCAAAACAGTCTTCCCTGCGGCTAAATCTTCTTTGTATGCAACTCCTTTTCCTCTTCCTGGGAGTCGCAATTTTTTGGATGTTGCTTTTAGACTCCGAATGCTCGTCCCGATCTGTTCACAATTGTCACTCCCATTAAAATCAATACCTTCTGTGAGCTACTTTGGGAGCATCCAAATCATCCTTTTACCGGATTTATCCTGGATGGTCTGCGTGAGGGCTTCTGGCTGTGCGCAGATACTGCTATGGATGGTTACCCTTTGACATGGGATAATTCTTATCAACCACTCAAGAGTGAAGAGCATCGAGCTTTCGTCCAGGAGCAGGTTGATGAGGAAGTGCGGCTTGGCTTTCACCTCCTTTTGGTCCAGAGTCGCTTGCCAGCATGTACAGCAGCACACCAGTTCATGTTGTGCCGAAACCTAACTCAACCAAACTTCGCCTTGTTGTAGACTACAGTGCCAGAGAATTTTCCCTCAACTCTATGATCAACCTAGATGACTTATCTTATCTGGTGTCAAACTTCGCAGGCGTACTCTGCAAGTGATTCAAGCAGCGGGGAGATGGTCATCAGAGGAATTTCAGAAATATATTCGAGTTCACCCTTTCATTCTGCAGGCAATCATACAGACCTGCTGCCTGACTCATCAAACTTGGCTATGTTGTCACAACGACTGGTGAAGCAGGTCAACAATTTTCATCTATCCCATCTTGACACGTGCTGCGTGTCTTTCAATCCATCTAGTCCTTTTGTGGTCTATACTCAAATTTTTGTACTTTTAAACTCGGTGAACCCGGGCTTTTCAGCTGGGAATACTGCCAGCCTTGTCAAGTACACCTGCTTCTCGGCGGTCAATCTCGAGCTTAAGTGTTGAGGGTGTCGTGTTCCTCCTATTTTGTGTTCTCAATGCAAGATTCGCAAGTCGAATGTAGAGCTGACTAAAGCTTGGTCTAAAGTTAACAAGTGAACTGCAAGTCCAACCATCCAACCAAGCCCTAGCCCTGATTACCAGAGATCGCGATTACAATATGGCGATCGTGATAATCATTACATGAACATGAGATCTGAGCGGAGGATGTACTTAGTGCCATTGCGGACTAGCGAACCCTCGTGAAGTAAGCATTCATTTCCGTGGCTAGCCAGTCAGTGTTAGTCTGCGGTAAGAAACAAGGCCAGGGATCACTAACCGATGGAGGAGAACAGTTCCACGCGTTAGAGGTGCTACAATGGTTTCGCGTGCTTTCCCCCGCTCATCCTTGTAGAATAGTGTCTTGCACACACTGATCAGTCTTGAAATTTGTAATTATAGTCACGGATTAGTACCTCACCGCCTTCAACTCCATCCTCGATTCCAGTTAGGTAAACAAGCACTGTCCATTCAGATTTTGCTTCCGTCTCTGGGTCACGGACAGAATCGTCATAGTGGGGACCAAAGTACTGGGATGGCGTGTATTTGTACATGCGAATATTTGAGTTGCATGAGTGAGGTGAGCGCTTTTCGTCAAGGGGAGGGCGACGCCTGGCTGAAGTCGGAGGAGGGAAAGATGGGAGATGTGGCAACAGAAGGGAATGTAACTTCTGAGCAAAGAAAACAGAGGTCACAGAAAAACGAACTAGAGTAAGGAGTGTGGGTGAGTACCGATTCCTACATGCAAACTACCGATGTAAATGCTTACAATTGACCCTCTCAGCCTCCCCCTTCTTCTTTGGAGGTGTTAACTCCAATGGGGCGTTGTCGATAAACTTCACAAAGCGTTTACATTCTTCAACAGAAAGAAACTCCTGTCTGTCAATTCAGGATGCGCGATGGTAATCATACTGAAATGAAACGAACATCTATAAGGATAATCTGGTCTTCCAGCAGTACGCGACATTCGAGAGCTTCTTTCTGCAAGATGTCTGGAAACGTAAGAGCTGGCGACACTGCAGACTTATGTGATGGTTGGACAATATCCTTTGATGCTTTTGATTTCTTTGGCATGTTAGGCGCCCAGAACTCTCAGAAATGGAGATTTGAAGGAGACAAGGTACGGCACTGGCCAAATTGGACGAGGTGGCGTCGAAAAGACATGCCCCATGGCTGAGTTGGTTACAGCGTCCGACTGTTATTTACTGGCATCGGAAGGTCGTGAGTTCGAGCCTCACTGGGGCAGTACTTTTTCCTACCTCCGAAGTTTTATTTGTTCGGATTTGTCACATGCTGATCTGTATATATTTTTGAATCTGCTTCCACTCTTCAACGAACTCGATGAATGCAACAGACTAGACCTTTACCCGACTGTCATCCTGAGCTATCTGTCATAGACTGGCCTAGTTTTCGGGAGTATCGCGTTGAGAACTGGCGACTTGCTCGGGATGGAAGCGGGAATGTTGTTCGCGGTGCGACATCATGGGGGTGGATTGACCTTTGTCTGCCCGTGGTCATCTCATTCATATGGCCAAGAGTCAGTATCCTATTTGAAGTCCCCCAGCTTAAAAGTTGAAAACTAACAGTTTCTAAATCTTATAGTTTCGCGGCAGCACCATGTTATGTGCATTCGTCGTCCTGGTAGTTGGGTTTACCATTTACTGCCGTTGTGTGCAAGTTCTTCATGGTATATTCCAAAAAGTTGTGTCTGTGCATTCCTCATTTTTGGAACAGAATCTGTGCTAGTATTTCCAGCCAACGGTATACAGCTCGAGACGCATCGGGGATACCCTTTGCTAAAGCCACTCTTCGTGTCTAGGCGATTTATTCACGCATCTCTTTTAGAAGACTTCGTCATAAATGAAGGTTTGAGAAGATGGAACGTCCGCTATTATCTGGCTGCTGTGCACGGATCCACCACAGACAAGATTACTTTAGATGTCGCATTTGAGGTCAGCGATTTACTTGCTATCTTTTCCTTCCCTAGTCTGATTTTGCTTTGATTCAGAATATTTTACCACACTTTCCTGTACTCCTTGAAGTCTATCAAGGAGTGCAAGAACTCATGTTCTACAACCGCACGGACAATAGGCATACCCCCATATAACATACCATCTATTTTTTCGATCAAAAACAATTCTGTCCCTCACGCAGCGTTCTGGGCCTATTTCCCATAGTTTATCGCATTAGCTAGCACACCACCAGCAGGAACAGCTATGAGGACGTCTACTCCTTACTCCCTGCCTCACTCTCATATGCGCTCAGAATGTCATCGTAGCCTTCGTCGTCCCCTTCTTCTGCAGCACTATCTCTAGTTTCCCGCGCCTCATGGAAGGAAGATCTACTAAGCCGGACAACCGATTCCCCCGAGATTTTCCGTGAACGCCCCACCGTATCTGCAGACGCCTTCCGCCTAGGACGTGGAGAATGCGACGACAAATTCGGCGATGTTGATGTGGTGGAACCAAATTCAGGAGCACGAGGTGTCATGACTATCTCTTGCTCCTCGGGCCACTCTGGAGGAGCGAGTGAGTTTGGGCTCACGTTCTTGTGCTCAGCCACAGAAGTAGGCCGGAGGTTGGCGTCCCGAGTTCGCAGGCTGGGTAGTTTTGGATGGTGACGCTTCGAGCGCACATGGGGATTCCTGGGTGTCCAGTCCTGCGAGTCAGAATTGTCCGTATCTTGTAGAGGTGGTGGAGTCTTTTTTCGTAGTAAAACCTTGCTTGGTGTGGGTGACCTCAGAGGTATACTATCTTCGCTAAAAGAACTCTGCCGACTTTCACTATTCACCCGTACCTTCCCTGCTTCGATATGAACTATGGTAATAGGTGTCGGAGGAATAGGCGGAGACTGATACCGTTGTGGGTGAATCAGCGGGGGCACGCCAATGTGCACGCCAGCCCCTGTCAGATGAACTGTCTTCAGCGGCGGACCTAGTATAGGTTCTACTTGGTGGATCGCGCGCCGTTGCATCAGATACGCTTAAAGGAGAAGTTGCCCAAGGTCCTCGCAGCGCGCGGGACGCGGGTGCCATTGGCGATACCGACTTGCGGTTTAGTGCCACCTTCCGACTTTTGCCATCAGATTCGATGTCAGATCTGGAGCCTATGCTTGGTTTCGAGTGTGGTCTGCTGAGGGCATCAGAAGGCGACAGCGATGAAACCGAAGACACCGAGTCAGTGCGCAGTCCATGTCCTTTGCTGCGCGTGACATCCATCCAATCGCCATGTCGTCTGACTGGCATCCCGCCATCCGAGTGCGCGGCCGACGGAGGTTTCGCGGTGATCAAAGAGCTTGAATTGAGTAGAAGAGGACGTGGCGGACCCCTGGGAGATTGTTGTGGGGCTGATGTACGTGAGGTTGCGGTGCGCGAGTTTAGAGCAGCCAAGGATGCCAGAGAGGCCTGCGCCTTATGTATGAAGTTATCTTCCCGTTGAGGTCGGACTTCTGGGCTCGGAGGGGCAGTGTAAATTCCTCTGCGCGGCAGTGGCAAAAAGCTGTCTCGTGGCGATCGAAAGAATGCGGGGCGAGGGGGCTCTTCAAAAGTGGTCCCTCGACTGCTACCAGGAAGCGAACTCCCTCCACTCCCATCTCTAGAATGGCTAGCACCATCTCTCACTGGTGACCACTTGTCCGGAATTGAGGGTGGTAACTCAGATTTGGTGATCACTGGTGATGATGCATCTCCATTCGATGTCAAGCTATTGCGTCGACTGCCCCACTGCATCCATCGCTCGTGCGCGCCAATTTGTGCTTACTTTTGCGAAAGCCGCAACGGTGTCAGAGTCTTTGAGTTTTCCAGCATAACCCCAAATACTTGCAGGCGGTGGGCTTAGAGGTGGGTTTGAGGTGATTTGCTCTGGGGGGCTCTGAGGAGGATGAGGAAGCGGTGGTGACTGTGGTCGCAGCGGGGAAATTGGAGATGGTGGAGATGGTGAATCGTCCATAGAGCTTTGGTTGGTAATCCCTCTCCAAACCGTATTGGCAAGACGCGAAGTCAGAGTTGGAGCAGCTGGAGTTTCTGTCTCATTTCCGTCTTCATGGGAGTCCTCTTCATCCGAACTCGAGTCTTCCTCTTCCCCCTCTTCCTCCTCTTCCCCGCTATCAGTATTAGCGACTTGGTTTGTAAACCCCTTCCACATGGTGGCTTTGATCCGAGCACCGAGGGTAACATTATCCGACTTCAAAAGTCTATTTTCCTCGATACGCCTTTGGGCCAAATCGTGTGCAGTTTGCAAGACTCGGTCGATACCACCAGCCGCATCAATCGGATAGGATTGCAAAAGAGCAATGCCCTCGAGAAAAGCATCGCTGAGCTCCCATGGTCGAAGCGGAGAAGAAGGACGAATGGTAGCATGCTCTTCAGCCCACAGTCCCGGAGACTTACCTCCAGGCTTTGCAAGTCTAGAAGGATTCAATATAATCGTCAGTTCATATGAGTGATTGACCGACCTAAAAAGCGGCGCACGCGCACGGATCAGAAGACTTGTGCAGATATCAACGAGGGCATCGAGTTTATGGTTCTCGTCTCGAGTTCTCATTGGGTACGAGAAAAGCACATCCCATACAGGTAGGAGAGAAGTAAGAGGAAGTGTTTGCGACAAGAGAGGTGCGAGCCAGCGACTGCAAGCTTGTGTTAGCCATGGAATGTCAGATAAGAGTGCATCATACTAGGAGTAATGTGGAAGCATGGGATCCAAGCCTTTGGTGTGCTGTTACATCTAGAGTTGGGAGGAGTCCGTGATTGGCTAAGAAGAGCACATACCAAACTCGCAGCAAGTTCTCCGTCGGCTTGTGCTAATCGATCGCTGAACTTCTTCATCCAAACTTTACCACCCTCCTGATCCGCCAGGTCAGAAAATTCCCCGACAAGAGCTTCGAATAACCAGAATGTATCTGCTTCAGCGTGGGCTAACTCTTCCGGTTCCACCTCCTTGACAAGAACAGCGTACAACGGCACAAGTAAGGAAGGAATGTCTGGAGATTGGTTTGCTGGATTTATACATGAATGCAGATATAACAGACGGAGGAGGGCTGAGATGTGCTGTGGATGCGCGCTGGCACCACCGAACGGTCCAGCATGTAATAATGTGGTGGGTGCCCCTGGTCTACGGGATGCAATGGAATCCGAGCTCGGCAATTGTGACAACTCGAGTGTGCTAGCGTCAGGCTCTAGGCGAATTTCGGGAATACCTGCAGGTTTCGATGCTGAAATTTGTCCGTGGAGGATCTGTAGTCGTGCATCAAGAAGATGAGCGCACCCAATCCTTTCAGTCTCATCAGTATTTTCATCTAATGGTGACATAATTGGACAGTTTGGGCCGCTATCAAGCGTGTCGAAGAGTCCAGGGGGAAGACGAAATAGAGATTCGGATATTTTCATTAGCGTCGTATCTATGTTGCTCAGCGGCTTCGTGGGCGCTGGCAGGTCATAAAGTGTTGGTAACAAACGGCGAACGAGATCCTAGTCAATGTATAAGTGCGCGTTCCGAGGCATGAACGGCACGTACGTAGTAGCTGTCTCGCTGTTTCCGATTTTCTTTTTGCCATGTTGACTTCAAGACTGGGACTGTTCCCAGTAAAAGTCTATATTGCAAGTGAGATAAGCCAGAGGTTAGTCACACTGACTTTCACGTACTTCCATATCCTAGGCCTAAGCCATGGAGGTTCATCGGGCAACCCTGGTGATTCGCATCGGATATTATTCCATGACGATTTGTAGTTTCTTACCTTGCGAACATAGCCTCCGCAGACGAGGTAAGTCAACAATGGGTGAACCTTGTGAATCTAAAATTTCAGAGATCATATTCAAGCTAACTCGGACGTTGAGCTCGCTTCACAAAGAATTAGAAAATACGCACATATCCTGCCGGGGAGGTTCTGCGGCCCAGTTTACATGATACACCTTTGATACATTTGTCAGACAGTCATTCATCTTGGACGCAGAGGGGGTTGGGGAGTGTAGTAATTGCATGACCTAATAAGGTGTCAGTAAACAGGTACAGTAACCAAAGAGACACTTGCACGCAAAGGGACGTGTTTTTCAAGGATATTGGGTGAACTAGAAAAATGATGATGCATGCGCTGAATTAACATATCCCGAACGACGTTGAGTTCTGTTTGATTCCGTGAGTAGGATCGATTACACGAGACAACCTTGTTTCACGCTCACCCTTAATACTAACACTGGGAGCTGCAGCTATGATGGAGGCTGCAGCCTCTGTAAGGACGGGGCTTGGTAAACGCCTAATGCACGGTCGCTGCGATCAGCTGTAGCCCAATTTTATGAAAGGCTTGGGGACATACCCTTCGTCCAACTCGCCAAGATGCTCAATGACCGTGCTGACGTACATTTCCACCACTTCCAATAAGTCGCCCTTCGCATCATCTTGTATGAGATTCTGTGCTTTGGCGCGTGCAAGAGCAGTATTGTTCTGTTGCAATAGTGTTGCAATGTCGCGTCGGGTGATTTGTCCTTGAGAGTCTATTCTCTCTTGAATTTGACCAAGACGCTGCGATGTCGACCGCAGTAAGACCTGCAGGGAATATAAACTTGTTGTAGATGTGAGGTAAGGACAAAGACGACGCATACTTTAGTTGCAGTTGGGTCCCAGTTCGTCATGTTCGTCGTCAGTCACTCGAAAGCGTATGATCAAGTGAAGCTAAAGGTCTGTAGTCATGAAAGTTTGAGCGTAGCCTAGTGCAGCGCCTGGTACACTCTCCGTTTAAAACGTCGGTGACAATATTTAGTCAATCGCACTTAGACTGCCAGTACAGTTGGAACTTTAAATAGATCTAGGCCGATAGGCCGTATTACATACTGATTGATTACTAGTACGTTGAATCTAAGTAGTTACATACACCAGGGTGGTAGGGGTTTTGACAATCGCCCTGACTTGCGAGCATTACTTTCATTCTGTATAGAGTAAGCGAATGACGGCGCGAGAGACACGTGTCGCTGAGGAGACTGCGAATTCCGTTTATCGAGTGCTCCTGGTTGCAAGACAACCGAATACGGATCACGAGAGGCACGACGTGGCATGGCAGTGATCGTGAGTGGAGATGCAATATTTGCGTCCGGACGTGAGAACATCAAAGAGTCACATGACAAAGTGCGAAGTGGTGACATTGAAGCCCGAATGTCGAGAACAGGAAGATGGGGCGAAGCGATCGCCATTTCTGGGTCTACCAGAGGTGACCCCGTACCCGTAAATGCTTTTTCGCGCGACTCAACCACCACGGGTATCCTCGACTGGCGGTAAACCATGGCAGCAAAGTAGCTGGCATATAGAATAACTGCTCAGGCTGTGAGCGGTTGTGTTCATGAAAAATTAGCTTGCAACTGACGTATGACAGGAACTACCCAACAGCCCATAAGCATGTAGAAGTTGATCAACTTGCAGACACCCTGCTGGTCGGCTGCTAAATTCAAATTAGAACGGTACACAGCATTTGAGGCCCATCTGTATCAGACGTACTTTGATCTGGACATTGTATTTGAGGATTCCAGTAAGTGAAAGCGACAGCAGATCCTGGAAACAGATTATGAAGGGGTGTTACACAACCGCTCACAGGTGCCTCACCTATTTGTCCTATTGCAAGTAATGATATTCGAGCGGCATCCAACCACACTCGGAACTCAAGTATTAATCTGTAATGCAGTACTTGTCAGGCACGCAGTGGCAAATGTCAAAATGACCCACAGGAAAGGTAAAATTAGGATCGTTGTTGCATTGGTCAAGAGGAAGACAGCGGTTAAGGAGCCTGATTAACATGGGCCTCATCTCAGCAGACATTCAGTGCGATAAGTGTGATTGGACAGCTCACGACTGCAACGGTCAGATATGCCCCAGCGTGCGTAAACTTGAACTGAAAGAAGTACAGTCCACAGAAAGCTAATAAGAATGATGCAGCCTAATCAAACTAGTGATCAGATATTGACGGAGTGATCGATTGAGGCGACACGCACTGAAAGTCACAGCTCGAACCTTGAAAAATGCAGGGAAAGATTCCATGATAGATCTATACAATGATTGTGGTCGTAGACGTCCGTCCGTTCGATGAAATAATGCAGGATATGAGATAGTAGAGAATAATAATGTCAAGTACAGACGAGAACACCTCCAGAGGTGGCTCGAGGAAGGGACGATGGAAAGCACGGGAACAAGGGATTACCTACACGCATCGCAGAATATAAGAAAGACTGAACAAAAAACTGTGGGACTTCTGAAGCTTGTGGACTTGTTGTGGACGCAAGGAAGTTCATTCAATAAATTTGATTCTTTTGTTCGTTACATACATGTTGTTCCCTATTTATACAAGGCATATTTACATAACGTTAGTCGAGTACTTTAGACAATTAACTTAGAGCTTGAGATCTATAGCTACTAGCTAGGTTGATGATCATGCCATGGATGAAACCAAGATTAAAAACTCGCATGAAGCTTTGAAGACTGATATCCACCCATTAGAAGAGCAAGTCACTACGGTGCAGCATGGGATTTCCCGAGAGGACTGCAGCCTAAACTATTAGGCACTGGCGCCGCCCTTGCAGCACTATCAACTGACACTCATTCATTAAGCTTGTCCTTCGAGCTCTCATTCAAACAGCCCATTTCATGCAACGGAACACCGTCCAGTACATTCTATAACATGCCTCAGGCTCTTTCTGTACAGTTCCAGTCTCAACGCACTCATTTGCGTCGAGCTCGGCTCGCCCTCGCTTGCGTGTCCATTGCTGCCAATGCGTCTGTCATACCCTCGCGTGTCCAACCTCAGAGCTGATTTATGTCATTAATTTAATGTAGGCTTTGTGGTGGAAGTGTTTTCACCTTTCCCCTCATGTCACCTGCTTTGGTCAATCACTTGAAGTTGACTCAACCTCAACTGACGACTATAGCCTTGGCGTAAGCATCTTCCAGCACACAAAAATGATGCCTGATCGGCTTCCCAGTGGGATGATGGGCCAATATCCCTTTGCAGCCATGATAGGCAAGGTTGTCGACAAATACGGTCCTTGGGCCTGTTCCATCATCGCCAGTTGCCTGTTCTTCGCAGGCTTTGGATTATCTGCAAAGGAAATTGCTAACACACCAGATGATATCACTGTACCTTCAGCATCTACATTCCATCATCTTACCATTTACTTCTTTATCGCGGGACTTGGAGCTGCCTTCTCGTTAGTTGCTCACTACCTCGGGGTTTTTGACACTTATCCTTGTCTAGATATTTCTCTTCCTTATTTGCCGCCTGTAAGAACTTCCCGGATTTCATCGGCATAGCATCTGGAACCAGCATTACCTTGTTCGGCTTATCGCCGATGTTCATATCAATATTGGCTTCGAGGTTCTTCTCTCATCCCGACGAAGGCCTTGATGTCACGCGCTTCTTACAGTTTCTGGCCCTTTTTTGCGGTGCCGTTCATTTATCTGGTGCCTTCACTCTCCATATCATACCTCTCCCCGAAGATCCTCCAAGTGTTGTCTTGGAGGATCCAGAAGGGTCGGTCCAAATCGACGAACAAACAGCTCTTCTCCATGGAAAGCGCAATCATACCGCTGAAGTTGAGACTGGCATCGTCGTTGCTTCCCCCATCAAGGGTGGCTCGGTAGTTGACCTTGCCAAAGACCATTATTTCTGGGCTCTGGCATTCGTCTTGTTCGTGATATTAGGTTCTGTGAGTCTGCTCTCACATCACTGAATTGATCTGATATTCTAACTTGGCAAGAGCGAGATGGTGATATCCAACATTGGCACAATAGTCCTTTCTCTTGCATCACAAGCTTCAAGTACAACCGTAGCTCCATCTACTGACGTGGCTACTGCAACGCAAGTCCGCTTTCTCTCTGTTGCCAACACGCTCTCTCGTCTGGTTGTCGGACCTTTGGCAGACTTCGTGTCTCCCACAGCCGCTGCATCTGGTGCCCAAAATGCCCCCCGCAAGCGCTATGTCAGTCGTGTGGCATTCCTCTTCTTCTCGATACTAGTGCTTGTATTGACCTATATGTGGATGGTACTCGGCGTAAGGTCACAAGTGGACTTGTGGGCTCTTAGGTCAGTGGCAGCACCTGAACTTAATCAGCACTCTCATCAGGTTATTAGTATCGGCGCTGGGATCGCTTACGGTTCAGCTTTCACAATTTTGTACGTTCCGTTAGTTCCTTTTTCCGATATGTTCCGGTTGACGCTGTTTGGCTTGTTCTATAGACCGAGTCTAGCGTCGTCTGTGTGGGGTATAGAAAACCTCGGACGTAACTTCGGCATTCTAACCTACGCTCCTTTCCTCGGTACTCCTGCATTCTCATACTTCTATGCCTTTAATGCCGCCAGCCACTCAAATGATGGCGCTGTCTGTGAAGGCATCGAATGCTGGAGTACGACCTTTTCATGGTATACTGCAATTGCCATCGTTGCGTGCGGTGTCACAGGATACCTCTGGCGCAGTTGGAGACATCAAGTATAGTTCATATCGGTGCATGTATTGGCAATATACATTGCACAGGTCTGCGCAGTATTTTTGCATTTGTTTGGTGTCTTGGCTGTCCAGTGCAAATATTACGCCTGGATTATATCCAGTTGTAGAATTGTGCTTTCTGTACAATCCTAATCCTATACAATCCTGTACAAGGACCCCTAATTTGTTGTTTCGCAACCACTGTCCTGGGACTTCATGCATCATGAATGGCCCTGAGACTCTAAGAACAGCTCCACCGTGTGTAAACCTGCATTCAGAATCATAAGCACAGCCCCTGGTGCTGCGGTTGCGCTTAGGTCTACATTTCGTGGTCTGTCTTTTAAAATGTCTTGATACCAATGTCAATGTGCAAACTATAATAATAGAAACTCAATGTCCAATTGACTGATAGAGAAGATAGATGGTAAAGAGCGTGAGCAACCAGTTAGGCGACAGGTTATTAAGTAAGGTGGTGGAATAAGCATGAGATGGTAGGCGCAGATGAGATGACGTCACAAACAGACGCTTTACTTGCTACTATTGTTCTTGACGACGATGACGACGATAATGACAATGATTGCGATGATGATAAGTGAAAGGAAGAAGCAGATCCACCGCTTTTTGCGGGCTGAGCGAGCAGAGGTGACAGCTTTTCCCGTGTGCTGGACGCTGCAGAAATGTTTAGAAATTGTACAACTATTCCAAGGAAAACATTTACCCAGTTTCCATGTCTTTTTCGACGATTTCAGCTGTTGTTTGAATCGTGTTGATAGTTTCGTCTTGTTGTTCTACCATCATACTCATCTGAAAATTTCGAGAGATTAACAACTAACTTGGCTAAGAATGCCAGGACGCACATCGTTGAAAAGCTGAGCAAGTTCTGCAATGGTTTGCTCGATACGTTTGATATCCTGGTGTCGCTCCTGTACTTCCCGGTATGCTGCTCTTGATTCACCGTATCGGGTGGAGTTCATCAACTAGTACGCAGATGAGATTCTGTTTGAAGGAACAAATGAAGACCGCATACAGCTTGGCTGAATATTTGCCCCCCATTCTCGTCGTTCACGACAGCCCGAACTTCTTCAGGCGTAGCATCCGGCTTAACTAGGGATTGTTAACCATAAGTGACGGACAAAGAATAATACGTCCATCCTACCAATCTTGAATTGTCTCTCCATTCGCTGCTTGTACTTTTGGCGATACTGTTGCTCAACAGTCTGATAGGATTGGATGGCGTCAACAAACTTCGACTTGACGAGAGCAGTCTAGGCGCCAATTTAGTCACTCCTCTGCTACTGTAAAAAGTGGCACACTTGTTGTTTGCGGATCTGGCCGTCACGCCCGCTGCCTCCCTGCCTCTCCAAGTCCTTTACACGGCGCTTGAGTGTTGTACTCAGGGCACTGGTATCCTCCACAAGCTCTTGTAGCTGAGAGGCATTGCGCTGCGCAGCATCATCATCCGTGTTGTTCAGTGAGCGAGAGTGCAACTCGTCAATGCGAGAAACGTTGGCGTTGAAAGTCTTGATAGTGTCTTGAATGGATGAAATCTAATTGTAACACATTAGTTGGGCGATGGGGCCCTGACGAGAAGCGCCCACCTCCGCATAAAAATCCGACATACTGTCGCCTCCTGAAGTCAGGTTGGCTGAGCTATCCCGCACGTCAGCCATTTCGTACGCATGGTCGTCTTGCCTGGCATATGGATTTTGTCTTTGGTAACCAGAATTACTGCAATCCCATAAAGTCAGAAGAACCCGTATGAATTTGAATGACAAGCAAACTCACCCGCCCTGTTGCTGGGCCTGTAGTGCAGAACACATCAACTACGCACTCTTGATGTGAAAAAAAAGGATAAACGCACTCTCATTGCAGCCAACCTATCCATGTTGTGTCGTCAAGGTCAAGGTGTGTTGAAAGAAGGTAGACGTGTTTTTGAAAAATAAGGATGAGATGAATTTCGAGTTGCTTATAATATATATAACTGCGTAGATGAACACGTTAAACTGCGGTGTCCCGATATCGATGTATGTTGGATGCTAGTGCCAGTATTAAGATGTGTGGAACGAAGCGAGTACAGCCACAAATCACAGCATATGCCGGGAGTAGTTGCCCGTAAAAAGACCGCAATTATTAATTATAGTACTAGGGTGCAAGTGCTAGTGATCATCGGCGCTCTCCCAGACACAGGTTCAGCGGTTGTCGTCTTTGCAACTCCGTGTCCTAGTCAATTTATTTTCACAGCCTTTGCGTCCTCTCGACTAAGATGATCCTTCGCGTCTCTATTACCTTTCGAGCCCTGCAGTTGCACTTGGTAGCGGGAATTGTTGGTCTGTGTTACAACGCGATGACCCTCCTTGGTTTCATTCCTCCTCCGAGCATTTCGGTCAATGTTTGCAGCGTTTGCCTTCGGCGACCTTGAAGGAGACCGCTCGTTCGATTGTTCGCAAAAGAGCTGATCTTCGCACGTGGATGGAGGTTAACCTGACATACCGTTGCTCCAAAGGGAAAGCGTATGCATTAATATAATCACCGCTCTTTTCGCCTTGCTCGATGTCTTCCTTGTCATACAAAACGAAGAAATGCCGCTCCAGTAAAACTAGAACACATTAGTAAGTACATAGCAAGCACATGCCAAGTGTAGGAGGTCACGCCTTAATCTTTTAACATAGCTAGACTGTGGTTAAACCCCAGTTGAAAACACGACGACCACTGAATGTACAACGTAAATCTCACCTTGTCTTCTGAACAATGCCTTTGTAGAAGTCGAGAGGTGTCTGAGTTGTTCATCAACGCTACACTTAGGATGTTGAAGATAATCACAGTATGCTTACCGAAAAGTCCATGCTTGTCGTGGGTTCATACACTAGTACATGCTATTATCGATGTAAGTCCCTATGACTGGAAAACCTGAAGTGACCCTATCAAAGTAATGCCGAGCTTGGCCATCCTATCAGAAAAACGCAAAGGGTCGTTCTCTGTTGTGTTGTGAGTGTTGAGAATTGAAGCAATCATACGCATACGAAGTGGACATCCACCGGGGAATTCATCTTCGTCCTCCCCTATACCATGGGGTGGTGAATCTGTGATAAGTATAGCGACCTTGGTAGCTTCGTCCTTCCATCCCGCATCCAGGACACGAGTGAACGCATTACACTGAGCTTCGGGTCCGTAACCACCACCGTCTGCTTGCAGATTCGCCAGATTCGCCTTGATAGCCAAAATGTCAGAGACGAAAGGGTATTGGCAAGTGATGTACGTGGAATCTTGCGTGGGGTGGTCACGGAATGCCATAAGTCCGAGTCTTAAATCGCCACCTGACCATTTTCCAGTCGCAACAAGGCGCTCGCACAGCGACTGGATGGTGTTTCGTACTTGTTCGATATAGACTTGCATACTACCCGTCACATCGAGGAAAACAATGTCTCTGCGAATGACTTATTTAGTACCAGTGAATCATAAGGTAGGACTATATCTTACAGCTTATACGTCGTAGTAGTGGTTGCGCTAGCCCAACTTTTCAAGGTCGAGACAGAAGGAACAAAAAAGTATTCTCCTCCCCTCGCAGCAATGAAGAACGAGTTCGGTTCAGTGGTGGAATCACACCCTCAGGGGTAACCTTAGCGAATCCGCACACCTCGAACGTTGCACCATCCGCACCGGCGAGTTGTAGGTCGACTTTATCCCCGGAATTTACTAAGGGAGATGTGCCTTCGAGCTGAGCAGGTGCATACACAGGCGGGCTACCAATGACAGGGTCCTGACCTGATCGAAATTGGAATCTACTGATCAGAGTAGCATACAATGCGAAGAACTTCTTTAAATTAGTTACCCTTCTTCTTGTGGCACTAGGGATGTCATAGGCCAGTAATCATTTCTCGCGTATCCAATCATATGACGAACGAATCCTGAGTCCAAGCTGGACATATAGCGATTGACCAGACCCACTATGATCACTCCAGGATCAACTTAAATCTGACCAGCGCGAGGGATAACAAGACCCCTGACGGAATGTCGAAGTCCTACTGTAGAAACGCGATGTCTTGGAAATGGTCACCGTAGACAAGGTTGGGAGATCCCATCTCGTAAGCCGAAATGCTCATGCCCTTTGTAAGGGGGTGGTCGAGCACTTCCTTCCACTGGCTTGCCGCCAGCAACCGTTATCGATGAGCCAAATAGGTCTATGACGTGGTTTGAAGCTTTTGTGCAAGTTTCGGCGCCTTCACAGAACGTACGTCAAGAAGATCAGTTCCTTCAAAATAACATGTACTCACTACTTCCGGCGACAGTAATGACACCATGCAGAGCTCCAGTATCGTCACGCACTGATCCGTTCACCCGGTCAGAGTTTGCTTTGACAAACATAGGGTCCCATTGTCTTGTGTCGCCAATGAGTTCCTTGTCGTCATTCATACAGTGCTTGTCGAAGCGAACATTTCCAGTGTCCTCGTTCACGCCAAGGAAATACAGGCAGGCACGACTGAATGAAATCTGGTATTGCGCGATATCGACTGTCGGGACACTGCTTGCATCGTGAGCGTTTGCCTTTGCCACAGCGATCGAGATAAGATTATCTTTCACGTCTTCCGCAGTCGGTGGCTTGAAGGATTACAGAGCAGTTCTGAACGATGTTACGTTGTTGATCCTGAAGAATACGAAGTTCTCGGCTTTCCGTTAGAATAAATCGTCAGCGGACATGCTTGAAAGAAGAGCTAATTGAACTGGTCGTTTACTTTAGGAAAGAGATAAATCACATCGCCTTGGACGTTATTCAGATCAGGAAGGTCGCCAGTCGCTGCAGCTTGGCGTGTCGTAGAAATAGGGCGCGAAACCAAAGGTAAGACTGAGCGACGTCCTAATTGTTTGAAAAGGTCGAGAGAACACTGAAGATCATCCATTTGGTCCAGCAATTAGTACTTAGATCTGACGATAATGCGGATGAGAATCCCTGAGGAAGATTAAATAAGTGAGAGCGTACATATATATGTGTCTCATCGATCAAACCAGAAACTGGAGGGTACTGGGCTTCTCGAAAGTTTGGGAAACCGAAGGCTATTCATCGCGAAAATACGGCGTTGCATCATGTGAAAACCATTCCGGGTGAATAACTGCATTATCCTAGAAAATCTCCTGAATTCAATGATGAACAATCCAAGGGGCATCCATGTGCAAGATGGCTGTTCTAAATAGGAATGGAAGACACGTCCAAAGACTCCGGTAGTGATGTTCCGGCCCGGCTTGGCTCGAAAGCCCCGGCTTTGGCCCGGCTTCAGACGGCCAGGGCTTTCAGAAATCGAGAGCCGGGCCAAAGCCCTCGAGAACGGCTTGGCCCTGGCCCGGCCTGGCCTGAGCTGCGGCCTGAGTATGAAAATGAGTAGGCAAATGACATCAATGATTAATAGGTAGATAAAACAAAAGTCAAACGATATCTATGTCATCCTCGTCATCCTCCAGCAGCAAGACATCCCAACCATCTTCGTCATCACCCTCACTCATCATGCTGTCATTAGCATCCGGTTCAACATCGAATTCGTCGACTTCAAGTTCGGTGGATGATGATGGATCAGGTGGACGGAAAAGGAGGTCATGACGAATGGCACACTTAACACATTGCAGCGCCTCGACAATATCGCATTTGAGGCGATTACGATGCTTACTGATAGTGATACCCCCCTGTGAGAAGGCGCGTTCGCTCGAAATGGATGTTGCCATGATGGATAGATAGTCCTGAGCGATGGAGGACCACACTGGTCCGTATCTGTGTGCGTTCAACTACCACGAAGTACATCAGTAACGATGGATGAACTAGAATGTAATAGTATATACGTACCCCCCACCATTTGACCGTACTTGTTCCGGATGGCAGTTTTGCCTCGACAGTGTCAATATAAAGTCTGAAATCAGCGTACCAAGGCCTGGCAGGATCAACATTGGCTGCCAATGTGCCCAAACCAAGGTCTTCGTCTTCATCTGAACTCTCGGTCTCACGAATGAGTTTCTTGAGGCCATGAACTTTGCCTTTCTTGATGGGTAGTTGTACGGCCGTCGCTGATTTGCCCATTGCGACATAGCGAGTCTTAAACTAAGTCCCAGATCAACAATGTAAGTTGAACGGCAACATTATTGAACGCACCTCTAGTTCTGCACAAGCAAGGACCTCCTCTTGCAGGTTTTCCGGCCAGTGTTTCTTAAAGTACGCCATCTTACCCATCAGATCAAGTACTGTACAAATATGTTAGCAATGTGCAGCACCGCATGAACAGAACAAGACATACACATAGCCATGATGTATGCTGGTGAGTCAGTTGTCTTTTCATAGTACTGGTTGATCTTTTGTGCGGCAGCATGGAGTGCGGGAGAAAAACTGGCATACTTAGGTCGGTCTGCACGATTCGACCACGCTCGATGAAGGGTCTCAAGGGTGGGAATAGCCAAATGAAGTGTGGTCCCTTTGTCTGATGAGAAAGCCTGTTGAGCTACATCTGCGTACTGAAGAAACAAATTAGAGGGAACTTTGTGAAAACGAAACAGAACATACTGAGAGTAGATCAGCAAATTTACTGGCATGCGCCCATTCAGTCGAGGTCAAACGGAGGTAGTTGATTTTGGCCCGTTTTGCCAGATTGCGTTCTTGCACGCCCATCTCATAAACATAAACGTCGACATGCTAGGGCCCAAGATCAAATAGGGCAATACTTTGTGAATATTAGACTCACCTCCTTACTACCTTCTGCGCGATTGATCATTACATATGTTGAAGACCAACTGGACTTTCATATCAAGAAGGAGCTGCGTGGGGTTTGAGACACCAGCCTTGGCTTGAACACTCTTGTAAAGTTCCTTTCGTTTGGCTGACGAGCGTTCCTTCACGCATATTGAGCGAATAAGACCGATCTCATCACAGTCACCTTGAATTGACACGTCAGGCTCCAAAGCGTGAGGATTATGCGGGTCATAGTGAGGAGCCTTGCTGTACATGCTGATGAGGAGTTGCGTGCTGAGATTGATGACATGCGCTAAGCAGCTACAGTCATAATGTAAGGGTTTGCTAGCAACCAAATAAAATCGGACTTACTTGATTCTGCGAGCTCGCCATGGGAATTCCTTGTTACATCGGACTTCATATAATAGTGCAAATTCTTCGAGCATGGTACCGTTGTTAGCTGCATTGTCACAGGTAACATGGCCTAAGCTAAAAAGATTCAATTAAACCACGAATCGTTCAGTTGTGATAACATACCTTATGTACAATACCCAGACGGTCCAGAACCTTGAAGAGAGTACCACCGAGCCGCTTGCCATTGTGCGAGTTGTTGACTTGCAGTAAAACCAAGTAGGCACACTTTCACACTCCCAATGAGTATCAGTCTTTGCTTCAATCCAATGGCCTGTAACGGCAAAGTAAGCATTGACATTCTCAGCCTGCCAGGCATCGCAGGTTGTATTTATCGCGCCGCTAACGGCGTCACTATTCAGCTTCTCCTTAAGTTTCGTAAGATGATTCTTGAACATCCTCATGATCTCGGCTCGAGTCGCCTTCCTGCCCGGGATCTTGACGCCATTGGTTGCTCGGGCTGCAACATCAATCATTTCCTTGAATTTTGGATGCTCGAATGCTTGAATAGGCTATATAACACGTGTCAAATAATAATGTAACTACTAGATGATGGGAGACATACCTGGTCAGTGGCGACAAGCCATTCAATGGCAGCCTGCTTGAACAAGCTATCCGAGTACAGGACGACTCGTTCGGCAATCTTTCGTTCAGTCAGATGGGAGGTGATTATTTGCTGGTCATGTTCGGCCTTTTCCTTGCGAGCCTTGACATCACCAGGTAGCATCGACTCGAACAAGTTTTTTTTTGCCCATGTACGATACTTGCCCTATGTAATGTATCAATACAAAGTTCAGGTAGAGCACATAGTTACTCACCGCAAAGTTAGCCTCTGCATGTCGACGGAGTGTAGTTGTTTCATTGACGAGTACACATTTTTTCCTATCAGCTGATCAGTGGGTGAGTGTAGAAAATGTGAGCAGACTTACTGGCAAATCTTGCACTTGCGGTGCTTCTTGACTTTGCCATTAGACCCAGTGTGATCAAATGTGGCGCCAAAAAATTCTTCAATGTCAGCGGTTCGGAGCTCACTGCGTTGACCCTGTGTCCGCAATCGACTGAACGTCGATGTCGATGAGGATACCATCCTCACCCACTGGGTCCGAGTCTGTTCTTGCAGCCGCCTTGCGAGCTTTCTTTGCTGATGGTCAAGTATTAAGTTAGATCACATCATGAATGGGCAAATAAACTTACGTTTTGGGTTTGTGCGTGCATTTTCGTGCTCGTTGAATGTCATCATCCGAGATTTCTTCGACGTAGGGGCATTTGTTGCTAGATGTAGATGTGGTGGGCTGGACTGGCTGGGGCACAGAAGGCTCTAGTGATGGACCTGGGGTAGCAGTCTGTGGAATTTCGTTAGTAGACCTTGCAGCTTCTGCAGCGCGGAATTCGTTGATGGCCTTCGTTTGTGATGGTAGCGCTGCCCTCTCCGAGTGCTCAAGAAGGGCAGCTGTTGGTTTTGTCCGACGTATGGGGTGTGCCGCACGAGGCTCGTCACCATTGGTGGAGGCTGCAGTGTCTGTGCTGATCATATGAAGGTAGTAGGTAGGGGGGTGAGGAGGCACGTACAATGACATATTAGCGAGAAATATAAGTTAGAGTCTCGATGGACCATCAAACCTCCGAACGAATAGCATAGTAGTAAATCAAAGGACCTATTCTGACATCAGAGCAAGTAATGTCAAAAGTATTAGCGAGAAATATAAGTTAGAGTCTTGACGGACCATCAAACCTCCAAACGAATAGCGTAGTAGTAAATCAAAGGACCTATTCTGACATTAGAGCGAGTAATGTCAAAAGAAACATGGCAACTCACTTGTATATCAACAGGAACATGGTGATCCACTCGTCCGAAGGATGTCAAGTCCTTTAATCGGTCAATTCTGACATGTAGCGATGGTGGGGCGAAGCAGAAGACGAAGGTAAAAATAGAATCTGGCACTGGAAACGTGAGTCCGAGGCAGTACATAATGTACATAATACTACCCTAAAAGCCCCGGCCTGGGCCGGCGGCTTAGGCTTCGCAAAATCATGGGCCAGGCCAAAGCCCTACGCAAGCCGTGACTTTGGCCTGGCTAGGCCTGGCTCAATGGGGGCCGGCTTTGGCTGGCTCACAGCCCAAAGCCGGGCCATGCACATCACTACCAAAGAGTATCATACCTGCCACTGAGCGCTGAAGCGCCAATGGACCAGGTGGCAGGCACCATACAAGAATCAAAGTAGAGAAGAGTACAATGTGACTGTGGAAGAAGATCGATCAAAAACATTGAATCAAAAGTCTGCAACCCACATACATAGCTGGCGACTATCGATCACTTTTCTGCTGCATCATTCAAGCTAAATCATGGCCACAACTGCGGATAGGAGATCCATCTGGACGGATTGGCATGCACCATTGTCAATGGGGATGAGACTAGTGTAATGAGTCATAAGGAAGCTCAGTTGCTAGTTGCAGAAGAACACGACTTACTTGTGTACTTTCGCAACCGCTAACAAATCGGATAAGGTTCAAGGAATTAGGGTATGGCGTACTATGTTTTTGAGGGTGCGAAATTGACCCTCATTCACGGTACTGGTCAGATCAAGATACCTGATCATTGATGCAGGGTGTGGACTTGAAAATTTAGCACTGCCAGTGAAGCTGAGCCTGTGGCAGTATTGACATTGATATTAAGAGTTCTACAGCACAATCCTAATCTACACAGCTGGAGTCTGAGTCTCGCTTCAACTTGAAGCTCCCTTGTCTTTCACTAGCACTACCCACCACGCACATATTTTTATTGTTGCTGGAATCTGCAAATGTTCGCACTACTTGCACTCGATGGGTCTATGCATTCAACTAACAGCACGTAGGGACAAGTCAGCCAAGGTCAATTTCTTTGCGGTACTGGGGAGCAAACTTCACTACATTGAGTCAGTACCTGCAAACAGCAGAGTCGTGACTGATCTTCAACCACCTCAAGTCAAACGATTACGACGCTAAACAGCTCCTGGAGAGGATCTCGTATCAGTGATGCAAGTTCTACAAACTCGAGAACCCTGTAATAATTCCCGACGACTTGGACGATACCACATGTCATCCAACAATGTCTGGACGAGCATAATTGGACAGAAGTGTCACCGAATAAATCTTTGAAAGCACTGGGATCAGAACTAAGAAACGATCATGTCTACTTGGTGATCAAGCCTCTGCAACTTGAAGGTACGCTGCTGCTGTATCTGTTGACAACTGACATTCTCATCCTCTTCTTCAGACAATGAAGATGCAGCCATCGAGAATGTGCATAAGGCAGACGAAGACCTTTTCATCACTTGCAGGTCACCGTATCAAAGCTGCAGTCATGGGTCACGCAAGACATTGAATATAACTTGGACGGTGGTACCTGGCTGATTAATAGCCAAGAACAACCAGATTCAATCGCTGAGATAGAGGATCAACTAGATCGAGCGTGTACATACGCTGTACCAAACATCAACCCGCTGTCTCATGCGGACCCCCCTTCAAGGCTGTTATTGAGCTCAAACCCGTCAACCACTCCGATCGCATCCAGTAGATCGATCCCCCTCCTGGATGCGACGAGAAACCTGGAAAATGCTTCCAGTTACCAGGCACTTTTTGATAATGTATTTAGGCCCATTTTGTTCACGCCCGATGAGGATGACTCCGTCGATGTGAAGGATACCCGAGAATTCGCAGCCTTCTTCAGCGTCCTCCGGTCTTATCACCGAGACTCCGCTCTTCTTGAGAGCGACTCCTTCCTCCCAGAAGGCTAGCAATTTCACTGTGCATTTCATATCACCACCCTTCTTTTCCCGTCGTAGTGAACATTTTAAATACAAGGAGTAAGTGGGATCAACTCGTTACAGTCCAACTGACCATCATGGATTTTTCAGGCAGATGCCTTGGGGATTTCCCATCTTCCTGAACACTCTGGATAATCCCAACTCCTGGTGCAAGTTCTGCCCAACCAACGATTGCATGGTTTCGTCTACTTCGTTTCTGTGCCCTTTCATGATCTGTGAAGTGGTTTCACAGAAGAACAAGTCTGATTGATACCGCATGCTAGTTCAAGGCATCGCTCTTGTGCGCGTAGGACAATACTTCATGTCAAGCACAGATAAACTCTTCGTTGTGGCAATTTATCTCCGTGCAAGTTTGACTGTTGAAAGATATATCATTGCCCAGCCTGGTGAGGATAGAAAGGTCTGTCACTTTGTCTGTCGTTGCTTTTCATTTCTTATGCATAGGCCAGGTATTCATTGCCCAGAAAGATTTTGACCTTGGAAAGGCCGAAGAGGAAGTCGCATTCCTTCGTGAGATGTACAACCTCGCGGAAGAGCTCGACAATCTAGCAGGCAAACTTGACCCAAAGAACGAGAAATGCCTTGGCAACATCAAGAATGCCGCTCTCAAGGTGATTTCTCTCACGTCACAGGCTCAGCGCAACAAAACACCTAGAACGACACTGGCCTCAGTCCCCAAGGAACATCGTGAAATCCAGTGGTGCTCAGGATGATCTCGGCATCTTTGATGCTGATGACATTCAGTGTATTTTGAAAGAGATGGATTACAACATCTCATTCATTTTGTTTGGGGTGTGTACCACCGCAATTTATAATATAATAACATTGACAATACATCTTACAGCATCCGTTCCTAGCCTTGGTGTCAAATATCGAGGATGATTCTCAACAAGGATATCTCAAATTCGTGAAAGAGGGGCAAAAGGAGATCGAGATCTTGCGATACCTCACAGGAATTGAATCTCCGTCAAACTACACCATCTCGCCAGTCCAAATCTGGCCGGTGCAAGGGGGGTAACATCATATCAATGCCTATGGCTGGCAGCCACCTTACAAGCCTATACAACCCCAATGCACACCTATGGCCTGTTGCCAAGCAGCTGTTCGAAGCTGTTGACTTCATGCATTCAGCATGGCGTGGTGCACCTGGATCTGAAGCCTCCAAATATCCTCCTTCCTGCTGACGGTGGCCGCCTGTCTATCATCGACTTCAACAGATCTGTACACGTCAAAGGCACTGAACACATGTTCCACGGCGTCGTTGGCACCACCGGATATCTTGCGCCTGAAGTTGCGGCTGGTCAAGGCCTCTATAGTGCAATCCACGCAGACTTGTGGTCCTGTGGAAAGACATTGGAGGAGCTGTGTTCCCTTTGTAGGTCATCCAGGGATCGCAACGTGCTATTCGAAATAGCTCGAGAGCTCATGAATGAAGACCCGAAACAGCGACCGATGATGTCAGATGTCTTGAAGAGGCTGGTGTATTATGAGGTCGATGCCAATACAGGACCAGGTTACTTCAGGTAACGTGCTCCATTCTTGGTGTGTATGCCGCACTGTATGCGAGCATCCATTTAATTATTCCGGGTGGTTTCTCCTCTGTCGCACCACTGGAAGTGCACACATGAGCTCAACCTGCTTGTATACTATGTTTACCCCCAATTCTAGGTAAGAGCAGAAGATAATTCAACGGACAGCTTGATGGCCCAAGTATCCTGTATACCAGTTATACCCTTGTGTAGAAATAGGAATGTCAATCATACCACAATAGCAGCCCAATGTACCTATACCTTTGCCCTGTCAGATGCTTTTAGCGCCAAGGTTTCTTCCTAACTCGAGCACGCTGCACTCTGTGTCCCTGAAGTACATACATGATGCCATCCAAACTCAACCCAAGCTTGTACCAAGCAACAAACATACCATATTGTCATTTCACGGTTGAAGTTCGCAAGGCATTTTGAGGGAGACAACCTGACTCTCAATTTGATGAAAGTTGAAAGGTAGTAATACATGGAAGGGAAGTCTGAGAGAACTTAATGATTGATGTTTAGAACATTTGCAATGTGAGAACAAGGCAAGGCAGTGTGCATTATGATAGAGTCTGCTACGCAACTATAGGTCAGGTCAACATCAAAGCCATAGTCCAACATGTGATATGAAGGTCAAATTGTACCTTTGAATGCGAGGGCACTCTGGAATGCAGTGCATGCTATAGTCCAGCCGGCCCTCCAACACGGTAAAACCACACCTTGTAGACGCATCTCACCAAGGCTCAGCCGGAACTGAATCGACAGTCAGAATCTGTGCCCGAGGGGGGCCCTTGAACTTGTACCACAACCATGGTCAGTTATTCCCACGCTTTTTAGCGGCAAAGGTTGAGGCTCACAGCGCCCAACAGTCCACTAGACTGGCCTCCCCACCCCACCAGATACCAAGATACCAGACACTAGACACTAGATACCAGATACCAAATACCCACAACCTCCCCCACGAAATCCACCTAATAAACTAGCTGAAAACCACCCCAGACACAAGTCAAACCAACGAGAACAGAAACAAACAGGACAATAGACATACACGTAACACAACACCGAACACCGAGTCATAAAACCAAACACCCCAACCACCATTCTGCATAAAAGAAAAGAAAACTCACTACATTAACTACCCTAAGTAACGACAACACCCTCTGACACGTTTGACTGATAACAACATGTTTCGAAAACTACCCACCCATCGCCAAGACTTAATATACCACACCTCATCATCGGAGAACCAACACACACGTCAAATCCCCCACCTCGAGCCAAAATAAGAATAAGGAAATGTGTCATCGACGTAAAACAACTCGCTCTAACCTTTACCGCACATAATAGATCCCTTAAACTGACAACCAAAATAAACTCACTCCCACAGGAAACATGATAGCCCCTAGAGCACGGCCCATACACATACAGAAACAACACCTCGCTGTCACTGCACGGCCCCATAACAATGGCACCATCTCGAAATTCCAATACCCACGAAAAACACCACCAGCCCCATATAAAAGCACCCAACCGCGAAAAAAAAATCCCCAACCCTCTCATCAGCGATATGAAAGACCAATCCTCTGTCAAAGTAGCCAACACCAATGCACGCCCATCCCTGATGGGAATCCACCAGCCGCTTCCCAGACCATACCGCTCCGGCTCACAATATTTCCCCCCAAATGTTTTGACCGATGAAGGGGACTCAATGGAATCACTGTCCTTACCACCAACCCCCCTCCCCCAACCCAAGACCCACCCCACATCCCCGGCAAAAGACACTAGCGCACCAGGAAACCAACAACCCCCACTTCTGCTCCCCCCCGGTTGCAGCAGAAGCATCAACCCCATTGTTGAGGATACCTTCGAAGACCTCTTCCAAATCCATCCATGCCCCCAAGGATAATGAGGGACACTGCGATGTCTGAGGACTAAACATCACCGCACCCCTTCTCCCCCCCTTTCTAACCACTACCTCCACCCCATCCAAACCCGTCACACACTCCGAAGAGGACCTGCTCAGAGCTCACCTTGCTGTAGCGGAGATGAACCGCTCTATCGTCAAACTTAGCAGCTCAAACTCCCTCACAGCTATTCTGCACTTCACCCCCATCCCACTGGGAGGCTTCCCGCAAATTCACTTATCCCACGCGGCACAACTCTTTGACTTCCAATCCCCCAAAGTCATCACGGCATGGGTTAAAGGTCCCCCACCCAAACTCCTCATCAGAGTTTTCGACCACGACAGGAAGAACCCATCGGTTAAAGGGCCCAATTTTCATGGAACGTCTCCGCAAAGCAATCACAGACATAGCAAAACTTCGTACATAGTGACAACCAGAAGTGAAGGTATCCCCCCCATGCCCAGAAACTACCATAAAAGAAGACGACGAGCACCCCCTCAGTTTCTTAGCATATAACCTCTTGGAAGAGACGAAGAATATCATCACCTCCCAACGCATATGGTCCTCACCAGACGTAACCTTTGCGGCTCACCAATTCAGTGTTAACACCCCCCCTCTCCTTCTTTTCTGCCTACACCGGCTTCTCAACCACTGATATCAAGACTGTCAAAAACGCGGTCTTCAACACCTGGTCTGACGAAGTAACCTGCTGGGACATAGGAGAAATCCTTGCTGAGAGTGACATCCCCCACGAAGAAAAAGAGTACGCCACCCGGGAATTCATCAAAACCCTCTGGGTCAACACCTAGACTACAAAGTTAGCGGAGGAATCCCCCTTCCCCGCTACAACATCTTTGCCGCTAGCCCAACCAGCAACCCAGCGGTTTGGACCAAACTCCAAGTCTACCTCTATTCTCTCGCATACCCGTCTGAACTTGAAGGAACCGGCACGGCTATCGGTTTCTCCACATGCTCATTATGCCACTCAATTGCTCACCCTCGCGGCTTATGCCCCTTCCCAGAGACACCACTCTGGAACGGCCCAAAACACAACAACACCAAAACCACAGCCAACAATCAGAGGGGAAGAGGACGTGGAAGGAAGACCTTTTCTTAAATGACAATCTATACCAGCTCGAATACATAACACCCGCCGCATATAAGATTCCGCACCCATCAGACATATCTACCTACCCACATAGTTTGTAGAACACACCCCCCATGTAACTACGAACCTTGAATATCACCCCCACTCCGCATAAACCCAGAAACAAATGAAAAGGAGATCAATAATAACCTAACTCCTGACCATAGGTTATAAAAGAATCCCAACAGTCTGCCGAGGCGCATTTTGGACCCTTCTAACCCATAACCCACATACACTGACTGCCCAGCAGGACAGGAAAGTTATGGTAGCCTCAACGGCAATTGCCAACAGCGGAGACCTATTTAGGGTCAAGGGTTAGCCGTGCTGAGAAGCTGAAGCCACCGCAAGACGAGAATGGTGACGGGACACCTACCTCCGAAAGCACGAGCATGTACCCACCGTGGTTGTCCGGGATATGACAACCCCCACTTCCCGATGGTCGTTCCGGAAGACACTGGTACCTCGACCACCCCCCCCCCTCAACTTTTGCAAACACACCCCAACCCGGTAACATCTCTGGCCCTGGCTCACACCTCCCGAGAAGCAGAGAGGGCGAGCCTCATACCACTAGGCCACCCCTCGAGGACGCTACACAAGAGTTCGGAAGTGGAAACAATCATACGCCCCACCCGGTGTCGCACATCCATGCGCAACCTAATCACAATATTAGACACCACAAAACAAGAGAAGAAACACTCCGCACCAATAAGAGAAAGAAAACAAGAGCTAATATCCTCCTCGCCACACTAAACATGAGAGGGCGAGCATCACCACAACTAGGGAACAGCAACATATCTAAATGGACAACAATACAACATATCATGAGAGAAAAGAAAATAGGCATTTTATGCGTACAAGAGGCGCACCTGTTACCTGAGCACGAAACACAAATAGATACACTCTACACACGAAGACTGAAAGTCGTGAACTCAAGGGACCCTCACCAGCCTGGCAACTCGGCTGGAGTCGCAATAATTATCAATAAAGAAATAGTCAACCCAAATGAACTAACCATAACTGAAATCACCCCTGGAAGAGTGCTAGTCATCAAAATAAATGGCACAATGAAAAAAGACCTAACTATCGCCAACATATACGCCCCCAACAATCACACACAACACGCAGAATTCTGGAATAAGATCGCCGACACATGGCAAGAAAAACGACTCCCTAATCCAGACTTCGTCATGGGGGACTTTAATACAGTGGCTCAAAAAACCGTCCGTATGTTTTGGCATTTTTCACTATCTATAATATTGTGTGAGAACAAACAAATGCCTCAAAAACATGCTTATACCACATTGTAGTATGGCTTCAGGGCTTTCATTTGAGCCCTACACCGTGGGAATCGGTGGAGATATGGTGGAGATACAAGGCTCACAAAATGGTGACTCATGCGGACAGTTTTTTGACTCAAGTATTTTACAGTAATAACCAGGTATTCTAGTATTTTGTATGACCTCCCTTGGCTTTAATTACTGCCTCTATCCTTCTAGGCATACTCTCAATTAATTTCTGGCAATCCTCAGCTGTGATCTTCCCCCATTCCACTGCTACTCTCTCCCAAAGCTCCCATACTCCTTTAGGGGGGTTTTCATAGGCTTGAAGCTTTTTCTTGAGTGTTCCCCAGAGATGTTCAATGACATTGACATCAGGAGACTGTGCTGGCCAGTCAAGAACATTGATGTTATGTTCTTCAAACCATTCCCTAGCTCTTCTGGATGTGTACTTGGGATCATTATCCTGTTGGAAAATGATATCGTCTTCATCAATCCCTGATTCTGCCAAGCTAGGCAGCAAGTGGTCATTTAAAATGTCCACATACTGCTCAGCATTCATCTTCCCCTCAACCTCAGCAAGCATTCCCACACCATTCCATCCCATACAGCCCCATACCATTAAAGAACCTCCTCCAAACTTGACAGTCCCATTAACCTCTCTGTCTGTTAGGCCATCTCCCTTCTTTTTCCATACATACACCTTCCCATCTGACCCAATCCTATTGATTTTGGTCTCATCTGACCATATAACATGCTTCCAGTCCTCTACAGTCCAGTGTTGATGAGCTAAGGCAAAGGCTAGTCTTCTCTGCCTATGTTTGATGGAGAGAAGAGGCTTTTTCTTCTTTGTTACTGCCTTGAGATGAGCTGCCTTGAGAACATTCCTCACAGTTTGTGAAGAGACAGGGGTAGTGATGGTGGAATTGATATAATGGGTGGCTTGGACAGCATTATCAGCCTTTCCTGTAGTGATATGTTGGATAATAGCCCTTTTGTCAGTAGAGGTAAGCTTGGATGGACGTCCTCCACAAGAGTTTTCCTTGTCTGGGTGGCTTTCTTTGATGAACTTGGCCACAGTGGACTTGCATATTCCAGTTCTAGAGGAAATTTGGCGAGCAGAGAGGCCAGCATAAGACAGAGAGAGGATATTATCTCTTTGAGCAGAGGAGATGGCTTTCATGGTGATTATGACTATGATACATGAGATATTCTGGTTTATATAGTTAGATATAGTCATAAAATAACATAATGACACCACTTATAATTTATATAATAGTGGCATGATTTTTATGGTGTCATAAATAATGATTTATATAGTTTTAATATACACTCAAAAAACTGTCCACATGAGTCATCATTTTATAAGCCTTATATCTCCACCATATCTCCGCCGATTCCCACGGTGTAGGGCTCAAATAAAAGCCCTGAAGCCATACTACAATGTGGTATAAGTATGTCCTTGAGGAATTTGTTCATTCTCACACATATTATAGATAGTGAAAATGCCAAAACATACGGACGGTTTTTTGAGCCACTGTATAACGGAAGACGCACTAGATCGAGCACCAGCCCACCTTGAGAATGATCAAGCCCTTGACGCCCTCAGAAGACATGAGGTTTAAACTGAATATACAAGACTCCTGGAGAATCAATAACCCATCAGCAAGACTCTTTTACCTATTACAGTAACACAAACACACACTCACGCCTAGATCGCATCTATATGTCACCAGCCCACGAACAACATATATATGAATGGGACTCCTGCACATCAGCAGTCCCAACAGACCATAGGATGTCCTCGTAAGATACGCCCCAGCAGAAACATCTTTCATAGGCAAAGGCCGATGGTCCTGGCCCATGAGCCTGAATAAACGATGGTAAAACTAATTGAAAAAATTAGTAAAGCCGGTAAAACCATACAAATAGAATCACTCAACAACAACAACAACAACCGAGAACAGACTCGGAAAACCCACAAAGAGAATGGGAAGAATTTAAATCCCAAATCCAACAACTCGCGAAAGTAACAGTGAAAGAACACCTGAATAAAATAAGAACAAGAACAAGACAACTAGAAGACGACTTACGGAAAACAGTAGAGAACAACAACCTAGACACAAATGAAACCACAAGGCGACAAAAAGCCTGGATAGAAAGCGAGATCAACCACTTAGAAAACAAAAGATATAAAAAGAAACAACTACACTCACAAGTCGACTGGGCAACGAAAGGTGAGACGATTAGCAAATACTGGTCAAAGATTAACAGCAGTAAGAAACCCAGAGACATAATATACAAACTAAGAAACCTAACCAAAATGGCTTCGCCTCCCGGTCTGACAAGATGGCAGAAATCGCAAGAAAATATCATGAAAACCTACAAAAAGACGCTATGTCAGAAGAAGCAGAAGAAAAGAACTACCGAAATACAACACACAATGAACCAAATCCCGCAATCACAAAAGTTTAAAAACGAAGACTCACCGTTACACAACCCCCTGCAAGAACACCATATACAAGAAGCCCTGTACGCCTCAAAATCAGGCAGCGCAGCTGGTATTGATGGAATCCCGTACGAAATCTGGAAAAAACCTACATGAAAAACATATAAGTGACCAAAAACAAGAGCTACCCAGCTTTAATATAATCAAAACACTTACTTTAGTAATAAACGACATACAAGAACACGGAGTTGATGAGAAAACAGGTTTCGCCCTAGGCTAGATGTGCCCAATATATAAGAAAAAAGAACATTCTGAAATAGAAAACTACCAACCTATAACACTGCTAGACACAGACTACAATATCCTAAAAAAAGTGTTAGCCATGCAACTTGCGAGAGAAATACACCCACTGATACACGCCGACCAAAGCGGATTCATACCTCAACGCTCCATCTTTGATCCTATCCGCCTAGCAAAGCTCATGATCGAATACGCAGATATTACAGAGGAAAACGGTGTCCTAGTCGCGCTTGATCAAGAAAAGGTGTACGACAGAATAAAACATGACTACCTGATCATGACCCTTGAAACCTTCCAGATCCCGCAAACATTCATAAGAACAGTTAAAGCACTATATAAAAATGCACATACCAAGGTGGCCATAAACGGAGTGCTCAGCGCCCCCTTCCAAGTCACAAGAGGTGTGCAACAGGGCAACCCCCTCTCGTGCCTCCTTTTCAACCTTGCCATTGAACCATTAGCATGCACCCTGAGAAATACAGAAAAATTAAAAGGGTACAACATACCAGGACTTACTGACAAAGTCATAGTGAACCTATATGCCGATGACACAACAATTTTCTTAAATGAATCAGACAAATACCATGACCTGGAAGAGATCCTATCAAAATGGTGCCGGGTGTCAGGAGCTAAGTTCAATCTTGAAAAAACTGAAATAATCCCCATCGGATCAAAAAACGCACCATGATTGAGTACTCCAAACACGACAAACTAACCCCTGTGAACCACCATTAAACAATAAAATTAAGATAGCCCCAGATGGCCACCCCGTCAGATCTCTGGGTGCCTGGATCAGTAACAAAACTGAAGCTTCAACTCCATGGGAACCGATACTGAACAAAATCAGACTAGCACTAAAGAAATGGGGAAACAGTCACCCAACACTAGATGGTAAGAAACTCATAGTACAAATGATTGCAGGCGGCATGACCCAGCTCATGACTAAAGCCTAAGGAATGCCAAAGAATATAGAAACGGCACTAACAAAAATTATACGCAACTTTATCTGGGACAACGCACGCACTCCCCCCATCAACTTAGAACAACTCCACCATCCAAGAGGAGAAGGAGGTATCGGATTACTAGATATCAAATCAAGGAACGAAGCAATTGAAGTAACTTGGGTAAAAACGTACCTGAACCTATCTGAATTGAGGCCGGCATGGGCATCCATTATGGACCTACTACTGAACACAATCAGATCAGAAAACACAGAATACAATAAAACAAATCCATTCCTCACATCCTGGATCCCCCCAACGAAAGGCCCAAGATTCACCTCACTACCCCGAGAAGCACAAATGATACTAAAAACTGCAAAGCAATTCAATATAAGTTTCACGCCAATCAAAATATCAAAAGAACTAAAAAAGAACCTACCATTGTGGTGCCACCTAGGAGCCCCCAAAAACACATACAACAAATCAAAAAACATCAAACAACTAATAAAATTAAGGAAACGACTGACGCAAATAAGTGAACTCGATCAACACTTCCCAAGAAATACATGCCCTTGCAAAGCATGCCAAAGAGACAGAAACAAAGGGTGTTCCAACCCACACGCATGCACACAATATGCAAATGAAATCCTATACAAAATAGCCCCCAAATTTAACACAAAAACGAAGCCAAAGAAAGACAACCTATCACTGACTCACCGAAGAAAAGAAAAAAAACCAACAGGCACACAAGAACCAAAACGGAGAAATCCTTTTCGACCCAACAGTAACAACCCACTCCAGTCTAGCAAACTGTTTCAGGATCTTCACAGACCCAAAATACACATCACTAACCCCAGCACATCGCCTACAGGCACCAACAAGGGGACTCAACCTCCTACAAATAATATAACAATCTTCACGGACGGATCATGCACAAATAATGGAAAAGATAATGCACAGAGTGGATGTGGTATATGGTTCGAAGAAAACCACCCTAAAAACCTCGCGTTTAGAATCCCTGGATGGAAACATTCAAATCAAATAGCAGAATTATCAGCGATACTAGTAGCCTTACAAAAAGTAGAACTCTACATACCTATAACCTTTGTTACAGACTCCAGATACACGATAGAAGGACTAACCAAACATCTCCCATACTGGGAGGACACGGTGTGGGTATCACAACCTGGCAGGCACATATAAGAAAAGTGCTCAGCCAGTATAAGTGAGTCTTGGCTCTGCCTAGCTGCTATACTCGCAGAATGCAAGAACGTTCGACCCTAAAGGGGAAGCAAGGAAAGCAAGGATCCACGGAATGATGCTGAACAATCCTGGTGAATGGCGGTGAAAGCGCGAGAAAGCGCGCGCGGGAAAGCGAAGTGCGAAAGTGCGCGGAGCGCGGGAAGGTAGTGCAAGCAGTGCACAGGTGTAAAAGATATATACTGAGACTGATAAGAGGGAAAGCGCGGATCTAGACAGATACTGATAGTGCCACTAGCTATAGACTGATGCTAGGGCCTCAAAACAATGATGGACACATGCATTGCATGGAGCTAACTGGTGATAGATACTGAGTGGTAGGAAGGTAAGGTGGAATTAGTTGGGTGTAAAACGAACATGAGAGTATGTAAGTTCTACCTAAGCGCTCTCCCAGGGCTCGGAGCCGAATAGGGAGCGCTCTAAGTATGTAAATGAGGTAAGGTGATGTAAAGTAAGGGTGCATAATGAAATGGGAAGTGTAATATGCTAAATATGGTCAGATAACGAAAAGGGACATACCGAGGGACTGGTTGGACGATGGATGGATGCTCCTGGATGCTGTGCGACATAGTGCGCTTAAACGCGAGAAAGCGCACAAGGCGCGCACGCGGGAATACTGCGCATTGTGCGGGAAAGTGTTGCGCCTATGGCGCGTTTTGCGGGAAGTGGTGCGCATGATGGTGGAAGTCATAGTGGATGATGGTGCAAGTTGTGCAGTAAAGGCCAGTCATCAGAATTTGTAATATGAGCCCATATGAGCCTGCAGAAACGCGAGTCTCTACAACGGGATGGATTGAAGTAGCAAATAGCGAGATCATCAGAGCAACAGCATACCAACTGCGAAAACGATCCGCACAAACATCATTTCAATGGATATAAAAGGGCATAATGGCCACCAAGGGAACGAGCAAGCCGATACCTTAACAAAAGAAGGGGCAAGTAAACCAACCCCAGACGAACTCGATCTAAGCATCCCCGACAAATTTAACCTACAAGGAGCAAACTTATCAGCAATAACACAAGCACTCGCCTATAAAGGCATCAGACAAAAGATAAACATAACCCCACGAAGAAAGACCACAAACAACCTAGATGTAACAAGATACGCACTCCAAGAACTAACAGGACAACTAGAAACGGACTCCACCATATGGACAAACAGTAGACATAGAGACATACCAAGGAAGATAAGACAGTTCCTATTCAAAGTGTTACATGGCGCATACAAAATCGGAGACTACTGGACAAACATACCAACGTACGAACATCGAGCAAGATGCGCCAACTGCAATGCAGACGACGAATCCATGGAACACATATTGACCGAATGCCCAAGCAATAGTAGCTCATTAATTTGGTCTCTAGCAAAAGACATATGGCCAGAGAATTTCGGAGCTTGGCCCAGAATAAATATAGGCGTAATCCTGGGCTGCGGAAGTGCAAATATAAACCCACACAGACAAAACAACGAACCCGAAAACCACAGAAACCAAAACCACACAAAGGCGCCTCCAGACTTTTAAAAATCTTGATAGCGGAATCAGCATATCTCATCTGGACCATGAGATGTGACAAGACAATACTGTAGAGATATGCACTTAGGTTCGGCCCTATTGAGGTGTGACCAAATGAACATTAGGTTCGAAGGTTCACAGGGGGGATGTGACATGTGACAGGCTGCGCTTAGGTTTGATGACCGTTAGGCAAACACATTCCTTTGTAAGTATAAGCATGCTGATCCTTACGCTCAACCAGGAAATGCTCACTTTACAAGCTTCGTTTCTAACTTTATGTCTGTCTGTCTGTCTGGCAACACAACAGCTTCCCTGTATGTTGTTGTAAAGTCTTGTCAGTGTGGATCCTCGGCATGCCTGAGCAATGTTTCCATGGATGTTGTTCTGCAGCATATTGCATTGGGTGAATCAACTGTCCCTCATGGCTATAGCGCTGATGAATCAGGTAATCTGCTGGTAGACAACGAGTCGGAGAGCTATGAGCAAGTGGTACTGCCAGTGGATGACACGGAGCTTGAATCTACAGTGAATGGGTCTAAGGAGGTTGAGGCTGGGGGCCGTGGAAAGCGCAGACGCGTTGCAAACACTCAGTACAAGGATTTTTGGCTGCACTAGACCTTTTTTTCATGTTTTTACCATATGTCACAGTTTAGGTTCGACGGCCTCAAATTGGTGTGACCGTCACACAAAATAGGTTCGATTCGCTAGGCGTGTGACGGTGTGACGAACTTAGGTGCGTATCTCTACAGTAAACGGAACAACACTCACCAAACAATCAATAACAAAGAGATGGTCATCAATAATAAGCAAACGGTTACAACTAGACAGACTTACAGCGAGAAAAATAAATCGCACACCATCATTCCTAAAACTAATAACATCTACATGGCACGACATAATCACATCACATGACCCCCTACCAAAAAACTGGGCAATCGCCCTTGAGGTTTTTAGTGGGTATTAAGCCACCCAGGCCCTCTTTGAACGAGGCAACCAGGTAGTAAGAGCCCCACACACCCCGTTAAACGGGAGTGCGTAAACTCATTTTCTCCTCGGACCGGGACCCTAAGTATCCCGCTATAGCGCATATTCGTAGGACTAGATTTTGTCAGTTGCTACAAATATACATCGCTTGTCTAAAAAAATAAAAGAATCTGTGCCCGAACAGCAGAAATTTCCTTTGCATTGATGAATATAATTCCATCGGCTCGATGATTTTGTCCACGGTACCGCGGTCCATGAGTTCCAGGAGCGTCAATTTCCTATCGTATCCCTGAACCCAATTATGATAGGAAGCGACCGTGAGCTTGATAACCCTACGAGAAGTCCTACAGGATAAAGTGTGCACGTGACAAAGGTCAAATCGACGATGTACTAAAGCGCTTGAGCACCATGCCGCCGAGTATGTTGTGTTGATATTCTCAATCAACGATAAGTAGCGGCACGTACGACAGCTCATACATGTTGTAAAGATTACCACACTTGCCACCACCTAGACTCGCGACCAGCCCGTCTATGGGATGACACGCTCAAACATATATTTCAGGCTTTTTGGAATAATCATGTCATCTCCTGGCTGGATTTAAATGGAGTGTGTTTGGGGGGTCTGCGGTCTTGCCTTGATATTTTATCCAAAGGACAAAAACTTGCAAAGGTATGCATTTTCCTAATAATTCTCAATCCACCTACCCGACAAGCTGATATTGCCTTGCTTCAGGTTCGATTTTATGACAGCCCTTGTAGTTCTCTCTCATTCCCGGTCTGTAGTTTGAACCCGTCAACGCGCAGCCCAATAAAGGGCTATCAGCCATCGATCCTGATTTCCAACACTCAACAATGGAAGCTTCGGCACCCGCGTCTACCTCTGAAATGCCGACCAGAGCACCGTCAACTCCACCAACTACGCTTCTCACGGAAGAGCTTGCCGTTACCCCACATGCGAAGCCTGTTCCTAATCCTCGCCCATTAGCCCAACCTGCTTCCTCTACTTCCCTTCCTGCACCACCCTTACCACCCGTCCCTTATCCGAGGCCCAACACTGCTGTGTCACATTGGCACATCCAGAAAGCGCACGTCGGATGAATTTCGAATCAATCGCAATAGCCAGCTCGAATCGGACACCCCTAGCCCGTCAAAACATCGGAAATGAGTCGAGCATCGTTTGCGACGCAAGATTGGCAAGAATGCAGTATGCTGTGAGTGTTTACACGTTCCAATTTGAAGCCTGTTCACACCACCAGGTCAATCTACGAGAGCATGATTGCACTTAGTATGATGACTGTAAAGTATCTTCGCATTTACTTTCTGTGTCAATCTACGGTACTGTCATAATTTACACCAGTGAATAGCATATTCCAAATTATATACGGACAAGGGCTCCCTTCGGTTGGCTCTACGACAATGTATTGTGGTTGCAGTAGCAACTCAGGAAAGACTGTATTATCGTCGTCTCTGCACATAGACAGTGTTATCACTCTCGACAACGCTGTGCACAATCGACCGTGAGGGAAGGAATTCAAGTTAGTCCGGAGGTCGAGCACGGTTTGCGCTAGCGTCAAACCTCAATTGACATCCATTAAGTGTACAGATAGATAGATAGAATAGCACTAGGGCTGTACTAGTGATCCTCGGCGCTCTCCCAGACACAGATTCAACTGTTGTCGTCCCAGGGCTATGAGTTCAAGTTGTAAGGGCTCTCATGTACAAAATATTGATTGATTGACGTCACAGCGATTGGCATTGGTGACCAAACAGCTTTTGTAGTAGTATCGGTATTATTTTTAGCCAAGCGCTGCTCGCAAGACCGCGATCTGCCTGTCCAGCGTCTTGCGACTTGGTCCACCAATAGATGTCCTTCTCTCAACGCTGGCTTCGAAGTCAAAGACCTCGACCACATCGTCGGAGAACTTTTCGTGTAAACCCTTGTAGTCCTCAACAGACAATCCATTCAACTGGCATTTTCTAGCCTCGGCCAAAGCAACGGCACGGCCAGAGACGTGATGCGTCTCACGGAAGGGCACCTACTCAGTCGTCAATAAGTAATAACTGTGAGCCGATAAGAATACGAACCCCTTTCCGGACGAGATAATCAGCAAGATCGGTAGCGAGGACATCCATAGTCAGTGCTTGTTGCATCCTTTCGCCATGAACCTATTTGACCACCACGTCAGTGAGTGCCATAGAAATGAAATCAGACAGACCTCCATAGTCGCTATGACACCCTCTGCGATCTTGAGCGATGCAGAGATGTTGTCAACAGTGTCAAATAGTGGTTCTTTGTCTTCTTGAAGATCTTTATTGTATGTCGACGGCAAACCCTTCAGCGTCATCATGAATCCTGCCATCTAGGAAAGGGATTGCGCTCGTGAAGATCAATAGCACCACAATACCACATGACGTACATTGCCAAAGATGCGCCCAGATTTTCCTCGCAATAATTCAAGAGAGTCTGGGTTCTTCTTCTGGGGCATCATACTCGAGCCGGTGCTAAAGGCAAGGTATGATTACGCCTCAGACTGCCGTCCGGACAAAACCATACCTGTATGCATCGCTGAGAGTGACAAAGCCAAACTCGGCAGTGGAATATATGATCAAATCCTCAGCCAGACGGCTCATGTGAGTCATGGTAAGGCTTGACCACATCAAAAATTCGACAATGAAGTCGCGATCACCGACCCCCCCACATGCTGTTTTCGGCAAGTGAAGTGAACCCCAGTTCTTTGGCAAGAAATTCGCGATCAATTGAGAATGGATTGCCAGCTAGGGCACCGCTTCCCAGCGGCAGAACAGAAATACGGGGGATGAGTTGTTGAAGTCGCTCAAGATCGTTGCGGAACGAAAAAGCGTGCGACAACAGGAAGTGCGACCACCGAATGGGTTGTCCTCGCTGCCTCACCATGAGCGGCCCCCTTGTATGAGAAGTATGCACCTACTTGGAGATGGGTATATCCCGGGAGGAGAATATCTCTCTCCTTGTCTGCACGCTCTACTATGATGCGCAAGAGACCTTTAAGACTGGATTCGATATCATCCACTTCACCGAGAAGCCAAAGGCGCATGTCAGTCGCCACTTGATCATTGCGAGACCGTCCAGTATGAAGTTTTCCGCCGAGTGAGCCGATTAGCTCGCTTAATCTGCGTTCGTTTGCAGTATGAATGTCCTCATCATCAGCGGCAGGCTGAAACTGTGAGGCAAGGTTATCAAATGAAACGACGGATTGAGTGCCTCGTGAACGAAGTATGTACTTGACCGGTTGCCCATTCTCGACCGACAGCATCTAAACCTTGAGTCATTTTGACTTCTTCTTCCTCGGTAAGAAGACCAACGCGTCGAAGAGCTTTTGCATGCGCAATGGACCCACGAATATCGGCAGCATGCATCCTTTGATCATACTTAAGGGACTGATTAAACGCATGCATCCTTCGAGACCATCAGAATATCAGTGATTCATCGAGAGTCATATGCGTACAGAGGATCCGTTGTGCCTGTAAACCTCCCGCCCCATAGTTTTTGTTTTGTGGGTTGATCGGTCATCGTGTGTCGACAGAGAGAAGGGGTAGATAAGTCTCCCCTAGACAGACCCTTATGAAATCGATTAGATGAAAGTTGTTCCTCTGAATCCTCTCATAGTTGATGACGGTCCCACATCCGTTACGATACCAGCTCATGAGTGCAATGTCGAAAGTTTATGACACATCGGATATGGTGTAACGGTTAACATTGCTGTCTTTCACACAGCGGCCCCGGGTTCGACTCCCGGTATCCGAATTACTTTTTGTCACGCCACCAAGTCGTGCAGTGGTCACTCGACCACTTCGAACTTTACAGAGGGTGACAGATTTAGATTCCCTTCAAAAGTCTAAACAGCCCTCTGCGACCGAGGCCCCCAGGTAGCTCTAGAGTCCCACACACCCCGCAGACAATGGGAGTGCATAAACGCATTCGGACCGGTGTTTCCCAAAACTCCGCTATAGCGCAACCAATATATACGCATCGCTCGTCTAAAAAAAAAGCCTAAACAGCTGGAGTCATCCTGACACAATCCCGAGGCGGCCACTATAGATCTACTCAACAAAAAATATGCAGTGCCATGTCTCATGCCATGGCATTTCTTGACCGGTATCACGGGCTCTACCGTGACGGCGGCCTTAGCTCGATCAATTTTCACAAACTGTCCGGCCGGTGGCCAAATTCCAGTGACAGCCGAATTCGATTGATTCTCGGTGGTTGTTTCTTGTGAACATATTCCTTGCATTACAACGAGCCTGCATGCATCTCAGAAGTGAATGTTAGTATTTTTCATTCTCGACTGGCAATATGAGCCCAGGATTCGCGTTTGGTTCGCAGGGTGTCTACTGCGTTAAGATGTTCTTGACACCGGCTACTACCAGTAGTATCACCGTTTCTGAGGCATCGATCGCTGAGCGCTGAGCTCCGAGACCTAGAGAACTTGAAAACTCAGTACTTAATAATCTCCAAGGAATCATGATGAACATTACATCATCGACTGTGCTTGACATCAACTGTCAATTGTTCAATGACGATAAAAATCAGTGACGACCGGCGGTACCCATCAGCCATAGTGTAGAGTGCCATGCCTTCAGAGAGCGAATGTTTTCGATTTGGCAGTTTGATCTCAAGCCCGTGATTTCCGAGTGTTCTAGTTACTAACTATGGCTTGCCACGGTTTGTTGAAACTGTCTGATGCTGGCCGGGTACTAGAACACTTCAAGGGGTTCCTTCACTCTCTTGCTACCACCGCGGTGCAAGCTCCTTTTTTTTTGTTATGATCCGGGTCGCTAGAGTAAAGTCGCCGATTCGGACTCCCGCAGTATACCTTTTGCCCCTCCATGCCACGTGCTGGCGGCTATTTTGGGAGGCTTAGCAGTTACATGGCTGACGCGTCGTCGAAGCTGTGCGCCTTATAAGATCGACACACCTCCACCTCCCCTTCCCCTCCTGCCACCACCATCGTTGCGTATTCGAGCATCCTTCCCTCCGCTCTTCACAGTATGTCTCCCCCTTGTTGATCTGATCTCGAGCTCATAGTCAATCGTTTACAGGTTCTCACTCACTTGCCACCACCATGCCTGCCAAGAAGCGTTGTCAATTCCAGTCTGAGACTCCTTGCAATTCTGCAGCTCTTCGCATAGTTGGCCAATGCCCACATTGCAGGGCAGACTTCTGTGGCGCAGTTAGTAAATCGCCCATTACGTCGTGTGCAATTCACTCATCGCACCCCTTTCAGCATCGCTTGCCTGAACATCATAATTGCAACAACCTGGAGGATTGCCGGCAGCAAGCCTTCGAGCGCAACAAGGCAAAGCTAGAGAGCGAACGCACTGTGGCTTCTAAGATGGCTACTGCATGATGGTGCCCCCTCTACGTGCCGATATTATGTCGCTCCTCATCAACATTTTTCTTTTGCTGGCCTCTGCATTATTAGCATGTCCCACATCCCGCTATTTTATATTACTTGGTCTTCCATCTATTGCGTCCCATCCATCCATCCTTTCCCACACCGTGACACTTAGTGATACCTCGGTCACCTCTCCGCCATCTATAGGACGCTCGATCTGTTCTGGGTTGTACTGCTTGTAATTTGGTTTGTAATAGAATTTTCTCACACACGTATACTTTGACAACGAGAGATGTACGTTTGCATCACTCGGCTGGGCCTGGTTTATGTCGGACTTTTTTGTCTAGGTATCTTCTGGATTTATCTTTCTTTACATATGTATTTGTCCGGTTTCTGATCATCGTCATGAAGAGCCGCTGAATCATTAGCCGTCTTTTTCACATGCCCGGAATCCAGATGGACGATCACAGCAACGCCAGCAAACAACGGAATGGTCGATTTAAAGGATTTGAGCTGGCGGTTCGTGCACTCGGAGAGTAGCTGCCCTGTAGCGGCATCGATAACGATAAGTTCAGTGGCCTTCCGCTGGCACGTCTCTGACTGCATTCGAAAAGTAGAACTCAAAATACTATCAGCCCTTTAGGCTTTGGCCCATCCACATCATGAATCTAGCGACATGTCAAGATATGATCTAGATCTAAGACAATATTTTGGTTACCACAACCTGATTTAGCAGTCCATCGATTGCGTGATGTTCGTGCATGTTGCTAGACGTTGCCCTACCCATTCAAACTCACTGTGACCTCAGTGAGGGCAGGTCGCAGCATCTGTTACTCCTGTCGCAGAATGCAGCATCGCTAAGGTTCTCGGCTAACCAACATGGTACACAGGAGTATATCAGCAGGCAAGTGGCACCCGTCACGATTGCGTCACTGCGCACGGCATTCAAAACCTTTCATGGTCCAGAACTAAGTTGGCAATAGGATGATTCCTCGCTCCATCCGACAGGCGCGTATCAGCTGCGACAAATTGATACTGTTCGCTGACCGATTGTCAGACTGAGTGTGGCGTATAATATGGATATGTGTGACAACAACAAGCCTCAGTCCTCCCTGTCATCAAATGTGCGTCCTCTTTACCTCTGCCATACTCTGAACTCAATCACCGCGCCTACGCCGCTCAGATTTGTAAATGATCTTACCCTAACCTCGATCATAAATATCTCTTATCGCGGGTTTACCGGGGACTTCACCGCCGGGTCAAGGCCTGGCGCAGTTCGTTCATGAATGATCTCAAATGACGCTGGTACTGTTGTAAAAGGGCGCGCCGTTAGCGTACAGACCATCTCCGGATCTGGTGCGTATGACGTTTGTTCCTGAGCACGTTTTATTGTTGGGATAGCCACAAGCATGTTTAATGAAAATGGTCGCAGTGAAAGTTCACAGCTGACTAACAGACCATTTTTAAGAGTGTTGTACCCGACCTCTGGGTCACCCCTTACTATTACCCGGCCACCATGGCCGTGCAATTTGATGCCCTACGAAGGGCAGCGCTGCGCTCGGTGTTCTTCCTACACGCTTGTGCCCAAGTTGACCTCAATCGTGACTCATGCAAGCGGCGACCTCGACGACGAGGCGTGGGCGGTACATCGTGGAGAAGGACTCCTATGCCCATGTTCGTGTGTCAGGTCAGTGGGTTATTAAACTACTACAGCATAACAAATTGAGTAACGTTGGAGCTTCGCCAGAATACGCGAGTGCACTACACGTCAGTCCTAGGACCTACGAAGGAGCTAGTCGTTGGTTTTGACGTGGCAAGCCACTTCACGCCTGGCAAGTCAATTTCCTTATGGGCATATGGGTTGCGCTATTTACATCGGGGCGTATGACATATGCATGCTCAGGTGGGTTTGCGATTTTGATCTCTCATATTATCAACTAAATTTACACGTTTATGTGTGATTTGTGTGGGTTACGTATGACGGGACGACATGTGTTGGAGTCGAGGACTGGGCTACTAGAGAATAGATGACTAGGACGCTAGTAATGAAATGGGGGATGTATGTGCATGTGGATTATCATCGGTATTCGGGGAGCGTGAGAAGGAAAGGAATCGAATACGGGGGAACACGAATATAGTGACGTCAATATGTGCCTTGTGGACTAATACAGCCGATGACATCACAAGGAAATTTACAGGTTTGCTATTCCGATTCTCCGGACTTGCCTAAACTTGATCCCATTTTCCGCGGTGTCAATTCGACTTGTGCAATCTCGTCCTACCTCAGTATTCCGTTCCGGTCCCTTCTTGTTCTTTTCCGTTTCTCTTTCTTATCCTTTCTTGTAATTCTTTGCCTCTTGTCCCGGCACCCGAAAGCCTGAGCTTGGCTAGCGCTTCAATCTTCTGGGCTACTGCTGCTGCTGCAAAATTTCACCATTCACCACGGTGCAATCTCTCATCCGCAGGCAGTTCTTCAGTAATGCGTCTGTATTATTCTGTAATGAACTTGTGTGCTAAACTAACCAAGATTGACTTGCTGCATTGTGGCCTTGCGTCATTTCTTAATTCGCTCTTTTACTGGGCAGCCCGTTGTCCTCGTGTCCCCCTCACTTCACTCCCCGCGGTCCTTCCTCGAGGGGTCTTATAGAAAGGCCTCTTCCAAAGTCCGTCCCCATCATTTTTCTATTTCCTCGATGTACCTTACGCCAACATGGGTAATGTAGTGTCTCTTGTCGATATTCAACACAGCAACCCTGCCTCAGAGGATCCTGTACCAGTGGAACCCGTTTCCGACGCTCATCAACGTCCTTCGGCTCCTGCAAGGACAACCATTCCTCCTTCTCGTATCCATCTGACTTATCCACAGGTGCTGGGCGCCTTCGCACTACCACTTATTATTTCCCCTTCTCCGGGTGAGAATCCTCTTGATTCGCCTCCGCTATCGCCCACGCTTTCCTTCCATACTGCTCCTTCCACACCTGTCACCTCTCCGCAAGGCGAAGATCCACCGCCAGATCCTCCGCCTGTTCCTATCTTTGGCAATTCCACACCGTCCATCACCACCGTTCATCAATATTCCATCAATAGCGTCTGTTGAAATCGAAACAATACCAACACCCGAGGCCCTTTCATCGCCTGACTTTGCACTAGATTTCACCCTCGATGACGAGGGTTTAAGTACCCTTGAAAAGATATACCTTTTTTCTCGTAGTAGATCAGCGCATCACAGGTAGGCTTTGGGTAGTAGTAGCGCTTAAACACTACTGAGAACCAAGTATCGCGCACAGGGTATTTATTTCACATGCTCTACCAGCATTCCTAGCGCAGGTATCGCCTATAGAGGCTGTCGAGTATGTCCTACCGCTGCTCCCGAGCTTGTCTGTCGATGAAGGTGTGTGCGTCGCGCAGTTCCGGGGTTCTCCGGCTTTAATGATATTTCTAGACGAGGCAGTGAAAGAGGCTCTATCAGCGGAACTTGTTTCCATCATGTGGTGGTTTTTCACGGTCGGTTTACCTCATTATCAATTTTGACCCTGTGACATTGAATTTCATCGCATATGTAGCACTGTCACTTGGTTGAGGAGCCGAGTGACCCGTCTAATGCCGATTATTCTCAGCCTCAATCTGACGATCAGGTCACATTAATCTCAGTGCAGGCGTTCACTCCTATTCTAGCAACGCTCCTCCTGAGCTCAAATGGGGTTGTCAGTGGTTCCACGAGATCTGCAATTGTTGAATTACTGGCAAGAATACATAAGGCTGATGATCTAGGAGACCAGCACGCTGATGTCCTATCTTACGGATTATTCGGGAGACACGAAAGGATGCTGTTTGAAGAAGAGGTCATCCAGCAACTTGTGATAGGTATGGGCCGCCTTGAACCAGGCGAAGATGAAACAGATCCGGATGAAGTGTGGTATACACCCGCGTTAGAGGTTCCTCAGCCAGATCCTTTACCAAGCAACAGTCCCGTCAATCCGTATTTTCCAAGCACGCAAACATCAGCAACGCGCACCCCTGTGACAACGTCGAATCCACCTCCCGTTTCTAACCTTCCTAGCCCACCAGCTGGTGTACCCCCGCCCTATCCTGAAGCCGGAGTCATCGGAGTAGACATATCACCTATGGTTGTATTATCTCTTCAGCTGGAGGATATTGGTCAACACAGTCCAATGCAGACCACTGAGGGACCCTGGGAGCGCGACTCGATACCTACCACGACTCACGCTGGATCTGCAGATTCGGATACTGAGATGGACGACGGACAAGACATGGATCCCAGCGAACAAGCCGCTGTTGGACGACTATCAAGCATGAGTCTCATTGCTGCCGTAGTTGCTGGGGGTATGTATGATACCAACTTCATCATACAACTTTGTCAACAATTCTTTTCATGCAGGCACGCCGAGGGCCGATACTCAACGTGCTTTCGTGAGAGAAGTTGAACGAGTCGGAAGAGATCCTATCCATTGGGTCAGACGAGAGGCGTCATTTGCATTGGGTGCTCTTGCAAAAGTCGTTCCCGATGAGCTTATCATTGGCTCGCTCGTGAGTACGCTGCATTCAAGCTTACCAAGTTCTTATCACTTGTCCCCGTAGCTTCCGTTGTTCGAATCTCTACGTGCCGATCCCGCATGGCACGTGAGGCACTCCTCTCTTTTTGCCTTGCCTGCGCTTTTGTCACGTTTGCCGTCAGGCTTGCGCCGATCAATCGCTGTCTCTACTATCATACTTCTGTCGCGAGACGAATCTGCTCCAGTGCGCACTGGGGTCCTAGAGGCTCTCGGGGAAGTTGTATATACCTTCCATGACGATGATCACGGACCACCCGATGAACTTCTACGTCTGTTCCTTGGCATCGACAATAACTCTCCACCACGAGAACGTTATGCACACCCTACTCGACGATCGCCGTTACAGGTACTATCCGGTACGTATTGATGATTCATCGACCGTGTGTGATGATTAACGAATACTTTTCTTTTTCATGCAGCGAATGCTCCGGTGTTGATGGCTGATGATGACCCGGCTCGTCCGCTTGCGTGTGCATTTAACTTCCCTGCGGTAGCATTTACCCTTGGCCGAGCGCGATGGGGAGAGCTACGAGGACTATACCTCACACTCGCGCAGGACCGCTCGCCTAAAATTCGGCGGACATTAGCTGCTAGCCTGGGTGAATTAGCCAAGATTATCGGACCAGACAATGCTCAACGAGATATGATGAGCCTGTGGTGGGATGCAATGCGATCTGAAGACGATCACGAGATTAAATTCAAAGCAATTGAGGCTGTCCCCCTCTTCGTTGAGGCTTTGGGTGAAGGAAGGGCGAGGGATGAGGTGATCGCTGGTCTGCTCAATGTATGGGAGGAGGGCTGGCTGCGCAATTGGAGAGCACGTGAAGGCGTCATCAAGATTATCGCTGACCTTGCTGGCGGACCTGAACGACCTGACAATATACGTGCACTGTTAAAAAAAGCGCTTGAAGACGACTTTGGTGCAGTGAGGGAGACTGCTATCTCTGTGGTGCGTGGAGGCTTGACAAACAGTGGTTCTGATTAACAAGGACTTCGTCCTGCTCTGAAGATCTGTCGAATAGCGCCGCAAGACGTCTGGAGACCTACTCTCAACCTGATCAACGAAGATATACTTTCACTAGCTAACTCTCCAATTTTTCGAAGACGAATGACGTAGGTGCATCCTCTACTTCATTCAGCCTTTTACATTGTTCTACAGGTTTGTTGCATGCCAACAGGCTTTAGCATCCTCAGCAGGTGGGCTATCAATCTTAGTGGATGATGCAAGATGGCACACTCTCGAGCGGTTAAGCAATGATAGCATAGTGGGCGTTCGCATTGGCGTTGCTCGTTTATTTGGGTCGATACTTGGTATGTTTCTGACTTTACACCTTGCACCGCATTGCTTACCCTGTACTAGAAAACGCTTTGCGCGACACATCTGTAGTGCCCCGGCGAATCTTTGACATGATAGATCATCTGCAGCAGGACTGTTCTGCAGAAGTCCGATCTTATATTCCTAGTATGGCCGACCTTCAGCATGGCCGGACAATATTCCCCTCTCACTCGGATAATTTCTTGACCTTTTCCCGCCCACCTCCCTTGTCCTCGTAGAAGAAAAATCATGAAGCCCGTCTTCCCAATGGCCGCTGGTCGAATGTTCGGCTGGATCTCTGTCGCTCTTGACGAAGTCACCATCGGTGTATAATAATAATTTTGTTCTGGACTCCATCTGTCTGACTTCATTTAACTTGTCATTACTCAATCACCCATCTGTATTATAAAGCTCATCTGTCATAAAAGTCAAACGCATTTTCTTAGATTATGATAAATATTTTTGGGAAGCGTATTTGTGAATGTTTGAATAGCGGTGCTTGTACATCGGGTGCATAGTCATGGGACCTAAGTTAGCGCAAGACAGTCATTCTTGCACAAAGCTGGATCTTTGTGGCTAAGCTCCCCTCCTTTGCTCCTCCCGCCGTGGGGTTTAATCTCTCAGGCCCTTTAATCCGCATATGTACTCCTAAAATCTTATCAATATCGAAAATGAAGTCTACTATGTTTTTCGCTCGTTATATTCTGTTCGGTATGCCTTGTTTTCTCACCTCTAGACGTTTTGTCACATATCCTTCGCCCGATAGGTCTTTTCGTCGTCTGTAATGCCATCATATGCACTGTTGCTGTATGGAATCACAGCCTCGTCCAAGCTACAGGAAGCCAGACTGGTACGTAGTGATTCATATGGGTCATGACATCACTCTAAGCTCCATCCTCAGCGCAAGTCGATGTCTATCTCATATTTCTGGGCGCATTTAGTCTTGCTTTTATATTCCCAATGCAAGTGTCCTGTGTTTGTTGTTTCCAAATACTGACATCTTCTCTAGTATCTTCGCCGACTTACTATGTACAGATCCATTCTCTGCGCGAGTGTGGATTGAATGCGCATGGGTAGCACTCATCTGGCTCATGCAATTGGGTACGTTTCTCCGTGCTTGTCGGTAAAATATGTTTCACATTTACTTCAGGTGGTGCGGCCGCCGTGACCGCAATTGCACCGCATATTCAATGCTCCGCCCAAGGTTGAATCCATCATCTTTTAACCGAACCATGTGCTAATTATACATCTAGCCACCAAAGTGAATCACAACTCCTGTTTGTCGACCAATGTTCTTGTAGCTTTTACTTGGATCTGTACTATTATATGTACGTTCCAGACTTTTTCATCTCGCCCTGCTGATTAGCTCACTGTACTAGTGCTTCTTTATCTGTCTCTTCTAGTCGTAACAGCGGTTACGACACAAGCGATCGATCCAGGTGTATGGCATCACAATGTTCGTTATCTCCGCATTGAGACCACTCGCCAATGCTTGCCTAGTGCTCAGAACTCGCCGACAACTCCGCGATTTGTCAAAGGACGCGGAACATCGGTAGCCCATAAACCCCGCTCGCCTCGCCCAGTTGCTCTGAATCCGGACTATGGACATCGTGCTGGACTTGACTCTGAGTACGAGATCGAACATTATCGCCCTCATGAGCCACAACATATACCCGTGGATTCCGCCTTGTCCTTGCCTGAAGCTCCCTCTGTATCATATCCTTCCCCCGCTCTCGTCTACTCGCAAAGAATTCGTGGTTTGATTCCTCCGCAGATGGATCTTCCACCGGCACCGGCACCTTCTCGACTTAATACATCCATCACCTATTCGAAGTCGCTCCAATCATCAATACCGGCGCAGGAGGCGCGAGCATCGCCCCCATCTCCATCACCCCCATCTTCGTCGCCATTTGACTGGCCGCGAGCAAATATCATGGAGCAACCAATTAGGACGAAGAGAAAACCACCACCCAGCGCTTTCGAGTTTCCGAGTCGAAGCGCTCAAGTTCCGTCGGAGCTCCCTTCTAATACTCCCCTTGATTCGTTGACACATCCCCGCACTAGACGGCCTTCTGGTCCTCGCGTGCGGCCACCGTCAGCTGACGAGACACAGCACCCTGCTCCTTATTTGGCTCAGCACACACATTGATATTGATAAGACGGGAGCGTGAACTTTGAAGTCGAGTTAGGAAGTAGATTATATACCTATATGATACTAGAACTCGATAGAACACCTTTTGAGTTTTGTCAGTTGTCTTATTAAAGTCTACTGAGAGAGGAAATTAAATTTAGTGTACACTTTCGGTTCCGTCTGCCATCATCACAAGTTTACAATACACCAGTAAATTGCCAGTAAATCATGGAGAACCCTCACGCCGAACGACAAGCAGTATTACTAGAGCGTATTCTCAAGAACGCTGTGAGTCTATCCACATCTGATGCTAATCCACTATGCTCATATCGCTACTAATAGTCAGCGTGCACCGAGATGATCCTCGAGTTAAACCACTGTGTAGAGGTACGTGTTGTCACGACTCAAATGCCCAGTGTCATCAAGAGTCTATTGCACCTGCAGGAAATACTTCGTGCCAATGCTTCTGTGAAGATTGCAGCAGATTTGGCGACGAAATACCGCAAAAATGTCCAGTATAATCTAGCAGCGACAACTTTGCACTCGGAGGCTCCATAACTATCCAAGTTCCATTTTGTCGAGGTCCGTCTACATTCATCGTTCGATTGGAAAGTATCCTCGAATCCCATTAAACAGTGTCCAAGAGTACGATATCTGAGTCGATGATCACGTTGCACACTAGAGCTTCGAGATGGTTTGCGCGCATACTCAACTTCCTTGTACCAATCACTCGGCGCGCCTTTTTTTTTCGGAGTTGCTAATGAGCCTACTGCTAGAGACGCCATTTGGTACCTCAGCGCTCAGCAGCCGGCATTCTCATGCCCTTCATCAATATGGGGCGTTGCTGTGATTTCCTTATTTGGACAATGCATAATTTGCTTCTTATTGTTACATGCACTCTTATTGTTCTTTACAATATGAAGCTTGTCCCTCGCTTGCCACGTTGATAATGGTGATATTTAATGGGATCCTTTGTCGAGCGATCCCCTTTGTCTCTGGTGGACCGAACAGTACTTGCTCCTAGAGGGTGCAACTCAGTTCTATTAATCCCCGTTCGGCTTCGTTTTCACCTTTCACAGTTGTTCGATAGTGCACGACTTTTCTTACCGTCACTCTTTCTTTCACGACCAACAGCACTATTGAAGCCAACGAAATGCAGAATTCCTTCATCATTATTCGAGCCATATTTTTCAGTAAGTACACGATGTCAGTAAATGCGATCCAGCCAGATAACATCGACGCAGCCCTCATCCTTTATTTCAATTTGCTAGCAACCATATTTGCAGGATGGAACATCATGTCCTCTACTTCTTCTGGGATGCCAGGTATGTTTCTCAGTGTGGCGGTGATAGCCTCGACTGACACGTTTGCAGTGCCTGGTGCAGCGGTATTCCTTGTTGTAAACGCAGCCCTTATATTCGCTTTTACAATGCTGTAGGTATTGCGTTGTTGATCCTACATAACCCCCTGACTTTTCTCATTAGAGCATATTCGGCGGAGGTTATATGCCCCAAAGCGAGGCCTTCACAGGTTAGATTTGAGTGTGGCTGGACTGTATTGATGGGCATCCTTCAGCTAGGTAAACTATCGCTGGCCGTAACAACTAAAATCTATGCCTCTGACTACACCATCATTTAAATTTGAAGCTGCCAGCATTTATGTCACAACCGTTCAAGTTAGTCCCCAAGCATTATGTCAATCGCACTGTAAGTGTGGTTGATCGGTAGTTTGTTGCGTAGCTGACTTCCTTTGTTCTTTAGCCACGTGGACCATCTGCGCGTCTGCCGCACTGCTTATGCCGATTAGCTGGTTGGCTACGTTCATCAGTATGTCGTCATCAATCGTGGCTCATGGCTGGCACTGATGATGTGACAGTGCTCGTGTATTGTATTACACTATGCGTGATGGCTGCAACCCATGTCTATTTCCTTCCTACCCTTTGGAAAATGCCTGTGACCGCGGTTCCTTGGTTCAATCTCGCCGATTCGTTACCTATCTCTTTTCCCTCGCGCCCATTGTCGGAAATCTCATCATCCACCGCTGAAAGCGGCAGTTCATGCAAGATCACCAAATACATTGCGGATACTTGGGAAAGGCTTTATAGAGTCGAAGGACGTGCCATCGAGCCCTCAAAGCCTATTCTGTTTTCCCACAATTGTCCGTCCATCGATTCTACTCGACCGGCGTGGGCGAAGCGGCTCGAACTTCAAACTCGGCGTGGTGTGGACCAACCTTTTTTGACACAGCGCGTATTGCCGTCCAGCAGCTCTCCAAAGGTACCCCTGCCGCCTCCAAAAGCTCGTGCTAGAGAGGTGTCGGGTTCGAATGACCTCAAGTATGCTGAGACCGTCATGGATTTGCAGCCGGATAAAAATAAATCCTACTCAACTTTGACACCACGGATGCCGACCATCTTTCCGAAGAGGATTGCAGATCCTGATCTCCCCATCCCACGACCGCGATTATCTGAGTGGATACCCGCGGACGCGGCTAATGTTGATGATCTTCACACTGAACTCTGATGAGCTGACCCCATAGAGCTGGTTTTTGATTACCATCCCTGCACTTTAATCTTGTTACTCAACTTTCTTGTCCCGATCCACATATCCAATTGTATCCCTTAGCATATCAGATCTAACTTCATTCGGACTTGGGTATCACCGCGATTGTTTCATTAAATATATCCACCATCGTAATACAGTTAAAGACTTTTGAATACTTAGGCCTAGATGTTCCAAGAATAGGTGATAGAAAGAGTTCAAGGCGTGTTCGAGAAATCCGTTCCGGCTCAAAACTCGGTTCCTTCGGATCCGCCTGTCTCTAACCAGGCCACCCGGCCACGCAGCTTGCGGTTCTCCTCACGGGCCTTCGCAAGTGCGATTGTGGTGCCCTCAAGCTGTCTCTTTGTCTGGTCGAGTTCCTGTGCTGTTTCTTCTTCCAGTTCCGCAGCTCCCACGGCAATGCCTGTTGGGAAGGTCATGAGACGAGACGAGAAAAATGGGTCTAATTTAGAATTACCTCCAACAAGCTTCACCAATCGCCACAGACGAAGCATAATTAGCAGTCCAGCCAATTCACGTTGGCGTCCCTTGAGGACAAATTCGAGTACGAAAGTCGTGATGATGATCGCGACATCAAATAGATGAAAAGCTGCATGTGGAACACCTGAGAATGGGGTGTAGAAACGAATTCCAAAAGCCCAGAGGGTAACCGGTATTTCAATAAGAAAGAGCGTGGTTATGGCAAGAGATATAGTGGCCAGGACTTCGAGCCACTCAGGGCCATCATCTGACGGGGTGCATCCATCGGACAAAACGGTGAATCCTAGGTCAGCGAGGACACAAGTAGCATCAATCACAATCTAGAACAGTGCTGCACGTCAACAGGAAGCGAAAATATGTGACACCGGCTGCTCACCAATGCAATAACGAATGTGTGAAAGCGTTGGGACTCTAAAATGCACGAAATGTTCTCGCGCCAGACACTGAGAGTCCCTTTAGGCCGCTCAGTGGGTACACTGTCCTCCTCATAGGGAAAAGCGAGGAGAGGCTGTTGTTCTCCTGGACTGGACATGATGGTTGGAGCTTGCTGTCAATATTTGTGCCTTCGATCTGCTAAGCGTTTTCTACTTCGCCTCTTACGGAAGTTTGTCCCTATATAGTGAACACTGCCTTTTACCTTCTTAGGAACACGCGGTCTGGGGACTACGCCCTCCTACTTAGTACTACGGCGTATGCTAGTCGCCATTCGCTTCTAGTGCTTACTCAAAAAGACACCTTGCATTCTCAGGAAATTTCTATTTGAGCGAGTACTGATTGCGAAGCAGTGTCCCCACGACCGCCGCTCAGCGGCAGGCTGAAAACTCGAGGCCGGCACTGCATGCCACTATGCAGGCAACTAAATTTGCCATGCCCCTTCCCAGGGACACAGTACTGCTGCGCTATTAAATAACATGCCATGTAAGCCGTCGACTAACAAAGCAAGGCTGGTCCCATCCCTGTGTCCGTCTGGTACTGACTGCGGCGAAGTTGTTTCATCGTGGCCACGTTTGGTATTTCTGTCCTTCTTTCCTATATTACGTTCGAGTTCTTCGCCCTTCGATCTCGCTGACTACGTCAGTCCCCCATCTTAATGGCTTCAAAGACTTTCGAGTTGGGGAGCGGATTTCGGAAATTTCGTCGCATTGTTCTTGGTGAGTTTCATATCTATGATATGGCTGATTCCAGCTGATTCCCTTCGAAGCTTTTGCCTCGATTCTTTCCTTGATATGGACCATCATCATTTCCGTGTACATAGCCAATAATTGGTCGGGCTACAATTCTGGCGAGCGTAAGAGCATCACCACGTTTCGCAATGACCTGTACTGAAACCGTCGTCGCAGGCGGATTTCTCTTCGGTCTCATTGCTCTTGACTTCATTGGTTCGATTTTGTTGTATCTCATGTGAGTATTATTACTCCACTCCTGTCCACAGTATGCTCACGGTGCCCAGGATTGTCGTGCAATATCAATTTTGGCCGGACGCCGCGCGAACCATGATACTTTTGAGTCTTAACGTCGGTTCGTGTTGACAGTGCTGTGCGTGCGGCAATGGAACTTACGTCGCTTTCTCTAGCCGGTGCTGTAGTCTTTTTGATTCTCAGCCCAAAATTTCCCTGCAGCGCTTTTGGTTAGTTCTCTTGACCGTGTGAGTGATTCTTAGGCTGACTGCACCCAGGCTCGACTGCAAAATGCCATAATATGACATTGACAGTCCTTATAGGATCTTGGATCATTTCTGCACTGAGTAGGTGCCCGTTTATCCCATCCTTTTGCGCATAATGATGAATGATGATAGTACTTCTGTATGCGATCTGCCTGCCTTTCGTGGCTATTACCCCTCGTACACCCAACCCAATTCAAGCTGACGATTTGGAGGATCGGGCTGATGTTGCGGAGGCCACAGAGGTCTCGGACGATTTGCACAGATCTCATGTGTCGTCCGTGCTCTTGAAAAATCAGGAGGGGATGTCTCCTGAGGCCTTTGGGTCGGAGCTTCCGTCTCCCCCATATATCCCTGCTGCTCACGAGGTTCCTAGTAATGCTTTGCCACAACAAGCAACGGGTGATGATCACATCGAATCGGAAACGCCAAGTGCTGCTTCAGTCTACTCTGACGCATCTCGGTCTAGCGTTGCGGGAACCATCCGTGCTCCAGACGATGCCGACAGAAGCCTGAATGTATCTGGCTCATCATCCCCGCGACAATACCCACGTTACTCGGATTCTCTTGAGTTGTCCGCTTTGCCCAACCGCTTCGTCGGCGAGACTTTGGATGCCAGTCGTAATTCAGTGGCCAGCAGCGTCTATGGATCGACTTATGAATTCCCCACGGCTTCCGTACCACTTACCGAGGCATCTCATCGAACCCCGAGTGTGATCACGGGAAGTTCGACCTCAATGTATTCCCAAAGAACTATACCTGCTCGTGCCAAAACTGTGTCCCCCGTCAATGCAACTACTCGGCAAACCAGTCTGCTTGCATCACGGTCGATGTCCTACGCCCCTCCTCACCTGTCTGTACGTTCCATGTCAGCCAGCGTCCACGATCATGCGGAGCATCAGGCTGCAGGAGGTGATTATGACACTCCCAGCAATGGCTTTTTGTCTCCCCCACTGACTGCCCTTCCCACACCACGACTCTCCACAGGATCAAATGAACCCACATTCGAACTTCACCTTTCCGATGCCCCCAGGAGAGATTCTGAAGACAAGTTATCAGATCTTCCCCGGGACGTAGTGCAAGATCCTGTCCGACATCCCCGAGTAGTACGACCCAGCTTGCAACATCTTCGCGCTGATTCTACAAGTTCTAATATCGATCCGGACGTGTGGAGGAGTCTCGTGCTTAGCGCTGCTGGACGACAACAATGATGATTTTGGACTTCTTTCACTTGCAATAATCTATGAGAGCATTGGCATTTGATGGTCTGCCTATATGACCTGGACATCGTGTTTAAAAGCGCTGTCTGGACTTGAGTTCAAGGTCCACATACTTACCTGTAATAATAGCTTGCCTTATGAAGATGACATCAGCTTACTTACTCATTGATGGTTTACTATGTACTTATGGATTCTCTTTGAGCTTCGTACATAACCCTTCCACTTCAGTACATCAAACCATTTCTAGTGTTGCTTATGCATTCGTTCTCGTTTGTCCGGCCATTACTTGGCTTCAGCCCAATCACTGCTCGTTCGAGTTTGAGCACTATTCAGTTTCTCCGCCATCGCTCACTCTCAGGCTTTGTGATTTGTCGGCAACATTTACTTCCCGCACGCGCGCATGTGCCTCAGACATGGGTAGTGAATCGACTGGGCGTTCCACGCAAAGGGCAGCTCCTCCTACCCAGCTTTCTGACAGCTACAGGGATAGCAGGGATCGTGCTTGGCATAGCTACGTGCACTGCGCCAATCGTTCATTGTGACAGTAAAGGCACTGGTACTGGTGCGATTGTTGTTGCTGTGCCTAGCTGAACACGAGTTGATCTTGAGGCAACCCAGGTTCCACACCCGCTCCGCCTCCTCAGGCCCCACTCCCAGAGTCCACCGTCAATCTGTATGAATTGACATTTGGTACAGTAGCTGGCGTATGCGCAGGTGTGTTCGTCAAGAAAGGTGCAAAAATGGTCGCATTCTTCTTGGGTGGTGTATTCGTCCTCCTTCAAGTACGTAACGTGTCCTTGCTCGACGACGCACACTTATAGATTTAACAGTACCTTGGGTCGATGTCACTCGTCCGTGTCGATTGGGGTCGCATGGCTGCTCGATTCGAGAACTTGTTGTATACGAAAGACGCGTTAGGCAACAAAAGGCCACCCACTATTTCGTCACTGTGGAGATGGGTGGTGGACTTTTTAACAGCAGACTTTCAGCCAAGGGCATCTTTCATTGCTGGACTCGCGTTAGGGTTGCGCATCGGTTGAAGCGACGTGTAGAGGGGACACTATCCAAATCGGGAAAAAGAAAAAATAGCTCGTAATTTGTCTCAGTCTGTACTAGTGTTTTCTGCTATCTCTCCGTGCGGTCGACCGTATCATTATCGACTAGTCTGTCATGGGAGGGCGACGAACAAAGTACAAGCAACCGCCTCCAGCTCCACTTCGCAATCCAGATGAAACTCGCCCTTCGACAAAAAAGCTTGGAAAACGGAAGGCAGATGTAGATCACGAGCCTGAAGCAACTACCAACAGCCGTCCTACAAAAAAAGCCAAGGCAGATAAACTTCTAGCCTCAAAGAAGCGGACGAAGGATTCAGAGAAGATATCAAAGGTTAAGTCTACACCTACCAAAGAAAAAAGCAATCCACTCTCGGAGGAAGGTGAAAGTGATGGGTGGGAAGTCGCTAGCGATTTGGAAGATGTCGATGGGTTCGCGGCGGACAGTCTGGATGACCTGGATATCGATGAGGAGTGAGTTTCACCTCCCAGCTATATTCCTGGCTAAAGTTTTTTTGTCCTGTAGTGATGACCTTTTACGAGGGGTCCCGGAAGAACTGGATCTTGGCTCAGACGATGAAGAAGTCGAACTGCTCCCACAAAAAGGCCGGAAATCTAAACAGGCTGAACGTCCAACCAAGATTATTCCAACAGCCTCAGATGAAGACTCCGATGATGAGTCCGACAACGAGGACGGGCCAATTACTGCCAAGAACATTGAATTCCGCTCTCGTGCCCTCGATGAGAAGGCTGCTCATGAGGCGGAGCTTGATATCGAGGAGATGCAGAATGCTGCCTTGGAGGGCAGCGACGAGGATATTGATATGGAAGGGGAGGAAGAAGACGCAGAGGCATTTCACTTACCTACAGCTGAAGAGAGAGAAGAAGAGAAGAACCGTGTTGCTGATGTTCATGTCGTTCAGCGGAGGATGCGAGAATGTGTTCGTGTCTTGGGTAGTTTCAGAAAACTAGGCGCGAAAGGCCGGTACGTCTTTCAATCTGCCACTTTTAATTATGTCTGTGTTTTTAATGACATATACAGGTTACGGTCAGAATATGTCGAGCAGCTCGTCTCCGACATCGCTAGTTACTACGGGTATAACGATCTTCTTGCCGAGAAGTTATTTCAGCTATTTCCAGTTTCTGAAGTGTGTACTCTATCTTTCTATATAGCCCTATGCTTATTCCCCATTTCCCTTTCCGCAGGCCATCGAGTTCTTCGAAGCAATGAGGTATCAAGACCAGTGACCATCCGAACAAACACACTTAAAACACGAAGACGAGACCTTGCGCAAGCCCTCATTAACCGTGGTGTCAACCTCGAGCCGATAGGCAAATGGACTAACGTTGGTCTCCAAGTTTTCGAAAGCAGCGTACCCATAGGTTCGTATGGATCCTTTCCTCCCGAGCCACGCGGAACTAAATTCCACGACAGGTGCGACACCCGAGTATCTCTCTGGTCACTACATGCTTCAGGCAGCTTCGTCATTCCTTCCCGTCATCGCATTAAAACCTCAACCGAACGAGCGCGTACTTGACATGGCATCTGCCCCTGGAGGCAAGACGACGCACATCGCTGCACTCCTACAAAATACCGGCATTGTTTTCGCCAATGATGCGAACAAAGCACGGACAAAGAGTCTTACGGCGAATGTGCACCGTCTAGGGTGCAAAAACGTCGTCGTCTGTTCATACGATGGTCGGGAGTTTCCCAAGGTAATGGGTGGGTTTGACAGAGTCCTTCTGGATGCGCCATGTAGCGGGACTGGTGTTATCAGCAAGGACTCGAGTGTGAAGGTCAACAAGGTGAGGTTTCCAGTTTGTAGTCACAGATTCATTTATTAACATACTTGTGTAGTCTGAGCGTGATTTCCACCTCCTCTCGCACCTCCAGAAGCAGCTTATCCTCTGCGCCATCGACAGTGTCTCTCCTGACTCCAAAACGGGAGGATTTCTGGTCTACTCCACGTGTTCCGTCACTATTGATGAGAACGAGGCTGTTGTCGATTATGCGTTGCGAAAGCGCCCGAACGTGAAACTGGTGGATACTGGTCTCGGCTTTGGCAGGGATGGTTTTACCAAGTATCGCGGAAAGACTTTCCACCCGAGCGTGAAGCTGACAAAGAGGTTTTACCCCCATGTGCACAACATGGATGGGTTCTATGTCGCAAAAGTTCAAGGTGGAAAAACGGGCCAAGATAAAGGCTGGTACGCAGGAAGCCAAGGTCGACCAAAGTAGTAGATGCAGATGAACAGCAAGAAGATGTTGGATTTGATTCTGACGAGGACAAGGCGTTCATTGAAGGTCTGTCTATCGATTTTATTAATTTATGTTGCTTGTTCATGTATCTTCACAGAGGGAAAACGTATTCAGATGAAGGCCAAGGGTCTGCGTGTACCTCGCAGACGACAGTCAGATATAGCGGGCAAGGTTGTAAAAGCAGCCGCATGATATACGCTTGTTGGATATAAGATATCACACATGATCTTCATCCCAAAACACACACATCATTGGTCTGCCGTTGCGGCAGAAGGTATAATATATCCATTTTGTGCATGATAAGACATTCTCGAACTTCGAAGTTGTTCGGTGGCAGATGATGCATATGATCGAAATACCTTGCAAGGAAACCCAAGCCAATCTCTGACTACAGCCGACAGGCTATAGCTGGTGAAAGGTGTATCTCGGCGGAGCCGGACCACAGGCAGCTGCGAGGGGGCGCGGGAGGTTGCTAGGCGGTCCCAGGTACGCGAAGGTGGCCAGGTCTGAGATAGCACAAGTAACAGGCAACAAAACAAAGCATCCACGTACAGACCTAAACGTGGATCATAGGTCAGATGTTTATCGATACAAAACCTCCAAGGCATTGCAGTGGCAATTTCTAGGTGTGTTACCACCATAACGGGGTCTGTAAACGTCAGACCAATCAGTGGGCGCAGACTCCTAGTACGTCTGGGTTTTCGAAATGAAATTGCAAGTAGTCCTCGTGGTGTTTGGGTGTAGATGTAGCGTTATTCAGAACGTACAGGAGGCTCATCTGGCGAGCTAGAGGGTGTTTTAGGGACAGTGAGCACCATCTGCGTCAATAAACGTGCGAGTCCTGAAGCGGACAGGAATACATTCCTAGTGGGTGAGTTGAGAGCTCGACTGGGGTTGGAGTTTCCAAGCGGCAAACAAAGTAGTACCCATCGAGGAGTGCGGATGCAGATCTGCTGATGTATCAGGATATGAATACACGTTTATACTTGCCAGCGTATGCAGGATGAAGTCACAGGCACTGACCTCTGTTGGACATTTGTAGACTGGTATTGGCAAAGAATCTATATGTCAGTACGAGTGGCCAGAATCGATGAACGATACTTGACATCGTCCCCCCTGGGTGCACACGACCAAAATGGAATGTAGATCTAGATATGATTCAAACCAGTGAATGCACGCAGACGCGAGCGGCTCGGACTCGCATCATACATGCACCTCGCGTACTAGTGAACATGATAGTATAACCGGGAAGTAGGGCTGCTGCTGAGAAAAAGCACGGTGTAGTCAGACCGCATCATGGACGGTGATGTAAACTAGTGTGAACCCTGGTAAAAGTGATTCTAGCCTGGGCTAGTTCCCTGATGCCTGGCAAGAACATAAGATGAGAGGCCTGGAGCGATACTTTGCAAATATTTGCTGGCACTGACCTTGGCAGAGGAAGCGCCGGCCGGTGTGCCTTGGATTATGACAACGGTACAACTTGGCTGAAACGCGTCCAGTTATCAATATATAAATAGAAAGAAGGAGAAGTATGTCAATACATACCAGCAGCGATAGTGTCAAGCACCGTATGAAAATGAGACTTTATAATTTGTATTTCGATCATTTCACCAGGGCTAATGTTCACTTTCACGAGTCTGAAGTGAGTCGCTGGCATGAAAGGGGCTAGTTGATATTGGTAATTGGCACAGATAAGGAGATCATGAGTAGCGGCGATATCAAGGTCATCCTGGGTGGTCGACAATAAGATTTTGGTGGGAACTTCAATTGTCTGTACACTGCATCCGACACATAAAGTAGTTGGTGTACATGTCGTCATGACCACATGTATATAAATTTCGTGGATGCTCACCGTGGAGTCTCCTAAGCAAACGTAGTACTATCGCGTAGTAACTTATACTCAAACAGGAGTCCAAATCACACTCGGTGGCGAGCGGATGTGATCGGTATCCTAGTCTCGTGATTTCGCTACCTTTGACGTGATCCGTAAGCATTGGAACCTTCCTTTGTACAACCTGAGAACATCCTTCTTTGGGCTGGTCTCATTCTGACCACCACCCTACGCCCAACCGCACGGACCATTATTAACAGACTGTCCTCTACTACTGACTTCCCTTCCTCAATTCTCTTCGCTCGTTTAAATAAATTTCACGGGTGATCAGACGTCGTGAGAGAATAACATATCCGAAAAAGGTAATCAAACCAATAGGAAGAACCTTCAGAAAATTAGGTTAGCTGCTTTGTTTGGCGCGTAAAGCGGAGCCAAATACGGATAAGTAGAGCCCGAATTTGACAACGACCATATCTCTTCCTCTCTCTTACTCCTCTCTTCTAGCCTTTGGGCCCAGCGTTGCGTAGCACGCCCTTCTCTCTCTTGTCAATTTATTATCTTTTCATGTTCGTATCCTTTAACGCCTTCTCCATTCTTTGTCTCACTCACTTGCCTTTCTTGACAGCTCACATTCGCATTTTTTTGCTATAATGTCTGCTACTGAGGCCACCGCTGCTGTTTCCGCTGAGGAAGTAAAGGTCCTTGAGACCCCTGTCGTTGACCCCGAACTTGAGGTTCCCGCTGTTGAAGAGCCCACTCCTGCTGCTGTAATTTTTTCGACTATCCTTTGTTGTTCCGCCCGACTCTAACCTTATATACACAGGAAGCACCAAAGGAGGAAGTCAAGGCTGATGTGAGTTATTTACATCCGTTGCCTTTGTTTCGAAGCTTGACGCGTTTTTTTTTCAGGAGGCCGCCCCCGCCGTCGAGGCTGCTCCCGATGCTCCTGCAGAGTCCCCCAAGGAGGAAGCCAAGACTGTGTGTCCAATTCGCGATTCTTCTACTACACCTCAATTTGATTAACATATTGTAGGAGGTTAAGAAGGAGGAACGCCCCAAGAGCCCAGGTCTCCTTGCCAAGCTCCTTGCCCCTTTCAAGGAAGGCAAGACTAGGGTAGAGAAGAAGGTCAGGGCTCCCAAGAGTCCTAAGAAGGAGAAGAAAAAGGAAGAATTGAAGGAGGAGGTCAGTGTTCAATCTCTGCTTAAACGACGTTGTAATTAATAAGTGTCTAGGCCGCTCCTCCCGCTGAGGAGCCTGCCACAGAGGAGGCGCCTCCCACTGAGGCAAAGGTTGAGGAGACACCTGCTGTCGTCGAGCCTCCTGCCGCTGAGGAGCCTGCAGTTGAGCCTGTCAAAGAAACGTGCGTACTTTCTCGTTGGATGACTTCATCGATTGATGAATCTCAGTGAGACCGCCGCCGCCGAGGCTCCCGCTGCAGAGCCTGCATCTGAGGCCGCCCCGGAGACTCCGGCTGAGGCCCCGAAGGAGGAGAAGGTATGTTACTTGATTGAAAATGATGCGTCCGCTCACATTTACATTTACAGGAGGACAAAAAGGAGAAGGAAAACAGGGCTGCCAAGGTTGGCCGCCGCCTGTCTGCGCGTGTGGGCGACCTTTTCAGATCCAAGCCAAAGACGGAGCTCTCGACTCCTGCCAAGGTGGATGAGCATCCCCCTGTGATTGATGAACCTGCTCCAGTTGCTCCCCTCGAGAACCCTGCCGGTTCGGAGCCTGCTCCCGTACAGGCTGCTGCACTTCCCACCGAGGAGACCGTCCTCGCCGAGCCTGCACCTGTTGCCGCCCCCGTGATCTCGGCTGTCGCATAAGCGCTTAATCCGAGGCTGTTGGTAATATCATGAACGATACGAGCGCATATTCATCTGCTCCTCTTTATTACTTTGGTATGTTGAGCAGTCTTTCTCACTGCACTTGGTTTTGGTCATTATCAGGATCCCTTCATTAGCTCTCCTCATGTCTTTTTACCCTCTTCTGCTACCATACTCGTTGGATTTGGTCTTTGCTTTCTCTTCACGACTCTACTCATCATGACTACATTCCGATCCGTGTTTTCACTACCTAATATCGATCTTGATCATTGATACCCTTACTTTGCTATGGTCGGATCAGTTAACCATGTCGTTAAAGTTCTATCGTGTAATGATGTTGGAGGGTTGTATGGACATCAAGAAACCCCTTGAGCTCTTTTGGCGAGTTGAAGTGTGACTCGACTCGGTTCATGCCATTAATAGTAAATCGGGCATCTCTTAACCTTGCCTTGAAATGTCCCCGAACACGGCTTCCTCTGCTGGCAAGGATAAATTGATCGTAGATGAAGAAGAGGTTCTACAAGCTGTTATTCTAGCAGACAGCTTTAACAAACGATTCAAACCGCTAACTACGCATAAACCTCGAGTGAGTCCAGTTCCTGCATGACGAAGTCATACCAATATCATTCTCAATCAGTGCCTGCTACCGATATGCAACGCTCCATTGCTGGACTGGACGTTCGAAAGCCTTGCTCTAGCTGGCGTACAAGAGATCTTCGTAATATGTAGATCACATGCGGAACTGGTCAAGACTGCGATCAAGCAAGTCTCTGAACCGCCATTCTCCTGTTCATAGTGGTTGACTGTACCATCCAGGAATTCAAAGTGGTCCAAGCCTGGTGCAGGCCTCAAGATTGTCCCAATTGTGACTGCAAAAGAGACGTTCACGCCTGGTGATGCCATGCGCGACATCTATACGCATGGCATCATCACTTCAGATTTCGTCCTTGTCACAGGTGACCTCGTGAGCAACATACACATAGGTGATGTTGTTCGCGAGCACAAAGAGCGGAGGGAAAACGGACAAGGACGCCATAATGACGATGGTAGTCAAACAGAGTGGCGTAAACCATCGGACGCGGTATGTTAGTCCTCGACCAAGTCATCACTCCACTCATTTCCCGCTAGTTCGAGAGGTGATTCTGCGGTGTTTGTCATAGATCCAGAGACATCAAAATGCCTGCATTATGAGGCAGTGACTGGGTACCCGCCGAAGAAATACGCAAGTATACCACGCGAAATTCTGAATGAACACCCTGAAGTGGAGATCCGAAATGACTTGATTGATTGTTCGATAGACATATGTTCTGTAGAGGTGCGTCTGACATAGTTTTGCCTCGTTCACTTTAATTTATCGATCTAGGTGCCGTCATTGTTCCAAGACAACTTCGACTACGGGGATGTACGAAGGGATTTCGTTCACGGCGTCCTTACGTCTGACCTGCTCATGAAAAGTATTTATTGCTACATCGCCAAAGAGGGTTATGCTGCTCGTGTCAGGGACACTCGGAGTTATGACTCCATCAGGTTAGTATCCCAAACTTGTCCAACGATCCATCGCATCTGACAGAAATCAGCAAAGACATTCTTTCAAGATGGACATTCCCTTTGGTGCCAGATGATAACCATCCTGGAGGCCACTCGTATGAGCATCTACGAGGAAACAAATACATCGCCAAGGATAATTCAGTGATACTCTCCCGGTAAGAACGTTTCCAAATTGTCAATCATTTACCCACTCCTGGAGGCTCTAGGACGTGCAAGATCGGAAACAACACGCTGATTGGGTCGAAATCGCAGATAGCTGATAATGCTCAGGTTATAGCATCTGTTCTCGGCCAGCGGTGTGTTGTTGGTGCGGGCAGTATTGTCCGCAACTCTTATCTCTTTGATGGAGCAGTCGTCGGACCGAATTGTGTTGTTGAGCACAGTATAATCGGCTCAGGCGTACACATCAAGGAACGCACTCGTGTTGAACGTGGATGTTTGATTGCTGATGGCGTCGTCGTCGGTCCGCAGGCGAAACTTGCGCCATTTTCAAGATTGTCTAAGCGGCGGCAGGACAGCGATGAGGAAGATGAAGAATTCGAGGACGCAGAAGAACAACTCGAAGAAGAAGACGATGACGAGGGTGAAGACGGCGACGATGAAGATGAGGTCGACTCAGAGCTAGAGGACGTAGAAGCAAGTGGGTAAAGTCAACATCTACTCGAAACCCTGACTCATTGTTTCTCCCAAGACCAAGATCCCGAAGCTCTTGCAAAACTTGGTCCTGGCACCAACGCGATAATTTGGCCACCACCAACTGTTGACGAGGACGAGGACATTGATGAGCTAGAACACCCTGATAACCAGCGTTTGATGCGAATAGGTAGGTCTTGTTCATCAAACCAGATCATTTGCTTAACTGTACGGTACTTTTACAGGCGATAACGCATCAGATCTCGTTCTCTCGGATGCTGGCTCCATCACTTCATCCGAGTCAGAGTCAGAGTCAGATGATGACGATGATGACGAGTTCTATGGTTCCAACCCCGCTTCCTCGACCACTTCACTTCCGCTCAGCACACCTTCGAATCTGGTTGCACAGGCAGACTCGGCAGTGATATCAGAATTTCAACAGGAGGTCAAGCAGTCGCTCGATCGTGCGTTTGCCGAAGGCCATTCTGTCGATAACGCCGCTGTGGAACTGAAGACGTTACGTATGGCGAGCAATGTATCTCTCCGCCTAGTGCGGGAGGCTGTAATCGCAGCCATCGTAAGCCGAATCAAAATCATGGCAGGCGGAGGCATTCCGCAACGACAGGAGATTGCTAGTATGATTGCTCGATGGGGAGGGCTGATTGACAAGATTGGAGGGGTAGATCCGGTGGAAACTGTCGAGGTCCTTCAAGTAAGTATCTCGTGAGGATGACTCGGAGTGGTTTTGAATCGTCCACCACAGGAATATTGCGCTTCATCGGATCGCTTGCCTCTGTTTGGTCAGATTCTTGCCGCGCTCTACCAGGACGACATAGTCGACGAGGATGATATCCGCGCATGGCATGGAAACTCCAAGTCTCAAGGCCAGGGCGTTAAGCCTACGTCTCTGCAAGACAACTATAACAAATGCTGGATCACTGGAGCCCATATGATAAAACAGTTTGATGAGCAGGACAGTGATGAAGAATCGGAGGAAGAATCGGAGGATGGCGGCGAATCGAGGGATCCTGCTGTCAAAAATCCAGTCACAAAGGAATTCCCTTCGGAAAGCGCAGATTCTTCGGAAGAGGATTCGGGCGAAGAGGACGAGGGTGACACTGACGAGGATGACAGTGAATAAGATAACTTCTTTACCTCTAGTGGAAGGGATCAAAATCTAATGCGAGGTTGCGTCAAGGGTCGATTAATTTCCTCAGTTCAGTGCAACTACTTATGTCAATTGTGCCGATTCAAGCCTTCCTCACTTTTGCTCCCCGCGTGATGAGAGGCCGAGGCAACTCTACTCTGATCAGTTTTTCCGGTGACAGATCATTTACTGGGCACTCAGTCGGTGGCATAAAGGTTGAACGTTGAACAAGGATCCGATTATCTTTAAGGCAATACCGCGACGGAGATATTACTAGTCGGAAGCATATGTATGATAATATGAAGTATATTGTGCATTAATGCGTCCACGCCAAGACAACGTGTCTGATCCCCTCCTGGATATACCACCAACAATCGATTTAAGTTCATCAACGGACCATGAAATGCTCGACTCTGAATTGAAGCAGGAATAACGGATGTAAGACGGAATAAATGGGCAGTGCCTAGGTAACTCGCCTGAGGAAGCATGATCTGTTATTACCATTCAATACTTCAGAATGATATAGAGCGCTACAGGTGACATGATGAGAGGGGTCATGACCAATAAATAGCAATATGTTACATACCGTGGATAATTCCTGGACTGATAACCGAAGAATGGTCAGTCAAAGCGGCGGACAAAGGAGTAAAGCAATGTCTCACATATCTAAAGCAAAAACTAGTGAGTAGCGAACGCAATAAATCATTTGAAAGGCACTCACATCCTAAGAAGGAGGGAGTACGAGCGGTTATAGCCGATTGTTTGCGATATTATGCGATGGGCTTACCAAGAAGAGTTAGTAGGCAATTAATGAGCTACACAAGCACTAGTCAGCCAGGCGAATTCCCATGCAAAGTTGAAAAGAACCGACTGACCAGGTCGGCTGTACACCCCCGTTCCAAGAATACGCCTAAAGGAGGAAGAATGATAGCAAAACTGTTAAGCCAGTGAGCTTCGAAGTGACTTAATTATGCAAGCGGCTGGCGACTTACATTATCTAAATGGACGCAGACCCATCAGGTTATACTATGTAGATTGAACGTTGAGTAAGTACCTTGCAAATATCGGAAGCTGTGAACGCCATGGTGTTGGTTTGATTACGAGTTTATTGGGGCACGAGCAGAGGGTCGTATAAAGTGAAAGCAGTGGGTGGATGCCGTTATATAGCCTGCACGCACGACGCTCCTAGTGACGTCAACCGAATTTGGGGCGTTGTCCGTGACGTCACATTTCTGGCCAGGCCAGTGGCTGTGTTGAACTACGCAACCTGTCAACCAAAACGTTACGTTCGTACAAAGTCAGTATATTTTCATTACCATATCCATATCTTACGCTCACTAATATTCCTAGTCGTAATGGAACCTCTGGATGAATACACAGACATATCTTATATCCCGTCTGAACCACACAACAACTTCCAGTCCTTCAACATCTACAGGCCACGGAATATCTCGGATGAACAACCTCCACCCCCTCTAGTTTGTTTTATACATGGAGGTGCATGGAGAAGGTGGGTTTCCCCTCCGCGGAGGATCTCATTCCTTACCATACCTCCTCTTAGCGAAGATAAGCTTGATCATATTGGTTTGGCTCATAGACTCGCGAGTTTCACTGGATACGCAGTGGCAGTTCCCAATTACCGCCTGTCTCCTCGCGAAACAACGGAGGACAATGCAATCTGTCATCCCGATCACGCAAAAGATGTCCTACGCTTTCTTGAATTTGTTATTACCTGGGGAGGCCCGTATGGTACCAGTGCCTATAACTCAAACAGATTATGTTTAATGGGACACAGCTGTGGTGCTCATATACTGTCATCGATCTTCCTCGAGGCTACCCAAGGCGATGACCCTTTGCGCCCCTCAGCAGAGCTTCTCGAGAGCACAAAAGCCATAATCATGTCGGAGGGAATATATGACATCGATCTACTTCTCTCGAGTTTCCCCACTTATAGGGCTTGGTTCATCGAGGCCGCATTTGGTCGGCAGAGTACTTACGAGGAAGCTTCAGTCACGAAGATGAATCCGAGGGTGGAGTACCCTCACTTGCAGTGGTTAATCGTGCATTCTAAAGGGGATACTTTAGTCGATGAAGCTCAGAGCGAAGCAATGTATCAGCATTTACTTCGCAGTGTCCCCCATATCACGAGGAACTTTGGAGAACTCATAGAAGAGCATAATGACATACTAAAAGGCGTCGAATTCGTTAAACTTGTTGGACAATACATTATAGACAATGTCCCTCCATAAACCTGATAATGCACTCGCAGAAACTACCCTTGTTACAATCTCGCTTTCGTCAAACCCAAACCCTCGAATGCTTCTTCAAGACACGAGGCAGCTCTCTCGCAATCACCTAGTGTGTTGTACAGGGGTGCGGGTGTTAAGCGAATCACGTCGGGTTTTCTCTCATCCCCGACAACGCCCATCGCAGACAATGCACTAAAAACCCTGTCCATCACGTCTGAATTAGGCGGTAGAAATAGAAGCGACAACTGTGAACCCCGAGAGTCGGGATTACGAGGTGTGATGATGGTGAATCCGGGTTGGCCCTGTTGGGCAGTGCCATCCTTGCCGTTCATCTCATCCTGTAATAGGCATTGTGCCGAAACCTCATTGATGGGGACATAAAATCTTGACTTCATGAGTCTCATCTCCAGTTCGGAAGTCAACCGAAGCGATCGCTTGCGCAAGGGGCCCATCATGCCGACTTCTTTGAAGATCTGCAAAGAACCCAAAAGCGATACGGTTGCAAGGACCGAGGGATTGGATTGCTGAAATCCTTGCGCGCCAGGGATAGCTGAAAACCGAGGGGGCATGGCAAATCTGGTGGCTGGATCGTGTCCCCACCACCCTGCATACCTGGTAGTAATGCCGATTAGAATCCCCAAAAGAAGCAGTAAATCAGCAAGGACAATTACGCACTGTGGTAGTAAGCTGTTTTCCCATTTCTTGTGCACGAAAAGCCCGCCGATTCCGCCGGGGCCCGAGTTAAGATATTTGTATGAGCACCATACAGCGAAATCGACATCCCAGTCGTGAAGTGCCATGGGAACATTTCCGATAGCATGAGCGAGGTCCCAGCCGCAAACACAACCCTTTGAAGTAGTCAGCACATGTTTTGGCAGGGTGACGTGTGGGGTAATTGAAGCGGATCTTCACCTGTCTTTTCACGTCATGAGGGGGTGATGAAAATTGTACGTAATAAAGGAAGAAGAATGGTCGTTAGACAAATTTACCTGTGCCTTGGCTGCAGTGGTGATAGCCTTCATGGGAAACAATTGACCAGTGTAAAACTGCACGCCGCTGAAAATCACTAGAGCAATCGAGGGACCTTCTTTAGCGATCAAGTCCATGATGTCGGACTCTCGTAGTGTAAACTCTCCTTGGCGAGGACACATTTCGATTATTGCTTCATTCGGGTCATACCCGTGCACACGAGCCTGGGAAGCAAACGCGTACTATGCCACATGTAAGAAAGAGAGGAAGGAGTAAAATGCCAACCACTAACCTGATCCGAGGGAAATGCCCTGCCTTCACATAGAATCTTGAAACGTTGAGTAGTAGGTTTGTAAAATGCGGCCATCATCAGATGCAGGTTCGCAGTCAGAGTGCCCATGCACGCCACCTCCTTCTCTGAGGCACCTACATCAGGTACCACATCAGAACTTCTTGATTCTCTACCAAGCGTGACAATTAATAGTTACTTACCCACCAATTCAGCAAGTAGGGGGGTGACTGTATCGGCAATATTCATCCACTCGCGGCCATAAGGGTGCTCAAAGTGTACCTTCGACGGCTCTAATATTTTTTTTTGTACCCAAGAAATGTCAGGAAACAAACGGCCATCGCGATAAGGAAAGATTCGTGGCCTCAGGGATGCGCGGAGCGTACCGTGTCCCCCAAACATCTAATTCCTGTTGCAGAAGAGCCTTGGATCGTTTGGTTAATGGACCAAGAGAGTTTCCACAAAGATAAGTGCATCTCTGATCAACTGGAAGAACCTTGAGCAATCTGAGCAGTTACGTAAAGAAGTTCTTCACCATTTTCTTCTGATATTTTTGCTCCAATATCCCTATTCGATGGGATGATAAATTCCCTAGAGAGCATGACGTTAAGGTCACTCCATTGTGAAGACATCTGAGCTGCCGACAGCGTAAGTACTACTCGTACTGAATAACTTGCCACCGGGTCGGATCAGGGTCGGGTAAAGAGCTGATCTGAGATCTTACATAAATTTCATTACTTCCATTTTTAGATGACTAGGATTAATGTGAGGGTCAGCCCTGGCTTCATTGTGCATGTGGCCGTTCACAAAGCGACAAGCTTGTCCATAGCCAGCCATGATGAGCGACAATATCACTCCCCTCGATAATACCCGCAAAGTGGTAATTGTTGGTGCAGGTCCAGTAGGATGTCTTGCGGCAATCGCCTTTGCCAAGATGAATTGGCAAGTCGAGATCTACGAAGCGAGGCCAGGTAAAGCAGGACAATGTCAATGTTCTCATCACACAACGTCTTGATTATTATTTTTTCCAGATTTACGGCTATCATCTTCCAGAGCAGCTGCTCAACAGCGATCTATCAATCTAGCCATTTCATCACGTGGCATCGCCGCTTTACGAGCTGTTGATGCCTCTGCAGCTGAGAGGTTTCTGCAGACTGTCATCCCCATGCGTGGGCGTATGATTCATGACAGACATGGAAATTTACAAAGTCAACTGTACGACAGGGACGGTCAGGTATGTTTGTCTCACTCCTCAATCGCACGGTCCCTGTATTTTGCCACGGCTCTGTGCCAAGTATATCCCTGTTTACTCATTTTCTTAGTGCATCAATTCTATAGATCGCGCTCTCCTGAACGTAGAGCTGTTGGAGGAGGCCTCGGCAGTGCCGAATATCCGTTTGACCTTCAAGCATAAGGTTCTTTCAGCTGATTTTGACCAAAAAGTGCTTTTCCTTCGGGACGCCGATTCGGGAACAGATATCCGAGTCAATTTCGACCTGTGTATCGGTGCAGATGGGAGTTATTCTATCATAAGGAGACAGTTGATGAGGGTTGTGAGGTTGGTAAACAAGTTTCCGCTCTCAAGATATGATTCCAGTGTGCTGATATTGATGCTTCTGCAAAGAATGAATTTTCAGCAAGAATATATTCCTCATGAGTATATTGAACTTAAAATGCCGGCAGGACACGACGAGCACGGCAATCCTGCCTTCCTCCTTGATCCGAATCATCTCCACATATGGCCTCGCCACTCCTTCATGCTCATCGCTCTGCCAAACAAAGTAATCACCCATGCAGCTTCTATGTGCTTCCCACCTCACAAGATTCAATTTCAGGATAAGACATTCACTTGCACCCTCTTCGCGCCTACCGTCGAGTTTGATCGTTTGATCACTCGCGAAGACATCCTGTTGTGGTTCCGGAATCATTTTCCGGATGCCCTGTCGCTACTTGGCGAAGACAAATTGTTGAAAGATTTTGAGCAAAACCCCCGTAGCCCCCTGATTACTACGAAGGTACCTCCCTTTCGTATTTCACACGAGCACCAATTGAGAGCTAATTGCCGCCATTGGTGGGGGGTAGTTGTCGCCTTATCATTACAAAGATCGGTGTGTAATTCTCGGTGACGCCGCCCACTCGATGGTGCCCTTTTATGGACAAGGGCTTAACTGCGGTCTCGAAGACGTTCGGGTGTTGCTCACACTGCTGCAAGAAGAATGTGTTGTCTCTAGCAGAACTATGCCCAATTCGGGAGACCCTGAATCTGATTCCATAGACCAGAGGCTATTCAAAGCATTGTCTCGTTACTCTGCCAGTAGGCACGAAGATGTCGTTGCCATATGTGAACTTGCAATGGACAATTAGTAAGTAAAGTCACTTGTGAGGCGTTGCTAGTTGTCACTGATTTGGCCGCGTATCAGCGTTGAAATGCGCCATTCCGTAACAACGCCTGCCTACATTATGAAAAAAGCGCTCGACCACCTTTTGTTCTCATTAACTGCTCGTGGCACCACGTTTCTTTCGTCTCTGGGTGACTCATTGTCTCGCATTGCCTTTCCGACTGCCAATCCTCGCGGCTGGCTACCTCTCTACACTATGGTTACATTCCGTCCCGATATCAGCTATGCTACCGCTAGGAGGAAAGCGGCCCGACAGGCCATCATCCTCACCATGATAGCAAGACTTGGAACTGTTGGCATGTGTGCCACTAGCTTCTACCTTACGTGGAGAGCCTTACGTTGGCTGCGAAGTCAAAGATGATATCCTGGCTGTTGTGAATTAGAATTATTGAACCTCGTGCCACCAGGGTGTAATGTAAATATTGCACCGAAGCTCTTATTTAAAATCTAGAATTTTCTGAGGTCTCGAGCGCAGAGCATTTGAGCGGTGATTAATTTGGGCATTCCGACCATGGAATTAATTCGCAGAAAAGATTATTAGGAGCGCGTGCTCGTCTGACCCGATTCGTCCAAAGGAGAATGCCAGCTTTCAAGTCGACCCGAAATCCTCTGCGTTCACATGCAGACAAAAATAAGTAGACGTGTGTACAGTGATCTGTGGCAGGGATTACATGACCTCCGGTTAAAGTGACATTATATAGTCTAGATACTGTGAGCCCTAGTAAATCATAAAAGCAAGAAATTGGTACTAATCATGACATGCGTGAAAAGAGCGCAGGAAAGCGATAGATCTGGTACGTGCAGATATAAACGAGAGCAAAGAAAATTACACAAAGCAGGGAGACAGAAACGGAGAAAGTTGGTGTCTCAGGTCTTCTTCGGTGGCCGACCCCGCTTTTTCTTTGTACCTGATTCTCCAGCAGTATCAGGTGCAGGCTCTGAGACTGCGTCGGGTGCTGCATCTGATTTAGCCTTGGGCGGACGACCGCGCCTGCGTTTGGTAGATGGTTCACCATCAGCAGCTTCCTCTTTCTTCTCCTAGTACCATGTAAGCACATGCAGACAAGTAGGAATGAGATATGCACCTTCGGAGGTCTGCCGCGTTTCCTCTTAGCACCAGCCTCTGCTGTTGCTGAGGTAGCAGACGTTCCCCCTGACTTCTTATTCTTGCTTCCCTTGGGACGCCCACGTCCCCTTTTGGGAGGAGGAGCATCGCTAGCGTCTGCCGCGCCTGGACATGGCGGAAATGAGACGCATTTGGCAAGCTAAGCTGCTTCTAACTGACAACGATAAAGTAGCGGGTAACTCACCCTCAGTCTCTTCGACTTGCTGTTCCTCTTCTAAATCCTCCTGAGATTTATCGCGTGCTTCCTCTTGCTGGGGTGAGGCAGACATCTTGAACGTCTTGACACCGGGTGTATAGATCAGAGCAGGGAGCGACTGTATGCAGGAAAGAACGTCCGCGTCGAGTTGAAAGAAGGAAAGACGGGGAAAGGGTGTGTGCCCTTGTTTTATCGAATATCCCCCCTACCGAATATAGTGAGCATATATTGTTTCCCTCGCGTGGAATCTGGACCAAAAGTGGGTTATATTTATTATATCGATCAGCATCTTCTGTGCATTTGCCCCTGATATTCGGGGACATATACGTACGTAAATGGATGCCTGAAGATTAGAGAAAATTCATTATTACAGAGAGGAATGAAGACACTCTCAGGGAGATTGCCACCGCCTGACAGCGATGCGGTTGTCGCTCGACTGTTGATCGTTGTTGACACAACGTGGTTTATTCCAGTACTAGCAACAAATTAATATCGATTTATCGTGAATATTGTTATGAATATGTATATATGCCTTTATGTTAGGCATATGTACATATATAACACTTCCAAAAGATATGTCGGATATTTCTCTCCGTATACCTAGAGCCTCCAGGCTTCATCTTCTAGCTTTAAGGATACAGAATACTTTTGACGGAATATAGTCATTCAGGCCGCCGATCGGCGATTCGCGGTTTAAAGCGCCACTCAGGGGTCGAATCCATGGCATCAGAACGGAGAAAAAAGAAATATCGACCAGTGCAGATAATATTCTAGCATTTTTGTTTCTGGAGCAGCGGGAACTTCCCAGCATGAATGGACGGGCCGCGGAGTCAGTTCGGTCCCCGATATAATTAGACATTTCTCACGGTACATGGTATGCTCAGGAAGAGTGAATTTCGCTCTACGTCACAATTAGCATGCAACCTCCTCGAGCTATCGCTTTCACTCTGTTTTATAGTCTTTACTCAGTTCAGGCAAGGCTACTTTATTCTGGTCCAGAAGATCTCTATGCCTTCCCAAAGCATCGTGTAACGTTTCTGAATAATCTTCCAGTCCAGAATGAAACAGCTCAACATTGGCTTAACGAGGGACTACGGGGCGGTGAAAGCGAATTTTTAAATGACCGGTGGGATGAGCCTGCGTGGTTTTCCAATGCGGTATACAAGGAGATAGGTAGCTCTGAGCTGGAAATGTCAAATGACGCTTCGCAAATCTGTATGTCCCCTCGTGTTCAATTGTTCTTGATTTATTCACAGTCGTTTTCGGATCTAGCACAGTCTCCGATACCAGATAATTCTGGATATATGTTAAATCACATGAAATTGGGACCAGACAACGAGTTTATTTGCCTGATCCCCCCAGCCCGTGATGCTCCAATACAGGTACAGGAGAATATTGACCAAGATGCAGTCCTTCGCAATGGCTGGTCACTGCTGGAACCTTTATCTGGAAAATGCCTTTATGTGCGAAATTTAACTTGTTATTTTTCTAACATGCCGCTCAAATATTTCTTATAGCACCAGCAAACATGGTTCACTTATTCGTACTGCCACAATCAAGAAATCAGACAGTTCAAGGAACTCGCTCACACGCAACATCGCTCAGCAGGTAAGATCCTTCCCATTTGGCGGTGTATGATTCACTCACACGTATACAGGAACTTACGAACCCACTGAGGACCCAGAAGTGTGTGCCATATTATTTTATTAATGTTTTCTAAATGGTTGGCTAGTGGGAAGCGTTTACTTTAGGACGCGCCCCCTCTGCACAAGATCCAGGAGCGGACGTAGCCGTCACGGATCGGCACGCTCAGGTGGGACAGCTTGAAGTTGCTCATGGTCCAGGCTCTCGTTATCTTGTACAACGATGGGGTGATGGCACATTCTGCGATAAGACGGGAAAACCTCGCGAAGTTGAAGTTCAGGTAATGTTATTCTAATTTTTTTCCCCGCAACGCACTCAAAACATCAGTACAGTTCCATTGCTCGATGACGATGGCAGATTCTATCCTTCTCGTACGAGAAGCAAAGACATGTTCCTACGTGCTAATCGTACAAACTCCACGTCTATGTGGAGAACCTGGATTCAAATCGCGAATGGAATTGCCAGAGCAGACCTTTATCCGCTGTCGGCAAATCATCAACCCTTCATTGGACTCTACTCCCCAAACTACCCATCTCGAACAGCGAAAACCTGACGGCCATCGAATACCACAAGATTCTGACCTACCTTCGTATCTGAACCGTGAAACGCGTTTTGCCGTACCATCCCCCGCAGCTAAGAGTTCCCTGGGTCCCAGCGGAGGTCAAAGCGAAGACCTGTTGGATGGGATATTGAAACGCACGCTAGAAGCGTTGGTTCCGGAGCTTCAATCCTTGTCGGGCGAAACCTCTCAGGTCATATTGGGGCGCGGCCAAAACGGCGAGATTGTAATCGAGATTCTGGAAGAGATTCCGCTTGATGACCTCGGAGAGTCTGATTTACAGGAAAGGAATACGGATGACTACGCTCATATAACAGAGATCATTCGAAAGGCCGGTTACCAGTTGAATGAACTGAAGGACGAGAAGGAACAAGAGGATGATGAGGTCAGGGACGGTCAAAGGGAAGAATCAGAAAAGTTTCCCGAAAGGAAAGACGAGCTCTGAGCTGCTCTGAGGTGGGCAGTCATCTTACTGTTGGTTTAAGCAGCTCGTTAATTTCGCTTCTGCACTAGGCTCGAGATTTGATCGTTTGGACACTGTTTCTCTACTTGGAGAGTCTGTGGACTATTGCAGAGTGCTTATATTGGTTGACGTTCCAATCGTCATAGCTTTGCCATCTTGCGTCTTACCCAACCCTAATTTGCATTTTATGGCTGGCTAACATGACACCCCCTGAGTCTCGTGTCTTGATGTAACATGCTAGTGATCCACAGTCAGAAATAACATCTCAAGCACTGCTAGGTATGTTTTATTCGAAGTTGCCTCGGACCTTATTCAGTTTAATGTATGTCGTATCTGAAGCCGATCCAATCTTTCAATCTCTGAACTCTATCTTCCCACTCACAAGTCCCGTCGTTTTGCTGACTACACAACGTCATCAGGGACAGCTGAGTGTTTGTCGATACTCATCCGGACAGATCTACGACCGTCACCGGACTTTCCGGTGTCAATTGCAAGCGCTGCCCTGGCATCTTGAGGATATTTCGGAATATAGAGAGTCCTGAATGATACAGCGAATAAGAATTTCAACACAGCTTCCACGGATCTCTGGCACACCATCGCATTATTATTATTTCCCAACCCCAAAAATTTAGCCAAAACTCACGTCGAATCGCACCAATCAAATTGCTTGGGTCGTCTACACCAGCTTCGTCGTCCTCTGCTTTTCAAGCCTGAATCTTCGCGGCAAACAGGCGTGGCATCGAAGCTTCCTTCGATTTGATCGATAATCGAGGCGCTTATCGCCGCTGTCTCTAAAAGTCGGATCGCGCGTTCTCTGCATAACCTTCCATAATTCCAACAAGTTGAGTTTGCGCCCTCTGCAGGATTCGAAAGAATTTAATTGTGGCTTCATCAGGTGCGATCTTATGCAATTTCCCCCTGATTATCTTTTACTCGTGCTCCTAGATTCTTGCGGCGTTTATTTATTGGATCCAATTATTGTCAGGTGGCGGCCACTTTGAGTTCATTCAATCCATCAACGTTCAAGAGCATGCGCTTTTTGACGGCGGTACGCCTAATTTCCAATCTCTCTCCGTCGTGGACTTTTTTATTATTATTATTTTCCGCTGAAACGTTCTTGATTATTTGATGGTTGTGCCATATGCATCGCGAGCATCAGCATGCGTTTTCGTGATGCTTTCCATTTCCGCCAGGATATTGTTCGACCCTTCAGCACGAGCCCATCGCCAACTGAGGGAACAAGAAGGTAATTGTCTGATCTGATGTATCTTAGTAACCACCTGATCATCTCTCCATTCCGTGTTGAACGCGTCTAGACCAGGTTACACTCCGCCAGAGCACAGTCTTGGTCGTGTGATCCTCCACTCTCACCTGCAGGACAGTAGTGACAACTTTTCATACGAGACGGCAGGATCACCGAAAATCGATCAAGATAGCTTATCGCAAATCTGCCGCAGCTCCCTCCGGTAGACTCTTTTTGTAAACGACCGGAAAAAAAATATTCAACGATGCCGATGGGTAGGATTTCTGCTCAAAATAGGTTTACTGTCGACGGCAACGCCATGTTCTGCACCCGTCGGTACTCATCCTCGCCGAGATATATTTGCGTATTTCTTCTATTTATCGTCACGATACCCTCGAGGCGAATTCTAACCGTGCTACTCGTGAATATCCTGTGTCTTTCCCATCTCAGGACCTCGTGGATGCGCAGTACGAACGACAATCACCCGATTGCTGTCTTACCCAGCACCTGATAGATAACCAGGGCGTCCGCCCACCCCTACCTAGCGCAGACCCTTAGACGGACCAACCCCGAGTTTCTATACACGGCGACGTTACCACACCCTCGGTGTTCCCGTCCCGATTTACCTTCTCGACCTCCTTGCAAAGTCCCATAAAGTTCAAGGGCATCTCCCGACAACAAATTCAGAATATATTTATTATAATTTAGGGAGAATTTTAACGCGTCTGCATGGCACACCCTCTTCGAATCCATACTTCAAACATCTTCCCACAAGACGTAATCCATAATCGTTGTATTAAAATATTGCCCTTTCGTTCTATCAAGCAAAAAGCATACCACACATTTGTAGGTGTAAGGCAACAAAGTTAAAAAAGACGAAGAAATGAAATGAAATTTAATCAAGAGGCGAAAACGCATCAGAATGAAAAAGACGACCAGATAAAAAAAGATAGCGAATGGACTAGGTTAGGTGGACGAGAATAAGATACCTGATAGGCGTAGGGTCGTATCGTGTGCCCTCGGGGGACATCATAAAAAGGAGAAATAGAATGGGAATGAACGTTGTGGATGATCTTTTTAGTGTCCGCTGTGTGTACCGAACCGTGCGTATGTGTTAGGTGTTGTGTTGTATATACATGCGAGGGAAGATGAGGTGCATATAGATCGAGATGGATGGGAAGATGGGTGGGTTGGGAAGGCGTTGGTGGTCAAAGTGAATGGGTGACCAAGGGGAATCACATGAAATATTACATGGTAAGCGAGTCGGAATAAAATGGAATGATAGTGGCGCACGCCATGGTTCTGGAGTGTGAAATGATGCAAGAGTGCCGCTAGAACCAAGACATGAGGATTGTGAGGCTGCGGATATAGTACATAACGAGCGAGGCAAAGGTGGTTGATGATCGATGTGAAGGTAGAGGATGATCAGGGTAACGGTGGATGATGAAGCGAAGGTTGATGATGATCAATGTGAAGGTAGAGGATGATCAGGTAATGGTGGATGATGATTGTGCCGTCAAGATGAATGAGGGTAATAGCACATGAATGGCATCAGAGCGGCGTCGATCCGAGGTAAACACAGCTAGCTCCATACGCACAGCCAGACTAGCACGACACCCTCAAGGGTAATGCCAGCCCGCCTCCCAACTCAGAAAAACCTCTTCTTGAAACTCTTCTCCTCGTTCTGGATCCTCACATGCACGTGCTTGGGCACACCGCTCTCCGTGCACGTTTCAATGCTCCGCACCCACTCGTCCCCGTCCTCGTCATCCTCTGCATCATCTTCATCCTCATTATCGCCCTGCTCCTCCGTGTCAGATTCGTACTCCCCATCTTCGCAACCACATTCATCCCCCTCTGCTAGTGCAATGATCCCACCTGTGTCTCGTCGACCCCATAATAGCTCGCCCATGGTCGTGCGCAATTTAGGGTCAACGCATAGCATCCGTCGTAGCGCAGGTCGCGTTTCGCGCGGTAGCAGCCGGAATATTGAGTTTGGCGATGTCGTCGACGATGTACGAGGTCGTTTGCCGGGCGGTGTTATCGTGCGCTTTGACGACGACGGTTGAGCAGTAGGCGGAGATGACGATGATGATGATGCGGTAGCTGCCACGGAAGACTCACGTATTGACGGCGCTGTTGTACCATTGGCTTGTACACCATTGGCCTTCGTCTCCAGAGCCTCCCGTGCGAAATCCCGCTCTTTAGGGGTCTTTCCCTGCCTATTGATGACATCCTTCATCTCCTCCGGGTTATTGTCTGCCCTCAACGCAGGTAAACTCTCCGTCGAAACTCCAGGACGCGCAAACACCAACACGCTCTTATCTACTTCCCCACCCTCAGGGAGGACCGCACCCTGCGAACTTGACATCGCAGGCAATGTCGCCGTCCTTATACCAGGACCAGGCAATCCCAGCTCAATTGCACGCCGGTGTGGTGAGGTCTCGCTCCCTGCATCACTGCCAGTCGGTGACGACAACGTGAGGGTGCTCGCCGTAGCGGTGTAAACCGACGCATTCGACAGCACCGACTTGTTGTCGTCGAGAGGCTTGAGCCCGTCGGCGTGACCCGGGACATCCAGGGACGTACTCCGCGGGTCTCGAATGGAGTCAGGACTCGCTGGGGAGCTTGTGGCGGGGGGACCTGAGGACACAGGTTTTGCGCCACTTGAACGCTCGTGTTTACGTTTGTATTTAGGGCGCGGCAGTGGGCAAGAAGCTTCGGCCTCGATAAATGCTTTAAATGAGTTGTCGCGTTCGCGATCAGGGACTGCCCATGGGAAGCGGCGGAGGACCATGCAGACCTGTTGAAACTTTGTTAGCTTCTGCGAAAGAGAGTTTTTTCCATGTGGCGCAACTGTCGATCCGGATGAATAGAGCGGCCTAGATAGGGCTCATGGCAATGCCCGGACGACTGTCCTCGGGAGAACATGACGCATGTGATAAAGACCGCGGGTCATCCATCCAACCATCCAGAGGCATTTCGCCCTCAACCAAATACCAACCCATAAAAGCAAGCAAGAGGAACGACTACTCACAAAAATGACGCCCACACTCCATACATCGGTTTTTCGGGGATCATAGGAGCCGCCTCCCAGAACTTCAGGCGCAAGGTACGGATCGCTACCAACTATACCCGTGGCAGGTATCAATCTTGCATGGGAGTGCGGACCGGATGGTGGGTCATTGGGATGGGGTTGCGAAGGGCAAGGGGGATTGAGGGCGCCACTGACATATCCTGTGACTGTAGCCGGTAGCGAGGCGTTGGAAGTTCCGGTTCCAGGATAAGCAAAGACGACGGCGGTTCCGAAATCGATGAGTTTAACGACATCGCCTTGTGTCATGACGCAGTTATCGAGCTTTAGATCTCTATGTGCTAGGCCTAGAGAGTGAAGGTATGCGACGCCGTTGCAGATCTGACGAAAAACGCAGAATATTTCTGGGCGTAGCATGCGGCCGGACATTACGACACTGAAGAGGTCGTAGGGAGCGTACTCCATGACCTGTTGGTGGTGAGGGGGAGAAGTTGTTGTGAATGAGCGACAATCTGACCTCATAGTAATGGCCATGATCGCAGACGATATCGACTGTTTCGATAACATTGATGTGCTTTAAACAGGCGCCAACGCAGAATTCAGCCCTGACTTTGTTCTCGTACTCACGCTCGGATTCGCCGGAACGTCTTGGGCGAAATTGCTTGACAGCATAAACGGCACCACCTGCTTTAGTTCGTGCACGAATGAGGCGAACGGTGCCACCTGCACCGGTACCGAGTACACGGCCCCACTTGCCATACTTTTTCGATAGATGAGCGTGAGTGGCTTCGGAGAGGGAGATAATTGGAACAGCAGAAGGAGTTCCTGAAGGAGTTGGCGATGGACGTTTAGACGATAGAGATGTTGAGGGAGGAGAGGATTTTTGACGGGAAGATTTGTCCTTGTCGCGGTTGCGGGCCTTATGTATGAAGCTGAAGGGGGAGGACTTGTGGGTTGTTATTATGGGAACTGCGTGGATTACGGTATTTGTATCGAAATCGTCACCCCTTCGCTGATCTGCAGGCTGTATTTGTAGTTCTGAAGGTGTATGGGATGATGAAGCGTTCGAGGATGGGGAAGCGCTGGAAGACGTAGAAGGAGGATGAGGATGAGGGATATGGTGGTTGAGAAATCGTTTGAGATCATGAAGGGGGCCAAGTTTTGAGGGTGAAGAGGTGCCTGAAGACTGCTGCTTGAGAGCGTTTGAAGATGACTTTCGGGGAAAGCGGAAACGTGATTGTGTTACGGCCTCGGTAGGCTGAAGGCAAGCAAAAGGGAGTTAGTGGAGTTAAAGGATGTGATTTGAACTGACCTTATTTGCAAGACGACCGTTCCGGTCGATATCTGGGACAGCGAGGAGAGATGGAGGATTAGGTTGATGGTCGTTGTCGCGGTTGTCACAATCTGGACTACTAGGTGGAGAAGGGTCATGACAAGGAATAGAGATTTGCTGCATTGGAATTGCTGAGAGCATCGTGAGCGGCGACGACGACGACGGCTTATTTGACGACGAGGGTGATGGTGGTGATGATGGTTGAAGAAGTGTACAAGTAATTGAAAAGTTGAAGACTAAAACTATATCGCGTCAGAAAGCCCACAGGCCACCGATCTCGGTCCGAATCCGGCATGGGCTCGGCATGTGCTTACCAATCAAATGAATTACGTACAGCTTTTGACTAGACCTAGTTTCAAACTTCCTGTGAGTCTTGGTTCAAGCTCACTCTCAGGCTCACGCTTCTAGACGCTACGCCAAGATACCACCCGAAGCTCGCCTGGAATTCACCCTATGATCCGGCTCGAGGTAGATTATCGAAGCCTCTTTGTTACGGTACTCCCCGAGCTCACAAACCCCATGATTTGGACTCGTAGCATCACTGCCTGCACTAGTGCGGCTCTCGTTAATACTCGGGTACTCGATTCATGACCGAACGCCACGCGAAAGTGTGTTTTAACTAGTACATGGTGTCTGTGTAGCATCATCCCGACCGACTCGCGCGCGACACGCAACACAGCTTAGTATCTCCCCGCCTTCTTCGGTCGCGTTATTCAGCAAAACGCGATCGACAGGCTCTCGCCATCGGAGGTGGCATCGAAAGCGGCAAGCCAAAACAGGCAAGTACTCCACCTGTTAATGATCGGTGCATGTACTTTCTCACGTCCGAGGACACTTGGCACGGCCGCCCAATAACCCGCCTCCATGTCTTGAGTTCTTCCTTGGAGCTCTTCTGCTTCTAGGGTCAATATTATGGCTGATATCTACTCAGACTCGCTCTTGGCAACTGCGCACATCGTACGAGCCAATCGGTGTTTAGGCGTTATTATCCTGCGTACGACGACTTGGCCCGCACAACGTGGAGTATGGGCTCAGCGCCCCTATCTGGCGGCTTATCCCCGTAGCAACTGGTCGGACTATTTTCCCGAAATCCTTGTGGACGCATGTGACAAAGTACCCCTGCACGCATGCTCGACTAACGTAGCAGTGCTGTGACTAGTCCGCAGTCACACCATTATAGTTAGACCCAACCAATCATCTACTTCGCCTCATTTGCAGTACAAGTACTGCAAAATTCCAATCCATTATTCGCCGGTATACTAAGCCTGGCCTCTGATCGGCTATCGTTATCAGTGGTCTCGCCTTACGGGTTAGTCCTAGTCTCAACCAATATCATCAGCATCTCGCTTCCTCTTCATCTCTCGTGAAACCTTATGCTGTGCCGATTCGTGCTTTGCGAGTTCTGGCGAAACTTTGGACACGGGGCTCTTGGATATTTCTGTGTGAGAGGGTAGTTAGTAAAGATGAACAAACGTTGGAGGTCGGAATAGGAATGCAAATATAAACAAAACCAGCCTTGAACGACAGCAGAAAATGCCCTGATAAAGAAGCTACACACGCACAACGCCACCTGACAGATGACACAAGATAAAAGGGTCGAGTCCGACAAGAAAATCACAGAAAAGAAACGCAGAGAAAAAAGTAAAATCCAAATAGATACAGAAACCGGGGAAACTAGCGCCTGAGAAGGGAAAACGACGGCAGTCAATGGCAAGGACATGGGGCTGGACGAGCAGTGGGACGAGACGGGATCCCGGGTACCCGCCGGTGTCGGGGGCCAGTAATAACTGATGATAGACCAAGTAGGGACATCGATAATCATATTAAGCATGATAGGACTTGGTAAAAAGAGAAATCGCCGAGAAGAAGAAAAGGAACATTGCGGAGACAGCCAGCCACACGATTGATAACGATAGAACCAGAATAAAAAGGTAGCGTTCGTGGCAGTGGAACCAAAAGCGTATGAGAATGGAAAAAAAGTCGTACCTTGTTTAAGATCGTACCTATAGAAGCAAATAATCAGCCGTGTTCCGAGCTCAGAGAAGTAAAGAAATTCTGGGTCAGGCAGCTATCGGTTTGCTCCCCGAAGGAAGATCCAGCAAATGCAGCAACAACACAACCACAAAAATTAGGATAGATACGTACATGACTTCGTCGTCATCATTTGTCAAGAAGGTGATCGCCGTACCCTGTTTGCCCGCACGACCCGTACGACCTGCACATTAATGTTGTTAAATCACTTAAAAACCCAGATAAGGGAGATGCCCAACCAATACGATGCACGTATGCCTCAATGGTACCTGCCATCTGGTAGTTGATGACAAGACTGACATCCTGCACATCAATACCACGTCCAGCAAGATCCGTGGCAACAAGGATGTCGGAGTCGCCGGAACGTAATGACTGTAGGGAAGCCTCGCGCTGCTCTTGTGTCTTTCCAGAGTGTAGCGTTGCCGCAGACCACTAAATCAAACTAAGATCAGCGACCCACTTTGAAAATGACAGCAACATACCCCAGCACGTGAGAGATCCTTTGCAACCATGTCTGCCGTCTTCTTCTGGTTGACGAAGACAATAATCGGTGATGGATACTGGCCACTGTTCAGGATCTCCAGCACCATTTGCCTGTAAATGTGCGTGATTAGTATGGTACCGCGAAGACATGCACAAAAGATACAAACTTCTTCTTTTCGTCTCCATTCACAAATTCGACTCTCTGGTCGACGGTGTCGACTGCACGGCCAGCTTCACCGATAGTGATGGTAGCAGGCCTCTTAAGATATTTCCTCGCAAGCCGTTCGACAGCAGGCGGCATGGTCGCACTAAATAGGGTCGTTACCCGAGTGCGACCCTTCTTTACCTCCTCACCGTCGACGTCCATTGCTCCAGTATCCTCGCCTACCATCGTCTCGCTCGGGAGCTTGTCAAGGATGAATAACAAGTCTGTTTCAAAACCAAGGTGCACCATGCGGTCTGCTTCGTCCATGACGATATAACGACATTGAGAGAGTACGAGCACATGCCGCTCTAGGACGTCTTTCAGACGTCCAGGCGTAGCAATAATGATCTCAGCCCCTTCACGGAGGTTGAATTGTTGTTCTTCAACTGCGCGCTGAACATATGACAATGAGTACAAACTCCGAGACTAGAGAGAAGTAAGATGACGTACACCACCGACTATAGATACACAAGTGAAGCCCAGTGGCGATGCAAACTTGCGTGCCTCAGCCTCAATTTGCTGGGCAAGCTCACGCGTAGGGGCGAGGATGAGTGCATAGGGACCAAGGTGGCGGTTCTCATCTGTGAAAAGTGGCATGTTGGAGATGAATGTGAGCATAGGGATGACGAAAGCTGCTGTTTTTCCGGAACCTGTCGTGATGTTAGTACATGAGGAGAGTAGACAGGGAAATGATGTACCTGTCTCTGCAATACCTATGATATCTCGGTTCTGCAGTCCGATGGGAATTGCTTGTCGTTGGATGGCAGAGGGCTCTTTGTAACCAATCTTATCGATGACGCTCAATATTTTCTGTGGGATCTGTGACTCTGTCCATGAACGCAGGGGGTGAGGTATCGAGCCACCTTAAGATTATCGTCAGAGCCCGCGACCAACATGCATGAATAAGCAGACATACCTCGAGCAGCAATGCTAAAGTCCTCCCTAAATATCCGCCAGTCACGCTCCCTCATCTCTTCCAACGGCTTCTCCGACCAATGCCTCTCATCAAGACCGCTCTTCGCCGCCATCCTCCTTTCCATTGCGTCAGCCAAGTTGGCAGTTGCAGCCCCTCGACCAACTCTCTCGCCACCACCGTCGTCAAATCCACCAACGTGACCACGACCAAACATCACCTGTGCACCCTGGCGGTTCACACCAACAGCAACAGGAGAATCGCTCGAGAATGTGTCTTCTTCCACATTCCAGTCAAACACGAATTTCCGGTCATTCATTTTGCGGATCTTGCGCTTCTTGGTGTTCACACCAAGATAGCGATCACGTACAGCACTGAGGTCGCTCTCGGTCATGGGAGGTACATAGGATGTACTGGGCTCCGAAAGAGGGTCGTTCCCGTTCGCATTACTGGTGCTATTAGCATTGCTAATGGGTGCAGGGGATGCACTGGAGGAGACAGGACCAGAAGGCGGGTTTGAGTTTTTGAGACGGTCGGCCCTTGGACCTGTTGGGGCATTTGGTATGTGTTTCGACGGTGGGGGCTGTGCACGACGGTCGTCCGGAGGTGGTCCACCTCCTCGACCTCTCCGCCCGTGTCCATGTCCGTGCCCATGTCGCGTATCCTTTTCGGGATGTCCATATCTTGACTCTCTATCATCATCTGTTAGCATGTAATCAATACGAGTTGTTCGAAATGAGAGGAAATCATACGTCGAGCAGGAGCACTGCTATACCTAGCAGTACGCTCCCTTTCTTGCTCCCGCTGCCTTACTTCCTCAGCTTCACGTTCTAGAACTTCACGGTCCACTCGTGACTTCTCATCACGTTCCCGTTGTTCTCTGAGCTCTGCAGTACGCTTCGCAATAGCTATCTTTGCACGCTCTTCTTTTGAGAGGAATTTAGGGCTGTATATGAAGTGAATAATCAGCATTTCTTGTTCGTAACATGACCAGACTCACCTTTGCAGCAGCCTCACGCTCCTCCTTCTGTCTTTGCAGCAAGGACTCTATCGAAAGTGGTTCTGCTCGTGCTGCCATCCCAAGGTGCTCCTGGTAGATCAACTCAACGACCGGGGGTGCGTTCGTCACTGTACTCGAAAAGAAGCGTTAGGGTTCCAAATCGGGCGATGGAGCTCTTTGTCGGGGCACGTGCGGCACGATGAGTACGCGCTCATCTATTTCAGTGATTTGATTCAAGCGTCAATCTACCATCGAGCTCTAGCTCGAACAGCGAGCACGAGGATGGCGCCCAACGATATTGACTCGCGTATGCAGTCCCCTCGCCCGGAAACGCCCGAGCCATCATCCAGGCAGGGCAGGCGAAATCCTCAGCTTGATGCCCAGTTGCTTGACGCTGATGGTGCAATTTCCGACAAGGTATGTTTTCACTCATATTGTGACATTGCGCGAAGGTGCTGACCGACACACATGGCTTGTGCAGCTCGAACGCTGTCTTCGTCATATTTTCGCCAAGTATTGCACGCCGCGCCCGGCGCGTCTCCCAAAACAAGACTCTACGATTCTCCTTACACCTCCTGATGATGCGATTTTTGACTCCGCAGGGCTAGACGCGTGGGCACAAGACACGAATGGCGCACCGTTTAGTGAAGAGACCAAGGAGGAACTCAGAGAGTTTTTGGACGTCACTGAAGAAGGCGAGCTGACGTGCGTGGTATCCCATTCTTTCACCTCTCCTGCTTTTCTAGCACACCTATGTGCAGTCGTGGAAATCTTCTTGATGCTGATTCTTGCACTTTTCTGTAGGTTTAAAGGCTTCGCGCAGATATATCAGCTGCAGACAGAGAATGATGAGGAAGAAACATGGAGAGATCTGGTACGTGCACTGATTTCTCCAACTTTTCTCTCTTATGCCCATCCTCTTTGTTCCCTCAACGCCAATAATTTTTTGGTTTTGTTTCATTCGCATCCTGTTTCCATCCTCTCGGATCTTTCATCTTGGCCACTCTGCGTAAAGGGATAAAATCGACTCAACTCTGCGTTCTCAGTCAAACCACGGATTTGATCGTACCCTCACCCTTGTTTCAACGCGTCGGGAGGAAGAGGCTGAGAGCAGTCATACGCCTCTTTTCATGTCATGTACGTCGGGTTGTTCTTATTCTCCATCTTTACGTGAATGCCAATCACCTCCCACGTAGGACGATACCACAAAAACGTGTACAACCTCTTATACGTTATGAACATACTAACCACCAACCCATGACTTTACGATGCCCATTACTTGATTGCTTATCTAGCTGGAAACCCCCTCCATATCCACGACTTCGTATGATCTTTCGAACCTTCCATACCCTAACTCATGACCTGCTGGGCGATGTTCACATACTAGATTTAATCATATCTAGCATCTGCTGGTCTTCATTCTAACTGAGTCAGAAAACTTCTAATAACAAAGGTACTACAAAAAAGTCATGGTATCAACTGGATAATCCCGACGCTTGACGCCTCTATGCTCTATATATCCTTCATGCAACAAACAAGATCACTATTACTTGACAGCCCCAGTGACCCCATCCCACCTTCCACGCCACACCTCCACGCCCTCCCATTCCTCAGCGTCCCATCCTACACCAACACCGGCACGCCTTAGCCTCTTCTCAGGGACGCGCTGGAACAAAAGTCCCCACTCCTCATCAGCACGTCTAAATGCGGTCGTGATGAATGTTGGGTCGCGCCTCTCAACAACAAGGTAGATGACCGGAGGCTTGCAGGTTGGAGTTCCAGGGGATTTGGAAGGGGGTGCAGGTGGTACTTCAATACTGGAAAGTGAAGATGGGGAGAGAATGGAAGCAGATGAAAGAGCAGAAAGCGCACGGATTGTCTCGAATAGAGGAGCAACAAGTTCCGTATCATAGATCGTATCGCTCGAGACAATCAGATCAAATGGCGGGGCGAGGAAATCGCGGCTGTCACTAGTACCTCTTCTTGGCAAAGGTGCTGGCGATGTGATCGACACAGAATCGTCCCATATCCAACCCGTAGGGTCGACACCCCAGTCCAGCTCACGTACATGGACACGCCCAGGGACGAGATGCGCATTGGCATTGATGTTGGAACGCAGAACGGACGCACAGACGTGCATAGTATCGGTAGCAAGGACATCATATCCCAGAGATGCGAGCGCAAGACTGAAATCCATGAAGCACCCGCCATATGCGGAACATGCGTTTATGATAGTGAGTGATCCTCTTCACGCTCATATATGGACAATGAGACGCACGCCATGAGGCCAATCCCGCTACCCAGTTCTACGGCCTTTGGGCGTGCTGTATTGCACAGAACCGAAGCATTATTATCTGTTCCAGTCTCGATGGTCTTCCTGGATTTGCCCTTGAATTCGGCAGAAAGATAGACGGATAGTACTTGAGCACCAAGCCACAGAGCAGTCCCGTTACTTGTGCCGTCATCTCGCTGGACAAGATGGAATGCCACACTATTAAACGGATATGCAAGAACAGGCAAGTGTTTTGTGTGGTGAGCTGGTTGGATATCCGACATGAAGTGATTCAATGCCAAGCTTGGGTAGTCGGAAGCAGTAATTCTTCAGATTTACCGTTTTGTATAACTGAATCCTAGGCCGCAGTTGTGACGCTTAACTTCACCATGGTAGCTCACTTACATTGGCTAGAAATGTCGTTCCAACGTGTGATACTTCAATAAAAGTGTGAGATCATGTTATAGCACTAACTAGACATATCTGACCATCCTCCAGCTGTATCCTCCCCGGCCTCCTATTCTCACTGTCAGCCAGTGCTACAGTAACGTCACCTCCAAATTTGCATGCAGGGCGCCATCCGAGTCTGTATATATGGCATCGCTACAACAGAATCACAAAATATGTCAATTGACAAGATCTTGAACGCGCCGGGAGAACACTTACTTGAACATCAGCACGTCGTCCAACGAGGCAGAGAGGGACTCGCAAGTATGGATAGAAGAGTTCGTATATCTTTGAGATCAGCGTAGTCAACAGCCGGGGGGAGCAAGGAAAACCATCAGTGCGATGCCCTTCGAATGACTCGCAACAAACTAAACTTACCCCTCGGGTGCAAGCAAATAATCCTCCTTCGGTTCGAAGTTTATCTGCAGATCTTGAGATTGCTCGTTCTGTGCCTCAATCTTGAGTAAAGCTTTTGGACGCGCCGGCAAGCTGTCCTTAGCAAGCCCAAAGCTAACGCGCCACTTTGTGTCAACACCCATATAGAAGAGCAAGCACCATATGCGTCCTGCAGAGATTAACACGCGTGAGGAACAACTTAAGAGGTATGGATAAAATACCTTGTGCAATCAATTCCACGTATATTTCTTGTGTAACGCGCATGCGTTTCTGGAACATCATGATCTGGATTTTGGAAGTGAACTGGTTCTGTAAATTTCCTTCATGATACACCTGGATCTTATCTCTCGGATAACCTAAAGATCGATTCAAACCCAAGCCCTTCCCTGATTAATGTGCAATGATTAATTCTCGCTAAGGACTAGGGATTACCAGTACTCACTATAACGAGGCGTGGTTGTCAATTTCAGCGACGTAAACCATGCATGGTTACTAGTTGCCATACATGCTAGACGCAGGTCGTCAAGGGAATTATACGTGTATGTGGCGATGAATTTTAAAAAAGCTGAAAGAGCTTCTGGTCGATTATTCACGACTGCCCAATACAAGGGTGTGTGACCCGTAATATTGGATTCTTGAAGGAGAGCTGTGAACTCTGCAGCTGGGAGAGAAGTAGCACAGGCGTCGATAATTGGGCCGACAGAGGAAGGGATGAAATCCGGTGCGGTGACCATATCACGGATGAGAGATAGAACGGTGGTACGTATCTGCTTGATCTGTTCCTTGGAAAATACAGGTGGTGGTCTGCATTGGACAGAATCTGCTGATATCGAGGACATGGAAACTGCGTCGTATGATGGAGGCGCATTGGAATCGGATTTGTCGTCATCAAAGAGTTCGAACTTTGTATCCATAATATTGGTGAGGAAGGAGACAATGAAAATAGGGGCTTTCCGATGATCACATGGACACAGCATGTGAACACAAAGGCAAACACTGGACTCCGAAAACGACTTTGACCTAAGTAACCTCGTCAGGACGACTACGCCTAGTGAATGTTTCTGTCTGTGCTAGATCAGGTTTTCAGAATCAAATTATCACGAAAACATCCATGGCAGTTGATGCCTGGCGTATGCTCTGGTTGTTGGGTAATACAAGTGGATAGCTGCACGTTAAACTCGAGTCCGAACCGTCAAATTACCCATGATTTTCCTAATGCTCTGTTCACTCCTTGTCAACTTCGTGCTGTCCTGCGAACCGTTCCATATACGAAATGAGTTGGTCTGTCTCTTCTTCTGTTACGGCGTTATATATGGACACTCGGACCCCTGGACAGATGAAACGTCAGTGATCAAACTATGGGTAGAAATGATAACGCTCCATACCTCCTACGGAACTACATGGAAAAATTATGAGAACGTGGCCTTGGATGATGCGCAAAGGCAAGAACTCACCGATGGCCTTTGAGACCCTTCATGCCTCGCTCCTCTGCACCAGCAATGAACTTGGCTAACAACCCTTCGCCAAGGACGTCGAAGACGACATTCATCTGGCTACCAGAGCCTTCCTTCACTTTGCCTTTGAAGATGCCTTTAGTTTCACCATCTTTCAGCACATCATACAGCTTCTTCGATTTACGGTTTGTGAGGCTCGCGTAATAGTCCAACCCTCCTAGCTGGAGCATGTACTCAAGAACGAGACCGGTAATGTAGATGGAGAGTACCGGGGGAGTGTTGTACAGGCTGTTATGATCTGCAAGCGTTTTGTACGCAAGACAGATTGGGATTGGAATCGCCCCGAGCCTCGCAGCGGCGTCGACGTCAACGATACAATCATTTCTGACGATTAAGATGGTGAGACCTGCAGGGCCGACGTTTTTCTGCGCGCCAGCATATATGATAGCGTGGTCTGAAAGATGGGGAATTGCCCTTGACATGAAAGAGGAGGAATAATCCCCGACAAGTGGGAGAAGTGCATTTTTTGGAAGAAGATGGAAGGGAAAAGAGGCTGGTGAAGTTTCCTCAGCCGAGAACTCCACGCCGTCGACGGTCTCATTGGCGCAGTAGTAAATGAGAGCTGGGTCATTTGAGAAGGAATACGCATCTGCAGGTGGGATGTTGTCAAAGGATTTCTGGTCTTGAGAGTATTTGCGAGAATCGGCTGCAATGTTAACGGTGCTCCCTCCCATGCGCCTAGCCTCCTCAGCTGCCTTTTTGCTCCAGGACCCTGTAACAACATAATCCAGTACTCGGTCTTCGTCTGTCAGTTGAGGGTGGAGGAGGCGGTGTCGCGCCAGCATGTTCAGCACGACGGCTGAGAACTGCGTGGACCCACCCCCCTGAGTGAACAAGATGGAGTGTGTGGGCTGGACGTCGAGAAGTTTTCTGATATTTTGTTCGACGCCTTGTAGATACGCCGTGAACTCTTTGGAGCGATGCGAAATCTCAGCGATACCGATGCCAGTTCCGTTGAAATTCAGGAGACCTTTGGTGGCTTCCTGAAGCACAGCGACGGGCAGAGCAGATGGACCTGCGCCAAAGTTAATGGCTCTCGATTCCATGGTATGAAGACTTTCTTGGAAGAGTGAATAATGTGCGTCGAGGTATTTTGCACGTCAAGGTCGAAGACAAACTAGTGATCTACTTGGGGTTAATGTCACGGTGACTCGACGCTTCACACATATGTCAGAACCTACGCCTGAACTCAAATTTGGTCAGTCGTGGCAGTAAACGGCTCTTCGCCCATCATACATGCAATACGTGACTATGTATGGCTTTAGAAATAGTCCAGTACAGAATAACGAAAAAGTTCTCAAAGGTCCCGTGAATTTTGAAAAAATACCTAAAGGCGGGGTGCGCCACCGTCGACCTCATGTTCGCCTTGTCTCCCAGTGAGAGCTGGATCAGGCTTGCGCACACTACCACCAACCAACTCCACTTCTTCCCCCTCCGTGCCATCTGTATAGGACAGATTGTGGAGGCCAGCTGCGGAGTTGACAGTGGGCAGCTCCTCTTCACGTCGCACTCTCGGGGGATGCGGCTTATGAGACATTGACGATAATAGCGAAGGAAAGTACTGGCGATACGCAAAATATGAAACAACCAGTCCGAGGATGGCTCCAGCTATGACGTCCTGCCAGTGGTCTGTGAAGAAGTAAATGAGGTTAAACATGATAAATACAGAGACATGAACTGACGTCGGTAGTCCATGGTACGGGAAATGGCTACCAGAATGGCCCCAAAGATAGGAGTGATGGAGATCCATGCTTTGTGCTGAGAAATATGTATCTTAGTACGTCGCCGGGGTTGGAGACATTCGTTCACTTACAGCGTGGCCCCTGGTATCGAACAGGTGCATCTTTCCGGCCAAATAATAAGATAGGAAGCCAAGTCCGGCATGGGACACTGGAAATATTTCACAACTTTATAGATGGATTGATATGATGGCTTACAACTGGCGTGGCCACTAGGGAAGCTCCTCCATCCATCGATCATGATAGCTGTGTTGGTGTTTGTGCATATCGCGTCTGACGAGAGTCCATAAGTGGGGTCCGAGGAGCCTGGAATCGGCATGCATCGTGCGAGCAGATCTACAAGCCCACGTCAAAATTGTAAGATAGGAAAAGTGGCATAGCACTAACCTGGACGGGGACGGCCAACAGTGATCTTCGTGAACTGAGTGATGGCCCCTGTGATGGCAAGCCCCAGGATGACTACGCAGTTCTGTGAGTTAAACAATATTTCATGCACAAAAAAGAACCTACGCCCGAGTGCGCTGCAGTGGTAATCCCAGAAGGACCGAACGGTAAGTAAATTCACTACTAATTGAATGACGAGTGGCGCCACAATCGCAATGAAGTACAGGGCAATGTCCTAATCGCGGACTGAGATTACAATGTACTTTGAGGTCCCGTCATGAAGCTTACCGGAACACGTTCATGAACTGCAAACCTGGAACGAGGTCAGGTCGCCTAAGGCAGGTCAGAGCTACGTCCCAACTCACGGAAAAAGTATGCTGCATCGAACAAATTAGCAACCGTTCTTTGTGAAAGAGTATAGAATCTCACGTTTCATCATCCACTGAAAATTCTCGTCGGAAGCCGTGAACGCCGTCGAGGGCGAAGAACACAATCCTGTTATAAAGGCGTCAATAAAACTCATAATTTGGTGCACAAACGGAAGAGTGTACGCCAAAAGAATTGTGATGGTCCTACACAAAGACAGATCATATTGTGAGTATGGAGAGCAATATGAACTTGAAGCTGATGCGACGGACCAATCGGGGGCATAAGACCTGATTAATTTCATTCGCCTCTTGCTGTCAGTTCGTTTAGTGGTCCTGTCATAATTCGGGTTTTCCCAGAATTTGAAGGAGGCCATCGTTGGTTGCCGTGAAATTGCTCGCCAAAGAGTTGGTAGAGGGTTAAGCTAGGGAAGATGCTCGTGTATGGGAGCAAACTTAAGTTATCACATTCCAAACTTGAGCTGGCCGCCATTAATATTGTGTTAATATTATACTCCGGCTTGGCGTGAAACGTTCTGATCGGACCGAGGTCATAGTATACGACTGGAAGCCCTAGACGCGCAGAAATTTGCTGGCAGAGCGTAAACCCCCATAGCACCTAGACCGCAGCCGCGACTGTCCAAATTTCAGTCCAGACTCCAAACACTACCATCAACTGCGAACATGACGTCCATGACAGAGAGTGCATATGACATATCACAAGGCTTCCGTTGGAACCCAGGTAAACGCGTTTTACTACTCACCACGAGGTCCTAAACTTACCACCCCACCTAGATTATGACACAGTTTTAGAGCAAATCGCTGACTCTGACATAGAAGAGCCAAAGTGCGCTCTTCTAGCTAACCGATCCACGCGTTTATGACTCATAAGTCTACTTTTTCAGGATAGAATGGAACCTGCTACGCGACATGATCAAGTACAAAGTGGACGAGGTGATAACGCTCCTTTGATGTTAAGTCAGAAGCTGACTTCGACATCTAGAATATCGCCCTATTTCTAGCAGATCCACCGCCTCACAATGCAGTGGAATTCCAACCGTTACCTGAGGATCTCCTCAAAGCTGGTAACTTGAAGTTACCGCCGTTCCCGCTTCGTGAACAGAACGATCTCAATCACAACGAGGTACCGAAAGTGTACATGAACCAGCAAGAAGCAGGCGAGATCAAAGCTTTCATTTTCAGGCAACTGCATGAATTTGATGAGTGCGCACATATCTGCGGCCATTAACGACATCTGACTGCAGGTGGCCTTAGTGATCCTCCTTTCACAATACAACGCGTCTGCGAGCTCTGCGTACGACCGAAACAGCATTATAAAGCTCTTGGAAAGTATCTTCGAGCGGTAGAGAAATCATTGCTCGTTACATCCTCGTGGAACGCTTTCCCCGCAGAAGAATCTAACCATGACGGCCCAACAATATCTTCATTATCGATGACAGCTGGTTTACTATCAGCACCGACTACTCCGCTCTTCTCTCCCATATTCTTTCATCATGAAGATGCACGGCGCTCAAAGTCACAAAGTCCTCCTCCGTCACCTCTAACACTAAGTGGCATGGAATCTATGGGGCACGTCGAACCCTTGGAAGGGATGCCACCCAAAGCACTTGGCCTAGTAGACGAATTGGACGATCCAAGCCCAGGGCACTTGAGTAATCATCCAACAGCTCTTACAGCTGTTACTACGGTGGGCTCAAAGCCTTTCATGGATACCCTGGGGACAAGGTTTGTGAGAGGAGAGGGACAGCATGATACGGAGAGCAGTGATCAAAGGATGGCGGACGGAACGGGAGACAAAGAAAATATAGGTTGACGGTGCTTTCATCTAAACTGGGAACAAACCAGTAAGAGCTGTGATGTATACTCGGCGTCAAGGTACGCACCACGGTGTATTTATCTCATTCAAGTAAAATCGCGCTTGATTTTTTCGAGCATGGCCGTCATTCGATACTTCATATTGGGTTGTCCCTTCTCGCGTCCCCGATCATCGAAGGAAGCACCGCGGCCTCCCCTGGTGCCGCCTCTCTGCGGATTGGTACCGCGAGAAGGTTTTGTATGATGTCTTTTAGTATTCGCCTTGTACGTGTGGAGGGAATTCCGTGAGTAAGCTTGTTTGCCGAGTTCTCGAAGCGAAATCCTGCCATCAGCTGAACTATTTGGGACTGGTGGCTGCTTGCACTCGGAATGACTGCCAGAGTGAGAACCTTGATCCTTGGAGTGCGATTCTTCTGGGTCACTTCCATCAGGTTGTTCCTGATGTGCAGGGGGTGGGTCGCCATCGGAAGGTACTTCGGGTTTCCGTTGAAGAACACTTTCCCGCTTTTTCTGGGCTTTCCACTGAGACTTTATCTTCGTGCTCTCAACCCATGACTGCTTTAGCTTTTTGGCTAAAAAAATAATCTGAGTATAGCCGCGAGATGAAACTCACGAAAGCTCACCTCTATTAAATGGAAGGTGACCAAAAGTCGGAGGTTTTTTGCGTTTGGTCCCTTCGGTGATCATCGTTGTAGACGAGCTCGGCGGCCACCACAAGAATGAAGCCCAGATGCTGACTAATTATTGATCATCCAATTATGGAGCCACACTACAAGGATCAAGTGACAAGTCCATTCTTTCTCTAAACGACCATCTTGTCTCAACACATCCCCACTCAGTCCACAAGTCTATCTATCTCTTCACATCGCATGAACGTGCAGAACCTGAACTCTTTCGGTGAGCTTGTTTAAGCAATTTTTCTGGATGACGTTGGCTGATAGGGCGCTTTTTAGATCCTTTTGCTGACGAGGGTGACCCTCTCGGAGGCAACCAAGACGTTGGATCCCAACAGAATTACCTTCATATTCGTATTCAGCAGAGGAACGGAAGGAAGACTTTGACCACGTTGCAGGGATTACCCAAAGGTGAGGTTGGGGGCTTTCACCAGCGAGTCATCATCTGATCGACTTGTCTGCAGAATATGATCCCAAAAAACTCTTGAAGGCTTTCAAGAAGGTGAGTAAATGCGCTTCAACACTTGGCAGGCGCTAACAATTTCACACAGGAGTTTGCTTGCAACGGCACCCTCGTCGACGACGAGGAGATGGGTCAAGTCATCCAGCTGCAGGGTGATCAGAGGCTTAAGATTGTCAAGTTCCTCACGGAGGAGGGCATTCCCAAGAACACCATCAAGCTGCACGGGTTCTAGTCCATGTCGTCAGAGGGATTACTTGAACCCTCGAGGTTAACGCCGATGTTTCTATGTCAGCATGATTTTTCTTTCTCACATACTTCTGGATACGTCTTGTTATGTATGTCGTTTGTATCATCACCGATTGTTGAACGATTAGATGTTTTCTCATGTACTAAGTTTTCAAAAATATGGACTTCGCATGTATTTCCAAAAGCACCAGGAAAAATGAAGCAATATCTGAGAACATACTGTGTCGAAGTGAAAGCTGTCTCTCACAAGCGAGGAAATGCAACTTATCTTGCAGCTAGCTGGAGCCTGGGTTACTCACTTGACTTTATCTAGTGGCCGGTTGAATCCTCCGCGGCTAGAGGGATGTATGAGTAACAAAACGTGGGCATGTAAGCGCAGCTTACCGATTCATGTACTGACGCCATGTCCTGATCTTCTTGATGTCGACGAAGCCTTCTTGATTTCCCTCGACGTGCTTGCCCTGAGAATATGGTGAATTATATATCGTAGCAAGTTAAAAGACCAACATACCTTCGTAGTGCCAAAACCTGCGAGCCCCATTGCGGCCATCATACTCTCTTCCTCGGCGTTGGTGGCATCCATGGCCTCCCCTTCTTCAGATAGGGCATCTGGATCAAGGTTCGGTCTCTTTTGAGAAAAGGAGGGACCAGCATCAGCAGGTGGAGCTGGAATTAATGATGAGAACTGCTTTCGCACAGTAGTATACGAGTTCTAACCTGGGGGTGGAGTTCTAGCTTGTGAAGGCTTTTCTGAAACTCTCTCAGCATCATGCCTGCCAACTTGTTGTCGGTGGTCACGTTGATTTTGGGGGTCCTTGTGTCTTGGTTCCTTGTCTCGAGTCGGAGGCTCGCGCCTTTCATCACGTCTTTCAGGCCGTCTATCGTCTCGGCGGCTGTCTCGGTCGTAGTCTTCTCTTCGCGAGCTCCTATGATCTCTATCTCTGTAATCCCTGTATGATCCAATGGATACAGTCACTGAAGTAGTCCTGTCATGATCTCTCCTATCTGAATAGGTAGAATAAGCTGTTTGTGCGGCCCTGCAAAGGATCTTTGACATACCCCTCCTTGGACTACGGGACCTACTGTCTCGTTTACGACCGCCATCCCTTTGACCTCCAGTTCTGTTGCCTCGGGAATGGCGATCCTTGCCCCGTTCACGATCCCTGTCATCTCTTTCCCAGCTGCGCTCGCGCCTTCTTCCGTCGTGTCTGCTTGACATGATGGTCACCGTCTAAGTGCATGTGATCACGTGGTCCTTCAAATCACAAATTCAATTTCTTGGCCTTCAATTTCATCGCTCTCTGATGTTCAAGTCAACAGCAATTCGGCGCATGCTTCCACGGCTAGTGGATGGTACGTTCAGATACTCAGTCTTTTGCTTTTTCCAATGGCGTAATTTTACTCAGAGGGCAGGACACATATACAGCTGCGAGAGCTGCCACGTTCAGCTCTCCTCACCGACTTGCGCAGACTATGCATTCGCGACCAACTTCTAGGTGTAACGGATGGTAAGCCTTCTTACCTGTGAAACACGACGTATCTAACGCAGTTTACTCTATGTCGCTAGTCGCCATCGACTATCACCGCTTCCTCCCTACAGGACGCGCATACCTCACCCTCGCCGATACAAAGCACTTGTACAAGAACCTGCAAGCGCTCGACAAGGCATCCTTGGGCAGTCTACCAATACGAGCCCTATCAGCCCCGACCCCACGATCCGGCCATGGTCAGCTGGACAGGACAGGGACGCAGCGCAAGGTTTTCTCAGGCAATGGTCCTCATGGCGGGATATCCTCCCGCATGAAGCATGTCGTTATCTGGGGCTTGCCTGGAAAGATCTCTGAAGAAGCTGTTGAAAATTACCTCCGTGATTTCCGACTGGACAATGTGGACGGTAAGAATGGGGCCGTCAAAGTCGAGCTGTAAGTTTAGTTTCATAACTGCAAACTGCGACTGAGACATGATTTTACCTACAGCGCGACCAACACGTTCTCCTTATATTCACGATACCTGGTTCGGCCCACATCGACTGCTGAAGCTCATCGTCTTGTACGGCAACTACACATGACATATTATGAGCCAGCACACTGGGGAAGGAGATACCAACTACGCGCTCGTGTCGTATACTGACCATCGCCTTATACATCTTATAATTGCTATCGTATAGTTTCACATTTTGATGTCTGTCTCGTGCCAAAAGTAAGAAAGCAAATCGTAATAGCCAATACGTTCACAGTTCGTTCAACTTCCATGTCGTCCCGTGAACGATGGTGACCCTGCAATAATGTCAACAACTGAATCGCCTGGAACCGGGATGAACATACCATACGAGCGTTGTCTCCTTCATCGTCCGGTGATCGTCCGCGTTTCCGTGAAACTGCTGTTTCAGTTTCTTTCCAGTCACCGCCTCCACCAGCAACAGCACCGGGTCCATCTTGCGCGTCCGCGTACCGTTCTTCCACCTCTCTTCGGCGCTCAGCCTCAAGCCTCTGCGCTTGTGCACCCCATCCGCCTCGTCCTGGATCATAATCCTGGCGGTGCTCGTCTCGTACCTGACCACCACTCTTCCCCCGTCCGAATTGCCTGCCCTCCTTATAGCCCAGGTCCAGATCACACCGAATGATACGCTCGTCCAGCTTGGTACCGCTAACGTACTTCATGCTGGCAAGGGCTTCTGCATGAGTGTAGTACTCCACGAAGCAGAACCCGCACGGTGTGCTGGTTAGGTCCTAACGTTAGTTCTGGTTCAGTGCATCTAACTACGGCTAGACAAACCGTGTGTTTCGGTCAAGGCCCATAATTATTCGCTTGATACCTCCACCGTCCTCCGGGCTGGCGCATTTAGTGAACAACTCATATATCTGCTCTTCTGTGGTATAGAAACTTAAATTACCAATCTATGAGGACCATAAGTTATGCTGAGACATATCGAGAGGAAAACCTCACGTATAATGTTGTGGATTTGGAGAGGAGGTCATTCTGTTTCGCGCGTTCTATTCTGCTCTGAGAGTCTTTGTAATTCGAAGGCTGATCCAGAGGCTGAACGACGTGCGCCATGGTCAGAAAGCTAAACCCAAAGGAGACTTCGTGACTGGCCTGGAAGTTATGTAGATGATTAGAAAGGAAAGTATTTACCACGGCTACCAACGCGTCAGCTTCACTCAAGATACGCCAGGCAGCCAAAACACTTACTTTAATACTTGACATCATGGAGGACGTAGGAATGGAGATTCAAAGAGAGGTACGTGTTTCAGTGATCAAGAAGCATGCTCAGTCTCATGTAATAATATCAGGAGCCAACCTTCGAGTCTGTCGTGACTGAGAAGGCCGCTCTCCATAAAGAATTACAAGAGGAAGATTTGTATACCAAATACAAGAAGCTCGCGCGTCATCTAGAGCTTTTCGATATCCAGGAAAGCTACATAAAGGACGAGCAAGCAAATCTCAAACGCGAGCTCATTCGTGCTCAGGAGGAGGTGAAGCGCATCAAATCTGTCCCACTCGTCATCGGGCAATTCCTCGAGGCAATTGACCAGCACACTGGTATCGTGGGTTCGACCACCGGCTCGAATTATGTCGTGCGCATTTTGTCGACATTGGACCGAGAGCTGCTCAAGCCTTCGTCGTCTGTTGCCCTTCACCGGCATTCAAATGCCCTTGTGGATATCCTTCCTCCGGAGGCCGACTCATCAATAGCCATGCTTGGAAAGGAGGAAAAGCCCGATGTGTCTTATTCAGATATCGGTGGAATGGACTTGCAGAAGCAGGAAATACGTGAAGCGGTTGAGCTTCCCCTCACGCATTTCGACCTTTATAAAAAGATTGGTATCGACCCGCCTCGCGGTGTCTTGCTTTATGGACCACCTGGTGCGTTGCTTCCAAGCTTGGGTAGCGCGTTCTAAAGATGATGTACAGGTACGGGCAAGACCATGCTTGTGAAAGCAGTCGCACATCACACAACTGCGTCTTTCATTCGCGTGGTTGGTAGTGAATTCGTGCAGAAATATCTCGGAGAAGGCCCTCGTATGGTCCGTGACGTCTTCCGACTTGCCAGGGAGAATGCCCCTGCCATCATCTTCATCGACGAGATAGATGCCATTGCGACCAAGCGGTTCGACGCTCAAACGGGAGCGGACAGAGAAGTACAGCGTATTCTGCTGGAGCTTCTCAACCAGATGGATGGTTTCGACCAAGGAAGCAACGTCAAGGTAAACATACACTTTCCAATTGTATTGCTGGTTTTTTTTTCAATTCTTTGCCACTATGACAGGTCATCATGGCCACGAACCGCGCAGACACGCTTGATCCTGCTTTGCTTCGTCCTGGTCGGCTTGACAGGAAGATTGAATTCCCTCTACCATCGAGGCGTGAAAAACGTCTCATATTCCAGGCTGTGACTAGTAAAATGAATCTTGGTCCAGATGTAGACCTCGAGGATTGTATGCCGACTTTCTCGTCAATAATGCTGATGCTTCGCTAAACATCTCATCTAGATGTGTCAAGACCAGATCGGTTATCTTCCGCAGAAATATCTTCTATTGCACAGGCAGCTGGACTTCAAGGTTAGGCTAATTTTTTCTAGCAGTTCTACATTCCTAGTAATCGCTCTCCATCCAACAGCTGTACGGAAGAACAGATATGTTATTCTTCCTGTTGATTTCGAAGAGGCGTGGAAAGTAAGTTGTTTGTGCCTTGTTTGGTTTCGCGTGTGTATAAAAATCTCACACTTTTTCTTTCTTCCATAGCAAACCGTCAAACGCTCAGACGATACTCACGAGTTTTGTGAGTCCTCCTCGTTCATCTGTCTGCGATGCATGATGCTCATGCCACATCGTCAATCCAGACCGGTAGTACATGCATCGTAAGCACATTTTAAATAGTATCAATGACTGATGCTGACCTCGACCAACCAGATATCACTGTATTCTACGATTGCAATTACATTTATTCTTCCCCTTCTCGTGATCGATGGTATCTGCAAATCACAGCTCTGTCACTTTAGCGTCTCTCTGCTTTCATACGGAGGGGCGCTCATTCTTATGAGCGATATAAAATGACATCCTGTGACATATTTTTGCCCCACTTGCTTGCCTTCGTGGATGAGCTTAAGGCTCAGAGAGCAGTGAGGTTCACACGCAGGATATATCTTCTCGAGTTGAATCACTATCCCTAACTTAGCTAACCTGTACCATTGAAGTTAGGTACTCAAGGTGAGTGGTATGTCGTGATCGCAAAGACTCTGCTGATCACCTATCTCCATAGATGAATAAATGTATTTTGTTGGATACCAAGCGAGATCTTATCAGTATATTGTTGCTCCTCGACACTCTGGGCGGCGTCGTTAACTCACACGACCGTCCTCATTTTACAGGAGCAATAGGTAAACAATGACTGAGCCAGTGTGCGCAGTCACCCTCGCAGTTGTCAACCCTCTACATTACATTGGAGGTCTTGAAGATTTGATTGGGATACATGTCTAAAGTACAACAGTGGACGCCATCTTGTTTATTAGCTGACGTGACCAGTGTTTAACCATACAATTTTATTTTTTTGCGGGCTGGCCGAGTTCACTAGCGCGCTCTGTCGCGACCTGAATTGCACGAGCGATGGTAGAGCGAACTTTCCCATCTTCCATTGCTAAGAGGCCCGCTATCGTACATCCGCCGGGGGCTGTTTGGTAGGTAAAGTATCCATGAGTACGATCGGTGACTTTGGGTGGGGAGCTACTAACTTGTGACTGAGTCTTTTATTTGAGCTGGATGAGCCCCTGCTTGAAGAACCATGCGTGCCGCGCCTTGCAGAGCTAGGGAAACAATGAGCCAGAATATGTTGTGCGACTAGCAATCTCACTTTGTGCTGCTAATTCAAGGGCCTCTGCCCTCGGGAGGCCCATCATGACACCCCCATCTGCCATAGCCTCCAAGAATATACATGCGAAGGCGGGACCAGACCCAGAAAGCGCAGTGCACGCGTCGAAATTTTTTTCCTCGAGAAAACGGCAGCGCCCAATAGACGAAAATATATTCAAGATGATAGAGCGATCGAGCTCGGCCTCCTCTGATATCGGTAGGTTGCTGACTACAGTCATACCTTCTCGAATCTATGTGCGTCCTCAGAGATTGTTCACATATATGAGGTACCAGAAATACACGTACTCTACATGGAGTGTTGGGCATTGCGCGGACAACTCTGGTTGTCGGGGGGACCCATCCAGTAAGCTGGTGTATGGTCACGCCAGCAAGAATGCTGATGAGTAATTTGCCAGCCAGAGCTTCCTGCATTCCAATCTGTGAAAGGACAACATGGGCCTGGTGAGGCTTGCAGCTAAAGATCATTCAGGAAAACCAAATATTTACGAACTGATAATACATACCATAAAATAATAACATCTGCTTGTTGAACAGCTGCAAGGTTCTCTCCGACAATAACTTGAACAGAAGAACCAAGACCTCCCAAGAGTCCAAACGTATGTTGGAGCTTTTGTGCACTCTCTTTCCTTGTCACGGTTGCGGTGAAAATGGACGGGAGAGAAGGATCAGGAGAATCAGCTGTGGGAGTGCATGTGCCAGGTGTATGCGACTCCCACTTGGGGATCTCAAGTGTATTCAGCCTGGATTGCAAACTAGTGATCACCCCGGAGATGATTGCGACCCCCATAGTCCCACATCCTAGCAAATTGTTCATGAAGCGTGTACAAGAAAATATAGTCTTTCACTTACCTAGCACACAAAGCGTATATCCCATGGCAGAGCACCGTCGACTGTCGTGATCACAATACAGATAGAAGGAACAAGAAAAAGTTTCGAGTCACATCCGAGTCAATGCATCAGGGTCATCTGAGCTAAATTCAGTCGAGACCAGCGGCATTCGCTAATTACCAGCTGTAGAAGGAAACGCTTTCCTGCTCGGGAGACCAGGGCCTCCCTCGAGAACCATTTCATGCTCGTATTCGTAACGGTAGGTTCAACTAGGTTCGATGCTCTCGTAGAGGCCACTATATCAGAACTTGTCCTCAGTACACTTCGCGACTCAGGTTATAATCGCCTCATTCTTCAGCGCGGTAATTCCGTCATTGAATTAGAAGAGTTCAACAAGGAGAATTGTACTATACGGCGACATGGTGTGGATATAGAGATTTGGAGGTTCAAGCCTTCCATTCAGGCTGAGTGTGGGCAAGCTGACCTCGTCATCAGCCATGCTGGTGAGTTGTCTACTCTCCTCGAACAAGCTGTAACCTAAACTATGAGGAAGGATCGGGAACGATTCTGGACGTCTTGAGGTTAGGAAAACCTCTTATTGTCGTACCTAATCCAACCTTGTTGGACAACCACCAAGAGGAGTTAGCGTCTGCCCTTCAAATACTGGGTCACCTGAAGGCGACGTCGATTCAGTATGTCCTTTCATTTATTATAACCAGGTCGTCTAATGAAGTTGACTGCCAGAGATCTCCCATCGACAATCGCATCATTCGAACTTCGCGATCTAGTTCCGTTTCCTCCCTTCGATGGGACTAAATTCTCTCAGCTGGTAGATGAGGAAATGGGCTTCATCTAATGCTATAAAGAGGTGTTGAGTTTGTGTTGATGAGGAAGCAGTTGAAGGCGGATACTCACTCAGTACTTTCCCAATATCCATGTCGTACCCATACCACGACCATCTAGTCCATCTGTGAAATGAAACCTGTAAAAGGTGTCACGATTATCGACGATCCGCAAGTACACGAAGACCAACACGTCCACGCCGTGTATGACCAGATTGCATCTCACTTTTCATCCACTCGGTACAAGGTGCGAACTGCTGTATCGAAAATTCGATCATCGTGACTTGACCACGTCTTGCAGCCTTGGCCTATCATAGCCAAATTTCTCTCTGACCTCCCAACTGGCTGGATTGGTCTGGACTCGGGAACAGGGAATGGGAAATATCTTCCTCTGCCTGCAGATCGCCCCGGTAGTATATTAACAATCGGCCTTGATCGAAGTCGCAACTTGCTTCAGATCGCCCAGCACGCCGGGAGTGAGTCTGGGTGTCTAATCACTCGGGAGGTTGTTTGGGGTGATGTCCTTGGAAGTGGTTGGAGATCAGGCGTATTCGTGAGTAATAACCGCTGTCATCCATCGTAGGGTGACTCGTCTTGACCACCGTCTGACAGGACTACACCATATCTATAGCTACGATCCATCACCTGGCATCGCATGACCGTCGAAAGCTCGCCGTGCAGGTGAGGGTTACTTTTGTTCATAGTAAGCAGAAGGCCTATCACTAACATGATCTGTAGCGTCTGTTACAGGCTGTCTCTCCAGTTCATGGTCGCGTGATGATCTATGTATGGGCCATTGAGCAGGATGAGCTATCCAAACGGTCGATCCCAGCTAGTGACACCAATGGATCGGACTACCCTATGACTGGCGAAGATGTCTTCGTGCCCTGGGTAATGTCTCAGAACCAGCACACTGCGAGAGGGAAATCCAAAAACGACATCCCCTCTTCAGCTACATCGAAAGAAGCCGCGTCAGCTGTCCCAATGTCAGCGGTGGAGACTCCCGTATACAACAGATACTATCATATGTTTGCGAAGGGCGAACTTAAACAGCTCACGGTTCAAGCAGCTGAAGAGTTTGGACTGATGATTGGATCACGAGAGAGAGCAAATGCTAAGAGATGTAGAGGCGTTGAGATTATCCAAGAAGGATGGGAACGGTCAAATTATTATGTCGAGTTACGGCGCTGGGTATCTTGACTCATCATTCTATGTGGGACGTGCTCGACGCGAACAACTTGCACGAGTAAAGCAGTGATATGATACAGTGACGAGAAACCAGAGCACTGAACAAGACAGAAGATTATTCGCTCGCTGCCATAACTATAGGCAATAATGAGTTAGAGTGGGTCAAGGGGACCAGTAAATCGACTCACTGGCGTTGATCAGATCTCCTCCGCTCTCTTTCAATACTCTGACGGCCTTAGCCCTTGAGCAGTTGACTTGTGCCATGACCAACTCGATGTCTTTAGGATCAACACCCGTCTCATCAACTGGTCCGTCGTCTTCCGGTGCTTCGAGTTCTGGGATATCGTCATCGTCATCGCCCTCACCGCCCGCACCAGAGGGTTCAAGGTTCATGGCCCCTGCACCTGCACCACCGGCAGAAGCAAGTTGTTGAGCAGTAGACATCTGAGCTTGCGAGTTCATGTCCTCAATCTATGGAAAAGAGACATCAACAACAAATATATATTCATTTGTCTTACGTACCTTCGCTTCACCAAACACGATGTAGCAGTCGCTATTTTGCGACTTGTAAACATCGGGGGAAGAGAGAACGAACAACACGTTCTTGGGCCTGCGGAGGGTCACGCGGGTGATGCTGGGGACCTTCTTCAAACCCAAACTAAGAAGAGCCTTTCGGGCCTTTCGCTCTGAACGAGACTGAATTTTGTCGAGAGCAGCCTGGGAGGTGGGGTCCTCCTCATGGTCATGGTCATGGTCATGATCATGGTCAGAGTGGTCCGAAGGGAGTTCCTCAATGGTAGCGGACATCTAGGGGACGCGTCAGTGACGTGTTCGAGTACATCTGAAATGATCATTGTCGATCCATCCAAAGACTGTCATTTCCAAACAAGTGACGTATCCTAAGGTTTTCATGGTCTGAAATGACGCTCACCTTTGATTTTATGAGGTTTTTTGGATGGATGTGTGCTCGTCGTTGTCAACAGCGAGCCAAGCAGAGTCAACCTGTGAACTCGGCGTTTGCCGGAAAAGGTAACCCCACACTCGCATCACCCAGACATATTTGCGCTTCTCATACGAGAGCCACAGAATTATCGTACTATGAACCTGCGGTAACTACTATTCAGTTATAAAACCAATGCACAGTGATTTTTTTCCGGGTCATCCTCTTTCCCCTAATTCGCTTCAAATGATTTCATGACGCCGCCACGACGCAATGCCCAGGCAGCCCAGTAACTTCCAGTGAGATATAAAGCGACAAGACATTCGCATTAAAAATACCCTTGTCCTTCATTCACCATGAGCACAGCAACCAAGTAAGTAAAGGTGCCTGAATCGTGTGTATATCAGTGATAGCAATTGTGCATATCAATATAGGGGAGGGTGTCCTCCCTCCTTCCAATATTTGAGGTTCCTTTTGCGGTTTCTTCAATGGTGAAATGAAGCACATACAGTGTTTATCAAAAGATGTAGGTGATGGGCATAAGGTGTTTGAATCAAGGTGCTTTAAGTGTAGGGGACACGTGCCTCGTCTCTCGTCCTCGCGGCTCTACCTTGCCGTCGGTTCCAGGGTCAAAGTTGGTCACAGATTAATATTCAGATCGTCTGATCCCAAAATTCGGAAAGGGCCAGCTATAAGCTCAAGGTCTCATCTTTAGTCACGACAACACCTGAAAATTCACAGCCCCAGCCTTAAGATGCATTCAAGTTCTGAAGGGCTTTTTGACTGCGGCGAGCTTGCGCGCATGAACATTTCAAGACCGCGGGGGATGTTATAATGAGTATGGATACCCAGACGTATAAAACAACAAATAACTAGCAGGCACAGCTACTCCTCGCTACTATGTAGTCAAGCACACCAGGTGCATGAAGGGTCCATAAGCATAAATTCATCAACGACCATGCTGTGTCTGAGTCCAATGCCTTCACAATCCATCAATCCCTGACCCAAATATAATACACTTGACACCTATCCTCTTCCTCTTCCATCCCACTTTAGCAGTAGAATCATCAGAGTCTTTGATGTCTTCTAAACCTGTTTCGACAGAGAGGAGATATCGTCAGTTCCAAAAAAAAGCAAAAAGTATGAAATACATACCTGCAGTGGGATGTGGGCATTCCCAGCTGTTGTCATCCTGTTCCTCCGATGAATCACTACTAATACTGATGTCATCTTCCTCGTTGTCGTTGTCGTCCTCATCGTTTTCCTCGCCGTCGTCCTCATCGTTTTCCTCCTGGTCGTCCTCATCATTTTCCTCGTCGTCGTCCTCATCGTGTTCCTCGTCGTCGTCCTCATCGTGTTCCTCGTCGTCGTCCTCATCGTGTTCCTCCTCGTCATCCTCATCGTGTTCCTCCTCGTCGTCCTCATAGTCTTCTTGATCGTCACCGTCATCGTCATGCTGATAGCCTTCTTGATCGTCCTTGGTCGCCTTGGGCAAGGGCGGTATCGTGATGACCACTTGTTGGATAGCAGGTGCCGACTCACCCGGATGCAGGTTAGGATAGTACGGAGAAACCGTCATTGGCTTGAGTTTGAGGGAGAAAAGCGGGGTACTCGTGATGACCTTGCCCTCAAGCTTGGGCCAAAGTCTTAATGTAACCTTGTCGCTAATTCGAATAATTCTTCCGGGAATCATGGTAGTTAGGAGTGAAGACAAGGTAAGAAGTGAAGGCTTGTTCTGCGATGTAGCGTTTGCAGGGGAGAGCTTGATGGCTACCTTGTAGACCCGTATCCTTTAAATGATTGAGAGTTGTGGACGCATTGTTGTGTGCTTGTGTTCACATCCACAGCGGACTGGGACTCCACAATATCATGGGGGTATTGATCGCCAAAGCTGTGAGGGTTGTGGATTGATTCCGGTGGTGAGGACAGCAGACACTTTTGTAAGTGGACAATGTCGGTCAATCATGATGCGGAAGTACGTTGCGTCCACTGGTATTGACCACCGCATGTGATGGTCCAGTGAGTTATCTGCCAGCTGATTCAGGCAACGCATACACGACTTCATGAACAAAGTATCAGTACTAGATTTTTTGTTACAAGAATAATACACCCCACTGACTGCTGAACGTCCCGTAGGGTTTACTCAAGGTTGACCAAAAGAATACGATGCGGCGTCGGCTCGGAGGAATAAGCCATTTTTTAATCGAGTACTTACTACTTTCCAAATTCCTCGTCCAATGTCATACATTGTTCCACTGCCCAATTTCACGCATGATGATCAAGGTGTCAAATTTGGTCCTAGGACCTACATTGTATTATTATGGACAATTTCTTCTTCGACGTCGCCGACAGCATATTCCACGAATCGGTTTTCTTGGCTGCGAATACATTTCATGATGAACAACAGCAACAACCAGTATCTAGTACACCACAACCTGTGAAATGTATTGGCTATGGTTCAAGACAGCATTGAGTTGGATTTCGAACGGGGGTGACCTTAGAACCGGGATGGTGTGAAGAGAAGAGAGAAAGGTTGAAGAGAAGACTGCGAGGATGCAGGAACAGAAGTGATGTTTTTGATTTGTCGGAATCCGTGAGCACGGAAGGGCGCTCATGCAAGGGCGGATGCTCCAATTCTCCACTTGTTCTGAGAACTCAGCCTGTCTCGCTTCATTAAACGACACACCAATATAACACTTTGCGAAGTACTTGGCTCGTGTGAGAGGGATAGGGCAGGACTCGTCACTCGCCTCTTGCACCCTGAAAATTTGAGTAGGCAATTCGTAACGATATCCGAAAGCGTTCGGGGCAGTAAATGAATTGTACGCAGGTTTTCCGGAGACCCTGGAACAAGTGAAGAAGGCGCAGCTCTGAGTTCTCGATCATATGTCATGCATCATAAGAAATTGTCTCTCGAAAGCTGGAAGCCTGAAACTTTTGAAGTGCTGTTATGGTTGTAACCGAGTCGAGCCCGACTCGGACTCCATCCTCGAAAAAAATACATTCACGTGACTCAAGTCAGTTATAAGCAAATTGGGTAATACCCCTAATCTTGTAGATCTATCCTAACGATGCACAAAAACAAGTTGAGCGTGGATTTTTCGCCGCGGGATACCATATTGACTGAGATGTTGCAGTCGCTTTGTCGGATATTCGTGAGTTGAGGTTTGCCTTAGAACACACGCGTTAGTCTCGGAGTAAATCTCCTTGAATTAATGATCGAGTCCCCAAGTTCGTGGGGACTCACTCACACTTGATTGAAGGGTTGCAAAATACGAAACTGAAAGACTCAAGAGTAGGAGTGTATTGTGAACAATCAGGGACTCGAAAACTGAAGGGAAGTAGACTGAGCTTAAGGGTGTTAGAGGCTCGAAAGTGACAATTATTTCATTTGAATTCGGTTCATGTTATTGTTAGAATTTGATTGCAATTGTCATATAAAATAATAAATGATTAACAGAGGGAACTACTCATCGAGTACATCACTCGCATGGCAAGATGGAGAGTCCATAAATATTAAGCATAAATCAAATAAACCATGTCTCAGACACAGGAAACAAGGTCAAGCGGCACTGAAGTATCGTATGTAGCTAATCGATAGTAGTATGTGTGGTGGAGGCTGTACAATGGTCGAGCCTTGTGCAAATACGGTGGCGCCGTTTTAAGGCGATGGGTGGTGCAATATTGTTCTCCTTCTCTCTACTCCTCCGGGTCTTTTTCTTTCTAGGGGAAGGCGGCTGCGCTATGACAGGCATGTTTGGTTCAGCCTGACTTATTGCTGGGCTTGAGGCTGGCTCTGCTACGGGTGGGAATGCCGAGTCGGAGCGCTCAGAAATGTTGGAGTCCTGTTGACGCTGCAGAAGCCATTTCAGGCGTGGTGGAAGATGATTGGTGGGCATAAGCCTTATGGTGGCATTGTCGTTGATTCGGATCACCTTTCCAGGTAGAGTCATTATGGAGAGTAGTGTGAGGACAAGGTAGTAGTAAGTAAATGTTTGTTCTGCGATGCAGCGTTCAGTGGGGTGAGCTTAGTAGCTACCTTGCAGACCCGCATCATTTAAAGATTATTTAGAGCTGTGGATGCACCATTGTGTGGTTGTCTTCAAATACCCACGACGCAATTGCGACGCTAGATTCAACAATGTCATGAATGGTATCAATCGCCATATCTGTGAAGACCTGTGGATTGATCATGGTGGTAAGAACGATGGAAACCGAACAACGACGGTCAATGCGTAAGCACATTGCGACCACTGGCATTGACCACCGTGAAGGTCAATGGATGATCCGCCAGCTTATGCAGGCAATGCATGGACGAGAACACGAACAGCGTATCAGCATACGGACCGGAAGTCCCAATCCTAGGTTACAAGAATGACACATCTCATCAGCCGCTGAACGTCCTGTGGGATATACTCAAGGTTGACCATAGGAACATGATGCCGCATCGACTTGGAGAATTGAGCCATGATTATAAAGAATTTTTCCAATTCCTCGGTCGATCTACCATGTATTATTCCACTGCCCATGAGCACGATGGTTTTCCAGGATCCACGAGCATTGAGGAGCACTATGATATGCAAGGGTGGATGCTCGAACCCACTCCTTCTCCACTAGTTCAGACTTTATTTTGTCTCGAAGTTCACAGAACGACACACCAGGATGACGCTCTGCGAAGTACTTGGCTCATATGAGATTCAGAACTACCGTGACAGCGAGAAAAGACACGGAGGACTCACCTTCTCAAAAAAAAGTCAAGTTGCTAATTCGTGACTGTGTCAGCAGTTTATAAGAATCGCACACAGGTTTTCTTGAATCTCGAAACCAGTGGGAAAAGAGAGGCTCCAGTCATAGGCCATGCATGTTAGGAAATTTTCTACTGAAACTTCTGAAGTGCTGAACCTCGAATCCGATGAGCTCGTCTACCTCTGAATCACGTGCCATCACCAATTTGGGTGATACCCCTAATCTTGTCTTCTGCCAAGACGAGTGCGAAGTTTGCGCAAGACTCTTACTTTAACGAGGCCTCGACTATCCTCCATGGCATCCAGAGCCGGACATCAATCTCCCATAGGAATGTCAGCCCAAAGGAATAAGGATTGAGATGTTGGCATGATCACTTCACATATGGCAGGTTTAGCGTGTTGTTCAACATCTGTCTCGATCCTAGTGACTCCCTTCATCAATCACACGGGGTAGCAAATCATTTTCGACAAGTACAAGTATATCGTGAAGAGACTGCCACATTCCCACATGATGAAAACCCTGGGTCGCTCTTATCAAACTTGCTGATGCAGCAAAATGTTATTCACAAGGTTTTCGGACGTACCATAATTAAGTAGGCAGCATTCCTTTAATCGACATTCTTCATTTGTAAAGTGGCACCGACCCTCATGGCAATACGGTCAAGCATGAATTCCAGGCAACATCCAAGGAATGGGCATACCTCGTTCTTCCAGAGGGTGCCTGTTGTTATGAACTCCGCAATCATCGTAAGTTCTTGGAGGAAGTCGTGGACAATGCAGAATGTTGGTTCGACTTTGCTAGGAATCATTCTCAATCGGAAATCGAGAATATCTTTTATACCTAATCACCGGAAGCCACAAGACTACCTCCTGGAGTCATGCAACATATGGTGATGCAACAAAGACCATGAAAGCCCTACCACGGGGGATGATACCCTGCAAAATCAAACAGTATTCCTTCAGGGGTTAAACTTAGCATCAGAAAGGCCCGCTCTGTCTCTTTACTAGTCCTACAAAGGTGTCATACATACCTAGCTCTTTGTTCGACGGTAGTATTCTGAGTTGTGTGCGCAAAGAACGTCGGCTAGGCGCTCACGAAGTATGGTCATGGTTCAAGCGGCTCCGGGGAAGTGATAGGAAAGCAGAACAAGAGCATCATAACGGTGAGACTTAACAATCATATCCGTACATAAGCCGCGACTTATTGTCTAGCCAAAGAGCCGCACGGTAGGGTCCCGATGCCCGTGCTTAGAAGAGCATGGAGATTCATGGTCAAGAGCTGGAATTGGAGGTGTTGAGCACGCCACCTGCAAGCATTTGTGCGGCAACATGAGAAGTCCACGAGCACCGACCAAGTAAGTCATGTTTCAGACATGGGTATCAGGGGCAAGCGATCGAAACGCTTGCACGCACCATCGCGAGACGATGCAACTAAGCTTTGTCCGAAAAGATATTCAGCGACGTACATTTCCCGACACGATTACATTAGCGCCTGCGCTTGTACACCTACGATTCCCTTAATAGTCTGCCCTTGAGATTTCACTTTCTAATCCTTCTATAGTACAACGAAAACCTATCTGTGACATGACATCAGCCTCCCGTACTATTGAAAAAGGAATAAAATGCTAACCAATATTCCATCTTGCAGTCATCTTGCGGTTGAAGAAGTTGAGTAGGACCATGCGCGCCAGGAGGGTCGACTAGAGCTGACATCTCCCAATCTTGGGAGAGGTGCTCCGACGCGTGGCTATCGCCCCCATAACTACAAGCCATTACTGCATTGTTCTGTGAATGACCAACGACCGATTTCCCATTCGTCGCAATGGTAATCTTTCGCCTCAATGGTACTATGGCGCGCATACTAGGCGGTATGGCAGAGGACGGGACGGCAGGCGTGTCAGTTTCATATCGAGCATCTCGAGATCTCTTTTTCTGGCTTCGTGAGGCCTCCACTGTGCCCGGAGGGCAAGCTGAGACAGAGCTCTGGTAAGATGAATCTGAATTTGCTGGTTTTGGAGAGGAAGTCTTGAGCCTGAGAGTGAGCTTGGGGCCAAGACGCACAACATGGTCAAACGACATTGTGAACAGTGGCGTGAGGACAAGGGGTAGTGAAGGAGTGTTCAGTGGGATGAAGTTGATAGCTACCATGCAGACCCGCGTCCTTTAAATGAGTTGGAGCTGTGGACAGACCATTTTGTGGTTATCTTCAACACCCACAAGGGCCTGTGGATTATCATAGTGGAAGAAACGACGAAAGGCCCGCTTATGGAAGTGAATAATAACTATGGACTTGAAAGGAACATTAATGCGACCAAATATTGGGATTAACCACGGTAACGAGCCAGTAAATTCTGCCAGTGCAGACAATATAGACGATGGACAGAGTATCAGTAAGTACTGTACTAGTTTTAACATACGTTATCAGGTATAGTGCCTGGTCAACGTACGTGGCCCATCTGTAGACGTAATTTTAATGTAACAGGACTTTCAACATCACATGCTGTAGCACCAACGTCGTAACCGATGGCTACCAAGTCCTCAAACGTTGTCGATTTGAGCTTTTTTTCATATCACCTCGTGTGGGCACGGACCTTGAGACCGTGCGCGTGAGGGTCAGCCTTTGAAGGCTAGCCAGCTCCGAGAGGCTGGCATAAGCCCGGGCCTGAGATCCTCTAGGCGACAGTGCGGGGTGCTGGCCACAGGCGGCTATACGGGGCCGCATGCTAGGAGGTGCCTGCTTTTATGTCCACCGTCACTGATCTGAGAGAACGCAGGTTCTATCGCCGCCTCAACACGTGTTGAAGTTCAAGTTCTGAATCGTAGCTTGTGCGTTCTCAATATATTTCAATTCACCCTAAATAGCACTTTCTTGTTACGGTGCCACCAGCAGTGGATAAGGCTAATTTTAAACTGGCATAGAGACAGCTGTCGCGCAATCGCCTCTTCTCCCTCTCCTATCACCATGATGGTGCGGCAGTCGGATGACGAGGAGACACCTTTTCTACAACGACAGGAGCAGCCGACGACTAGGACACCTCTGCCCTGGGACCAATTATGGATTATACTGTTGTCGCAGCTGTCAGACCCTCTTGCCTTTCAGACCCTTACCCCGTTTATTCCCCAAGTGAGTATAGTATTCCCTTTGCTTAGTCTTGAATCTGACCACAATCGGAACTTTGTCAAGCTCATTAGAGACATTGGAGTGATTCATGGAGACGAATCCAAGGTCGGTTACTATGTCGGCATCCTTGTAAGCTTGTCTTCATCGTTCCTGCCCCTTCGTTCTTTTCTGATATTCTCTCAAGCAATCATCATACTATGCAGTTCATGCACTGACTATTTTTCATTGGGGCCAACTGTCTGACCACATTGGGCGGAAGCCTGTAATACTGACATCTCTATTAGCACTTTCTGTTTCGATGTTTTCATTTGGGCTGTCGAAGACCTTCCTTGGTCTGGTGGTTAGGTCAGCGTGTTTAATATAAAATACTAGCTATGACCGTCGATTACTGATATTCTTGACCAGTCGTACTGTCTGCGGAGCATTTGATGCGAGCAGTAGTGTCATCGAGAGCATGGTGATGGACATCACTGACGCAACCAATATGCCCAAGGCATACAGTTATATGCCAGTCCCGTGGATGGTCGGAGCCGTAATTGGGTAGGCATAGTGCAGTACACTTACTCTCGCACTGATGTTCACGGTATCTAGACCACTCATTGGGGGATCGCTCTCCCGACCAGCAGACAGATTTCCTGACATCTTTGGGCGATCAGAACTCCTTAAAACCTATCCATATCTCCTGCCATGCTCTATACCGGCAATTTTTGTATCAGTAGTTTGGATAGTCACGTATTTCCGTCTTAAAGAGGTGAGTGTGATGTTGAAAACACATATTTGGATCACACTAAGTGTGGTAACAAGAGTGCCCCTACCAGGACACCACTTTGGGAGCTAGTCAAAAGAGGATGCTCCCGACAGTCATACGCACAGCATCGCCACCCGTCGAGCAATGTGCCAGTTAATCCTGGAGAAGTTCAATCAAAGCCGCTTCCGCTGCGCGCCTTGTTGACGCCGAGAGTTTCCGCCGTAACAGCAAGTAATGCCACTATGGGCCTGTTTCGCATTGCGTTTAATTCGGTCCTACCTATTTTCTATGCAACACCGATCGAACGTGGCGGTCTTTCCCTTGACCCTCCTCGCATCGGCGTTATACTTGCGGCATCAAGTGCCGCACAGGTCATATTCCAACTGGTTTTCTTCGCTCGTTTACATGATCACTTCGGTGCAGGAGCTATCTATATAACTGGCATTAGTTCCAGCATACCCACCGTCATTTTATTTCCAGTGATCAATATTCTGGCTCGTAGCCCATGGGATAGGTTGGGCAGTGTGGCTGTGTGTTGCCATCCAGCATGCGCTGACGATCAGCCTGATCATGTGCTACCGTATGCAAATCCAGCACTTTATGCGTTCTACTGAACTGAGAAGAACCCATAGCCTGCTTAGCATTATTCGTCAGAGCATCTGCTCCCAATCGTGCATCGCTCGGAGCAACCAATGGAATCGTCCAGATGTTTAACACAGGAGCAAGGATCATTGCCCCAGCGTCTGCGGCTTCTGTCTTCTCTTATTCGATGCAGGAAGGGCATGATGCGTGGTTGATATACTACTTCATGATGGCGATTGCATTTCTCGCAGTAGGTGCTTCTCAATTGCTTCCCCGAAATCCTAGTGTATGGGAAGATCACCAATAGCGAACGACAGCATGTTATCTGTTTACAGCCATGTCAATGCATCTTCCGGGTATGAAAACGCAGTAGTCAAGCAGAGACATTTCGTTGTTGGTAACTTAACACTGAAGATGGAGTCGCGAATGGTATGTAATTCGTCGTGTTCCTCCGACGCTATATCAATCCTGACTCATATCTGCGACCGCGGCTCTCCCAAGCGACTCGGACTGAGATATCTCCAGTGATTGAAAGTCTTAATCGTGTTTTCTGGATGCTCGTCATTGCAAACATGACACACTGATTCCGTCGTTTGCCGCGTAGAGAGGTGGATTGCACGAAAACTCTCGAGTCCAGAGAACATGCTCCTTAAATCACTGAGTTTTGCACTGTCATGCCTGCTTGAAAATTATATGCACTCCTGTGCTGGACGTTTACATTAGACTGCAGCCAGGGCCTAACCTAACGCGGACCTGTCCTTGCTTCCATGTCGAACGCAAAATGGCTATTTCTTTTGGCTTAGTAGTGGGGAAATATTTCTGGCGCTGGCCTCAGTCATACAAGCTGCATTATCTTTTTCAGCTCTTGAGTCTTCGGGTACGCACCCTCATGGGCGAATGGAAGGGGGATTTGACGAAGTTGATATCCTGGTTAGACCGGAGCGTGTGGGTGAGGTGTAAACCTGCTTGCAGTGTTGAAGTAAATCGACGAGTTACTTAAATGTGAAATGGCTGATCTCCTGTCGTAGGATATACTACTGCTTGAAGAGTAGAGTTTTTCTTGGCTTTCGAAGTTGTCGATGAGAGCTATGCTGCACTATTTCAAGCCCGGGATAGTGCATCATTGTGGCCTGATCCCAACATGTGGTAATGGAAGAGACCACAGCCCAAGTGCATCAGACGGCTGGAGCCATATGATTTTTAGGGTCATGGTTCAGAAGTACTGCTAGCATATACGCGTGACTGGACTCCTCCTAAACTCGTACATCAGTAATTACTAAGGTCGTAACTAGATATTGCCTCAGCTTGAATATCACCATCAAAAATTTCCCGAGGCCACCGCTTTCACCAGGAATCCGATTCCAAGATACGAAGATCCTTCTCCACAGTCGGGAATTCATAGTGCTGGCATGGATCGCGTTTCGCCAATCAGGCCTTTATGTCCATCAATCTGAGCCTTCATAAGTTCCATCCTTGCTCTCATCTCCCCCATCTCGTCTTTTAGATCAGCGTTTTCCTCCCTTAATCTGGCGTTGGCTACAGCAAGCTCCGACTTCTCTTCCATAAATGCTGCTATCTCAGCTTCGGGAAGGCGTCGGGAGGCATCACATCTCTTTTGAAGTAGAGAAAGACGGGCCTCTAGTGTCTGGTTTTGTCGTCGATGGCTCCTACAACAATGTTTTGTTCAGGATGCATGCAAAGCAAATGAAATTCGTACCGAGCATCCTCACTCATTTGTTCGACTGTCTTCTGATAGCTCTCCAGATGCAGCTCCACCTGCTTGAATTGCGTTCTTAGCTGTTGGAGCTCTTCAGCCCGATCATTGAACTTCTGGAAGTCTGCATCCCTATAAACAAGTCAGCGAACATCATAGCGGAACCTTATGTGAAGAAGTCGAACCAGAGACGTTGCATGCGAATGTGCTGCTCAATCTGTCGCTCATAGTCCCTCAGACGGTCGACCTTGTGCTGGGTTTCCTTCCTCTGAGTCTGGAGCTCAAATACTTGCTTTACTGCATCCGCGAGCAATTGTCCTTGAGCAGCAAAAAGAGCCTAGGTAAGAATTAGTATATAATCGTGATGTCGAATGAAGTTCTACCTGAGCTTCTTTCTCCGCCGTCCGTAGCGAGGCAGCTTCAGAGACCCATCCCTTCTTTTCCTCCCGAAACTCTTTCAGCTTGTTCTGCAGCTCGGTATTCCAATCAGCATATTTGTTTTTGGCAGATGATGATTGTTCCCTGTGATCCCTCAGCTGGCGATCTAACCGCTGGACCTCGGCCCTGTAGTGACGTAACTTGTTGAACTATTGCATGATGATCAGTAAGTTAAATAATTTGAGTACAGGAGACACACCAGCCCTTGTTGCTCAACTTCTGCATTTTTGGACAAAATCCGATCTTGGTAAAGGCGTCCAATGTGTTTCACGTTCTCCCGCGAAAGCCAAAGCTCGAAGTTTAGTTCATTTCGCAGAAGTAGGACTTCACGCTGGAGACCAGAAATTGCCTGTGCAACGTGAGATGGAAGTTGTTCATTGTAAGTATTTGGCTCTGACGGCATATTGAAAGCGCGCTTTGTCGGAGAATTGCTCCCTGTAGGGAACAACAGGGATGACCAGGCGGCTGTTGGGGTTTCGATCTCCACATCCAGATTGGATTTGAGTGCAACGATGCCGTGATCATGCTTTCCAGTGAGACGCGGGGTTTTGCAGCTGGCAGTTCTACATAGCGAGGGTGAGGCGTTGGTGCCGTTGAAGTATCTCCGTCAAATATGGTGGTTAACTCGAAGAGCGATGGCTCAGCAGCAGCCGACGCGATGTCAGCGTAGAACTGCTTGCTGCCTAGAGCTGTGTTCCGCACGTCAAGCATCATGCACTCGCTCGCGATGCGAGAGACACTGTAATTCGCCCACGTATCGGGTTCTGTCAACTCTTTTGCCCAATCTCCCCATATGACTCTTGCATTGACGATTCTTCCTCGTAAAAGAGACTGCAAGCTCCATTCAGTTCTAAGAATCAAAATAAATGGCCATTGCGCACCTCTGATTTGCTCCTTATGTTGTCCTCATCGAGTGCATCTTCCCAACTAATAGAGAAGGGCGATTCATAGCGCCTATCGTTAATATACGCTGAGGGGCCACGTAGGAAGCGGAGTAAGTTACATGGGAAAAGATAGTAGAGGCAAGAAAAAATAATCCCAGGTGGTGGGGCAGAAGATGGGGCATTAAACATGAGCTCCAGCCTTTCCCAGCCGAGCTCAGGTCGTAAGGGCAGATTAGAGGATGCAGTGAATTCGTTATACGCTGATGCTTGTGTATCGCCAGTCGCAGAACTTTCGTCTGTATCCTCCGCCCCCTCAAATACTGGTTTAGGAACGGATCTTTCCTTCCAGCATATAATTCTTGCAAGAATTGCAAGAAGACGAGGGAGCATCATCTTCAGCTTTTCACATGCTTTAACAGCAAAGATAGGGAGAAGCTTGACTATGACAGTCAATCCAATGGTGCACACCGTCGAAGAATTGTCCAGCAGTAACGAGTTGAGGAGACTATCTAACAAAGGATGGTCGGCGAATGCTGTTGCAAGGGACTGGAACGACGGCTCTGAAGTGTATCGATTGAGCAGGATCAATAGTTGCAGACGCGATGACGGTGTTGCAAAAGAGTAGTTTATTGCAGACATGAAATCCTAAGCACATCCTTCAGCACGTCTGGATGAGACAAACTGCATCTGTCGAATACCTGAGGCCGACGCAACCCAGACTTCACGAGGACGTCTTCTAGATTGAACTTCCACAGCGATCTTTTCTCCCTCTGTTCCTGATCGAGTTCGGCCCACTCCAGCAAGTCATCACCAGATCCTTCATTGTATACGTCCAAAACATAAAGGTCAAGGAGGCGACGTCGGAACTCTGCCACCTTCTCATGATACTTCTCGTCTGTTCCATCTGCTGCTGAGATAATCAGTTCCTTGGCGTGATTGACAGCCAGAGTGGAGAGCCGTGGTTCTCGCAAGGCGGGACGAAGGACTAGGTCAAACCATGTAGAGATGAGCGAAATTGATGTTAACAAGGGGCGCAGACGGCATAGGATGGCCAGCAGCACTTCAGTATGCTGGAGGGAATTGTGGGTAATTGTATCGCTGTGGAGTGATTGGAGTTCCTCTTCCAGTCGGAAGAGTAAAACATCTGACTCTTTAGATGCAGCACATTCACGGACAAATTCGTCTACAGCCTGGAGAGCCTGTTCCAGTCGCGCATCGTCTTGGGCCTCTTCTAATGTTATGCGGACCTGGTGGGACAGAGCTGTTATCGACATAAGCAGAATGAGCTCTGAGAGATCAGGGTTTGTAGCTTTACATAAACGTCACACCGAACAAGCGCCCACAGCTCCTCCCACCCGACTTCAAATCGTTACACGTCTAGTCTTGATAGTAATACAAATTGTATGCCAGCAGTCAAATTTCCAATACAATACTTGCACGATCTCACTTCTGAATTTGTGTTTCTTCCGGTTTGCACGTTATACCTGTACCACTCGCCTCCCATTGATCCGCTTTGTTATCTACCGCGGCAAATAACCTTCACGCAACTTCTTCTTCGCTGATGGCGAAATCCCAGAGCGCTCATCCCGGCGATGGATGGCCTCGTCGCTGGGCGAGTTAACACCAGTGTAAGACATCATAAGGTGAGGGGGGTCCAAGCGGCAGCTAAGATTAGGGCGACTGCAGCATAGACACTTTATGCCACTCGAGTACTTGGAACAACATCCTTCGTCTAACAGAGGGGTTAATGAAATGATTCTCATGTGCACTACCAAAGCTTACCCCGAGGCAAAGAATTCCGCTTTCCACCTGGCAGATGCATGAATCAAATGGAGGGGGTGATATTGGCCTGATGACAAACCTCGTGCTTGTGTGAGTGCTAATACTTCTTCTCTTCTTTGGGGAGCGACTTAAAATCTGCACAACAATTAGTAGCGAACACATCGTTGCCTGAATGCCACCGTCACCTGTCCAGACACGATATACTCGATGCTGATCAACCTAGCATCGGGTGTGTTGGAGTCGTAGATCGGGCACTAATTAACGATAAATGAAACGGATCATCAGACGTATTCAAAGTGTCCTCACCTGATGAAAATCCTTCGAGCGGTGACTGCAAAAATGGTGGGACTCCACATGCCGTGTATGGCCGTGTCTGAAATATGTTCAGGAGGAAGAAATTCGACGTGCAAGTGATGTATGCACGCGTCTATGTGGAATGGGCCAAAATGCTGTTGAATATTATTGTCAATAGGGGTGAAGGTCATCATTGCCGCCTCAGCCATGTCACTTAGTAGAGCTGTCCACAGCCCAGCCCACCATATCTACATCGAACAACAAACACCCCTATGTTGAAGAAATCTTGGATGCAGGCATGGTACTTGAAACTCCGCATCAAAATTGCCGAATGGATGCCGTGCATTGGGTGTTGGAGCACCGTCACGGTTACTGGGCCTTAGTACACATCGGAGGTTTGGACATTTTACCTCTTGCAAAATTTCAATCAAAAGCAAATCTAGACCTATAGTAGATTGCATTTAGAATGTGATCTCACTAGTGGCAAAATGTGGTAAAATGTCGAAACCCCCCAGGGTGTTATACTTCAAGTTGACTGCCGTCAATGGTCATTCGTTCTTCTTCCATCAACTGAACACTCAGGCACAGGCCAATCCTCCTCAACATGTCTCTCGTCTCTCATCACTACAAGATTATAGCAGCTGACTCAGGGAAGTGTCTCATGCTTCCCAGCGCCACTGGCACAGTCACGGCTAAGCACTATACCGGGGCGACAAATGAGCAGGTGCGTACCACAATGTAATCGGTTGCTGGGACTCCATATCGAATGCCCGCAAAGTGGAACATTCAGGTGGAGGGGACGGCAGCTACAGGCCCTTATACGATTGAAAACATTGGATATAATGACCGTCCACTTGCCACTTATTCCGCCGCCTGTAGCGAAGGCGATAACGTTGTTGGTAAGCAGGCTGACACGGAGTGGAAAATCGTCGATAACGGAAATATAACCAAATCGTGAGCCTCCATGCTGCTGCACACTGTGATTTCCTACTGAGAAAACGTTCACAGAATCTGCATCCTCAACTATGCATGGACCGTCGATGGCAGTAAGGTACGTGACCTGTCTGGAGCTGGATTGCACTTATCTGTATATTGTCCTGATTCACAGGTGACCTTGTTCTTGCGAGATAGTGCAGATTCTCGTCAAAGGTTCACATTCGAGCAGATCTGACTGACCTGTGTCCTTGTCTTGCGTATTAGAAGGATACATGATTTGCCGATCATTTTCATTTTATTTGCGTGTTTGTCACAGAATGGAACAGATCTAGATGTCAGAATACGATAAACCAGACAACTATCCCCTCCCAAAATGTGTACTAGTATTAGTAAACACTTTCGGTGAATCTGTGTGCAAACATATCAATGAAATATTTGTTTAATGTGATGGTCAAACATTTCTGTCGGGTACGAAGCAGATGACCGGGCATGGGAATAAGAACAGACGAGCACATACTAGTAAGAGAGGTGCGCGCATCATACACGATAGGTGGTCATGCATCGGGAAACAAATAATATGGAGAAGCAAAGGTGGGCAGAGGCACCCAATAGGTTATCGATCGATCAATCGCGATTGAGCTGCAGGCACTTTTTAGTAACGAGTCAATCTGCCGACTCATTTGGCGTTCCACTTTTCGAAGAATCCCAGCAACGATATTTATCACGGCAGCTCTCATACAAACTAACGTACATTTCACAAAACAGCAGGCAGTCATAATCTTTGCATCGTACTAGAGGCTTCACTTCCGCGAGTAACTCACTCAACATTGAACTGCTGCGCAACACTCTGGAGCTGTGTGCCAGTCAGTGTCACCTGTTTGTCACAAAGAACGCAGTTAGCTGGCGTCCAGCCACAAACAATAAGGATTATCACATGCCTGGTCATTGGAACCGACGGCCCACGCATTAGAAGAGTTACTTCCTAGCTGGATTCTATTCACTATGTCAATCATGCATTCGCGGAAACACAGTGCAAACACCTACGAGTAGACACCACTGTTCGGTACGAGGGCCCACTCCGTGGACAAAGTGTTACCACTGACCGACGCAGCGGATTGTCCATTAGAGTACGCATAGGTAGTCAAGTTGTAGCCGGTGTTAGTAATAGTCCAGTTGTTCCCGGAGGGTTGGAAGTTCCACTAAGCGACCGTGAGTCGAGGAAAACAACTACGGCGCGGTACGTACGGTCTGGTTTGTAGCCCCAGTAGCGGTCGCAGCAGTGACGGTGCCGTTTTGGCTGAGCAACGTCAGGTACTTCCCGGAGGAAGTCTTGATCTTGTGGTAACCAGCAGAGATAGACATGTTGAATATTGAAGAGATGTGTTCTTGGAAGTGCCAGTTGAACAACTGAAGAGAAAGCAAGCACAGAGAGATATTATATATCTTCTTGAATGAAGCTCAGCTCAAAATTTGGAAGTCAATGAGCATGAGCGATTTGAGAGGCTCCTAACGATGTGGTATCTATAAGATTGTTATACTGGCTGTCAATCTAGACTGGTGACCAGCCCCAGATCTATGAGGCAAGCCGTCAATAGCGGCTTGCCTCGTAGAGGGGCTGGTCACCAGTCTACTGTCAGTCACGCGCTCAGTGATGCTAACTTTGGAAAAAAAAATGGAGTTGTACGTACCAGCTCTCAGGCAAGGTTTAACTTCTCATGGTCAGGTTGAACGGGAATGAGGCTAGCGCCCTATGAGCGACTGTGAGGATTCATGGAATTAAGTCACGGCGTGTCACGCTACTGTGAATGTGAATATTAGAATAGCTCTGGCCCGGATGCGTAGCAGTAAGATGGTAAATATTTTTGAGAAAGAAGCGCAATATTAATATTGGATCTGCGGTGGTGAATTTGAATTCGTCGATCATTAATGCTGCAAATGTCGAGTGCGGGTAAATATGGCAACAACATGCGTCTCCCCAGTTCATGGGTCAAGCATCTCAAAATACCTCTTCCTAATGGACGACTGATTCGAACCATGCGATAACGCGATATTCTTCTCTTAGCACGTTCTGACGAGAATCCTGATCGGCAATCTGCTATATTCGAGGACCCCAGCGTAGCTCCGTGTCCACGAGGATGGTCTTATGTTGTGTTGATATAGGTAGTGATTGACCGAGTTGATGGATACTGGGAGCGCCACAAGACTCGCAGGTGACTAACCTCGAGCGCCTAGATGCGCCAACTCGTACTGATGAAGAAAGCATATGAGAATCGAGCATTTGGCTTGGTATAAACATACAACTTGTTGAAAAGTCGGGCTCCAGAGGTTAAAGTTGGTGAGAATGCGTGACGTCGAGTGGTTAGTCGCGATAACGGACAAAGAAAATACACGGGAGCGTAGCGTATCTACTACTCAGCGCAAACTCAGCGATCCTGTACTAGTTCAGAAGTGCCCGAAAGATCACGTGACAACTAAGGACTACAAACGATTCACTTTTCCAACACGCCAACTAGAATCTGAGGAACACGAACTCCGGATGCATTTTCAGAACGAAGGGATTTTATCCTGGAAGACCAGACAATTTGCAACCTACACTTCAAGTTTCGCGCCGAGGCTCGCAATGCGGAGCTGTTTTCCTGGATTCGGGAGGCTCCTGACGCCGGGAGTATCTGTAAGACTGTCATACTGGTTGTCAGTCACGCAACTCTGTGATCCGCCGACATCAGAAAGTATCCGTCGTGGGTACCAGCTGTCATGCAAGGTTTGATTCATGGCGAGGTTAGGGAAATTTCAAAGCCAATGGGAGGAGGCCAACATATGAGCGCTAGCAACCGCAAGGATTCGCATTGCTGCAATGGGTACTCAACACAGCCGTCACGTTGACATGAAAAATGGTGAGACAGGAAATATGATTATGCCAGTGACTCAGTAATAAGCATTTTGGGAACTCTGGATCTGGCAATGACAAGGGGTTTTGGTCATAGGACTATCGTTAAACATGCCAGGTGCCGCATGCAAACGCAAGTGACAACAGTGACGCCCATGTTATCACCCTGGTTCATAACCGACGCTGACATCGAAAAGCTCTTCAGTAAATCGAAGACTCACACTAAGGTCACAATGCATCGTAGCAATTAATGCATCATGTTTTGACGTGCAACTTCATTTACCTATCTGACCTTATCATCCACACTCCTAGCTCGTGGGCTATATGAACGGGAACAATATAGCATTCAGTCTCGTGATAGCGGCTCCAAAAGATTGATCCCGTGGTCGAAGTATATCGCTTTCATATACCAGATAAATCTGATAATCCAAGAGATACCTAACAAGTAAGCGCCCTGAAATGTGACTAAACTCTCAGTACAGGCGCTTCCGACCTCAACGGCCTACGATAGGAAGTCAGAAAGAGGCAATGTCACATCGGAGGTTTGGACAATTTACCTCGTGCAAAATTTTAATCAAAAGCAGATCTAGAGCTGGCTAGAGCATTCTAAACCTAGCCCGGAACGCTCTAGATTGCATTTCGAATGTGGCAAAATGTGGTAAAATGTCGAAATCCCCACTGTGTGATGGCTGTATGAAGATTTCAAGTCCTCTTAAAGAAAAAGAGACTCAACCCCACATCCCTACGTACGGAAGATGCCTAGTATCACGACAAGTCATTGGTAAAACCAAAATTCCGACTCGCCGGGCCCGATGTCGTGGAGACCTAAGAATTGCGTTGTTGTTGGAACTGCGTTTGTGATTCAAAATGTGTTTTGGGGAACGACTTGTCAGAGGATTGGGTTGGTATTACGTTCAAATATATCAGCTTCACCTCACCTGTTCCATGGATTGGCCCGTGGAGCTTGCTGTACTTATAAGTTTCGTGTCCCTTTAGGCCCTGCACGGATCCCAACTTGCCTCAATTGGGGCTCCTGCGAAAAAGCCCAGGACCCAGGCTGACGCTGAAATAAGGCATGAAGCGCCCAGATCTTCGAGAATTTTGAGCGCTCGGGGTGAGCCGATCAGTAGTCGTCTGATGCTATCGAACGGAACTATAAATATATTGAACAGAACGCTGAAAAATGCAACTGATGATGATCCGAGCTGATTGTGACTAGTGTTTTTGCTAAGGATTTTTATTAACTTGAGACCCGTTGAGTTTACACCAAACCTTGACTATTGGAGTCGGAAGATGTTAAGTTAATTTTCAGAACCTTAATTTTTGCTAACCGCATCAACCCTGAGTCAGGCCTCAAGGATGTTCCCCGCACCACGGTGACGATACATGTACACAGCAAACACCACTTTTCTGACGTGCAATAGTGTGGTCCTAGCCTGGAACACTTTGGAGCGCTCTATATTACATTTTGAATGTGATTTCACTCGTGGCAAAATGTGGTAAAATGTCGAAACCTCGCTGTGTTAACATATACATATGTTACAATCTTCATGCAGCTAACCCACGATCTCACCAGACGAACTCAATATCCCCCATGTCAAACAGCTACACCCTTGACATCGGAAAAGATGTTTATATCAAGGGCGGTGACATCACAACTGATGGAATCATCGCTTTCTGGCCCGTTTCATATGACGAGACACCAGACTTGAAGCATGGGATCGACAACACGAACCTCAATCTTCAGGACAACAATAAGAACTTGCTCCTTCATATCAGTTTTCGCCGCCCCGAGAACGCAATCGTGTTCAACACTATGCAGACCAGGGTCGGCTGGGGCACGGAGGAGCGTGTCCCACTGGATGGCAAGATTTCGACGCCTGCCAGTAACACTGCCATCATGGTATTTGATTTCGGCAGTCACTACCACATCCTCATCGACTACAGAACTGTACACTCCTACAAGAAGAGACTCCCCGGAAATGTGAGGAGTGTCTCCTACCATGTTAATCTAGGGCAAAATCCCGTCTTCGGCAAACGTATGCAAGTGGTCACGTACAGTTCCATGGAACTCATCATGGACCAGCTGTATTCTTCGGGATCTCCGATTTCGAACAGCATGTACGGCTACTACACCATTTCCCCGCTTATAGCAAGTCACAAGTGTGTCGAGGGTGACCTTGTTGCCGAAAATAAAGAGGTATGGTTGGCCACTGGAAATACTGGGAGAAGCGAGCAGAAGGTCCGTATACTATTCTCCACCCTGATCCTGCTGGTGTTAAGCTCCAGTGTAGTGGCAAGTGGGGGGTGAAAGAAACTGGCAGGGCATAGCGTGGCTCAAGAATCCAACCCGCGACTGGTACATCAGATCAACCCAGGATCCTAAAAGCGTTACCTCGGGATCGTCTATTATCACGAGTGCGGCCTCCCATAGTTCACTTCCCATTTGGAACATCACAAAGTCAGGAAATGCCTATGTGTAAGCGGTCTGTCGATTGCCATATGTTTAGCTTACACAAGTGTCCCTCCGCCAGCATTCGCTCCGAGTTTGGAAACCTGTGTTGGACGATGAATGAAAAGGGAAAGGTAGGTCGACCGTTTCCTGTGAATTCATGTGGAGAGACCTTGACTACTCTACCTAGATTGAACTGCAGATGGTGGAGCCGGGAAATAGTTCGCAACTTTGGGAGTTGAAAGAATTTCCAAAGTAGTGAATGCTAGATGTTCTTGTTGTTGACGTGATGGCGAATCTACCGGCTGAACTTCATATATTTGAAAATTGTACGTTAAGTGTTGAAGTACGTAGGTAGGACATCTGAATAACAGTCACTTACATTGATGAAAGGCAACAATCAATCCGCTCAGTCGACTGTTGGTACCCTCGAGGCTGTCCACCAGACGATGTCGTCCGATGAACCGGATCTTAGTGCGATGGAGCAAAAGTAGCAGAAGCGGAAGAGGGAGGACTAGTAGGTGTCAAGTGTATTATATTTGGGTCGGGGATTGATGAATTGTCAAGGCATTGGACTCAGACGTCCACAGCATGGTCGTTGATGTATTTATGCTTGTGGACCCTTCATGCACCTGATGTGCTCGACTACATAGTAGCGATGAGTAGCTGTGCCTACTAGTTATTTGTTGTTTTATACGTCTGGGTATCCATACTCATTATAGCATCCCCCGCGGTCTTGAAATATTCATGCGCGCAACTTGAAGCTCACCGCAGTCGAAAAGCCCTTCAGAACTTGAATGCATCTTAAGGCTGGGGTTGTGAATTTTCAGGTGTTGTCGTGACTAAAGATCAGACCTTGAGCTTATACATAGCTGGTCCTTTCCGAATTTTAGGATCGGACGATCTGATCACCGCGAATATTAATCTGTGACCAACTTCGACCCCAGAACCGACAGCAAGGCAGAGCCGCGGGACGAGGTACGTGTCCCCTTCATTCTTTCTACACTTAAAGCACCTTGATCCTCAAATATTGGAGGGAGGGAGACCCTCCCCTATATCGACGATAATGCACAATTGCTATCACTGGTATACAAGATCCGCATCTAAATGGACCTTTCTTTTGCACAACAAACGTTGTTTTTGATGCCCCAGTCTCGGGGAACCCCACACCATCAAGCACTCACACAACCGCAAACTGTTCCACGACACCCTTCACAAGCTCCACATCAGGCCTTTCAACCTCTATCACGCGACGCTCCATCGTCAGCAGCGTCTTAAACGCCTCGGGAAGCACCGAGTCAAAGTCGAACCCTGGCACGCCATCCAGTGCGCTCGTGACTGCCTCAGAAAATTTTGCGGGGTGTGCAGTGGAGAGGATAATTTGGATGGTGTTGGGTGGGGGGGAGAGGACGCCTGCGACGTGCAGCCCTACTGCGGTGTGTGGGTCTGCGGTGTAGGATTGCGAGGTGTAGTACTCCCGGATCGTTTGGCGGATCTATGTATTTCGTAACGTTTGCTTAGCTCGCTATATGAAATTGAAATGTATGAGTGTACCTGTTTATCATCGACTCTCTCAGCCGTGAAATCCCTCCTTGCCAGCTCGAGCACTGAATCTGGGACGACGACGCGCCCGATAAACTTTACGTCGTCCATCCAGCCTTTCACCGTCTGACAGGCTTTCTCACGCAAATCCCCTCCGGTGTTGGTGTTCTGTGCATTCCCGAAGGCAAGGTACCACAATAGGCGCTCGAAGTTGCTTGATACGAGGATATCCATGGCAGGCGATAGAGTCTCTACCACGCCCCCCACTGCAGCTGACGAGGAATTCGAGTCCACCTTTTCATATCGCCCTGTCTTCCAGAAGCGAGTGAGGATGTCGTTGGCGTTTGTAGCGATAACGAGTTTGGCCACTGGCAGGCCCATACGCTTAGCGTAATAGCCTGCTAGGATGTCGCCGAAGTTACCAGTTGGGACAATGAACTGTAGCTCAGCGTCGGTGGGGAGGGTACGGCGAATGGCGAAGTAGGAGAGGAAGTAGTAGACTGTTTGGGCGAGGATGCGGGCCCAGTTTATACTGTTGACAGCGCCGAGGTGGTGTTTCGCGTTGAAGGTTGTGTCAGCGAAGAGGGCTTTGACGATGTCCTGCGGATTTATATGTATGTAAGCTATTGGAGAAAGAATTGAATATGATGGACAAACTTACCTGACAATCGTCAAAGGTTCCCTTCACAGCAATGTTGTGTACATTTTCATCCGTCACAGTAGTCATTTGAGCTTCTTGGACAGGGCTGACGCGACCCTTGGGGTGCAGAATGAATATGGACACGTCAGGCTTGCCACGCAGCCCGTAGATGGCAGCGCTCCCTGTATCACCACTCGTCGCACCCACGACAGTCAGCGTCTCCCTCTCCTCTCCAGGATATTTTGCATTGTTGCGACGCTGGAGGAAGTAGGAGAAGAGGTTGCCCAGGAGCTGGAGTGCAACATCCTTGAATGCATACGTGGGCCCATGGAAAAGCTCAAGGATGTACTTGTTGGTGGTGAGAGGATGGAGAGGGGTGATATCGGGATGGCGCCATGCGGAGTCGTTGTACGTGGCATGGACGAGGGCAGCTAGGTCTGTTTGAGAGATCTCATCTGCAGAGATGAAAAGTGAGAGGATCTCGATGCTAAGCTCGGGGAAACTCTTGTTAGCCCAGGCTTTCTGCCAGTTAGCTGGGAGCTGTGGTATTGATGCGGGGATGTACAATCCACCGTCTGGTGCGAGACCGGCAAGCACTGTCTGTAAAAAATCTGAATCAATGGATCGGACGTTGACGAGTTGACCCACCTCTTCGAAAGTGAGTTCTACTGAGCCTCCACGAGTCGAAAAGTACTTCATGTTTAATGATGGCTAGATGGCAAGTCGCGTTGGCATGATCGAGTCAGTGATCTAACCGAAAAAGCAGGTGACTTCATTTCATCGATCACATCACATCCATTGATCTTCTTCCAAGATCAAGGCTAGCCTGTGCTGCGACAGAGCCTTCACGAATGAGAAATTGCTTAGGGTGGCCCAATTGAATTCGGATTGTCTATTATGCTGTAGTTACCTAGTGATGTGCTTCTAGATGATTGTACAGCCTTTGTTCTCTGGGCCGCTTGTTCCACTATAAAAGGGAAGTGATAGAATGTTCTGGAATATGTGCGTTTTGAGAAATTCTGTGTATCGAAGGTTCTCGAATATCAAAAAATTCAGATACTTAAGACCTTCAGTTAAACGCGTCCTTTGCTGTAGGCATTCCCCCATCTTTTCCACTTACTTAGATCTTCATCTCCCAATCTGTAAGCTCAATCTTGCGACGCGCCTTCTTAAACTAATCTACCCCTCAGACCTAAATGGCGACCGAGAGCTTTGGATTCCAAGCTGAAATCAGTCAACTCCTTGACTTGATTATCAGTTAGTATTTTCTATCTTTCATGCTTTTATCCTAATCTATATTTGTGCCACTCAGACACCTTCTACTCGAACAAGGAGATCTTCCTTCGTGAGATTATCTCAAACGGCTCAGATGCCCTCGACAAAATCCGTTATGCTTCCTTGACCGACCCCTCAGTTCTCGAGACCGAGAAGGAGCTCTACATCCGCATCACCCCGGACAAGGAGAACAAGGTCCTCTCCATTCGTGATACTGGTGTCGGCATGACCAAAGCCGACTTGGTCAACAACCTTGGTACCATCGCCAAGTCTGGCACAAAAGTAAGCGTCCTTCAATCATTCATCTTGACTGATTTTCTGATCCACGTAACTTAGGGTTTCATGGAGGCTCTCAGCTCTGGTGCCGACATTTCTATGATCGGTCAATTCGGTGTCGGTTTCTACTCTTCTTACCTCGTTGCCGAGCGTGTTCAGGTCATCTCAAAACACAACGATGACGAGCAGTACATCTGGGAATCGGCTGCAGGTGGCACCTTCACGATTACTCCTGATACGACCGGCGAACCTCTCGGACGTGGTACTGAGATCCGCCTTTACCTCAAGGAGGACCAAACCGAGTACCTTGAGGAGAAGAAGATCAAGGAGATTGTCAAGAAACACTCTGAGTTCATCTCATACCCCATCCAACTCGCCGTCACCAAGGAGGTTGAGAAGGTAAGCTGATTTTGGGTGCCTTCCTTTGATCGTGGCTCATGTACATATAGGAGGTTGAAGACGACGAGGAGGAGCTGAAGGAAGAGAAAGAGGAGTCCAAGATCGAAGAGGTCGAAGACGATGACAAGCCCAAAGAGAAGAAGACCAAGAAGGTCAAGGAGACTGAGACCACCAACGAGGAGCTCAACAAGACGAAGCCCATCTGGACGCGTAATCCTCAGGATATAAATGCCGAGGAGTACGGTGCCTTCTACAAATCGCTAACCAACGATTGGGAGGAGCACCTCGCCGTCAAGCACTTCTCCGTTGAGGGTCAACTTGAGTTCAAGGCAATCTTGTACATTCCAAAGCGGTCAGTATCGTCTCTTCATTCAATCACCTTTACTGACTTGACTTAATAGCGCGCCTTTCGATCTCTTTGAGACCAAGAAGAAGCGCAACAACATCAAACTCTACGTCCGCCGCGTTTTCATCATGGATGACTGTGAGGACCTCATCCCCGAGTACCTCAACTTCGTCAAGGGTATCGTCGACTCCGAGGACTTGCCTCTTAACATCTCGCGTGAGACCCTCCAACAGAACAAGATTCTTAAGGTCATCCGCAAGAACATCGTCAAGAAGTGCATGGACTTGTTCACCGAAATTTCGGAGGACAAGGACAACTTCAACAAGTTCTACGAATCTTTCGGCAAGAACTTGAAGCTTGGTATCCACGAGGATGCTCAGAACCGTAGCAAGCTCGCTGAGTTCCTCCGCTTCTTTTCCACCAAGTCTCTCGAGGAACAGACTTCGCTCAAGGGTAAGTGTATCTTGCTGTGTACCGTTTGGGTGGTTCCCTTATAATGCTTTCAGACTACATTACGCGTATGCCTGAGGTCCAGAACTCGATCTACTACCTTACCGGTGAATCCCTTGCCGCTGTCCGCGACTCACCCTTCCTTGAAGTGCTCAAGAAGAAGGGTTTCGAAGTCCTCCTTCTCGTTGACCCCATCGATGAGTATGCCGTCACGCAGCTGAAAGAGTTCGAGGGCAAGAAGCTTATCTGCGTCTCGAAAGAGGGTCTCGAGCTCGAGGAGACTGATGAGGAGAAGAAATTACGCGAAGAAGAGGCTGCCCAGTTCAACGACCTGTGCCAGACCATTAAGGAAGCCCTTGGTGACAAGGTCGAGAAGGTCGTTGTCTCCAACCGTATCACCGACTCTCCTTGCGTCCTTGTTACCGGCCAGTTCGGTTGGTCATCTAACATGGTATGTATCGTTTTTTGCGCTCCACGGGCAATTCTCATTCACATGTCTGTAGGAGCGTATCATGAAAGCACAAGCTCTCCGTGACTCTTCGATGTCATCATACATGGCGTCCAAGAAGACCCTCGAGCTCAACCCCTCAAACGCCATAATTAAGGAGCTCAAGCGCAAAGTCGCCGAGGATAAGGCTGACAAGTCTGTCCGTGACCTCACCTTCCTCCTATTCGAGACCGCGCTTCTCACCTCCGGTTTCTCACTCGACGACCCTACGTCATTCGCCAAGCGCATCAACCGTATGATCAGCTTGGGTCTCGACGTTGACGAGGAAGAGGAAGAATCGGCACCGGCTGAAGACTCTAGCGCCCCCTCCGCCATTGGAATCCGTGTCGACGTCGGCAATGGAGGAGATCGACTAGACGTTTGACGTTTCTTGTGTACTTTACTACTAGCTCACATCATATCATTGCCATGGTCGTCGTTGCATTTTTTTTCCGTCTTTTGTTGATCGCATTTACGAGACAATAGCTAAAACTTCTCTAGTATGTTCACGAATAAAAGCATTTCACTCGAATGGTTATCTACTGCTATGGATACACGCAACGCATTGTCCTCGTGTTAGTAAGTGTGATTGTCGTTTGAAAATGGAATGCACCCATGGGATACCTTCGACAAAGCAAGTTTGAATGTGACAGCAGAGAATGGGAATGTTGATATCTCTTCACATATCTCTTCACATGGCGTTGCATTGTGGGAATCGGCAAGCAGCAAGGGTAAAAAATCGATTATTTATATCACCGCCGACTATCAGCGGAAGCTGTACATGTCTGATGCTAGCCCGGGGGACCATGGTCGTGTAAGCCGGCCGAATCTGAGTTCCCGTCGTGTAGTGAGCGTTACGTCCGTGGTAATATACACGATGAGGGAGTACCTACCCTAGCTCGGACAGGGCCTCAGTGTCGACACAGGGCAAGGTTGTGAGCGTTACGTCCGTGGTACACACGATGAGCGAGTACCCGCTTTAGCTCATTGTTCTAAGGGGCAGGGCCTCCGTGCCGACACAGGGCACGGTCACAAGATGTTTCCTGGTTTGTCACAGTGCTTGCGGAGACTGAGAAAATAGGGGTAAAAGACAAGATGAAAGAGAATGCACTCCGAACACATGAAGGTGCCAGCGTCCACTTTACGCTGGGCTAGCCAATGAAAATATGTTGCAAAAGCTGTATGAATTAGCGAGGAATAACGGGGAGCATAAAGTTGACGAAATGTTTGAGATAAAAAATACCAAGCAAAACGTGTACCATGCCATTGGCAGCGGGGAAAAGGTGGAATAGACATCAGGGGAATGTCAACGTCATGACTGCCCGTAGAGCGGGCACGGCGTATAGAGCAAAGCCTGGCTCAGTCCCAATGTGTTGACAAACTTGGATTCTTCCAGGTTTCAGTTTCCATTCAAAAAACTGAAAGCGGAAGAATCTAATGCTGTACCACCGTGACATCCGCGGAATCTGGAGAGTGCGGAGGTCTATGTCGAGTATTGGAATTAATTCCCAATGTGTTTGGGAGCTGAGCCGCCGTGATTGATCCAGAAAGTACGGAGGGTATACGACGGGCACTAATCGCTGTGTCCGTGATCTGCGATGATTAACGCGCGCATGATCCTTCCGGGATGGATAAAAGGTACTGATTTATTTTCCCCAGTGGCGAAAAACTCTCCATGGAGTCTGAGCGCAGATATACCATTATCTTATCAGCTTGGAAGGGTATGAACACATACTACTTAGTACAGGTATATCAATACTCTGGGTGGAGGGATTCGGATAGCTGTTGTGACAGGACTGTTACTGGTGTCAGTACTGGAGTGGTAACACGCACCTTTTGGTCTGACGCAGAGGTTCTTAAAATGCATGCGAATAAAAATATAAACGACGTCGAGATGAGACTCACGCGAGTCAGCCCTTCGTGGGAAAGAGGCAAAGCGTGTGTCCAAAGGCGAGTCAGGTTTCCTTTTAAGGTAAGGTTAGGAGCGGTAACCTCGAGGCTTCGAAACAGACCCTAATCGCCTGCTTACAGCTTTTCCATTGTTCCCATTCATTTTAGCACGACAATAATGGTTCATTTGCCTTGCGCTGGCCAAACATAAAGCTTTGCCACGTTCTTTCGTCCCTCTGTATCTTTATTTACCCTCCAACGACACCAACGACACTCAACACCATTGTCCACTGGCATAGTCCTCAAGAATGCCGTCAATATTTGCCCCATCACCACGACGCGTCACCCATGCCTCATTTCAAGACGCGTTACAGTCTCCTTCCCCAGAGACGCGTCAATGTCACGTCCCACCAACAGTAATTTCTGTAAGTCTCCTAGTAATATTCTAGGTCTCAAATCGAGCTGATTTGCCCGTCAGGAAAATTTACCGTCGAGGATGCTTTTAAGTCCCCCGCGACTGTTGTCGCCAATTACACTCAATGAGCCTCGTGTTTTGTCTCTGGTCAGTTTTTTCGCGTAATTTTTATTTTATTGGAACAGTGCTGATGCGTGTCTCCTAGAAATCAAAGTCACCAATGCCTTGTGGTGCTGCAGTAAGGCGAGGATCTACCCGCACCACTCGCTCCATGAATAAACGCCGCCGCTTTCCCCCTCGGATTGAGTCGCCTCTCGATGTATATGGCCGTGTTCCTGTGTTTGATCGTCTCCCGTGGATCTCCGCCATGGAGTTCCCACCGCGGTTCGATCTCTGCGATACTGCAGATCTGTCTCTACTGCCCGCACTTGGCGCTGAAGAACCCGCCTTTTCAGACGAGATCCCTGCGTCTGGACCCGTGCGCCGTCGCAAGTCATCTCTCCGTTCAAACCCTCTTGGAAATGATCCAGAGTTGGAATCGCCATCAAGACAATTTTTTCCTTTCCAGTCCCCCAACTGTGATCGGGAGCGTCTCAAGACTCCGCCCCCTAGGGTACCCTTCGACCCCACACGAGTTACTTTCCACAACCTCATGCCAGTCTTTCCGCATGGAGCTGCCAATAGCCCCTCGTAGTTTCGTTGACTCATGCGTGGCCACACTTTTTGACGCCATCGTCCAATATTCTGCCATCTGCAAAGCACTTGTACCGCCATCTTACCTGCATCTTCCTATAATAGCGAGGATTACTCGCGCCCATCTTCAGCATTCATTGCGCCATCTCAACGAACACCATGTATCCTGCCACGAATCTGCTCAATCATCCATTGCACGATCTCTATTTTCGCTTTCGCCATGGACTACGCTCCGCCTTGGATCAGCAATAGCTGTTCTTATCAGGCCTTCTTTGTATCTGAAATAGTATTTATTTGTACCTGCTCGCCGCGCTTCCGTACCATCAATCTCTGCTCGTTGCTCCTGCTTTATAGAGCCCTACTTTGACAGTCGCACCTGATCTCTGTTATCATTATATCTGCATTACCATCTTTCGAATTTCTTTTCCAGTATCATCGTACCTCGAGTCCTCCTGATGCTCCCGCTTCGTTTTCAAACTGCATGTAACGATACGTCACGATACACAAACAATATAAGTGTATCTTTTTGACCTTCCTTCGAAGTTTGAAGTGGTTTGTCCTAAAGAGGAAATCCCATATGATCGCAGGCCACGTGGCACTAACTGTACAGTTGCTTCACGAACTATCCCACGCATCATCCCTGTAGATTGCACATTGCACACCATAGCCAAAATCTCGATCTCGCAATGGAAAACGACCAGGTCCGTATTAACGTCGTCATGCTACATCCTAGTCTTACCGCTTACATTGGTATCAGGGCGTTCTTGTTGACCTCTACGTCCCCCGCAAGTGTGCGGCCACCAGTATGTTTTGAGCCAAACACCGTCTTAGAGCGTTAACCCATCCATGGCTCAGACCGTTTGATTACCTCCAAGGACCATGCTTCGGTCCAGATTAACGTCGCTGATGTTGATGCTAACGGTCGTGCCCTGAACACCTACACCTCGTTTGCGCTCTGCGGACAAGTGCGATCACAAGGGGAGAGCGATGACTCTATCAACCGGCTAGCAACGAAGGCGGGTTGTAAGTCTTGTTCTCTATGAGTAATTTGTCTGGACTGTACTGATGGTTTGTTCTTGTAGTGCTCCGGAATGTGTGGTCTTACCAAAAATAAACGTTGTTATGTTAGAGCGTTCGCCATATCATCATTATACTTGCTCTGTTGATGTTGTAAACTTGTGGGGTGAGCGCCTTTATGCGTATGTTGAGTGCAAGCGCACTGCGCATGCGCGCGGATCAAGCCCATTTGGTGTTTAGCGAAACAAATTGCAAGATCTTGCCTTCTAACTTACAAGAAGGGTCTCTCAAACAGCCCCGCAGTCTAATGCTAACCTCGTTGCATCGTGCGCCACTGTCACGGTCGTTTGACTGACAGATCCCAATTGTTGTCTGTCCTTACCAGAAGGGGAATATTCATCCTGGACGGAATCTTCTTCATATCTGGTAAAAAGACCTGCTCAGGAAGAACGTTCTCTTCCTGTGGTGTACTTCCGAAAGTGTAGTCGGCATTGTGATATCTCCATAGTCCACAGATACTAAACGAAGTGAATAACGTTTTTTAAAATTCGTACTGGAATTGTGGCAAACTGCGGGAGGCCTACAAATGGAGACTTGATGTATTCACACTCAGTACATTTTTGTAACACGCAGCCCGCAGCTCGCAGCGAACGAACACTGAATAGAAGTACGTGGCCCAAGTACTGATGCTTGTGGGCAAGAATCATCGTGCTTGTTACTCTGACGGTTCCTTGTCCATAATTTCAGTGAGTCGCCACTAGCTGGCCTTTTGGTATGCTGACTCAAGCCCCTCTTATTAGTCCGATTCCATGGTCGAGATTCAGCGCACCCAAAGCGAGAGCAGTGGTTCATTATCCCCTTCTGCAGAGGAGGAGAGCAAATACCGCCTTCTCTATAGTAAATCCAAGGTCTACGTTAATCCGACCGCATACGCTAGAGATAACATCCCGGGTTTCGTAGCTCTTGTCAAGCGCGTGAGTAGCTAGGTCTTGTCTCGCATTTCTCGCTCATGCATTTTTGTCGTCTAGGAGGCTATCAATCCTATCTATCTACTTGCATGGATTCCAGAGACACTGCTCTGCGAGAAGGGAACCGACGAGTGGAACAAGTTTGTGAAGATTGAGGAGAAGGCCACACTGGATGAGGAGGATGAAGGTCCGCAGCTTTTTTCTCTGTTTGAACCCGAAAACCTTACACCATTCAAAGATGCGGTTCTGATCGACCTTCCTACACAAAGAGCAGAGTCCTATGCATTCTCGGTTCCTCTGACTTCGATATACTCTCTTCTTGTCCATCCACCTACCCTTTCATCATGGTGTACGTTCTCATGTTATCTTTGGACGTTGATAGGGCTAAACCAATCACTAACAGATGGTACCATCGGTATAAACCTAATAAACAGTTCTACACTCCCAACTCTGCACTTCCATGATGACGAGTCACTTTCGATGACACTGCCGTCTCGACATACTGGGCGCAACTCCACTAGTGCATACCCTCCTTTCACATCATCATCACCATCATCCTCTCGACCCCCAAACTCATGGGGAGGCGAGGATTTGCTCTCTCGTCTGCGATCTTATGCCCACCTACTCCGCTCCACATTACAGCCTTCCTTGTTCATCGTCGACCCATCTAAAGCCGACATCGACACACATACCACTCAGATATTCGATGACGACGCTGTGGACGATATCCTTGCACAGTCATCGTATGCTTCTTCGCACTCACCTGTACCTGCTCACAGGCGACCACGTCCATTAACCGATGTTCCTGCCAATGCACCTCCCAATTCATATGCCCCTCGTTCATCCGTTTTGCATCGCTCTCTTTACCCACCCTCCATATCGACTGCACAGTCCAGCTCACAAGCGCGGATGGCGCTGCTGCAATCCTTCTCAAATATCACTAGAGCGACACGCCACGCCGCGCAAAACATTCTCTCTCATCCTCTTGCTAAACCAATCGTCCCACATCTCCCGGACCCTGTCAAGAGTCTAGTCAACGCCAACGGCGACTTGGAATGGGGTAGTTGGGTGGAGAAAGGGGGCGTTGGGGAGTTTGAGAGTGCGAGAGTGTATCTTGCACGCTGGGCTCGCATAGTTGCTGAAGAAGGCGATCGGGCGCGCAAACGAGAGGCTCAAGCACTGCCCTCCTCCTCGAATGTGGTTGAGGAGATATCCCCGCTGGGTGTGTTTGAGCTGCTTCACTCCACGGTCAACCTTCCCTCTCCCAAAACCTCTCGAGACCCGGCACACCCGATAGACGAAGCGCTTTGGGCGAAGTGGTTTGATAAAGATGGACGACCGAAAGTCAGGCTTGAAGAGATGAGGCGCCAAGTTTTCAGGAGAGGCATCACTCCTTATGGGAACCTCAGGAAGAAAATGTGGCCCTTCATACTTGGTGTTCACGAATGGGACATCACTGGTAGTGAGAGGGAAGCGAAATGGGAGGAGAAGAGGTAATGTTGCCTTCACCACCAGATCCATACTTTCTGACCCGTTCTGTAGGAAGCGATACCGTGAGATCAAAGACGAATGGTGTGGTGTGCCCGAGGTCTTTGACCGACCGGATGTCCTCGAAGAACGCCATCGCATCGATGTAGATTGTCGCCGCACAGACCGCACTCAGCCACTCTTCTCCACTTCCTATGAGGATACCGCTGACAATGGCCCGAATGGAAACCGTCGGTACACGACGATCTCTCCTCAGATGTCGGACATCGGTGCACAATCTCCCAGTAATGAACACATCGATCGTCTCGCAGGCATTCTCCTCACGTACAATTTCTACAACAAAGAGCTTGGTGAGCTCATTTGAAATACTACATTCGTATGCGGTATCTAATGAGAAATATCAGGGTATGTACAGGGCATGTCGGACCTTTCCGCTCCTTTGTACATTGTAATGGGTTCCGACGAGGAGCTGACATTCTGGTGCTTTGTGGAGGTGATGAATCGTATGGTGAGTGCATCTGAAACTTGATGAAGATTCTGTCTCTGATGTTCACAACAGATTCAAAATTTCCTTCGGGATCAGAGTGGAATGAAGAAGCAGCTCTCGACGCTTCAAGAGCTGATCAGTGTCATGGATCCTGATCTATATCGACATTTAGGTCGCTAAATCCATTTTTTATGTTTATAACTATCTGACTCTCATCTACTGCAGAAAAAACCGATGGTCTCAATCTGTTCTTCTGCTTCCGGTAAGACTTTCACTGAAACTTGTTGACAAGACATCCTTGACGCTGTTTATCACAGATGGGTCCTCATCGCTTTCAAACGCGAATTCCCTTTTGACGATGTCTTGCGTCTATGGGAAGTGCTGTGGACGGATTATTACAGCAACGAATTCGTTCTCTTTGTCGCTTTAGCAATCTTGGAGTCCCATCGAGATATGATCCTACGGTATCTTGTAGAGGTGTGTGCCTTGATTGCCCGCCATGCGCCTTCCTCTCTAACCATGTATTCGACCAGTTCGACGAGATCCTGAAGTACTGTAATGAGCTCAGCATGACGATTGAACTCGATTCTACTCTTGCCCAAGCAGAAGTCCTCTTCCTGTCATTTGCTCAGCTTGTTGCAGACATTGATAGAAGGCGAGCGGAAGAAGCCACTAGTTCTACTAGTAGTGTGCTACGGCGACGAGGGACATCTACCTCTGAATCAGAGGGGAGGGCGTCTCTGTCAAAGATAGCCATGCCTACTCTGAGCGACAACCTCAGGGACTTGTTAAAGACTGGGCGCTGAGTTGGACGAGTGAGGTTTGATGGAATATTGATTTATCATGTAGTGTAACCGTGTGGTATAACTGATACTGTAATGCACGTGTATAATACCGTCGACTCCTTGCTCGAATCTTGGCGCACGTCAGTGTGGTCACTGGTGGTGTTTTACATCTATACATGTATTAAGCACGAGATATCGCCGGCATCTATCAAAAGATGTAGGTGATGCATAAGGAAGGTGCTTTAAGTCACAGTGTGGAAAGAATGAAGGGGACACGTGCCTCGTCTCTCGTCCCGCGGCTCTGCCTTACTGTCGGTTCTGGGGTCAAAGTTGGTCACAGATTAATACTCGCAGTAATCAGATCGTCTGATTTCAAAATTCGGAAAGGACCAGCTATAAGCTCAAGGTCTGATCTTTAGTCACGACAACACCTGAAAATTCACAACCCCAGCCTTAAGATGCATTCAAGTTCTGGAGGGCTTTTCGACTGCAGCGAGCTTGCGCGCATGAACATTTCAAGACCGCGGGGGATGTTATAATGAGTATGGATACCCAGACATATAAAACAACAAATAACTAGCAGGCACAGCTACTCCTCGCTACTATGTAGTCAAGCACACCAGGTGCATAAAGGGTCCATAAGCATAAATTCATCAACGACCATGCTGTGTCTGAGTCCAATGCCTTCACAATCCATCCATCCCTGACTCAAATATAATACACTTGACACCTATCCTCTTCCTCTTCCGTCCCACTTTGGCAGTAGAATCATCAGTCTTTGATGTCTTCTAAACCTGTTTCGACAGAGAGGAGATATTGTCAGTTCCAAAAAAAAGCAAAAAGTATGAAATACATACCTGCAGTGGGACGTGGGCATTCCCAGCTGTTGTCATCCTGTTCCTCCGATGAATCACTACTAATACTGACGTTGTCTTCTTTGTCGTCGTCGTCGTTGTCCTCATCGTTTTCCTCCTCGTTGTCCTCCTCGTTTTCCTCGCCGTCGTCCTCATCGTTTTCCTCCTCCTCGTCCTCATCATTTTCCTCCTCCTCGTCCTCATCGTTTTCCTCGTCGTCGTCCTCATCGTTTTCCTCGTCGTCGTCCTCATCGTTTTCCTCGTCGTCGTCGTCCTCATCGTTTTCCTCGTCGTCGTCGTCCTCATCGTTTTCCTCGTCGTCGTCCTGATAGTCTTCTTGATCGTCCTTGGTCGCCTTGGGCAAGGGCGGTATTGTGATGACCACTTGTTGGATAGCAGGTGCCAACTCGCCCGGATGCAAGTTAGGATAGTACGGAGAAACCGTCATCGGCTTGAGTTTGAGGGAGAAAAGCGGGGTACTCGTGATGACCTTGCCCTCAAGCTTGGGCCAAAGTCTTAATGTAACCTTGTCGCTAATTCGAATAATTCTTCCGGGAATCATGGTAGTTAGGAGTGAAGACAAGGTAAGAAGTGAAGGCTTGTTCTGCGATGTAGTGTTTGCAGGGGAGAGCTTGATGGCTACCTTGTAGACCCGTATCCTTTAAATAATTGAGAGCTGTGGACGCATCGTCGTGTGCTTGTGTTCGCATCCACAGCGGACTGGGACTCGACAATATCATGGGGGTATTCATCGCCAAATCTGTAAGGGTTGTGGATTGATTCCGGTGGTAAGGACAGCAGACGCTTTTGTAAGCGGACAATGTCGGTCAATCATGATGCGGAAGCACGTTGCGTCCACTGGTATTGACCACCGCACGTGATGGTCCAGTGAGTTATCTGCCAGCTGATCCAGGTAATGCATACACGACTTCACGAACAAAGTATCAGTACTATGTTTTTTGTTACAAGAATAATACACCTCACTGACTGCTGAACGTCCCGTAGGGTTCACTCAGGGTTGACACGTCGACGGTTGACCAAAAGAATACGATGCGGCGCCGACTCGGAGGAATAAGCCATTTTTTAATCGAGTACTTACTATTCCTCGTCCGATGTCCCACATATTGTTTCACTGCCCATGTTCACGCATGATGATCAAGGTGTCGCATTTGGTCCTAGGACCTACATCATATTATTATCGATAATTTCTTCTTCGACCTCGCCAACTGCATACTCCACGAATCGGTTTTCTTGGCTGCGAATACATGTCATGATGAACAGCAACAACAACCAGTATATAGTACACCACAACCTGTGAAATGTATTGGCTATGGTTCAAGATGGCATTGAGTTGGATTTCGAACGGGCATGACCTTAGAACCGAGATCGCGTGAAGAGAAGAGAGAACGGTTGAAGGGAAGACTGCAAGGAGGATGCAGGAACAGAAGTAATGTTTTTGATTTGTCGGAATCTGTGAGCACTGAAGGCCCAAGGGCACTCATGATGCTCCAATTCTCCACTTGTTCTGAGAACTCAGCTTGTCTCGCTTCATTAAATGACACACCAGGATAACACTTTGCGAAGCACTTGGCTCGTGTGAGAAGGATAGGGCAGGACTCGTCACTCGCCTCCTGCACCCTGTTGCCAATTCGTAACGGTGTCCGAAAGCGTTCGGGGCAATAAATGGATTGTACGCAGGTTTTCCGGAGACCCTGGGACAAGCAAAGAAGGCGCAGCTCTGAGTCCTCGCATCATATGTCATGCCATCATAAGAAATTGTCTCTCGAAAGCTGGAAGCCTGAAACTTTTGAAGTGCGTAAGTTAGTCCGACTCCATCCTTGAAAAAAAAATACCCTCACGTGACCCAAGTCGGTTATAAGCAACTAGGGTAATACCCCTAATATTAATCTTGTAGATCTATCCTAACGATGCACAAAAACAAGTTGAGCGTGAATTTTTCGCCGCAGGATACCATATTGACTGAGATGTTGCAGTCGCTTGGCCGGATATTTGTGAGTAGAGGTTTGCCTTACTAGAACACAAGCGTTAGTCTCGGAGTACAGTGAAAATATCCTTGAATTCAAGTTAATGATCGAGTCCCCAAGTTCGTGGGGACTCGCTCACATTTGATTGAAAGGTCGCAGAATACGAAACCGAAAGACTAGAGTAGGAGCGTATTGTGAACAATCGGGGATTCGAAAACTGAAGGGAAGTAGACTGAGCTCAAGGGTGTTAGAGAGTCGAAAGTGACGATTATTTCGTTTGAATTCGGTTCATGTTATTGTTAGAATTTGATTGCAATTTGACGCATAGCCCGAATCCAAGGGTGATTGTCATATAAAATAATAAATGACTAGCACACGGAACTACGGGTGGTCACTGGTGGTGTTTTACATGCGTATAAATCACTAGATAACGGCCGAGCTTCGCCGGCAGCAAGCTTGTCCCACGACTACTAATGTCGTGTACCATCATTTGGAGAATGCATCAAAAATATACCAATTATCAGCGGTATTCTCGACAATTGAGAAAGCTGTGCAAAATTCGTCGTTGGACAATATGCTAAGAAGGTTGGTTTTACTTGGTCGGATGAGATTGTGATCATAGTGCATTAAGAACTGGAAAACTCTCCAAAGGAAAAGCTGAAGCCATCGCGAGGCACGAATATGAATTCCTTTTCATAGACAGACTATCACATATTAATATTTTCAACGCAATGACTGGGCCTACATAGTCAACATGACCTGCGAGGATCTTTATACCGCAAAAATATTGTCAGCAGGTTTCGAACCAACTCCAAGAGAAACAGATTTTGACTCTGTTGTGGTAACCACTCGGCTAAGACCAGTTAGGTAGACCACCGAGGAAACCATCCATGAGCCAACGTCAAGGTGTCCTCCGATAGAAAAAACGTGGCGGCAGGCTTCGAACCTGCGCAGTCCAAGAGAAACAGATTTGGATTCTGTTGCGGTAGTGCCACTTGGCTAAGACCAGTTAAGATGCATATCCTACGAGACCATCCATGAGTGAATGTCAAAGTGTGTTCCGATAGGGAACAAAAACCTTTGTAGTCGACAGGTTTGACATATTTCGATTCCGTTACGGTGACCACCTGACTATGACACCAGTTAATAGAAAAAACATGTCGGCAAGTTTCGAACCTGCGCAGTCCAAGAGAAACAGATTTTGATTCTGATGCGGTAGTACCACTTGGTTAAGACCAGTTAAGATGCACATCGGATGAAACCATCCATGAGTGAATGTCAAAGTGTGTTCCAACAAGGAACAAAAACTTTGCCCTCGGCAGGTTTGACAGATTTTGATTCGGTTAACCACCTGGCTATAGGATCAGTTAAGATGGATGTCCGAGGAAACCATCCATGATCTTCAAGGGGAGTTCCGATAGAAAAAAAAACTTGGCGTCGGCAGGTTTCGAACCTGTACTGGCACAGTCCAAGACACAGATTTATATTCTGTCGTGGTAACGGTTCACTTTGGCCAGGACGAAGTTGACATGAACCGCCGAGGAAACCATCCACGAGCGAATCTTTAAGGTGTGTTCCGATAAAAAACAACGTGTCGTTCAGCAAGTTTCGAACCTGCGCAGTCCAAGAGAAACAGATTTTGATTCTGTTGCGATAACCACAAGCTTGGCTAAGACCAGCTAGATGAACCATCGATGAAACCACCCATGAGCGAATGTCAAGGTGTGTTCCGAGAGAGAAAAAGCTTGTCGTCGGTAGGTTTCGAACCTGCGTAATCCAGGAGAAACAGATTTCGATTCTGTTAGGTTAATCACTTTAGCCAGGACAGTCCAGAAGCCTTCAGAAGAACTGTCCATTAAGGTGTGATAAGACATTTGTCGAATCCGCACCATCCAAGATTTCTAATCTGTTCTGGTGCCAGTTGACTATAACTACTCAAGATAGACTCCAATGTTGAACCAGAATTAAGTATGCTGCCTGTGGCGTTTTAAAGTACGAGCTATTATTTGATAATGACCAGATTAAATTGAACGGCTACAAATGCAGCAAAAAAAGTCAGCCATGGAATACAGGACTTACATGGCCTCTGCATTCTTTTGCTCCGTGAAGAACGCTGGGCCATAATCAATGAGGATCTCAGTTCCAGGGTCAATGTCCATAACTGTGTCAGTTGTCAGCATTCCGCGTCCGCGATAGTAGGGAAATGATCTGACTCGCAAATATTCCTATACGATGTTCCCCATTCACAAGTCGCGCTGTCGAATGTTTAGTTATTGAGATGGCCATTAAGAGATACAGACATTACACACCAAAAGCGTGACAATTACACTGCGTTTCGCTACTGGCATCACTAGCGCCTGAATGGTTGATGAACCTCGACGCGTTGCCTGCACGCGAACTATCCAGGGATAGCGTTTTGTTGAGACCAAAGACATAACTTCGTCCAAGATGGTCTGCGACCTCTCTATCAACTCGGTGAGCTACAGGAAATTTCACGAATGAACGCTGCTCACCCGCGGCTGTCAAATGTCATTTCGTAGATAAGCTCCCCGACATACTCCACGATCATTTCGCCCTGCTTGGCTGGCTCAAGGAGGAATACACCTACACCCCAACAACTTTCCTTGACCTCCAGTTTCTATAATCGTTGATATAGAATTATTCATGCGATCTGAGGTGTCGAATGTACATATATACCTTGAAGTGGCCTTGTTGAATCTGGGAGTTCCCGCAGGTACTCCTTTCCGGGTCTTCAACTCAGAGTTAGACGCATCCAACCCTTGCTAAGTGCTATGCAACATACCTCTGCCAAGTACAATATATTAAAGAACGAATCGCAACATAAAAGATAGTCGGTATCACGCACCGACATCCGCATTTTACACAAAGCTCTGGATCACACTCGCGTCGAGCTTCGACGCAAGAACATCGCTTGACCTTCACACAGCTCATTCCGTCGCGTGCCATTGCACAGCGACAACCTTTCCATCTCCGAGCGCCTGGTGAAGGGTGGCATTAAGCCTCGTACTGGCGACAACAGACATAAACATACATTTGGCGGGGCAACGGCAGTTCCGCTGGCAATGAGCCTTGTTCTTAAAACATAAACAGTCAGATGAACCATGACATGGCCCAGAGTGATGACAAGGTTCGTTCCTGTGGAAAGCATCCAGTACAGCATCCGATATTTATGCAATAAGGGCACACACGGTGTGATCTTGAGCGGGTCAATATCTATCTCGTGTGGAGCGTCGGTCAAGTAATACGCGTCCACATGTATTTGTCCCTACCTCGAAATTCCAGAGATCGCGACTTCCCCTTGTGTTCCCCATTCGGACGCTCAGTTTGAAGTTCATCGAAATCTGGATATAGTGATCTGCGATAATAAAGGACCTGAACCATAGTCAGACCAAGGAAAGCTCTCGTCATTTTCATGTTGACGAACCTCGTGGCAAGGCTTAAAGCATAATTCAGCATGGTCACAAGGTATCATATCTGGCTCGATATCTAAGATGCTCTTAAACGAATTGATATCGTCTTCACTCCAGCAAGGGAGTACCTCGACTGTCTTGCTCTGCAAGAAGCAGCCAGCTTCGCAGGGGTGTTCTACACGTTTCAGTAGCTCTGACAGCCGGATACTTTGCTTACGCGGTGGCGGCACGGGGTTCATTTCAACTGCAAATTATGTTTGGGCATTAAAAACGGAAAAAACAGGAAGCCATACCATGAACAGGGCACAGAGGCTCGATACAGTTGAGGTTAGGACAAAACAATGCATGGATGCGCTCAAGCCGATGTTGAATAATACTGTGAGCCAGCAATGAAGAAGGAAAGCTGTAAGAACAAGGGATGGTGGTCCCGTTCCATTTGAGTAGGTCACTGTACATTTATTCAAAGTTTGGATGCGAGCACGAAAAATTATCAAAAAATCCCATACCGACGACGACTCAGGGTAAACAGTCCAGGTTTTCCTGGAATTGAGAAAAGCTTGAAGGGAAGGACTCCCGTGCTATCTATATCCTCATACAGTAGACTGTGAACCGTATGGAGGCGATAGGCTGCCTCTAAAGAAATAACTTCTACTATTCACAATAATGATGTTTTATTACATCCAGTGAATGGTAAGTACTCACAATCTGGATCATAATCAACCTGCCACGCAAAGGAGCCATAACACAAGGTATGATCTACGTGGTCGAAGGTTGGATCATCCGCGTATGGGATGAATGGCATCATATCGTCATCGTCTCCCCTAAAGATATTCCTTGAGATGGGAGTACAATACTCATAGGATTTGTGTGGCTCAAGAAGCTCGGCATGTATTACTTGAAGAGATATTGTGGAAGTTGATCTTGAAGTTCCGTCTTCAGAGTAAGAGGTCACTGCCACCATTCTTTTCGTGTCCCCGTCTGGACCCCCACCAGCCTTACCGACGACATGGAGAGGTGTGCTATCGCCATCTGGTATAAGAACACGTGGATTTTGTGTGACGTGGGACAGAGAGCGGATGAAATGATCGCAGTATTTGACTTTCCAGCCACTGAATTCGGCCAGAACCTCTGCAAAGACTGTTTGAACCAGCTCATGAATCGGTGAATCATCACTTGGCTGCAACGTTTGCTCGTTCGTTTGCACAATTGAAGCGAGCGACATTTGAGTACTTTGCTAATGTGTGGTCGAGGGTAAACTTTTAATTATTGTCGGTCACAACATTCATGAATTGTGACATACGCGTCTTTGTGACCGCCAGCTCCCCTAACACAACGCTCAGCGCTGAGAGTTAGCTGAGAGGTCCCGCATCATGTCCAGCGCTAACATGACAATTTTTCGTGCCTACGCGCAAAAGTCTAATCCTGCTAGTCTACCTTCATCAGTTCTTCTCACACATTCCGAGACATGTTTGACGGTTTTTGACGCATTTCCGAAATCGATCTTCCATTTTCTCGTCACACCTCGTGTCAGGCCACCCTTCAACGTGTACCAACTCGCTAATCTACGTTCGTTGCTCAAATGCGAGAAAAACAGCGCCAAGGAACTCCTCACAGATCTAAGCCGAGAAGCGAATAATGTCAAGAAAATGATCGAAAGTGAGATGCTCCAGAAGTACGGATTCAAGTGGGAAATATGGATGGGCTTCCACGCAGTACCTAGCATGGAGTAAGCCTCGATTGGTTGATCTTCTGACGCACTCACGTATATATATCCAGACACCTCCACCTCCACGTACTTTCTGCTGACTTATGTTCTCCGAGAATGAAGTTGAAGAAGCACTACAATTCCTTTCATCCAAAGCTCGGCTTTTTCATCCATTTGAGCGATGTTCTCTCTTGGTTCGATGCCGATTCGTCGTATTATAAAACAGTGAGTTGTTTGTACTTCGCTCCCGTACCTTCCCCACGGCGCTGACTGCTGCCATGACTCTAGATCTCTCAGCTCAAGAAGAGCGAGTATGAGCCTTTACTTAAGGAAGATCTTTCTTGCTGGAAATGCGATCGCAACCTTTCAAACATGCCCAAATTGAAGTCACACTTGCAGGAAGAATTTGACAAACTGTCCGATCAAGAAAAGGCAAAGGCAGAAAGAAAGCGGAAACGTGCCGATGATCCTGCACAAACATCTTCCCCCCAAACGTCATTGAATGATGATGATTCGCCGCCGGATAAATTGGTCCGTGAGAACGAGGAGCGAGAGGCCCATAGTGATAACTAAATTCACTCTGGTGTACGCCATCCAATAAGCTTGCTTCGGTCATTGACTCGGAAATTGTTTGTATCAGATGTTTTCCGTAACTCCAATTCTATGATTTTTTGACTTTCGCGCGAGACGCCACTTTGGACGCTGTGCTATATCATTCAAATTTCGATTTCACTGACGAAATCTATTTTTTGCGACTCCGGTCCGTTGAGGGCTGTTAGTATCATGGGATCCCCGGGCGCCCCGCCTTCCTATAGGTATATAAACTGGCTGCAAGAGAAACAAGTCAACATTAGCTTTGACAGGAATCATGTCACTTTTCACACTTCGCTGGGGCATCATCTCCACGGGTTGGATCGCAGAACAAGTTGTTTCGGTGAGGAAATAGAACTTCGTATCATGATTGCGTGAGTTATTGACCCCTGTTTGCCCTCAAGGATTTGCTTGTTGATCCTACCACGTACGAGTGCATATATTACCTTTGAAATCGAGGCTCACGAGTTTCCTCAGGCGTGGTACCAATGATGTGGTGCACAAAGTGACTGCTGTAGGCTCCCGAAGCGTCGAGAAGGCACAGAAGTTTATCAATGAGTTTGTAAATGGTGACAAGACCGTAAAAGCGTATGGAACGTATGACGAGGTCTATGCAGATAAGGTTCGTGGATCACTTTCGTCGAGTCTATCCTCTTGACATCATTCGAGAATGTAGACGCTATTTACATAGGTATGACTTATCCAAGTTATGACCACAAACAAAATCAATATTCTACCCTACTTAGGCACACCCCACACGTACCATTACACAAACGCTTTGGATGCGCTCAAGGCAAAAAAGCATGTACTATGCGAGAAACCAGTGACCTGCAACGCTGCCGAACTGCGTTCACTCATCGCAACGGCGAAAGAGAATGGGGTTTTCTTCATGGAAGCACTATGGACGCGTTTCCAGCCACTCGCAAAGGAAGTCAAAGAGCTCATTGACTCCGGCACACTTGGCCTGCCTGTGGTTGTCCATGCTGATTTCTCCGTCGACTTTGGCATTGACAGTGAGTAACCCTGCCTGAATCGCAATACCCGTTTGAACGTCGCTTGCAGAATTGCCCCTGACTCACCGCATGCTCGATCCCAAGCTCGGTGGGGGTGCGATTCTTGACCTGTGAGTGCGATATGTTCCCCTCGAGTGCCAGTTTAAGCTAAAGTCGCACAGTGGTCCGTATCCTCTAATCTGGGTATGTGTCGTTGACTATATGATATCCTCTGCTTAAGTTTATTGTGCAGACGATTCTTGCTCTCTACGAGCACCCCGCCAATAAGCGCACGAAGCCTTCAAACGTCACCGGTACAATGTACAAAACACCGATCACGGGAGTCGACTGCAACACGTCATACATCATCACCTTCTCTCCCAACTCCAGTACAGGCTCTACTCTCGCCGCACAGGCAATCCTGAGCTGTAGTATGAACGTAGCGTCCCACAACCCAGGCGTTACCATCCGCTTTGAGAAAGGGACTATCATGATCGACGCGCCGGTACCTTGTCCACTCAGGTATACCGTGCAATACTTCCAAGAGGGTAAGCCAGGCGAAATCGCGCGCGAGGATACCCGGACGTTTGAGTACGTCGGTTCGGGCTGGCATTTCCAGGCCGATGAGGTTGCACGATGTGTCAGGGACGGAAAGCTTGAGAGTGAGCTGTGGAGTCATGACAAGAGCATTTTAGAAATGGAAGTTTTCGATGAGGCGAGTTTGCATCGCTGGGTTCCCTGTCCAAGTTTTAATCTGATCCGCATCGCAGGTTCGCCACCAGGGAGGCTACAAATTCCCTGACGGTATTGAGAAGGTGCTACTCCCTGTGCGCTGTGGGCAGGGGGGGCCCATGAATTTCAGTAGGGGAAAACATCGAAAGACAATATTGAGGCTCGTGGGTTTAGTGTCCAAACACTGAAATTTCTTGTTTCTACTTCCCACAGTGTACTATAGGATCGTCATGAAACCGAACGGGAAAGGAACAATAAAATCAGAAGACATTATGTAGGTTGTGCACGCCACCATCTATACTATTTTACAAAGAGTCCGAACGATATCTTCGCCCCAAGATTTCCAGCTCAGGTATGTGGCCATCTTATTCAGCCTCACCTTCCTCCTCAAACACAGTGGTAGCAACATTGCTCGCGGCAAGTCTAGCAGCGCGAGAACGCTCGCTAGCCTCGCGGATGGCCCACGTAAGCTCGTAGGTCCTGCATGCGTCTGCAACGAATAACGTCAAATCGTGAATGAGTGACCAGCCTACCTAAAAACGCACCTTCGTAGGAGCTCAGGATTTGAGCAGCCTCAGGGTCCTCTTCGATGTCCTCGATGATGTCGATCCAGTTGGATACCTAAGTCATATGTTTGCCTCAGTTTCATCTTCAGGGATACCACCACTTACCTCGGAGAAGAATGGGTCGTCATCGGGGAAAGTGTACATTTGTTCGTGGTCGTCGCCGGGCCTGCGGACATACAACATAGGTTGAACGTATGGGTTGACGAGCCTAGGAATATCATGAGAAGGTGATGCAGTAAGTTTGAATGAGAGCATACTTAAGGGAGTAGCCATCGGCATGGACCTCGAGCTCACAGCTGTAGTTGTGCCCTTGGAGGGTCGCGGTGTGAATGAAACTGCCAACCGCACCGGAATCATATTTCCTGTTGTCACGTTAGTATCTGACTTCTCGAACACAACAACGCATCTTTACCAAGTGGCTGCAGTAACACGGGGAATCCTGTTCTCCGGGGCAATCTTGCTTTCATCAATGCGCACCTTCGAGAGATGGCCAGCATTCTCGTCCCAATCAAGGGAATGAGCGGTAACGGAGGCTATGTCGACTTCCCCACCAAAGTACCGCGAGAGATCGCAGAAATGGGTTCCTTGCTCGATGACGGGACCAGCACTATTCAATCAATGTCAGTCATTGACTTACACATTCTAGACCTGAACTGAACTGACCTCTTAGATTTATCCCACCAGTCAGGTTTCGCGATTGACTCGTAAGCACATGCATAACGAGCAATTGTGACCATTACGGTAAGTTCGTTCTCCTCGATGATCTGCTTCATCTTCTGAACGGCTTTCAGGTACCTTAGCATGTACCTGTGGAGGATAGGTTCATTTCATTTGTTGATTCAACTGTCTATAAACGTACCCGACAGAACAGATGGCCTTAGAGTCGGAGATGGCCTTTGCGATCTGGAAAGACTCCTCCAGCTCGTGCTTTGGACCAGTCGCTATGGGCTTCTCCATGAAAATGGCCACGCCAGGGAAGTACTTCAGAATTTGCATCTCAATGTCGCGACCCGGCTGAAGGGTTCCGCGGAACATCGGAGGAGAACCGACGACAATCGCACGAGGACGGTCCTTGGCGGACATATTCTTAACAAAGTCCTCGAGGGTCTTGAACACACGCGTTGCCTGATACGCGGAAAGGACGAAGGAGTCGCATTTCTTTTGGAGTACGGCAGTTGCACGCTCGATCGCGGGATCGATGAGGGCGACTACTTTGAGACGCAGACCGAGCTTACTGTGATAGTTTAAGTGGCAGAGTAGGTGGAGAGAAGGGGGGACTTACTGCTCGAAGCGGAAAGAGTGGTTCCAGGGTCCCTCGTCGGATCCTGGGGTAGCGGGGATCTGAGTCAGGTACCCGGACGGCACGGATATGACACTAGTGGAGCTCACCAAACATGATATTTCCTGCACCGATGAAGACGACATTGAAATCATTGGTGCCGCCGACATGCGTAGTTCTATCAGAGAAATATCAATGATCGGATCATACAAATGGGAGGGTACTGACTTATCCATCGGAATCAGCCTCGATGGGTCGATAGATGGGCGTCTGGATGCACCAGATGAGTATCCTGATCCACGCCTATCGGCAGGCCTTCGTTCTGAGCCTCGACGAGAGGCAGGCTGTTTTGACGAAGTCATCTCAAGGGTTAGAGGAAAGTCTGCGTGTGGAGGCCATTTTGTCGATTTTGAGATAACGACGGGGGGAATGGGTGGCGTATTGCAGAACCCGAAACCTGCACTCTTTATAGCAGTGGGGAGAATATATGACCAATTAGTAATAGGTTTTTCATTATATACCGTACTCGAGGAACAATTGCAACGAGACAGGCCGGACTACGGTACACACGCAAGCGCCGCTAATTCGCACCCTGTCACCGGGACCGTGCACGACCGTGGTCCGATTTTTGGACTTCGTTAGCTCGGACCATAAAGCGTGGTGTCATGCACGCTGTGTATCTCATCGGATGTAAATCGGATAGAATGTCTAAATAATGCCTATAACAACGACAAGGTAAGGAGAGCAACGATGTGGGAAGGAATGAGGGGTATCAAGGGGGCGAACTGAGTATTAGAGTCCATTTAAAGCTGGTCTCGCCAGCATGCAGAATGAATGAGCGGGAAAGGAATGATAACCAAAATTATGATCGTGCCGTATTGTTCTGCTGTTGCTTCGAAAATCTGCTAGCTAACTCCTGACGTTTGCGTTCAGCAGCTTCTAACCGAGTAGTCATTGCCCTAAGCTCCTCTTTCAACTTCTCATTCTCCTGTGTTAGTTTCATCACGTTACTAGCTCGCTTCTGAACTTTCTCAGCCCTGCATGAGGTTGCCGTGACTGACTGTCCCTGTATTGGGCAATCGATGCTATGATCCGACTCACTGTGGTTCCGAAATTTTTGAAAAACCCATGATCGTGTCAAACGAAAAAGTGAGATCAAGTTCCGCTGCTGGAATCTCTGGGAGAGCGGGAGCAGGAGTTTCGGGACGGGGTCTGTGCCTTTGAGAGGGTGGCTCTAGGCGATTAATTGAAAGGCTGACGGTTTAAATGAGCGAACCTATGGACTCGCGTATGCTCTCTTTACCGCACCTAGAAGTGTTTACTGAATCCATGCTGAAGAGAGAAACTGAAGTCAACCTAGTAGCTTTGGTCAAACCAAATTTGTTTCGGCATTAGCCTGGAGCCACAACCCATGACTAGGACTATCCAACATCAGTATATAATTCTCACGTATATTTGAATAAGGAAATATATTCTCATGAGTAATTGTCATTCGGACTTATTAATTACAAGTGACATTAGTGTTTAGCTTCAGCTCCCTCTTTCCTTAACCCATTTACTTCCTTCTCTTCGCTGGCGCTGTCGTTGACGACGACTACATGCCAAACCTGATGTCCACCGTCATTGACGGTCACGACGTGCTGGCGGCTAATGACCATATTCTGGGCCACCATGACTCTCACAGAAATGACGCCGACATTCACGACCTCAGCATTCCGCCTGCTCACTTTCACAACTCTATTGGCGCCAGCATGCCTGTATCTATTAATGGATCCCACAATGTGTATTATAACTCTTACGCCGATACGTCCTTCCAGGACATCGGTCCATATCCCTACCCCTTGCAGCAAGGCCATGTACCGGATGCTGCTCAACTTGACCTTCAATATATCCTGTCTTCGGATATGTCACATTCGCACTCCAATGATTTTATACATGACCATCCTCAGTTGCAAACAAAGCACTTCCAACAATCGCAGGATCTTTCTTCCTTAGGTCCTCCTTCTGACCCTGAGTCACAACCTCAGTCCTCTCCCTCAATTTCATCTTCAGCTAGCTTTACACATGCTCTCCACGATTTGTCACGCTCTCCAGATAATTCTCCCACTCCATATACTCCATCATCACCCCTAAAAGTTGCCAGATACGCTCACGCAATGCTACCGCCCATCGTCCATTCAAGTCCCTCCAATGCTAGAAAGGACGAAACCGATGTGCGTTCTAGTACATTCTAATGTGCCTGTCACCTGATGGTCTTCTTAGAGCCGTTCCGTTAACAAACGCCTAAACTCCGGCGCCGCATCACAGGTCGACCCCTATGCTTCCGCGTTTTTGCACGACCAGTTGGGGGAAGCAAAATGGAACACGTTTTATGCACGGTTGTTCGAACGTAGACTCGGTCCTATCAAGTCAAAGATGCGAGTCAAAACCAAAGGCACCGGAGGTGGTGGACTTAGTACTTCCAGTCCAGGCGCCACAGCAATTGATTTTCTCATCAAAGTCGAAGTTGTCAAAGAAGTGCTGCGCACCTACGTCCCGTGAGTTTCGCAGTCGTTTAATTGAAGAATCGACTAAAATCAAATATCTTGCTTTGCTGTGCTCTGCTATCAGACATCCGTATAATCCGCTCAAGTCCCTAACACATGTATTTCCGGGCTCTCCGTCAGGATCTGTTACGTTGACCCGCTCCACCATCCTAGTTCTATCTGGTTGGTCCAACACGCAGTTTTCGTATTGGGCTCGTCGCTCTGAAGGTATCTCTGTCCTAAGAGATCACGACGAGCGTCTGCAGTCAGTTGCAGTCGCCCTGGAAAAGCGCTTGAGGCAAGGCGGGGTGCTCCAAGATTTACCTGATGACGACGCCCTCAATTCCCTTACCTATGGTCACGTGGCGGAGTCCTCACCAAACGTCACCGGCAAAGGTCTTGACATCATCATTGAGGAGGTAAAGAAACGTACTGGACTCAGTCCATTCCTTCGTGGGAAACATTCTTCCCTTGATCCGTTTGGTTCTACCAACAGTGACAAGGATACAGGACCAGGCCCTCCGTCTGGCCCTCCTTCAGGACCTGTGTACATGCCAACCTTCCAGGCAATGGAGTATTCTCATTCTCCTCCGGTATCTTCGGAACCTCCTCGTCGGCCCAAGAAAAAGAGGCGAACGAGCGCTACTGAGTCAATATCTTCGCATGCCGGTTCTAGCGTGACTCATGCGGAGCTAGTGGCTAGCTCAGGTCAGTTGGGATACACGATGGAGTCAGGTGTCAAATCCGACGTAGCGAATATGATGTCACCTGATGCGGTGGCGTCACCAGCTTCGCTCTCGGTATCACGTCCGCTGCCTCGGTCTCTTGGCGTCATGGATGATCCTATTGGTGCCTATCAGCTCCAGACCAATGTAATGGATGATGCTGTGGAGAGCACCAACAGGGAGTACTTTCCTGTATCGGATTCTCGTTCTGACTTTGATGAGTTACGACACAAGCGGCCATTTTCGTATTCTGACCTTTCCATGGAGACGCGACAGAGGCTCAGCGTCTAGATGGCTTATGCCGGTTCCAGCCTTTCGGTTTTATGAAATTCACGTGCCTCTCAGGACCTTTCCACTGCACTGCATGCATGCTTGCCTTCTGCATGCACTGCATCCTTTCTCGCTTCGCTTTCTCGATGCTCATTGATCATATGCCCATTCACTTTACCTGATCAGTCTACTCCGCTCTCTAATTCTTGTACCACCATCAGGAATCATATTCAGAAAACTTATCAATCACCACTCTAGCTACGTACGATACGGATCATATCTCATTGCAGTACTTTCTGTGGCTTGTCCACTTGTAGTTCCCATGTAGTTCTAGAGCATCTTTCGCGGAAAACCCCAGTTGTAATAATGCACACACAAACACGTCATCTTTGCTTATCATACACCGTGACCATTTTCGGTGATCACCGATCACCATGTCCATTGTGTGATGTTGAACATTGGGCATATCATAACGACGCTGACGGCCGCATTCTTCGTCGTCGCAAGCTATGTGATCCTATTCAACACGTTTCTACCGCTCTCTGGTGTTTATGTACGTACTACTTGGTTAATCAAGAAAATATGTCATCGTGGTGCATATACTGATTTGAACCGCTGACCTGTCAGGCCATTGACGTCCTCGCGCAAGACACCCATTACAAGTACTTTACCCTGTTCATCATTCCCATGGGTGCGTACTTTGTGATCGCAAACTGGGTAGGCTGGCAGTACTACCAGAATTCTTGATTGTGAGTGCCGCTGCTCTTTGCTTCTACCTTCCCTGAACTCCGCCAGCGTAACCAGGAATAAGGCAGAATTCCGGTATACGCCTCACACAACACACGGCACCAGATACTTGAGCATAAGCTTTCGATACAGGTATCACAGGATCTAGCCAACGATGGTGTACTACATGTGCATAAATAGGTATCCAAACGTGGTGCATATCGAGGAAATTGGATGAGGTGAATATGAAAATGAATAAGTTATAAGTAAAAAGTAAAAAGACTATATGCCATCATCATGGAGGTTCAGGTGTTCGTGACTTTTCCGTTGGGGGTCTTGACCTCTTCTGCACTTGTCTCAGCTCTTGCCAGAGTCGACTGCGCTCGGGCTCCTCCCTAGGTGTGGAGGTGTAATTTGACCTAGTGGGACTAACTTCCCTAGCATAAGAACTTTTGGACTTCGCAGGGCTGATAGCTCGTCTCGCCGTGAACCTGGGTCGTACAGGTGAGGACGGTGCCTGAGGACGGTGGTATGGAAGTTTTGTTCGATCTCGTCGGACTGGGATCACGAAGTCCACGACTTGGGGGTTTGGCGTTCTGACGGCCAACAGGTTCGGGACGCGTTTGGTTTGCGAGAAGACGTGCAATGCCAGGTCTGGTAACCAAAACAGAAGACCGAGTAGCGGCAGGGCGGCTCGGACCTACTTCCGAGCCTTCTGTTTCGCTCTCTACACGGGTATTTTGACGAGGAAATGGGCTGCGACTCGTGCGTACCGGGGGCTTGGGCGTCTGGTTGGCTCGTCCGGGACTAACGGACGGCAAACGAAGATAACGAGCGCGACTGTTTGAAGGTATTGAGCAAACCTACGCAGTTATGTCGTGGAAAGAACTCACGCTATTTCCTTCAAGTGGGTTTTTGTTTTGTAGGCTTGGTGCCACTTTTCGATTGCTCGATCTAGATCACGAAGGTCATCCACTGGATATGATCGTCAAATAAATGAAATCTCACTTAGGACGGCATCATTATGAGTCTCTCGGGCTCTTTTAGCCAGAAGTGCCTGCGGCATAGCAGCTCTCCAGATAGCCCAATAGCTCATCTTGGTTCGTGAGGCCTGGAAACGGATGGCTGGGAGAGACTGAACGAGTGTTAACAGACATGTGTTAGATATTATAAAGAAGAACATACTCGGGTCTTTGAATGCCAAATACCAAACGCACGGAAGAGGAGATTCTTTTGATTCTGAATGGCCATCTGGCATAGCTATTATTTTTGAGTTAGGAAGGTATGTTTTGTTGAGGATGCCGCAGGACTCACAAGGGGTCGAAGTTTCTCATCCATGTACCGTTCTCTCCACCTGTTCCAAGCAACCTGCACATTTGCGCGGTCAAATTCGAGTTCCTTTTCGCGCAAAGTAATGCGTTTATGACGTCGAGCACGGGCCGCCATCAGCCAGCGATAGAACATCCGGCGAACGTTCTCTACAGGGCAAGTATTAGACGAGCAGCTAGATGACCCCAACCTAAGTACTGACCGGCCCGTTTGATATCAAGATGACTCTCCATGAGGCTCAGGTCTTCAACGTGGCGCAAACATATGTTCTTCCATTTCTTGAAGGCGAAGCTGAGGAAAAGGTCAAATGTGTTGAAGTTATGGAGGTGCAGACGGTCGCGTACACAGTTAGTGCGTGGGCGCTCTTCTGGCTAACTTCCAGTTCCCGTAACTTGATTTCAATGACACGATTGGTCCAGAGTCTTAGAGCATTCCGTTTTATTCGCTATAACGCAATTAAACTGAATTTCAAAGTTTGAAAAAGCGTTCGACTTGCCAGAGACACGAGGTCATCTATCTGTTGCACTGCTAAACGACGGAATCGCTTTTTTTGATATTTCTGGTGCCATGCTTCAGGTGAAATTAAAACATCAGAGACCAGCTGATTAGATCATAAATACGTCAACTTTACCTGTCATGAAAGTGCGAAGTCGACGGATCTCAAGGTCTTCGAGTTTCTTCAGTCTTTGGCGTTCCTCAAACTTGACCTTCCAGGCTTTCAAAATCCTTCGCTGAAGAATGAAGTTCTCCACGAATCGAGCTTGTTTCAACAGCTTCATCTTCGCCCTCAGCTGGATGCGCCATTTGAGTAGCGCATCATACTGCACACGAGCAAGATTACGTTGAACAGCAAAGGCGTGGCGATTTTGGTAAATTGTATAGACCCGATGCCAAGTTCGGAGAGCTGAAGAGACACCATATGAATCGGAGCGCATGGAGAATGCAAGAGCATAATCTGTCACGAGGTTAAAGATCTCTGGGATGATCTGATTGCTAAACTACGCTCACCTTCGAGATGCTTGCGTTCTCGCAAGCGATCTTTCCAAATAACAATTGAATTTTTCATTAGACGCATGTCTCTCACCCTTTCGAGCAGTTTCCCGCGTTCGCGAGCCTTCCAAACCCTGACGACGGCTCGGAGCAAAAAGGCATCTTGACGAGCGAGATATTTATCGGCACGCTTTTCCGTGACCTACTGAAATGAGTATCGTTCGCCGTCATTGAATAAGGGAACGTACACGCATTCGATCTCTGGTAGTTTTCCATGTGCTTATTGCTCGCTTTAAGATAGCAACATCGCGATAGGCATCTGCAGTCTGGTGTTCACGGCTACAAGAGATGTTAGCTGCCTGAATGCGAAGAAAACTTAATCCACTTACGTCTGCTTCTTCCACAAGTCCATCACCATTCCTTTGATCCTGAGTGCCGCCTTGTGTGCAACGGTTTTTCCGGCATCTCTGGCAGCCATAGCTTTTTTCCAGTGCTTCCATGCTCTATGAGCAGCGCTCCCCTTGATTCTCTGAGAAAACTCGTCTGCAGCAGAATCCATGCGATCTAGCTTCAACAAAGAGTTTTTCCATCGCAGGAAAAACCGTGCAACTATGCGTTCATTGTACTGCAGCTCGTTTAGAAGTGAACGGTGAGACTGCTGCCATTTGGTCCATGCATATTTGACAAGTTTAGTTTCATGCCTTTCGCGAACCGTCTTCATCTTGGTGCGCATGTCATGACGCCACTGTAACTGCTTTTTCTGCTTATGTTTTGCACCCCAAACATCAAGGGCGAAGCGAAGGCAGCGCGCATTGGCAATAGAGCCAGCGCGGGCGTGCATTTCAAGACGCGAAGCAGTAGCATTCCGCCAGGAGCGTAATGAAGAACCTAGGATTACATTATCTCGAGCCTGAACAACTTGTTCATTCGTTGTCTAGATAGAAGCATCACCAGCTGACAGGATCACAATCTGAAAATGCCTACCGCTAGCCACTGGTAACCGAGAACCCAAATTCCCCAACAATGTTCGAGAAGTTTGTCTTCACGGAACTTATCCGCGTCTTCTTCGTCTCGTGACATCTTAATTTTTTGCCACGCTTCATCTTCATTGATCACGCTTCCCTTGCGCGCGCGACCCTTTGTAAGTTCGATCGCACTGACTGCTACGGGGTTTTTAATCGGTGACAATGCACGAACTATCGGCTGACTCCGTGCTTTTTGAGGGACAGGCGTTGCAACAGCAGCGCGATAAGATGGCGGAGTAGTTGATAAAGAGCCTGGTAAATCACAATCGTCGGTGGTGTCTGACATTCCTTCCCATACAGCTGGCTGATGATAACCAGCAGCTGTTTGAGGACGGGGCGTAGACACACGTGTAAGAGTAGGTGGAAGGATGTTGTTCGAAGAACGGCTTGCAGGTGTCCTTGTCACCCGTGTCAATTGCACTGATGCGTTGGGACGTGTAGCCTGGTTCAGGCGCGTGAGGGGGCGAGGAGGGACCTCTTCCGATTCGGCATCAGAAAAAGGGGTTTCTGTTTCTGTTGCAGTTTCATCCTGTTCCTGGTCTTGGTCTTGGTGTGAGTGAAGGGTAAACACATCGTCATCCTCGTCGCGGACAGGCGTTGCGAGACGAGCAGTTGATCTCGCAGGCTTCGAAGTCGGAATGGGTGCTTTGGCAGACATCGTAGGGATTGGAATTCTCGAGGGACCGCTATAACCATACTGCTGTTTCACCCCATCCCATTTGTGATTCCAAGCTTGGTCCCCGGAGTTTGCAGAGCTCCAGCAGCCTCCCGTAGTGCACTGTCTCCGTCTGGCTATCCCAGCCCCGATCGTGCAGTTCATCGTTGTACGCCTTTAGTCCCGAGAGAAACGAGGTAGCGTTGGGAGGTATTCTTTTGACAACTGCATCAAAAAACTCGACTTCCGCAGACGTCAGGTTGTGTAGTTCAGATTTCGAGGCCGCCGACCCACGGGAGACATCAGATGTTGTTGCCTGGAAAGAGACTAATGGGCGTTGGGCTGCAATGATAGGCTTCGCGGGCGAGGATGTGTTAGTTGGCTTGAAGCCGGGCATATAGACAAAATGGAGGTGTTAGTGGTGGTACATCGACCAAACGTGGCATCCGATGATGATCAACAGATGGAGACGCGTTCGCGACACAGGCACGTGCAAGTCCACATTTACGTAATATAAAATCCACTGTGGACCTTTGCAAGGACCTTTTTTTTTCTGTCAGTGGTACAATTCGCTGCCTCTTGTTTATTCTGTGTACTTGTAGTTAGGGACACTGTCTATTGTGTATCCCGAACAAAACCAAGTGTGCCGAGTGACGAAGCCAGTAAATCCAACACTCGCCCACTCTCTTTCTTTTGTATTTTGAGGAGCTCCTTTAACTCAGTCCGCAAATCCTCATTTTCGATAATTACGTCTGCATGGATTCGCAGGACGACATTTTGTAGTGCTTGCACGGCTTCAAAGTCAAGGTGCGACTGCAGTCGTCGCTTGATAGCGCGAAGAAATTGTTGGAGGCTGTTGAACGAGACTAACGAGTGCAACTCCAAATCAATTGCTGCCGGCGAGAGGCTCTTGATGTAGTTAAACAACGCATCATCCGCTGAAGGAAGTCTTAAGTGATCAACATGAACAAACCGCGAACGGAAAGAATCATACAGCCATTATTTTTATCTGACTCGACCAGCAACTTTTGTAACGTGCTTCGCGAGTTCGCAGCGATTTTGTCGAGTTTGCGAGTGTGTGTATCCTGTGTCTCTTGCTTCTTCTCCTCGATCACAAATCGATGCTCGACGCCCGGCAGCGTAGGCAAGAAAAACGGGGCATGTTCGGGTTTCTTCGGTGGCTCTTTTGGCTTATTCCGTTGCTGCAAAACAGTCAATTCTCGCGTAAAACAACAAACAGACGAGTGCGAACCTGTATAACCTCCAGATTCAGCAGTGTCTGCCAACGTGCGCGAGGGAGTAACGTTAATGTCACAAGGTCTCCATCTAATTGAGATGGTGTCGAGAAGACGTCTGTGGGTTTATCTTCCACCCCCAGTGCTTCCAAAGCTTCTAATGCTGGATACAAGTCAGCAATTATGCATAAAACCAAATGAACAAATAATTCACCTTCATCTTCTTCAGACCCTTGCATCGAAGGAAGCGCAACTTCAGCAATATTTTCTTCTGAAATTGCACGGAATGCAACCTCCGAGTATTGAGACCGATTTGCCCTATCCAGAGTTATCAACCGAGATAAGAAGTTGGTACGTAGCACCTTACCAAAGGAAAATGCCAACGCTGTCGACGTGTGTAGTGGCCAAAAAGTCATTTGTCGGCGAGAACGCAATGCTCGTCGCGACACTAGGTGTGCGGAACGCATTTATTAGTTGACCAGTAGGTATATCGAATGTCCGTATCACAGAGTCCAACGATGTGACCACTATCCAGCGCGAATCTGACGAAAACGCCTGTTACTGCTTCAGCAAAATTCTGAAGTTCAACGCAATATCCGGAACCCACTATGTCAAGTATTCGACCGTGGACGCCACATGCTAGTTCTCTGACGATTCTACGAGTCTCGATGTCAATGATTCGAACGACCATATCATCGCAGACAACTGCAAGTAATCCAGAGTCTCGCTGTAACATTATCGAGCTAGCTGGAGTTGGCAAAACCATCACTTGGTCCAGAGTGCAGGCGTGGAAGTCAAAGAACTGTAATCATCGATCATTGTGAGCTGAGAGCGGCAGGAAGTAGCAAGAATTCTCACATTCACAGTGCCATCTGAAGTAGTGGCAATGACCTGCCCGGTTCAGAGCATCTGAAGCCAGACCAGTAATACCGCGCTCGCTGGCTTTTGGATTTCGTCATGGACGAAAGCTCAAGGCGATCAATTACGGCCTGAGGGCAGGGTCCAACCTTGAACGACTTTCGCTTCAACCCAGACTGCATGTTCCACATGTGTATCTCTCCAGTTGAAGATCCCGCAAGACCGAAGTTTCCGCAAGCAGTAACACAGACACACTAAATTACAGGATGAGAATACAGTAATAAAGCAAGGAAGACGACGTACCTTTACAACACCTGAGGGAGACTTCCTTTTGGAACTTTCAGCGGAGTTGAATGTGTGCTTTCCAACGCGCTTGTTGAGCACTGTCCAAGACCGTACACACATCTCGTCAGCTATGCGCAGTCAGAACGTCATCCCAGTCCTTGGATCGTGTCGACGAACAAGAAATGGAGGTTAATGGGAGGGAATTTCAATGAAGCAAGAGGTTTTGATAGAGTCGTAGCTTTCCGTGCGAGAGATCCTGAACAGATCCAGGTAAGCCATCAATAACACCATTCTACACTCAACACCTACCTTGCGACATCTCGTATGACCTTGAGTCTCGAACAACAGAAACATACCGTAAGGTACGGTCTGCTGACGCAGATAGCAATTGTTTACCATCTTCACCATAAAACCGAATGAGATGTGGGGATGCATGATGACCAGATCTGAATTTCAGGAGTCGAGGAACAGCGGTGGGGGATTCGTACAACCATTGCTATTTAACGATCATCAGTGATAAACAGACCTTCTTGTTCTTATAACTACCTTGACGCTGTTATCCTCACCTGAGCTGATGAGGACAGGCTGTCCAGGGACCCATTCAAGTGCACTAATAGCACCATCATGTGCACCCCGGATAAGGTGCAGGAGCCGACCTCCAGAATCCAGATCCCAGAGAGCTATGTGTCCAGATGACGAGGCGGACGCCAGAATCGGGTGACCATCTTGTATGCAGCGAGATCAGAATTGAGTTTGCTCATGTCTGCAGCAACATACCACTCCGGAAAGATAAAGCTTTGATTCCCCCGTTGTCCATGTACATTCTCATGAGCCGTTCATCAGCACGAACGTCGTACACGGATATTTCTCCTGACATAAAACCAACACCAACCACGTCAATAGCAGGGGACTGCGTTAACGCTGTGATGGGACTCGACAATGAGTTCATTTGCTGCTGAGATGGCAATGTGCGCAGTTGAGAATTGTAAAATTTGTGTATACAAGTCCTGTAGTAGCCGTTGAATTCAAGTAATGGATTGCAGATATTCAACTCACTGTGTACGGATGTTCCAAAGTTGCATATCGCCCTCATTGCTAGCAACTAGAACTTTGTTCAGATATGTGGCAGGATGGAGAATTGATGTAGCAGTAAACCCAATATCAAACTGAATAGTTGCAGATAGGACTCGTTCTGGATTAATGATGAAACTGAGACTCGAGGTAATCGAGCAGAGAGCACACCATTGGTCGATACCTCCCATATTAGCATCCGCCCACCACCTTCCGTCAATGCAAGTAACTGAGAGCCAAATAGAATGATAAATGCTAAAGGAGTCCGGAGCGGATTCGACACGCGTGAAACCTGAAACTGAGTCAACAAAAAAGTATTGAAATATCTGAAAGCTCCTACCTCTTTTCCTCGGAGATATTTGATTACATGTATACCAGACGCTGCCCAAACAGCATCTCCGTCCATAACTAGGCATGAAATGGGGTCTTGAACTTCCGGACCTGTGCACCATTACACAGGAATATCAGACATGGTTTCTGACCCCAAGATATACCAATAACTCACCAACAAATAACAGGCCCATCTTACCCCCCTCCCATAACGCCCATGATCTGCCGAGACAGGTCAAAATGTGTATCCGGGGCCCTTCAGTTGCATCCTTGTAAGAACGGGTTTGCATATAGAATGGTATGTGGTTTGTGATTAGACCTAGAGCGCGGAACGGCGCAAACAATAGAGGCACTCTAGGCAGGTGAGTGGGACTCGTCGCACGTTTGCGTTTTGTGCTGTTGCGAATCCTTTTGCGAGGGCGACCTTCTATCATCTCAACATCTTTGGCGTTCTGAGCGGCCATGGACACCCTGATCGCCTGCGCTAGACTAGTAGTAAATGGAGAAAAGACCGACGAGAGTGAAGAATCGCAAAAATGTATCACTACTTCGAAAAATCATCTCACGTGACCTGAGACGTAGAGGTATTTTTATACTTTGCTTTCATAGCTAAATATAAACGCCGATGCAGTAGTCGGGAGTCAGACCATGCAGCTTTGCTCCGTGGACGTTTCACCCAGGTTGCGGTTCATTGAACTTTTATTCCATTCACAGCATGATCCAGATCATCGTTAGCAGTGCACACAAAGGAGGGACGTCCCCAGTCATGAATATATTACACCATTGGCATCGATTCCCAAGTGAGAGAAATACATACGATACTCTAGTCCATTTACAAGCTACATAATTTAGGTTCAAATCATTTATATGCGAGTCATTAAGCTTTAAGCTTCATGCACCGCGAGAGACCACCATTGATAAGGTATAATCAGGTATCGCCAGGCCCGAGACAGGGGTATCGGATGTCCCTAACTCTATGCTTCAGTCTTCTGTTTGGCACTAGTAGTGTCGTCTGCCGCGTCTGTTCGTGTGCGTTCAGAGGCGTCATCACGTGAAGCTTGTCTCTTTTCGTTCTCCAAAGATTCTGACTCCATGGCTCGTGAGTCTTCTTCTATCGTCGCTTGAGCAGCACCCTTCTCAACGTCTCCTAGCTTCTTCTCACCGCTACGGATAACCGTGCGCTCGAGCGTGTAATTACGAATAAAGAGAACCAGGAAGAGACCGAACGCAGCTAGCGGCACGTTGACCAACCAAACCGTGCTGATAGACTGCGAGTAAGCTTGCATAACTTCATTGCGCACTGTTGGGTTCTGGTAAGATCGGTAAGTAAGCCAGAATCGAGATCATAAAATTGTTTCTGACAGCAATGGAAGCAATCTGCCTGACGTCATCGTTCAAAGCCGCTGCAGAAGTGTCGATGGTTAGGCCCTGGATGCCCCGCAATTTCTGCTGGAGGACACTGGAAATGATAGCTTCCCCGATCGTAATACCTATCGTACCCCCAAGAGTTCTGAAGATAAATAAGTGCCTGTGAAGTGCACATTATAGAGTCACTCACCGGAGGAACACAAAAGCACTTGTACTGGTAGCCATATCCTTGAGAGGCATGGCCGCCTGTAAGCCAATAAGTGGGGTCTATCACAGAGATGGTGATAAGCACGGATCGTTATGATGATATAGTAAACTCACCTGGAACAAGCAACCGATGCCAAGCGCCGCAATAAGGGGGTATATTTCCTTCTCTGCACTGTTTAAAAGAGCTATAGTGATCACTTGACTTCGGCAATGACCATACACATACTTAGTGCTCGTACTTTCCAGCATGATCATGAGACCCCAACCAAGCGTCATAACACTCCATCCTAACCACATAGTAGGACGGTAGGATCCCGTCCGGGTAACAACTATTCCAGAAACCGCTGACATGAGCGCACTACATAACGAATAAGGTAGCATTCTGCGCATATCAGCAATCTGGAAATGACACATATATTCAAATACTCACCTAACGCCAGAGCTCGTTGCCGATGCGCCAAGAACTGGTGTCGAGCTCAGCAAAGTACACGCTCGAAGGCTGTAAGACAGATCTACCTTGGTAATACATTGGAAGGTAGCTAGAAAGCAACATGAGAATGTCAGGTACAAACTCTGTCTACAAAACACTCACTATGAACCTAGAATAGTCATGAATGACAACTAAGACCCAAGACAGATGTGAGTACGTGACGTACCTGAGAAGAATACCACAGCATGCAAAAATACAGAAATCAATATCAAGCCAGTTGTACGTGTCTGGCAAACCATGAGAGACAACATGGATAGCTTTCTCGACAACTCACCTTGAAAAGACGAGGAGGGATAATGGGGGACCGCTTCGTGTATATCTCATTAACGGCGGCGAGGATTAACAACGTGCCTCCCACAGCAAGGAGAGCAATGGTTTCGGCACTTTGCCCTAAAGACCAGTAAGACTTGGTTCTTTAGAACAGAAAGGATAGTGTTACATGTCGTTTCGCTCGAGTTGAAACCTATAAGCAGGCAAACGACACCTGCAATAATCACGAAAAGCCCAACGAAATCAAATTCCCGGATATGGTCGCGGAATGGTCTTCCTTGATGGGGATTTAAATTTAGAAAGAAGAATAAAAGTGCCCCAGCTAAGCCGCCAGTCGGTCTGTCCAAGGACGTATTAATAATGAGCTTCTTATCTCAGCACAGACATTGGAAATATATATCAAACGCACAAATTGATCCAGAAGCACCTGATACACGTCGATTGAAACTTTGATCAACAACAGAATGCGAATACTCACCACCTCCAAGATACATGATCGGTAAAAACCTAGAACGCAGAAAAGTCATCAATTCGCAGATCACTTCAGAAGATGCGGGGGACCTTACACCACCGAGTAATGGTCCGATGACGCTGAGAAAATAGAGATAAGGTTTTAAACTTTGGGAACTTGACAAGTCGGTCTTACCTTGCTACGCCCCATGTAGCACCAATGAAGCCACCATACTTGCCTCGCCTGACGAATAAACAATATTAAAAATGAACCAGTGTTACTAACAGATACTCACTCTTGCAATGACACAATGTCCGATATGGTGATCTGTACGAGTTGCATGATCCCCCCGCCCCCGATTCCTTGTACGGCACGACAGACAATCAACCATGTCATAGTCTTGGCTGCGCCACACAACGCTGAACCAATCTAATCTATGGTGTCAAACTTGAATAGGACCCACGTGCTGGGAACATACTAGAAATATGACGATGGATCCATATAGTATGGGTTTGCGGCCTGCAGATCCCAATCGTTAATTTCCAAGCAACGATGTATATGAGCATGGCATTGAAATGACACTGGCCTACAATGTTAGATAGCTTGCCGTATAGCGGGCCCAAAGAAGCGGACGCCAACATGTACGCACTGCATGAAAAGACGTTAGAGTGTGACACGGACCCTAATTTACATATGCGAACCTTCCTACCCAACTGTAGTTTTGCCCCCCTCCAAGGTCCGCTACGATTGTGGGCAAGGCGGTAGCTACAATAGTCTGGTAAAATGTGAGTCAGATTTTCACGAACAACGTAACAATTTGCTTACTTGATCTAAAGCCGCCAAGAATACACTGCACATCAAACCAAAGAACACAATGCCCATGCGATTTTTTGGGACGACATGCTCTTCATCCTTTTTCCATGATGCACCTGGCTTTTCTTTCGCCTCCTTAACTGGAGATGACGGCACCGCCGTCGTTGTCATTCTGTGAGAGTCTCGTCACTCAAGGGAAGCGAGTGAATTTCAAGAACGGACTGACAGCGCCAAAAGAGAATGGGTACAGAGGAAGTGGGTTCATATCTCTGGACGTCTGTGTGTCATACTTATGGATAGAGGTGTGCTCGAATTGTGCCGGGCCTGGAAGTTGCTCCGAGATGCCGTGTTCGCGCACTTAGCGAAACGATTTCGCTGACTCAGGTTCTTCTACGAGATTGGTCAAAATTTGGTCAAAGAAGGTAAAGAGAATCATGCTTATGCCATGGAAAGTCACAAAACGCTTATTTATGGCACTTTTGTACAGCGTGATTCGCGTAAAAATGTTCAGTCCCGCTCCCGGCAGAGTCTAGGGGTAAGATTCATCCGCTCGACACGCACCACTACATGTCAGCTCTTTGTCAGACATTCCGAGTTATAATTAGCTTCAGGGCTGCCGCCTCGGACCAGAGTCCTTCCACGGACCATAATAAAAGACTTATGCCACCCACAGGGGACTCGGAAGCACTAGCTAGTACTTCACCGCTGTGGAATCTTCGATTCTTATATATATATCGGCCTGCGCACCGACAAATCAGCCTTTGATGTTTCGGGAGGACTCACACGTAGACCAGCTCCTCGAAAACCTACCGCACTTTCTGCATCATAGTAAATTTGCGTCCGATCACCACGGGGATCGTCACTTACTGTCCAGACGCGCTGCGCTGATACCATGCCAACAACAGGGTCTATTAGTAACGGCGCTACACTGTGCTCGAGTCATGGTCGGCCGAACGTTTTGTGGGGACTTGCAGATCGGCGAACTGCTGCAACTCTGCGGGACTCCATCAATGAGCATTTATGTTAACAAAGACTGGTCATGGAAATATAAGACCTGGTTCCGGTTAACTGGAATGCCATGTATTTTCAACTCCATGTCATTTTCAGTTTTGTGACGTTTCCAAATCTATTCAAAGGACGTCTCTGTGGCTCAAGCAGCAGTGAACTTTGTTCAGCCTCCAAAAGCACCCGACGGCCCATGGATACTGATAAAGTTAGCAACGAACCACGTACTGTGCCATCAACCACAACACCAATGCGAAAGCAGAAGCATGATGGCATGACTCATTGTTGTGATGTGCAGGCAGAATGTCAGAATGACCTTTTCTCGTTAACTAGTACGTTTGAAATCAGTTGTCCCCTAGACAGCCCTTCATAGACGAAGGAAGATAGTCATTCCGTCTAATAGAGCTTGGAATCTACATAGGACGTCTTGGATGACGTATCTCCGCATGGAGCTGGATGGACAACTGGAAGTCATATGCTTTACAGGTGCAATAAGCGTACTCGGTCCGGGACGAAGGAAGTATGCTATAAATATGCAGGACCTGGGGACCACAGCAAACACGTCCACAGGTTGTTTTGTGAGGATATCCTCGAATTGGGGTAGGGTGCAGAGCTCGATCTCAGTATGACCTTGGGCGTTTGTGGAGTCTAATACATGCGATTCTAAAAGCAGGGGAGGATAGCAGTACAAGCCGGTGAGGGGACACTGCAACTGTCGTCGATGATTTCCTGGCATGTAACGGCTATCGCCATCGAACGTTCGTTAGAGTCGCTGCCGAAATCTTGGTGCTGCATCAGGTCACCTGATGAAATTCAGTCATCGGTAGTCAAATGACTGTGTGGAATTTCACTGGAAGTCTCTGTTTCCGACGTAGCAGAAGATCGGTGACCGAAAGAACAAAATCACAGCACCAGCCGGGTCACTGGCATTGGCCCGGGGTCCAGACTCTGGCACGACGAGATAGTACTGGTACGCGGAGCAATCAGATTAGTATTAGTAACTGAGCCAGGCTGGCAAAATAACCACCTAGCCCTAGGGTACATGCATATATATAGAAGTACTTACTGTTGTTCACGGTCCAATAGCATTGTGATAGCCAAAACTTGTGATTTAGTTCTGGAACCACGTGTCCTTCATCGTTGAATCTTGATGCGCTGCTTAGTTGAGATTGACCGGAGCCTATTAGAAGGAACAACTATCTTCCTTCGTCGATAAAGGTCTGGCTAGGGAATCACTTTGTCGGTCCATAATCAACCAGTGCTTGTTTAGGGAAACCAAACGTCGGTTTGAGGTTTGTCGTCGGTCTGGGCTGTCTGGCACCCCCTCCAATCCGGGATCCAGGACTTGTTGGGGCACTACCGACGAACATAAGGTGTGTGCTACAGGTTCGTGAGGTGCAACATTTAGGACCATAGGATGGGTGATTCGGAGGGCATGTGAGGCGTTACCACGGCGCGCGGGTGGACATGCGGCAGCAGCATAGGGACCTCGGAGCAGCCGGGGTCCTGCTAGGAGAGACTAACGGACCAATGAAAAGAAAGATGTTGCATTATGTAAGTGAATCTGATTGAAAAGGAGTTGCCGTTTATGATGACACTTTGCTGAGACCCCGGATGGATGGCTCCCCGGACACCTCTGATCTTCTTCACAGACCTCGATGAGCTCACTCATTGGAGAGCCGTTCCAAGTATCGAGCTACCCTGTTCTAACGAAGACAAGGCACGAAAAAGTACACAATCCTACATATGCGTCATACAGCCGTGATTTCCTTGGACATGCAACAGTGACCGTCCAGGCAGAAGGCATACATATCATTGATGTGAGTTTTCTGGACTCCTGCAGAGACGCGTTGATGGAGATTTTCTGTTTGCAGCTATCTGAACTTCATACAGTGGCCTCGCACACCTGTGGATCTAATGTCACATTCTCTGGACCTGCGAGCAGCCGGTGTACACCAGAGGATGATGGGCGCATATGCACAACCTATGCACTCGTCTCTTCCGCACCAGAGGTTGCTGTGAAGAACAGGGACCGGACGGTATGGATTATGAAGCAGAAAATCTTAGGTGGTACCTTAGGCAAAAGTGACAAACGCGAAATTGTGGTGTGTCTTGCTCATGAAAACATCCTAAGTCATGTTCTACACTGACGCAATCGTTAGCTACCTCACGAAGTCGCGCATATCTACTCAGACGATAAAAGTTCAAAGATTTTACTCGTATCTTCCACTGGTGATATCAGCGTCGCAGATAATGAGCTGAACATCCAGTCCACTCTCATATGTCCGCATCAACAAAATTTCCTGGACGTGTTTTTCTTCCCTGGCACGTCATGTACTTTTCTGCCGCCTCGTGAAACCCCCCCAGACACCGTAATAGTGCTTCTGCTCGAGCTCTGACTCCACGCTGCTTCTATCCACTGTATCTGTCACTGGCAAGGATATAACCATCATTGGCAAAAACCAGGTTTCGATCTCCCATGGAGTCTCAGGGCGGAAAATACAACACCACGTCATCGCCCTTTCATGTAGTCCCTGTGGGGTGTTGAGCTACATAAGTGAGCTTGTGTGTCTACTCGATTTGAAGATTTCTCACATCGTCAAGATGAATCCCATACTTGGGCTGCTTACCAGCTCGAGGCAAACAGTCCAACAACATCTGTCACACAGATTGGCGAGACATTAGCTCTGGCTCAATCATCGCGTTTGAATGCTCATTCTTTTGGATGCGGCATGTGTCTCCTTTCACTGGGTTCCTCGTTGGTTCTCCTCGCCACTGTGACCGGTACACCGTCGTCAGAGATATCGATCCTTCTCTGGGACATGCGCTACGGTGTAGTTATTGCATCGCATGCTATTCCAATCCCGTCCGCTCTTGCGTCGAGCATCAAACTGGGCATTAATATGAGCTTACTGCTCGCAGATGCAGGGCAAGTATTATTGACGTTGTGCCCTTCAAATGTCTCACGGACCGCCCCGTCGACCTCCGAGTCTCCATATCGTTCGATAGTTTACATCATTCCTCTGGATCCAAACTTGAAATCCACCATTGCTGGTGCGATCGGAAAAACCCCCGCAACTTCTGAATGGTTGGCACCGAATCCTAAAGCTGAAACGTCGGCGGACAATGACCCTAGATCTAAACTGCTTATCGACATGGCGAATCATTTGCAGCACAATGAACCCCATAAGGCGGATGAAGCATTTTTCAGATGGGTCAAGGAGCACACCTCAGCCAGTGGATCATCCTCAAGTAATGCACTGTCAATCTCGACGCCGGTACGCAGTTACAGTCTCGATCGGAGTTTCTGATGCCAAGTTTACCAATAGGACGGAGCTGCGTCGGAAGCTCTTTATGGCTACGGTTTTGTCAAAGAGCTTTTAGCCCTATTCTTCGAAAAGGAGTACACTGAAAAGCCTCAGTACTCTCCGCGTGTCACGCGGCACTTGATTGAGAGTCGCGTCGTCAGCGCAGGCATGGTAGAAGGCAGGCTTCTCACAGCACTAAAACAACACGGCGACTGGGTGGGTGTTTCCCGTCTCTAGCATGATAAAGCCAATAATAGTTCGTGCGATAGGAAAGTATCATGTTGTCGTTCAACTCGGTAGTCGATATCTCCGAGGACGAAATGATCTCCCTAGCCAAGGCGCTTGTTGATAAGCAGCGACAGTCACAGACTGATCCCGAGGTCATGGATGTGGATAGCAATAAGGCCTGGACCCCAACTCTATCGGCTTATATGCTGATGTGTGTCTCATATCCAACATCTCCTGCTGCACTGCGTCTGGCCATAAGAAAACACTTGCCAGATGCGCAAGATCTCATTTTGATCTTAGAATTGTTGGACGGCTGGACAATTGGTGGAACCGAGGAGTACATTCGTACCCTTTTAAAATCTGTCGCGTCGAATGTTGCGATAGAACGCCGTGGCGGAGTGGCCCCGCCGTATGATAAGGTATGTTCGCGCCCAGTAGCCAAGATGAAGTTTGACACTCTATAGACAATATCCTTCCTGCAAGTCTTGCTGGACGCCTCGTTTGTTTCTTTGTTGCAATTCCCTCCGTCACACGAACTGCTTCGGAATATCATGTCTCGTATAGAACCCGAGATAGAACTTCATGAGCGTATGGGGTACCTTCGAGGAGCATTGGAACCCTTCGCCAGAGTTCAAAACCGAATAGTGAAGGAGAGAGCTGAAGGAACACCGAGGGAAACTCCGAACGAATGGAGAAAAAGACGTAAACATCAAGAACAACAGATTGCACTTGGTGTTGGGCTGTACAGACTGGAGGAGCTTATTATCTAGTGCAGATCTGTGTCTCCGAGAATTATAGGTTGGATATGAGTTCTCTGGAATGATCATCCGTGCACAAAAAAAATTAGGTTAGGGGTTCTAATTGCTGAGGCTGAAAAATATTCATTGCAGATCATTAGAAACCTAGAACGACAAAACAAAACAGTAACAATTATATAGTAGGAATTTGCTACCAACCGATGCTCGCGTCTCCAGCCAATTATCACTCATGTGAACTCTGCTAGATACGTAGGACGTGAGTGCGAATGTAAGAAATGGTTTGGATTGAAATGGACAAAGTCCGTACATAAGAGGGCGCGGCCTCGGATGCTGAGCACTTTTGTCTTGACACTACGATCGACATCAAGGCCTCACCTCATGCCCGACCAACAAAGCCTTGGGCAAGGTTTGCATTTTGAAATTCAGTAGCCAGCTGTCATAAAAATTTCATGCCCGACAATAGATGTTTCATCTTCCGCATTTCGAACCTTTCTACTCATGAGAACTCTGCACCGCCCGGAACCTTGGAATTTCAGCGTCGAACCTACACGTGTGTTAATGCGATGCACCGGTTTGGGTTGAGATTGAACGCACCATATCCAGTTCTGTTTTGTTAATTGTCCATGGTTAAGTTGGCCCTGGGAAATCGACCAGTCACGAATTGCCTTGGCAAGCTTTTTGTCAGAAAAGCAATAGTTGTAACGGAAAACGGTGATCATGACTAGATGAGTGCGCATTCTTGGTACATGGGTAGCAGCGGAATCGCCTTCGCACTCCATTATCCAACCATTCTGGATTGAGGGGTCCCAGGAGAAGCATTCCGAGGATAGGGACAATGCTGGGCGAGGCGTGACCCCCGTAGTGTCCAGAGGAATAGACCAACAGTGACGGTCACCCACCCACCTCTTCTCGTTCAGAAGAAAGAGTTGGGGATGAGTGACATGTTCCGGCCCGAACACTGCAAAAACTCTCCAACCCCTCTGCACATACTTTTTTACAACATCCAAGCGGTTCGACCCAGGGATTTGGATAGCCATTCGCTCCTCGAAGGTTGCAACAGGGTACAAGGAATAAGCTGCATCGAACGTGATGATATTCATCACGCAAGCTACAAGTAAGTAAAGCGTCAGAAATATGTTCAAAAGAAAAGCGACGATTTAACGAACTTGAATGAAATTGCGTGATAGTCTGGATAGGATTGCACTTCGCTGCAATGATTTGAACCTTGAGTATTACAGTCTCTGTGTCTATAGCTACAGACCGCGTGAAGGTGTATACACCTGCGACCTCAGAGTACTCCATGTTTGGTTGAAGATCGATCATCATTTCTCCAAGGTCGGAGATTCTTCTTGCTGTACCGTCCCAGTCAGCTGAAACTTCATCACGCCAATCCAGTTGTCCCCGCCACGCATCAGGTTGGAATTTATACCCAACAGATTCGAGCCACTCCAGCGCCTCGTAAACGTGACCAGGATGAGCGTAGAGGTCAAGATCTGATTCGGGATAAAAGCTCCTATCAAGAAACTGCAACGCATTGGAGCCCGAAATGACTAGTCCGGTGCGTGCTTGGAGGGATCGAAATGCAATGGGATCTGGGAAATAACGAGACAAGTGTCGATTGATGTTATACGCACGGCAGGCAAAGTGAGTTACTGCCTCATGTGCACGACGACATGTGTGCGAGAGCCATACGAGGGTACGAGGGCTCAGATCGCATAAAATGAGGTCGTAAATCGGCGCTGTGGTAAATACTTCTTGCAGGAAGTACGCTGGGAACGGTCGCGGGGGTTCTGGCTCCCACATCATGCGATGGTGAGGGTAAATAGAGGAGATCTAAGGGGTGCCAGTCCTTATATCATATACAAACACGCGTACACATGTCTCAGTTTTTTGACTTCGACTGGACCAGAATGAAATCCACTTACTGGGATCTGATACGGGAGCCTATTTCTACGGCCGCAGTGCAGATATGCCACTACCAGGTTGCAGACGTGCATGCTCTGCCCATGTGCCTTGCTGCGTTCGTGTATGCCTCTTGCATATCACGGGCTATGCTGTAGCTGTCGACATCTGACCCTCTTAGGGTGCAAGGTTCCTGCTTGTAAGGGGATGCAGGACATTGATCACTCAGGTAGGATATTGGCCATGGCTTGAGTTTTTATCGTCTGGACGGATGCGGTGGTCATAGCTGAAAACACTGAGCTGGCATCCACCATCGTCTTGCCAGGTTATAACGTCTGAGAACAGGGCTCTGATGTGCCCAAGGCAAGGCCCTGACAAACCTCAGAGGCGAAGTGGCGATCCTAGCATTGGTCCGGCGCAAAGAGGTAGGTAGACAGTGGGCATGTGTTAGTGCAGAGATGAACTGGCAAACTTCAAGTCCGCCGTCAGCTCGTATTCTGAGTACGGGTAACAAGTTTTCAAACCTCATCTCTACCCCAATTTACATCTGACAGTTTGGGAGGCTTTTGGGATACCAACTGACGATCCCTGTGGGCTGCCCCCGAAAGGACCTTTGTGACCTTGCGGTTGATGGTGACAAGTGAAAGACTAATTGCTTTTACACTCATTATCTGAGGATGCTCCAGCACCGGCGCGCAATGTCGAAAGGGCCAACCTGTTGTTCATGACAGGCGGAACTCCATTGGAGAGTGCAACCTTCTCAAGTGCGTAGTCGAACGCCCAGTGCGGAGGCATGATATATTTCGGAAGATGTCAATAAAATGCGGAAAACCCTTAGCAAGTGTCCCTACACCACAAGGAAAATATTCATGTTTTCTCTGCCCGGTAACCTGCTCCTGCCTGGTTCGCATTTTGCATCTTTGTCGTACCAGCTTGGTAGACGACCTAAGGACACGTGCGCGTACCACACCTTCAAGAGGCGGTGGTAAGGGGGAAGGTTTGCACGTAGACGTCGAGAAGAATTACAGACGTGAGCGGAGCAAACGGCCTCGTGGAGCTGCCCGCAAAAGGGAAATATGGGCCAGATTGGTTGGAAACTGGGAGATATGCGGATGTCGTTATTATCGGGGAGTAGCTGTGAGCTACTACACTGGCACAGTGGAATTAAGTCCTCTTAGGTTTCGTATGTTGCTAAAAGTTTGGTTCAATATGGCTTGTTTCTTGAATAGGTATGCATACCAATGCTAATATCTCTGATTCCAAGACTTTCACTTCGTCTTCAAGTCGCCGACGTTGCTTTGCGAGCATTTGAAGGCGTCTTTCTTCACGCTTATTTGAGGTGGGTGCTGTCGCGACTCTAGACTGCATAGCCTGTGCAACCTCAACCTTCGCACGTCAAATCATGATGTGCAAGACAAGAGGCGAATTGCTCACCTTGCTTTGAATCAAGCCCTCTCGACGATTCAGAGCGCTGAGACCTTTCTCTGCACGGTCGATAAGTTCATTAATCTGGGGCTCGATCTCGTCTGCAAGATCGGTTTTATATCTGTGCACTGTGCCCTCATCGATTAAAAGGAATACCTGTAACACGAGTTACACGGTGTGTGCTTTGCAAGAAGAGCTAATATAGTGTTACCCTTTGGCTTTCAAGGACCTTGCGCATGCGGGGCAGATCGAATGTCCCGTTTCGAAGGAGCTGTTGGGCTTCATATGCCTGATGACAGTGGTGTGAACTGTAGCGCGTTATAATATCCACCTAGTCTCCCACCTCTTCGCAGCAATCTTCCATAGCAAGGACGCACTCGCGCAGGTTTGGCGGACAAACGACATTGACATCACCACGATATGGGTCGAGTCCACCTGTAAACACAGATTCTCTTGGTCTCGGTAACATGGACAACCTTGACATTGAGGCTCTTAACTCTTCAAGATCGTTGCCCAAGGAGGATTACTCGTCGATCACGACACGTCAACGGCGAGCATCGGCAAACGCGAGTCGGGGGTGGCGGAGTTTTAAAAATATGTATATAATGAGCTGTAAAATTTTGTGATGAATTCTCTAGTGTCCATTCAACCGCCTGAAGCGTCAGCTAACAGCACAGAGGTTCGTTCTTCTGCATGGCGTTATTACTTTCTGGTTGACGGAGCAAGGCACTCTTCGGGGCGCTCACGAGATCGAGCATCGTTGCTTGGTTCGCTCTCGTTATATCCTTTGTGACGAGTCCGCCTCGCGGCGTTGATTCGTTGCGGAGGATGGGGGCTGAGCTTTTGCGACGGTGCGGCGTCATATTCCTGTATCTTCCGTACCGCTTTCCTTCGGGGAAGTTGCTACTATGTGGCTTTGACGGTTGGGTCAAACCATGACGCATACATATCCTTGTACCAGAATTATTAGTCTTTGTATCTAGTGATCCAATGAAACCCTATTGTTCTTTTAATACTGTCCGAATTGACTCTCAGTGATTCGTTATATGACTTGAATGGAATTTTTCATCTTCATGATGCCCCCAGGTGGATGTACAAATCGTTAAACGTGGGAACATCTATTCGGCCAACTCAGCGGCTCCCAGATACGGGCAATTTCCCGTCAAAGTGGCAACCAAACCTTATCTCATCTCCTGATTTCTGCCTTTACGACTCTTGTTCATCGTTTTCTTTCTCTGACGACGACAGTCTTATCATGGCACAGACTCAGATTCCTACCTTTAAGCTGGTCCTTGGTGAGTACTTGTCTTCATCCTGCTCGTAATGATCATGATGCTGATGCTCTGTGGCTCATTCTTGATGATCTTGATTTTGTATGTCTTTCAAAATATCGCGTGCTTCGTATTGCACTATCTGTCGCGTCTTTGACGGGAAAACTCAGTCGGTGATGGTGGTACCGGCAAGACAACATTCGTGAAAGTGAGTAATAGAGTTCCGCCTCTGAGCGATCACAATCTGATTTCCCCGATACTTAGCGCCATCTTACTGGTGAATTCGAGAAGAAGTACATTGGTATGTCATGCGCCTTACAATCGCAGAGCAGCTATGATAATCCAGTTTCTGTGATCTTCTCTTTATATAGCCACTCTCGGTGTCGAAGTCCACCCACTTTCCTTTTCCACAAATTTCGGCACGATCTGCTTCAATGTCTGGGATACCGCTGGACAGGAAAAGTTTGGTGGTCTTCGTGATGGATATTACATCCAGGGCCAGTGTGGCATCATCATGTTCGATGTCACTTCCAGAATCACCTATAAGAATGTCCCAAATTGGCACCGCGATCTTGAGCGTGTTTGCGAGAACATTCCCATTGTACTGTGCGGAAACAAGGTTGATGTTAAGGTCAGTCAGAATCATGTCTCCTCCATAGCGACTTTTGACTCGATCGTGTAATTCAGGAGCGCAAAGTGAAGACCGGCGCTGTCACATTTAACCGCAAAAAGAACCTGCCTTACTTTGAAATCTCTGCCAAATCTAACTACAACTTCGAGAAACCCTTCCTGTGGCTTGCAAGGAAGTTGGTTGGGTACGTCTATTGTCGACTAGCGTTGTTTCGATTTCGTTGATGAACATCATGCAGTAACCATGACCTAGACTTCGTAGCGGCCCCTGCCCTTGCCCCTGCTGAGGCTCACGTTGACCCTGAGTTGATGAAACAATACGAGGAAGAGTTGAAGAAGGTACGTCACTGTTTTTCGGTCTATGGAGCACTAATCGCTCAATCGTACCTCCTGTCAGGCTGAGGCTGTTCCGCTTCCGGAAGAGGAAGATGACCTGTAATCTCGTGAATCATCATATACTTACGCTTTGATACGACCGTTTCATCCATACTGTGGTTTCCATATTAAATCGCTCATCACCCAGCCACCAATCCAATCGATACATTCTTCCTTAACTCTTGTTCCTGCTTAGTGCAAATACAGTTACCCACATTCATGGAGCGTTTTCGGAACGCACACACGGTTACTTCTCCTGCAGGTTGTGGCAATAGAACTTGCAACAGACTGTTGGGAATACAGTTGTGATCATGCCCCGTTGCCCCCATCTGACAACCTCTCTATGCCTAGCATCAATCCACTCAGTTCTAACGGAGTAAGTTGGAGGTACAGATTTTGAGAAAAAATCCAGCCCTCCCGTTCGGATGCCTGCCATCGGATGAAGGCATCCAGTGTGATTTTTGAATCAAGGCCGATTCTCTTGAAGTCCTGAATCTTGGGCTCCAAGTTGGGCCGCAAGGAGCTGAGGAAATCCCTCACATAATCGTCAGGGGCCGTATTGCCGCACGTTCCCCGTGTGGTCACGATAACATCACGCGTGGCCTCCCCTTCTCTGTGGAGAGAGGGTTCACACCTTGTCGACGTCCGGCGATTCTGTATACTTTTATTGATTAAAATATTATGTTGAGGGGCAAAAATTCACTTGCTGTGGGGTCTTCGTGATTAAACACTCGTTTGAATCTAATAATTGCGTCACCATCTTGCTGATTGAAAGGCCATCGGATTATTAGTCTTCTTATCGACGCACAGTGATCATTGACATACCCAATGAATGAGATCATCAAAACCTTCGCCTCCAACATCTTGTTCCTCTTCAAGTTCTCGATCTCTGTTGATAGCCCTGCCGCGACGCTGCGCGGATTGCCGACGGGCGACACTACTAGCAGAAGTTACCTGAAATCAGTAAGCTTGATGACTAGAAATTCTGATTAGGTTGAACACCGGGGACACCCGCACCTTGCTGGCGGTGGGACCTGTGGTGGAAGAATACTGTGTGTGAAGTCTGCGTGTGGGGGACCGACGATCACGGCAGCGCATTACTATGATTGTGACGACTCGGAGGTAATGGCGGTTGGCCCTCTATCGAGGTCATCATCTGTATCTTTATAGACAAGATATTGACAAAGGAATCGATCAGATAAGAACGACTCATAAGGGGATAATCGACGACCACGATTTAATGCCTTCCAGAGTCGTATTGCCCCCGTCGACACTATGTAAAATCACTTACCCCGCATGCATTTATAACCTCCGAGGACTGTCAAACAGGGGCACGTGCTTTGTCGCTGCGAAACATAACACACAAACTTCCGAATGTTTACAAGATATTTCCGTGGATCTAAAAAAAATAGCGATAAGACCGTACGTTGAACAGCGAAGCAACAACTGCATTTCTACCACCCCACCAACTTCCCGCTGATAAGCTGTAATTCAATATAAATCGGCGATTTACGGACTTGACAAAAACTTGCCTTCAGTGTATGATATGGGCTCATACCGGCTCTCAGTGGCACCACGCGTAGACGCCGTCGAGTGTCTTCAAATGGACCGTTGAACTCAAGTCCCGGGATAATTTTTTGAGATGATCTTCGAATGAGAATTAGAGCGCTACCATGACAAGAGAAAACACAGCAAATGATAACGACGGGCCGGCGTGCAGCATGCGCGACACGTGTAGGCGCTTGCTAGCCTGAACCCTAGGAACTGGGCTGTGTCTTGGTCGATCCCTCGAACACGTTGGTGAGCGCTAGATGGGTGTTGGTGCCTGTCATTCAGAGTCCAGGGTCTACTCGCATGGCCTTCACTGCTGTACTGGCAGAGAATGACCTAGATAAACATTCATAGCCCTATCATGATGATAGCCAAAGAAGCTATATTTTTGGCACCAGCGACAAAAGTATGATTGCGCGTCGTGAGCCTTTATTGCTGCCATTCAACTGGTCGTGCAAAGGCCTGACTAGGATCCGAATTATCCGAGCGCCTGGCAGCGGTGATATTCGGGGCATGGTCCTGAAATGATCTGCGGACTTGTGTTGCATTTGTCCAGTTGATGATCGTACGTAGTTGACCCTGCAGCAGAAGCGCGCCAGTCGAAGTTTGGTTGCGATAATCTTGGGTGGAACGTTCCCGGGTTGCCACCAAGTTGTGAAATCATGTGCATGCCTGCCATGCATATGGCACCGAGGGCCGAGTATCACTCGACCTATTCTCGAGGCTCGAGCGTCTAAGTAGTCACTATCGCACGAGATTCGAATTTCAACTCAACACGATGAGCGTCAAATTTCAATGCCAAGAAACGCATGGCCTTCCAAGCGCTAGTCCAGTGCGTAAATGAAACGATATATGGAAAATTCAGCGAGGACTCAGCGACAATATCATCAGGCCATTGCTCGTGATATGAGTCCATTGGCGCCGGCAACTGTCAGGGCCTGAGCCAAGCCGTACTAGTACATCCTCTGAGGAGCACGTGAACGGTCCAACCTGGGTACCAAATCTAAATACACATACCCAAGTTGCCAACCACGCGTCGCACCCACTTCAGCTTTCCCCAAGTTCAGCTTTCAACAATATGCCAGTCGAAAACATATGCTCTCTCACCGCGGATCAAATACCAGCAGAAGTTGCTCAGGCAACTAAATACTGCTTGTATTGCAACAACCCACTTGATTCATCCAATGCTGTGCTTATGCAGGACGACCACGATTCCAACACTATGTGTGCTTGGTGTCGTGACATGCAACCACAAGGACAACAGGATAACGATGTCTTCGCAGATGATGATGCCAGCGCTTCATTTATCCGAACTACACTTTCAACTATCTCTACTCAGCTGAATAGCGCACCGCTCGGTCATATTGCAGACTTGCAAGGCATTTTTGGCCATGATATGGATATCGACAATGTTCAATCACCCAGTTCAACAGTTTCTTCTCTCTGTACTCCAAGTCCTGTTCCATCTTGCCCCCATTCTATGTATTCACAATCGACCATATCCGCTACAACCGAAACCCATTCACACCCATGCTACCACACTTTCAAGACCCCTGTCCCACCAGTCCCGTAATAACGTCTCCACGGATTCTCACTCTCTGCGTATAAACACCTCCTACTCTTCTCCAAACCCCCTTCTCGACATTACGCATATTCGTGTGCGCACTCAAGGCCATCACTGCTTGTATCCTGGTGCTGTGTTCCAGGGTACACAGAAAAGCGGCAGGAATAGCTACGAAGTAAATGTCAACATTGTTGTACGTCGAAGCTGAGGATTAATATTGATGTTCAGCGAAGCTAACTCATTTCCCTACCAGGATGTAGATTTTTCTTCCTCGTTTCTTTGCGGATACCTCCGCATCCGTGGTTTGACAGATGACTGGCCTGAATTGACCACTTATTTTGACGCAGAAATCATAGGCAGTCGTTATGGATTCTTGACCCAAAATTGGGGCGCCAATGAACAAGAGGACATGGTTCACTGGCAGCGCTTCCCTGCATTCCGGCATGTAAAAAACGAGTTGAAAAGACCTAACTTGACCATCGCCGATCGCGATCGTGGCGCAGTCTTCATGAGATGGAAGGAACGATTCTTGGTACCCAATCACAGAGTACAAGATATCAACGGTGCAAGCTTCGCAGGTGAGCGCCTGCTTTTTATTAGGCGCAGGCCACAACGTGGCCGGCCCGACAAGGAACCGCAGCTTCTGACATAGCAATGTGTGCTTCTACTATGACCAGGCTTTTATTATGTTTGTGTCGATTTCAATCCCCAACCTCCTTCATCTGCCTCCACGCTTCGCCCAGTCACGCAGTCTGTTCCGCTCGAGAAGGATGGAATTAATGATCTGCCGTTGTCCCATTCGCCCTCCCTCGGGAAAACGGAGACGGTCCCTACTGTGCGGAAGCGGAGGGATTCTAGCGTCAGACGAGGAGGTCGAGGCCTATCGGTTGGCCCACGATCTCATCCTCCTGCTGCAACAATGAGCGGATTTTACTTTCATCAGAACTCTGAACCGTACGTATATATCATTTGTGAATCCAATGCTTCTAATCGACCCTCCCAGATATCAACAGTTGTCACTTAGTCACGTCCCGGAACGCTTTAGCTCCAGCTTTGAGTTTCGATGAGAAGCTCGGGGGTGGAGCGTTGCCCCGTTTGTATAGTAAAAACACACTACTCACGGAATATTGGACTAGACTTAATTCATCTGTGGCAAGGCTCTGTCTGAGTATGTTAATTTTTAGTTACCCTCTTGTTTGTTGTCCTGATATCATCTTTCACTCATACGCTATCTCTGTATTTGATGTGTTCTACATGACATGCAATTTTATCTTTGTCTTCCACTCTCGGTGCGTGTACGCCATCCTAAATATGGCTGTAACAACCGGTTGTCAATATTGTCAATCCTGACAGGCATCGCCATTTCCAATCATTCCGGATTTTGTACGGCGGCAAGCAACGGTTGAAAAAGCCACAAACAATTAATGATCCAAAGTAAGGAAGATCCTGCTACTACCGCTTACAAGAATACTTACGTAGATGCCAACGTTGTACTAGACAAATTGATCACATTACTCCAACATTAAGCACTCTCGACTCTCGCACGAGGGATGCCAGCATACTTATAGCCGGACTTGGTCCGAGAAGGTACAGCCTACACTCCCATGGGCGTGTTACCGTGACCATATTGCGCAACCTTGTTCTTTCTACCCACAACAAGCGAAATATCCTGTTAGACATTGACATGCATCGCGATACACCGCGAGTGGTCATAGTTGGTGCCGGGTACGTTCCTGCTGTTGTGTCAATGGCTAACGGGAGCATAATACTTATTCGAGCACGACAGCATTGCCGGAATCACCATGGCTGTAAACTTGAGAAACAAGTTGCACCATGACAACTTCGTAGTAAGTCATCCTGAACATCATTCAGACTGTAAGATGAGAACTTGACCTTTCCAGATTTACGAAAAAGCAGGATCCATCGGTGGGACGTGGCGAGTGAGTCATTATACTCAATCCGCGCAGAATGAAATTAATGTACTTTGGAACGTGGCAGGAAAACACATACCCTGTATGGTTGTTTCCTATCTTTTGAAAGTTTAAACTTGACTATCGAATCTCCCGATTAGGGTTGTGGGTCTGATGTTCCCGGACACTGGTATTGCCTTTCGACGGAACCAAACCCATACTGGGAGAGATACTACATTACGCAGCCTGAGATACGCGCATACTGGGAGGAAATATATCGAAAACACGACCTGGCTTCCCGCACAGTATTCAATACCCGCGTTAAGCTTGTTGAATGGGACGAAGAAAACGGCGTGCATAACCTGACTCTAGAGGATGTAATGTCTGGTCAGACTATACAAACCCAAGCAGAAGCTGTCATTCAGGCTGTCGGCTTTTTCACAACGCCGATGTATCCTGATATTCCTGGAAAGGAGAAGTTTACAGGACCACTCTGGCATTCTTCTCAATGGAGGCATGATGTAGATCTGAAAGGCATGACGGTCGGTGTTGTTGGCAATGGCTGCTCTGCGTAAACTGCGTTCCTTTTCTGCTTATCAAGGCCACGTGTTAAATGACTTCGCGACAGAACTCAGTTCATACCGGCCATTGCTGCCGAACCTACTACTCGGGTCATCAACTTTTGTCGCACCCCACAATGGATCGCAATGAGGGTATGATGTCATTCTTACGTTGAATATTGTGCTGAGTGGTGAAACGCTGAAGTCGAATTATCATTACCCAGAGTGGGCCAAGTGGGCATTTGCCCATGTCCCGTTTCTCATGTACACATATAGAAGCTTCATGATGATAACGGTACACCTCAGAGATTTCTCATTTTGGCGGAAACTGACTTTTTCAATTTCAGGGTGATCTTTTATGGAACATTTTCTTGGTGAATTCACCTCTCAGTACAGTCTTCAAGAGGGTAACATTAGCTTTTTCTGTCTATCTGATATCTCTAATGATCATTAGATCCTGACATGGTACATGCGACGAACCGCGCCAGCGAAATACCACGATAGCCTGATTCCCACCTACCGTGAGCAATTTGCAATATTGACGATTGTGACTTGCCCATCTGACAGCTGATAAATAGCTCCTGGATGCAAACGCCTGATCCTTGATTCTAACTACCTAGCCACTTTGCACCAACCCAACGTTGATCTGAATTGGGCCGGAATCCAAGAAATTGTCGAGGATGGCATTGTTCTCAAGACTGGTGACAAAATACCACTGGACGCAATCATCTTTGGCACCGGCTTTTACCTGGTGATTTTCAATCCGGCAATAACCCTCACGTGCACTTAATATCTGATATTGTGCAGGCCAAACGAGATGTAGATTTCCGTGGAATCGGTGGTCATACTCTGAAGCATTGCTTTGAATCAGAAGGTGGCTATTACGGGACGGTTTTCCCTGGGTTTCCAAACCTATTCACAATCGTGGGTTAGTGGCTTCCATTGCAATTTGACATCATCTGATAGCTTTGTCAGGACCCAATAGTGCCTCGGCTCATGCTTCCCTTATTTTCATCATTGAGACTCAGGTATGTGTTTTTCTAGAAGGTTGGAGTTACTGCGATCAAACGTGCGGTTTTGTCACGGTAGGTCGACTATATTCTCAAGCTGATGAAGCCTATCATCAATGGTAAGGCAAAATCAATCGAAGTAACCCAAAAGGCTACAACCTATTACAACACCTGGATTCAAAAGCGTATGGCGAGCACGATATTCCTTTCCTGTTTCTTCATACTATCGAGGTGACGATCGAACGAGTGCTAAAAATGTAGCCACGTTCCCTGGTATGATCTCACTCTACTGGTGGATCACGCGAAAGCCACGCTGGAATGATTTCAAGGTGGTGGGTGGAGAGCAGTGGTTTTATAAGCGAAGGAAAGTGGCATTGACGAACTATGCACTTGTTGGTTTGATGGTTTCCGTCGTTGGTTACAATTTCTCTATGCTCTGGAAGCTTGTCCCCGGACTTAAAGAGAGGCTTCTTTCCGGGTGAGAATTCAAACGCAATTTCCTTCATAGTATGCGCTGCCACATACGTACCATCAACTCATTTATAGTTACATGAAGAGACATGCAAATGATTGATTATTTACGGTGTCACACGCAATATTGATGCCAATGCAACTGTATAGGGAGTCGCTTGTTTTGGCAAGCTCGGTTTTGACCGAGGTCTGTACCCTCAACGTTTGTCCACCGCCGCCGCAGAGGCAGTAGAAGGCCTGGAGGCCTTGTCCTTGCCCTGTCCACGGTCTATCTTTCTTCTGCATCATAACCTTCCATACACCTCTCATGTCTTCCAATAATTCTGGCGGGGCGAACGTAGTCGGCGTGCATTACCGTGTTGGCAAGAAAATCGGGGAAGGCTCATTCGGTGTTATCTTCGAAGGTTCGCACCTCTTTCAACAATGTTTCGGTTTGAGCTGATCATAGTGTCTTAGGAACGAACCTGCTAAACTCTACGACTGTCGCCATCAAGTTTGTGAGTGCTCCACTTTAGTGACATCTGCTATTGTTCCTTATATATCTTCTTTGGCTGCAGGAGCCACGCAAAGCAGAGGCACCTCAACTTCGAGATGAATGTCGTTCATACCGCATTCTAGCTGGCTGCAGTGCGTACATTCGTCGGACTCACAAGTAAACGAAGTCTAATTCACGCGTATTGTAGCTGGTATTCCTCAAATATATCACTTCGGGCAGGAGGGCCTCCACAACATTTTGGTGATAGATCTTTTGGGCCCGAGTCTGGAGGATCTATTTGATATGTGCGGCCGCAAGTTTTCTATCAAGACGGTGTGCTTGGCAGCCCGACAAATGGTGCGTGTCGCACCGTTTCAGATTTCTTCCTTCGTCTAACCATCAGCAGTTGTCCCGGGTACAAACTATCCATGACAAAAACCTCATTTACCGTGACATCAAGCCTGACAACTTCCTCGTTGGGCGTCCTGGCACGAAGGCGGCCAATCGTAAGTTTCCTACGTTCATGGCGGATATTACATTCACATATGTCTTATAGTCATTCATGTTGTTGACTTTGGAATGGCCAAACAATATCGTGATCCTAAAACCAAGCAGCACATTCCTTACCGGGAACGGAAAAGTTTGAGCGGCACAGCGCGATACATGAGCATCAATACTCATTTAGGGCGAGGTACGTGTCTTTATGTCGTGATCGGCCGCAGTGACCTATTTCTTTATAGAGCAATCTCGGAGAGACGATCTAGAGGCACTCGGACATGTCTTCATGTACTTTTTGCGGGGGAGTCTACCTTGGCAAGGGCTGAAGGCTGCCACCAACAAGCAAAAGTACGAAAAGATTGGAGAAAAGAAGCAGACGACACCCATCAAGGACCTATGCGAGGGATATCCAGGTTTGTTGATTCTTCAAGTGTCTTCTTAATACTCCAGTAACTCTCGCACAGAGGAATTCGGTATCTATTTGAACTATGTTCGAAAGCTTGGATTTGAGGAGACCCCGGACTATGATTTCTTGAGGGAGCTCTTTTCCAAAGTTATGAAGAATAACAACGACCTAGACGATGGCATTTTTGACTGGAACCTACTGAATGGTACAATTTCTCTTGTATCTGGTAATCTTCTTATTGATCTTTTGTCAAACTATACAGGGGGTAAAGGTTGGGAAGCTTCGCAGGTAGGTGAAGTTTTATTTTCCCAAATACAAGGATTTCATCCCGTCGCGCAGGGGCAATCGCAAGTACTTGCTCAAATACAGAATGCGGGCATAGCAACTGCGCCACAAGACCGTCGAAGAGATTTGGAACGACGTCGGGATGCAGATTGGCGCCGCGCATCTCAGACTGGTGGGGTCAACCTGCCTTCACCAGCGCTCGTTAGACACGGCTCGAAGCGCAAAGTCCCCAATGCGCTTACCCCTGCAGGAGGAAATGCACCTGGCGGCACTGCCACCCCTCTCTCTGCTGCTGCTCAGATTAACGTTCCAATCTCGACACCGCAAAACAGATCTACTAATGTTGGTGCACCGCAACATCCTTACGCGAATGTAGTAACTGGTGAATACGGCTGGGACGCAGGCGAGGAACCATACGGATCCCAAGCTTACGGACGTGCGTCTCCTATGGTGTCAACGGTTGGGGCCGCTCCACCCGCAATAAGCACAGTGCGTGCCCACGGCAATGAAGCAGGTGTCTCTCGCGGCGAGGACTACCGGCAGCAACAAGATGACGACCCTCCCCAACCAAAGTCGAGCATCTGGAGAATCCTCACATGCCGGTGCGGCTGATTGCCGCCAACTTCTAGCTCTTCCCCTATTTTTGTTCCATGCTATCATCAACGTAAACTCATCCATCGTCAGTCATTACCTTTGACGCTTTGATATACCCATTCATTACTTGCACCTAATATCCACTTTCACGGTTTATGTTTGGACACCTGCCGTAGCTTTGATCAAATGATCGAATCTTGCTCTTGACTATCTTTGTATGGCTTTACAGACTACCAGGAATGTGTAAGTAAATTGGTGACGGAAGTGGTATGCAGGAGTAATTATGCTTTGAGATATTGCGGTCGGCGGAGGACAATTATGTGAAACTGACTATGGCTTCCATGCCATCGGAGATAGACGAGAAGATTTCAGTTCCCAAAAATGAGAGAAATTTGCCTTGTCATGAGAGGAACCAAGTTGGCTTTGAGCTCGGGTAGGATCCGCGACGAGTATCTCGGGTGGATCATTCGGATGGGACATATGACTGCTGTGTTGTGTCCATACACGGCCCTTCCATCTCCGGCTCATGATGCGGCATGTTTTGGATGAGAAGATGGCGACCTGCAGATTGATGTTCAATATGGAAAGAGTGGCCCATCTCTTGCGTTTGGGTGCCTATAATGGTAGAAGAACTCTTGTCCATAGGTCGTGCTAGGAAACGTGGCTCGGTGGGAGGTGCTGCTGTGTATGATCTAACGCCAGTAAGAGAGCCTCGACCTTCCTGGTGCCTGTGAATCGGAGGAGCGGATGCGAAGGGATAACTGACAGAGCCTTGTCCAAGGGCGTCAAAGCTGTCGCGCGTCTTGCGGGTCTGTGCGCGGAAGCTTTTCGCTAAGGTCATCAATTCCACGTTGTGTCTTTGTATAGTGCGCATCTTGTCCTGCATTATTCCCTTGTCTTTCTCCAATTTGGCATTAGAAACCCTCAACTTTTCATTTTCGGCCAGTGCCAGGCGTAGCTGCTTATGAAGCATTGATTGAACGTTGTCGGGCGTTGCTCGGCTCCCCGCTGCTTTCTCGGCGGGGTTGTGAGAGTTTGGGAGTAATTCGACGGAGAATTTAGGTTTGTTCGTGAGATAGACTTTGCCGTCTGACGCGCTATGCAGTGATACGCTCAGTCACACTCCACTCTCGACGGAAGAACTTCTCACTATTTCTCTATTCTCATGGGCTCTTTTCTCGAGAGTTCATTGCTGAGGGAACCAACACGCTGCTTCTTGGGAGGCCGACCACTCGAACCGCCGGCAGAGGCATCGAGCTGCTCGTACTCCTCGTCGGCATCCCACGTTTGGGTTCGAGGATAAGCGCCAAGTCTTGAAGAGGTACCATCATCATCTGGCTAAATGTGTTACATCAATACCTAATATGTGAACACAGATGTGGAGCAAATACCAAAGATCCTATATGAGTTGCGGTATCGTTGAACATGCTGGATGAAGGCCCATCACATGGAGGGTGGGGAACAGATACAAAGTCCATAACAAACCTTCGCTTCTTTCCATTTGCAAGTGGTACGCCTAGAAGTTGTCGAGTTGCGGGGAGTGATTCATGAACGCTGAAAGCACCAGCTGCACGGTTACTTGGTGAACTACCTTTAAATTCGCTTGGGAGTGATGTCAATTTACTAAGACTTGCAGACTTACGGAAAAGCGATGCCGTAGACAAAGAAGGCTTCTCGGGTCTAGTGAACGTTGCCTCGAAACTAGAATTATTAGTCGCCTGCTTCAATGGGGATGATGCAACCTTGTCAATGTGTTAGCTGTTGCGCGGAAACAATGAAAATAGGGGACCTCTCACAGACGCGCTAGTTAGCTCTATGCATTTATCGTACCACCCCGGCGTAGTCGCGTTCGGGTTGACAGACTTGCAAGTACGAAATTTTGATGCGACGCATGCCAACTTCAAGCGAAAATCTGGACGTGTGCCAGTCTCTTCGTCGCGCTGAATACGTGCAAATCCCTCCCTGAATGCTGCCTTGGATTCCTTGTGGTAGCTATGCCACACTTTTACGTCATTTGACATCAAGAGTGCCGGTGCAGAATGTATATGGTAGCCCTCCAATATATGCGTCGTGCATCGTCCGACATGGCAGGGTGGGCAGTAGATTATCGCACTTTGAAGAACTTCATGCTTTGACAAGCACACCCGCATTGGCTCTTCCATACGAGATGTCATCTGTCGCCGTTCGTACAAAACGCAGGCAGCTACGAAGACGCCAACATGACGTGCTGATATGATAGAACTAAACACACGATTAAGCAGCAGTCTCCCAAAAGCACGAGTATGCTCACTTTGAATGCCCCAGTAGATACTCGTGGTCCTTCACGACATCAGGACATACCGCTCGAATGGCACGTAGGGCCTCATCGCGGACTCTCAGCAGATCGCCAAAAGGCCGGCATTGAATTGGATTCATAGTCCCGCATTTGCAGCCACGACCCTCGACATAACAAAGCGGACAAACCACGATACCATCTCCGATCTTCATCTCGTCATTGGTCCCAGGTGAATGAAGAGCGCAGGGCAAGCACTCAAAGAAACTCTGGAAGATATCCGCGCCGCAGAAGTCGCAACAGATGTTGCTTTGATGGCAGATATCGGATTGCGAAACATGCGGCATATCTTGATGCTTTGGTGAGTATTCTTCCCCGAGGACATCATCAAGCAACTCAAGTAAGTGATGAAGATCATCAGCGACTCGCTCAAGGTCCGAGTTTACAGTGGGCAATGACCGGTCAAAGTGAGGAGAACTTGTCTGCTGTTCTTGAAGTTTCCGAAGAATCTGTGTCTGACGGTGAAGAGCGCGATATATATTCAACTTGACCTTGTATGTCTCCGGTCGGCATACGCTGCATAAGTATGTCACTGAGATGCAAAACGCACTAGCATGATAGAGACGTACCGATGGTATACAGGAAGTTCATGATAGAGAGAATTCGACAACCCCTTGAGAGTCATACGTGACCAGGATGTTTTCATTGTGATGCCACCATTGTTGATGACTTGGTGACAGCTTCTTGGGGGAACAAGTACTAAATCGCCGAGGGTTTGTTCCGCGATGTAGATTTTAAGTCTTGACTGCCCCAACTCTTTCAGGGTCACGACATGTGTCTCAAAATCTAATTCTTCATTCATCTTCTGGAAAAATTCAGCCATGGCTGGTGCAGCTGAACTCTCTGTCATGAACCAGAAAGACGACCCGCCATTCTCGGTATAACACATAAGATTTTGGCCAGAAGATGCACATAGATCCTTGTGGAAAGGAGTAAACGTGTCCCCTACTCCGAGGTAGCACATCAAAGTCTGTACATCGCTCTGATCAAAGATGATTATCTATATATCAATAAAGTACATCACGAAACGAACTGACCGAAAGGTACTTTAGGTAATCATTGGTTCCGTGAGGCAGAAGATCACTTGGAAGGACGCTAGCCGTTGATAGCCAAGTTGCCCACTCATGAGGACATTCCGCATCTTTGCCATAAAGTCGCTCAGGTTTCTGGCGAAAGTGAGATGGCACAAAGAGCGACATTATACAGCGCACTCACCATTTTCGTTAGCGTATACTGGGGTCGCACGAAGTTTATGGATGAGCTCGGAAAGGGGCAGGTCGAAGTCAGCCCAGGTGCGCACGTTACGTGCGGACGCCCCTTTGGATCCGCACATTAGTCAAGCGGCACGCGTTCGATCATGAGAAATGATGCCTTACCTGGTTTCCCATGCACATTAAGCCAATCCAAGGTGAACAGATCGGCAGGCCAGCTGTTGTGCTCATGAAATCCTTCAATGATTAAGGGGGCACCAGAATCTTCGTGTATCCGAATTGTCTGCATCAGCATCGGATCGTCAAAACGGACCCTGTCTACCGAACGAAAATTGGGCGATTTTTTGATCAACTGTGCGAGGGTCCAGCCCTTGGTGGAGATTAATGGCTTGGTTAGGTATCTAGCACCATCGTTAATGATAGAGTGGCGTCTATGTGGGTCCGAACCATGCGTCGCGTCTAATCGCAGCTCCGAATGTGGGATTAGAGCAGTGGTATCCGACATGGTATAGCGAAGGATGGCAGTCCTTCCGACTCCTTCGTCTTCAAAATGCGTCCTTAAGTGGATAGCAAGACTCGGAAGCGAGTTGTTTTCATTTGACGAAGTTCGATTACGTAATTAAGGGCGTCTGTTCTAATGCCAAAACAGGACAACTTCGTTATGTTCTGACCTTGCACCATGTCCAACACCGGAAACGAGCAAGTCGTGCAGGAAGCAGAGTTTGACTTCTGGGACTTTGTCAACTGCTCCGTATGTCAACTCCCGTTTACATCAAACGATCGCGGACCACCCGTTCCATTTTGGATCACAGAATGTGGCCATGTTCTTTGCAACAATCATCTCAGTAAGATGCTTTCCTCCCTGCCCTCGAATTTGGTGCATTGGAAACTCGTATTAACTTTCTAATTTACACAATGAGAGCCAGATCAGAGCTGTGTGCGATGTAACGCCCAAAACATCCAGCTGGTTCCCCTACATCGAGATGTATGTTTACTTCTATATAAGAAGATGTCTAGCTTATTTTTGGGGAAATGCAGCTGGAGCCCCCGATGTCAGATTGGTTTAGACCTCTCCCTTATTCACTAGATTCGATAGCAAGTGCTGTGAAAGTGAGTCTTCTTGATGTAGTTTCGTTACCATTTAGACTTCACTTCAACCTGCACCAGTTTCAACAAGACACATTCGCTGGTCTCATTCGATACTATCGGCAAGCTTGTTCCCAGCTAAGCCAGACGTGCGAACGTATTCGAGCAGAGAGAAAGGCTCTTCGAAAGTCCGTAGACTGACAGTTTATAACACCACTAATCCTCACCTGGGAACAGAGAGGTAGACAGTTTGCGGCGAGAGGTGGCGCACCTACGCCAGTGCGCTTCTGGCTTCGACCCCGCTCATGCACAGGAACCTTCATCTTTCTCCAACGCGAATGGAAAGCGTCCGATGACTGATGTTCACGAGTAAGTGAAAGACTGCATTTATTTTGGATCTAACCACGCCGCCAGTTTCAAGGCAAGCTCCAGTCCTAGGTCTATCGTGACCCCAATCGGACCTCGAATCACACTGCCGCTCGGGGAGCAACCAAGTTTCACCCGTCAAGATCATGGTCGAATTCCCAGCCAGAGCCGTCAACCGGAACGACCTGGCACGAGTCGTTTTGTGGAGTAAGAACATCGATAATTTTCCAATTCGTTGATTTCAATGGTGCATATCAGACAATATGCATACAGTGGTGAACAGGGATCACGCATGCAAGCTCCTCAGCTTTCTCACGAACAATCGGCACCTATCCGGCGCCTGCGATTGGCGTCCGAGGAACAAGGACATGATTCTATGCCACCTCCGCCCCCCGCCAGTACCCGGGCCTCGAGGTCGCTTCAGACCTGCGATGGGCTCGACGGATACAAGAACCACAATGACCCCGAACCCCCAGACGGCTGGACCGCAAATGACACAACATCAGCCTCAGCAACGCTCATTCGCAGTCCCGCAGACCCCTCACCGCGCTAGCGGCACACACTTCACTGGCCAGACATCCGACCAAATGCGCTCACTCCAGTCCAACCGTTTCATACCGCCATCTTCACACGGACATTCGAACTCTGGCGCAGGTGCAGTAACATCCTCGAACGTCCCGGGGACCTCGTCTGGAAGACATAGAACGCCATTCGTTTCAGGGAGTACTAGCGGATTCGGGTGACCTTGACTTTGTTGTACAATCCTCCCGATCGAATATGCAATGAACCTTCCACTTGCAATTGTGTTATGGGACTCTCGGTCGAGTACGTATAGGTACATGCAAGACGACTATAAATAAGCTCCCCAACTCCCAACGTTAGCGGAGGAGGGCTCTTGTCGAACACGATATCTCCTAAAACCTCTACCGGCTACACCCGTGTGCCTTTTCGGTTATCATCATTTGATACCTCATTAATTATTTGTTAGAGGTTTGTCAGGTTGTTATTCTCTCGCTGAACCTCTTTTTTCTGTTATGCACGCCTCAGTGGGCCACTCTTGCATGGTGTCTTGAGCTCTCCGTTATGGAGTTTCGCACTGGCCTCTGTTGACATCTCTGTCCAGTGCCTAAGTCTTGCAGCGGCAATCGAAAGTAAATAATTTTTTGTTCCGCCTCGGCATCGACATAAAACATGAGCGCATGCAAACTACACACTTCAGAACTCTGTCTGCCACTTCCAATCCTTCCACCTTTGGCTCTCAAGTCATCCTCGGTCGCATTGGAAGAGCCAACGACACAAGGAGTGTCCATCGACAATTCGATGAGGCCTCGGCGAGGGTTACAACATTTCCCTCACTGTCAGACTCACTCTGTCCTTAGCCTGGGTGCATTGTTCTGGCCTCCGAGTTCGGCCTCATTACTGTCGATTTTCGTTTGGTGGTGAATCCCGACAGTTTTGGTCAGTCTGTCGATAATCTATGTTAGGTCACTTAGCATGTACACATCTCGGGGATATATCTTGTGTCACTGAGACGACCCTCGCAAGGCGGGGTGAAGGTGAATGCCTTTTCATGGGCAGACTATCACATAAAAAGGAGGTTTGGGCGCGATGATCGGAGACTCCGAGGATCTATATACTGCAAAAATGTGAGCAGGTTTCGAACCAACTCTAAGTGAGACAGATTTCGGCTCTGTTGTGGTAACCACTGGGCTAAGACCGGTTAGATGTACCTCCAAGGAAACCATCTATGAGTCAATGTCAGGGAGAGTTCCGTTGAAAAATAGCCTCTCACTGTTCGGCAGGTTTCCAACCTGCGGAGTCCAAGAGAAACAGATGTTGATTCTGTCGTAGTAACCACTTCGCTAAGACCAGCTATGTGGACCTCCAAAGAAACCATCCATGAGTGAATGCCAAGGCATGTTCCGATAGAAAAAAAGCCTTATCATCAGCAGGTTTCGAAACCTGCACCGGCCAAGAGAAACAGATTTCGACTCTGATAACCACCTGGCTAATATCAGTGTATATGAACATCCGAGAAACGGTCCATGAGTGAATGTCAAGGCGTGTTCCGAAAGGGAAAAAAAACCTTGTTGTCAGCAGGTTCGACAGACTTTGATTCTCTTGCGGTAACCACCTGGCTAAGACCAGTTAAGATGGACCTCTGAGGAAACCATCCATGAGCGAACCTTCATTAAAGGCGTGTTCTGATAGCAAAAAAAACCTGTTGCCGGCAGGTTTCAAGCCTGCGGAGTCCATCATGATGAACATATTTTGATTCTGTTATGGTCACAGTAGGGGCCCTAACCACTTGGCCTCCCAGGAAACCATCTATAATAAGTGAATGTCAAGGCGTGTTCCGATAGAAAAAAGTCTTATCGTCGGCAGGTTTCGAACCTGCACAGTCCAAGAGAAACAGATTCGATTCTGTTGCGGTAACCACTTTGTTCAGGACGCTTCGAACCCAAGTTGAGATGAACCTCCGAAGAACTGTCCATGAGTCCCCAAACCACTCAAGAGAGCAGATTTCTAATCTATTCTGGTGCCAGTTGGCTATGACTAGTATGACTACTTAAGATAAACCTTGAAGCCTAACATGAGTGAATATTTCAGTGTTCAAGCTTTAAGGTTGTAGTGAGCAGGTTTTCGACGCTTACCACTTGGCTTAGCTGCTAAGATCGGTCAAGATTGCATCTGCGAGTCGAAGAACATTGACAGTGGAATCACACGAGTCATTAATTCATTTGCCAACGCAAAAATGAAATAAATCGGGGTAACTCCCCTTATAATTAATCGCCGCGAGACTTAGCGTAAAGTTGATTCAAAGACATGTACAGACTCCAGAGTTTGCGTTTAATTCGTTTCGGACACAAAACATGCCCGAGCATCATTAGGTAATATTGTTTAAGTTTGGTCGTGATGCTCCACTTCGAAACCGTGCAATTGCACAGCTATAAATTGAGTCCCGCAGCCGCTCTGCTTTTGTCGTCTCGCACATCATCGATCTACTATGTCTCAATACAGAGACCCGTATACTGAACAGCAGCAAGGGGGTTACGACCAGCAGTATGGTGATGCACCATATAACCAATATGACACCAGGCAACCACACCAGGCGTATGACCAAGGCGGCTATGACCCCCATACAATGGGCGAGTACAGAGACGACCCCAATACGAACCCACAAGTTATTACCCCATCGTATGTTCCGGAAGTAAACCCTCACGAGCAATCGAACTTTGCGAAAGAAACTGGACGGTGAGTCACCAGCTCTTTGAGGTTCCCTGACTTATCTGACTCCATTTCACAAGCCAATCTCAGGATTTCAAGACCTGGAGACGTGAGAACACTGGTGGTCTATGGACAAAGGTGAGCAACTCAATGTCTCACTTATTTGGTGATGCGTTAGAACCTGAGCGCCGCTTATAGGGGAGCCGAGTTAGCTGCGTAGGGAGGTTCTGCTGTTGCACGATGATGATTGCTGTATTCCTCGTTGTCAGCATACTGCTTGCACTGCTTATGGTGAGCCTTGCAAAGGGAAATGCCGACTATACTCAAATGTTCTTGTAGTGGGTCCGTCCTCCGGATGCTATTGTTGGTACTGTAGCGCCATCTACCACTCAAAATGCGGTAAGGCAGCCTTTCTTGGTGTTTATATACGTTTCTCATTTCTATCAGGTTCAACTAAACTCGGGAAGCATCACGCTCAACCTGGGCATCAATATAACGTACGCTGACTATACACTTCGTCTGATCCATTTCTTGACCGGAACTACAGTGTTGATAACCCAAATTACTTCTCCGTGTCTTTCAAGTCCATAGATGCAAATGTAGTTCGAACCCTGTTCACCTCATTTATCGCTCACAATTCTTCAGGCATATTACCCTATCAATAACACTCTTATCGGAACCGGCAATGAGTCTGACATCACCTTCAATTCCAACTCGGAAACCAACTTCACATTCCCATTTTCGGTGGAATTCAGCACAAACATGTCTTCAAGCACACAAATTTTGGAAGATCTCGCTACAAAATGCGGTGTGGGTGGTGGAGCAGTGGAAGATATCACAATCAATCTTGACATCACGGTCCGTGCACGTATGAAGTGTCATTTCTGGAGTTCTCACTTGCGTTTTCCTTGTTCAGCTTGGATTACGCGTCTTATTTTTCGTGGTTTACCCGGTGCTGAACATTCCCGCCAGTTTCGCGTGTCCGATAACTGCTTCAGAAATTTCGGTATGATTAAATTCCTGGTGTAAATTGTGGCTGACCATGTCTTCAGAGTTTGATTCCATCCGTTACTTCATTACTACCTTGATTCTCCTGGACGAAAATGTAGCTGCGCAGCCCACTTTTGTATCTCTTCTCGGACATAGACATGCACATAGTTACACCGACTCCGCCGCCAATCTCTATAAAGGACAGTCACTATCTCATTATTTGACGCTGGATAGGTTTCTCAGTCACACCATGCATGTGCAGTTCCTAATTTACCTGCCAAAAATTTATTCGTCCCAGTGCTATTTTGTGACATCTTCACCATCGACACACCCTCGACGATCACTATGTCGCCTCCCCTGCAGAGCGCTAACCAGTCAATGAGACGTCGGCTCAGAACCTCAGCGAGTCGAAACGTCTTCCGCACTTTTTTCGTCGGCTGGCTGCATATTGCAACACGATAATGCTATGCCTTGACAGAGGCTACATTTCTATAGTGTAGTGGTTATTTCAACGAGAACAGAACTTTGGAGTTTAATCAAGCTCAAGATTTCTCAATTTTCAAGAATGCATGAGTAGCGCCCCGGGAGCCTGCGGAAGAGAGGTACTACCGTGGATTCATCCATGATGCATGACTACCTATTGTGCATGACATCGTGCATGGTGCGCGCACCTCTCTTACAAGTATGTGCTCATCTGTTCTTATTCCCATGCCCAGTCATCTGCTGCTTCGTACCCATTCATGCACATGGATTTCCACTAATGCGACATCGTGTGACATTGGCACGGTGCAGCCTGTCCAGTTCGCAGAGTCTCGGCGTTTCAACTTCATTCAGCATCCACTTCAAGCCCTGTGAAAAAATTGAAGTAAGTCCTGGATCACAGGGTACACGGCTCTTTGAAAGAGGCCACTTGATGAAATTGTATAGCCGCTCGACAATTTATCCACAGCACATCCAGATTCATGGTGAGCATCCCAATTATTTTTTACTAAGCAAGCCCATAAAGCACCAGCTCGGTGAAATCTGCTAGCTTGCAAGGGCTCTGACACCACAGGGCTTTCGATCTTCAGCCTCCTCCGCAAAGAAAGTAGATATCACTCTCGCTGCCTGATCACCCCAAACTTCGCCTCTTCTGTCACCAGAGTCTTATCCCACCCCTGACATTCGATCATTGCCATCAACCATACTGCACCGATGTGAAAGCAGAAATACGACTCGCTGGCAGCGCCACACTACATGCAAAAAAAAACCATCTACCACACCGGTGAGTCTTGTTGTCAAACCAAGACACGAACTACTGATACTCAGGCATATCCTACAGGGCAGTATGTGCAATAGGTCTGATCTAAACAAAACGAAGGATATGTCTCACCTCCAGTATTACTGGTAGATCTCGATGGTCAAAGCAGCAACAACGATGAGGATAAAGGAGAATCGCATTGTTTTAAGTTGTAAGGAGGTGACACGGGATCAAATAGTTTCGAAGGAGATGGTAGAAAGACGCCTGGCCTTTATGCCAGTGTGTGAGTATTGTTCTTCATGGCGACATAGAAACAACCTATCCACCTGAAATCCAGATACGATGTCTCCAATTTCAGTAGATTGCCACCTGATATCTATCTTGTGAAAAAAGATCCAATGGCAATTTGGAGTGGAATCATTATCAGTGAAGCAAGGTCAATTTCAGCTCACAACATCCCTTCTTAACAGATGACATTTACAATGCTAGCGTATTGCCACCTATTGGTATTCTGGCGTGAGAATTCACTGGTTATGCGCTTGGATAGGCTCAGAGGCGCCTCTCCTGCGTACTTCAATTTCAAGAGCTAAGATAAGAACATGTATTTCATACATGCACAAGTAACAGGGAAGGGAATAGCGGAGTTTCTTATCCTTGCCCTTAGCTTGTCGGCAGCGAGGAAATCCACGGCCAAACTACTAGCAGCAGTATCGATCTTATGTGGTGAAGCCAAGAGAGGCCATTTTGACAGTTTCCGGGTGATACTGCGATCGGATACTGTGTCACCACTAGATCCGCCCATGATGTAAAGGTCACCGAGCATGATGAATGTCCCGTTACTTCCGCGAGGTTCACATTCAATGCACCCTTCGAGTAGCTAGTCTCGCATGCGCGCCGGAATGAACCGCCTCAACACGACCTCGCGCACGGAATAATGCGCAAAGCACGCGGGTGAAGAGAGAACTTCTGGAGATACCCGTGATTCCGCAGGTATGGTGATGTACGATAAGACCAGCGTCTGCAAACCAGTTTAGATGGATATTAGTGGTGGAAAGATGAAGACGGACCTTTTGAACTTGAGAATTGACCCGGTTTATCGTGCTCAGCCATGACCACGTGAATGGCTCTGCGTTCTGTAGCTTGAACGGTGAGTTTGCCTGATCTTCGGGGTCTTCATATACAGGGATGACGACAATTGCGAATCTAAGGAGATGTCAGCGGAACTGAGACAACTTTGAATGCAGAATGAGGTTCGCTGAGAGAACTCTTGGGTTCAGGAGGATAATAAAATGGAGTGAAGACTGAGTGAACACCACACGCACTCGGCATGCTGAAATACGGGGCCACGCTTATACAGCAGATAGTCTACGCAGAACTTGATGCCGCTTTTGACGACCCAACCAAGGGAGCGGTAGTGGTGGTATGCGATATATGAGACGAGAAAGGGATTGTCGAACCGTGGAGGTGACGGGGCGTTTGGTTGTGGGACCGACGATAGTGTGTAAGCGTTTTGGAATGTATTCCATATTTCAGCGAGGGTAAAAGACGTATTCTGGGTAAAAACAATGAGATGAACTAGCTAGTTTCAAGGAGGGAATAAGGGGACATACGGTTTCGGGATGCAAGATTGTCAAGCAGTCAAGTGCCCAGACGAGGAAAAAGGCCTCTTGAAGCGAGAGTTGGAGATGCTCGAGGTCTTGTATGGGCTCAATCTCTTCCTCTCCGTCTGGTGCGATGTCTAGAGACGATTGTTCCGAAGGCACGGATGCAGATGATGGTTTCCAAGTCGCAGCAGAGGGTATTATCCGTGTGCCATCTGGCGCAATACCAGGCGCGATAACGCGACCTTGTTCATTGAAAACAGTCTCTGCTTCAATGGCGGCAGCAGCAATTGCCTTTGCACGATCGAGCTTGAATTGCTTGCGCTCTGCACGGCGTTTGGCGGTGATCTCTTCGGATGTGAGTCCTGTGCCAGTCAAGAGTTAAGATGCTCGGAGCAGTACAAGAGAACAACATACCCTTGCCCTTCATTTTTCTCGCATTTATTTGTCTCGCCAACCAACTGGGCTCACTCCTGGAGAGGTCTCCTTTTCCAAAGAACCCGCGCTGCCATAATAGGGTAGCGTCGCCAGAGTTTGAGACCCAAGCTGAACGGGTAAGAGGGTCGAATAGTGCTGTGCAGTGAGGATTGAGTGGTCGCGTCAGGGAGAGTCCAAGAAATTTGTATGTTAGCTCTGGGAAGATGATTGGAAGAGGATGAGCATATATTCTGGAAGTCTCTGCACGCCGCGAAGAAGGCTTGAAGGATGCTTTTGAACGGGAAGTTTGGTTGATGAGCGACATCACGGTGACTTGTCAAGGTTAGGGTTATTTGTGTATGATTAGACTCATCCAGTGCCTGCAACTGAAGTTACTAGGGATCGGCGTTGCCGATTTTGACCTTGCTTGCTCGAACAAATATTGAAATTTATGATTCATGATATAAACGTAAACGTTCAGTGTGATACAATGACACTAGTACTGACATTTCCTGAATGCTTTCTTTATATTTATATTTTCCCTTTGTGCTTGCACTCCTCTGCCTCTGTATGGATTCTCTTAGCAGGTCTGGCGGCAGCGGAGTATGATGAACGGCAATCTTTACAGGACCTGCACGAGGACCATTCAATGTCGACGTTGTGGAAAGTATGCGTGACCGAGTCAGCGATGTCCCAGTCAACTGACTTGCAGAGGCTTATGTGGAGCTACAGCATAGGGCACTGGTTTCCGCAGACGCTAAGTATCGATGAAATATGTCCTTTTGACCCTCAGTTCTGCATGTCTGCATGGATTCTTTTAGCAGGTGGAGCATCTGGCAGCGGGGAGAGTGTGGTGAGTCGTAAGCTTTGCAGGATCTGCACATAAATTCACTTTGCCATGACAGCTGGATATACGCAGACACAAGGATCGTGTTTGATATCTCCTGGCTTCATAATATCGACGACAGGATGGATTATGACAATGATGGCAGGGAGACTGATGATTTATTAATGTTTATTATTGTTTATTATTGGCACATAGTCCGTCAGATTTCGTCGCATGCCATATGACCTTGCAAGCAAGGTGAAGAGGTTACTCCCCACGAACACGTCCAACTGTGGACAGTAGGCTATAATTGGCTGCTTCTGATATCGTTGGAACCCCCCCCCCCTCACGTATCTATGCAGTCAAGGCTGCGCCCTGGTCGACTTCGTTGATTGAAGTGACCCTAGTTGTGCTCCTCCCGAATTTGATACCCCTGGAACGCGGTAGTACTAAGCTTCTATCAGCTCCTACTACAGTGACCAGCTAAATATTGTCCGTAGTACCAGTGTGTCCTGCTGCAATCATACTCATTTCTGTGGCTCTTACCGTGGATAGTTTTCTGGCAACTTGTGAGAACTTTACTCAATTTCAGAGGACCTTTTCAAGTTCTGCCAGCAGTCGGTGAGTCCGAGGTTTTACCATGGGGCTCCAAAGTTCAGAGTCAGTAATCGTTGGTTCATTTCCGAAGTCAAGACTTCCACAAACCAGGAGCGGACAATCGGAGGACCGCTAGAGTCTCTCAAATGATAATTTGTATCGCTGACCCTATGGTGGACTGCGATCTTTTACGTGCTAGAAGATGGTGGGCTGCCTCACTGCAGTGCATGATGCCTACTGGGGCCAATATAAGTACATCATATTTATGTCGGGTATCAATAACAAGGTAAGCAAGTAATCAACATATAGCGGCTATATAGCGCTGATCGAGTAGCCGTGTAGGAACCAGTCAAACGCTTGAAAACACGTCACGTTGTCATTTTTGGGGAGGATGAACAATGATTCGTCGCTTGAGGTTGTTGAGAATAAACGCCGCATTGACTTCCTCTGGTGTCATCTTGGCCATGGCCAAGACACAGGCGCGGGCTTCTTGATAAAGAACTTCTTGGTCCAGACCCCCTTGGTTTAGGGCACCTTGGGCATCACCCGACTCGTGCTCGTCATCGTTATCGTCCGAATCGGACAAGTCATCGGTATCATCGATGTTCATGTTCCAGAAGCA